GCCTGTGAAAGTCCCGTCAAAAATCAAGCCTTTTCAGATATTGGCTGGAACAAATAAACAGACAGACATACATACATACACCTATAAAATTTCGTATATTTAAGCCCTAATAGATTTATCATATGTGAATATTTTGCAGTTCCAATAATATTACATACATTCGTGTCGAATTCAAACAATCAAGATAAAACTTAAAAACATTATTAAAAATATATTGAATAATTCAAAAGGACTGATCTTCTTTGAATCTCTGCTCTCGAGAATTACGCTTAGCAACACATTCAGCGATTCATTTTTATATTAGAGATTAATAAATTCATTTTTTTAAACAATTTATTCATTATTTATTAAATAAGAACAAATATTCCTTTTAAATATACGGTGCGATGGGAAGATAATTCATAAAAAATATGCCACAACCTTTTGTAATAAACAAACACTGCTCTAATAATTTTCACTGAAAAAAAAAACTATATAAGTTACGACCATTGTTTTATTATTAATTCTTTTTTCTCCACATTTTAAAACTCTCATGTGATATTAGGAGAGAAGGAGGGAGTTGAGCAAAATCTCACGAAATCTTACCAAAGGGGGAGGGGAGGTCGAAAAATCGCAAAATTGTCTCACGTAATTAATGGACGCCGCCTAATCTGTACAATAAATATTTTTTGGAAAATCTTATTGAAATAGTCATTATTATATATCGATCCAGAGGCCGAATCTACACTTTTTTGAATTTATGTGTCTGTTTGCCTGCGAAAGCATCACGAGAGAACCACTGGACAGATTAGATGATTTTTTTTAATGATAATAGAGCTGGTTATCCGGGTCAACATTTAGTATACTTTTTATTATATGTATATATGATGATGATGCTCTCCAAGCCGATTCCGGCTACGGCGGCCAATCTCAATGAGACTAGCCAACTGCGCAGGAGATATTACAGTGCACAAGTGTACGCGCAGACATAACGTGCACTCTCTATTCCTGTCACTCTCATACTCCGGTGGGACGACTGCTCGACACGACCTGTGAGATTTAAGGCGCAGGACTGACGGCCTTACGTGCTCTCCGAGGCACGGGGGTGAAACACCGCCAACTTCCCAACTCCGGGCTGTTACTGAGACTTACTATACAGAAAGACTCAATAACTAAACTTGGCCCGACCCGGGACTCGAACCCAGGACCTCCGAGTGTGCAGCCGTACATGTTAGCCACTACAACACCGAGGCAGTGGCTAGGTTATTTAAATAAATATATATTATATATACATATAATAAAACATTATACCTACATATTATATACCTTATCATATGTACATACTACCACATACACAAATACATATCTATATAATATAATGCATAATAATAGTAGTTAATATAATTATTGTGGAATAACTTGGGTGAGAAGGTGCTGTTTTATTAAGCTATTGCATAGCTTCTATCGCGGGCCTTGAGCGTGGGGACCGAATCCAGAAATTCCGTAACGAAAAAAACCTGACAGCCCCCACTCCGACCGGCACAGCGGTGATACTTTTTAGTTTTTCCATCTATCGATAAATACCAGAACTTTTAATGACTTTTTGAAATATCACGCTTGTCTCTTTAGTTCACTTTAGTTCAGCAACTCGCCTTTAGGTGGCATTGGTTGTATTGGAAAACTACCGTAATCAGCTGTTTGTGAGAAAGTTTATTTTTTTATGAGCTAGTGCCATCTTGTATAATAACTACGAACTAGCTGTCTTACGCTACTTTTATTCACAGCTATAAGAATATGGTCACTAGATGGCGCAACAAAACAAAATAGTAGTTTGATATTTATGTTTTAAGTCACGTTTGACGACACGCTTGGCTCAGTTTGTAGTGACCCTATTTTCTGTGCCAGCGGTCGCGGGTTCGAGTCCCGCTGGGGGCATTCATTTGTGTGTTGTCGAATGTTTGTATTCCAGTCATGGGTGTTTATATTTATAATATGTACTTATGTATTTAAAGTTATATATGTGTAGTGTATCAACTATCTGGTATCCATAACACAGGCCTCGTAGTTTACCATGGAACTAGATGGCGTGAAATAATAATAAAATAAATAAATAATTATAATTGCATAAGTTGATAAAAAATTACCGCGGCAGTCTCCGAGTGCCACATTTAATTTTTACTTTTTAAAGGCAGTTATAGAGACTTAATTGGATGTCTTTCGGAAGTTTGTTCCAGAGTAATGCGGCATACACCGAAAAAAATTGTAGAAAGAACTTAGTGTTGCTCTTGGGTATGTTAAACATCGCAGTGATGCAAGGCCGCCTGGAACGTGAGGGAGTAGGGAGAATTTGGAAACGAGAACAAAGGTATGAAGGAGAATTGGGATCAAATCAAATCAAAATATTTTATTTAGCATTAAATTATTACAATTTTTTATTGAACGTCATGAGTCTACTACCAGTTCGGAAAGAAGAAGCCTCAGACCTGAGAAGAACTAGCGAAAGAAACTCAGCGGGATCCTTAAGAATATTGAAGAGGAATGAATATAAGGATATGTATATCACGGCGAAGGCGGATTGGGAGCCATTTAAGTTGAGCTCGAAAGTTTGATATATGTTTATTATATATAATTATAAAGAGGTAAAGTTTGTGATCTTGTGAGTTTGTGAGTTTGTGAGTTTGTGAGTTTGTGAGTTTGTGGGTTTGTGAGTTTGTGAGTTTGTGACGTTGTAGGGGGTAATCTCTGGATTTACTGAACCGATTTTCAAAATTCTTTTACCAATAGAAAGCCACGTTCTTTCTGAGTGTCATAGGCTATATATTAACCCGAAAAATGAAGAGGCTTTTTCGTGGTAGTCGGATTTGCAAAGTAAGTCGGAAAAAAAACGGTCGAACGAAAACGTTTCTTACGAACGCTGCCTTAACGATGAGAGATATATGATTATGTTCTAGAGAAAAGTTGTAGAGCTTAATAATGCCTACAAAAAAGTCAGCGACAGCATATGTCTAACTTTTATATTTAAGTCACAATAAGTAGTTTTTTATATTAAAAAAATAATTTAAATCGGTAGGTCATGTTTATTGGTCATATTATCAACAATTATGAATTCTTATCAAAATAAGTAAATTTATCGTCTAAAATGTTTAAAACAAAAGACTTTTCCCTTTTACTGCATATAATTTGAACCAATAAAGAGATAATACAACATATTCGTAGGTATGGACGAACCCGAGCGAGCTGTTTGTCTGTTTTTCTGTTTGTACGGGCTAACCTCCGAATCTATTGGACCGATTTAAATGAAATTTTGCATGATGGTACCTTATATCCCCGGGCAACATCTAAGATAATTTTCATTCCAGAAAATTAAAGAGTTTGCGTGGGTGGGATAGTTAAAAAACTGTAGTAACTTATACAGCTTAGTACACAACAACTTACGCACCTAATTTAGTAAAATTTGGCATGCTGATACCTTATATTGCCGGTCAAACAACAGGTTACTTTTTATCCCGGAAAAATGAACGGTTCCCGTGGGATAGATCTGTTTGTGCTTTTCTAGAGGTGAACCCGAGCGAAGCGAGGGTGAGCCGCTAGTTATATATATAGTTCCTACAGTTTTTTAACTATCCCACGGGAACTCTTTTATTTTCTGGGATGAAAAGTATCTAAAACGTTGACCGGGGATATAAGGTACCACAATGCAAACTTTCATTTAAATCGGTCTAACAGTTTAAGAGATTAGCCCGTACAGACAAAAAAAACACATTGTACGAAAATCATTTTGAAGATGCGTTGAGTGGATTTTGAGATATGGAATATTTCCGTTTATACGCTTTGTAAGACTAGTGGTCGCAAAAGTATATTTTAAAAATACTATGAAACAGTAGTCGATAAAATGAGTACTATTATATAATACTGGGCGGCTAGTAGCTTTCAGATGACCAAAAGCCAAATTCTTAGATTTTACATATTAGTATACTCTTACATATACCTACCAATTTCATTGCGCACCGAAAATAAATAAAACAAAAGTTAATAAAATAGAAGTAGCCTATGTTACTCCCTACAACATCAGCTATCTTGCAGTGAAAGTCCCGTCAAAATCAGTCCAGCCGTTCCAGAGATTATCCGAAACAAACAGACAGACAGTCAGACAAAAATTTAAAAAAATGTGTTTTTCTTCTAAGTACCGTATATAATTTCAGACACTTCAATTTTATTTATCTATAAAATTAACTTGCAGAATATACATTTCGTAGTTTTTGAGATATGAAATTTTTTATTTACCCGCTTTGTCACTTTAACAACTATAGACTTGTTTCCCATAAAATGTTCATTTCATATTATGTTAAAAAATAATATGAAACGAACTTATTTTTACGGTCGATAAAATGAGTCGATATTATGGAAACGTAAATATTATTTGTATTTAAGCTAGTGTTTACCTAACAAAATACTTAAGTAAGAAAAACAACACAGTATTTTGCTATACGGAACCTATAACGCGATAACGCGAGCTGGACTTGTATTCGCCCAATTTTTACATTAAAAGATTTACAAACATTAACATTATTTACTGAACGATATAAATTTACAATTTTTTTAATTTAAAAATAGTTTCGGCCAACAATGGTTATTGTAGGTCTCTTTCCCCCCCCAACGTACATTCACCTTGTCGTGGTGGGGGGGCTCAGTAGTGCCCGGCAATACAGCCGAGCGCGAAGCCAAGAAACGCAGAGGGAGGTGGCCCACTTCGGTGGGCGGTGGGAGGTGGCCCTCTTCGGAGGGCGGTGTATCATGCGGGTTGCTCCTGGTACTTTTCTGATGGCAGAGTGGACCTTGGAGCAGTCAGAAGTCTTGTCGTCTGCTTCGGCAGATCTGCCGTCTTGGCAGCGTAGTTGAATGCGTAAGCGATCCTGCTAGGCCCCATTAAGACGGGGGAAGGTTTTGTTGGGTTTTAGTGGGTAGTACTGGCTTTACCGGTGAGTCCCACACCTCGTGCGTAAATGCATTTCCCAACGTTAAAATAAAAGGTCTCTCCCATGACCATGATTGTTTTCTAGCATTCGAAACGTCGGGAACTTGCAATCATACCTAATATATCTGCCAAAAAATAAAAATAAAACATTTTATCTACCTATTTCGATATAGATAAGAGTCGATAAAATTTTATTTTAATTCTTAATAATTAAATAAATAAAAACACTATACTGACATTATAAAGAGGGAAAATTTGTAAGTTTGTATGTAGGGGATAATCTGTGAAACTTCTGATCCGATAACTGCGTAATACTATGTTCCTTCGTCAACTTGTTCCCATCTTTTTAATACGCTTTTTACAAACTTAGGGTTTAAATATTTGTAATTTATTTTTATACTAGCGACTCACCCTAGCTTCGCTTGAGTAATGGGTTCCTTCCCCATACAAACTTTCATCACCATTTTCAACCCTTTAAGGGATGATTTCCGGAATAAAAATCTATCCTATGTCCTTCCCAGGGTCTCAAACTATCTTCTAACCAAATTTCATCTATATCCGTTCAATAAATACAGAGATTACCCCCCTACAACGTCACAAACTCACAAACTTTACCTCTTTAAAATATTAGTATAGATTATATATTATAGCCTAACATCAAAATGGGGTACTTACCGAATTTGTACGTCTTTATGTAACTGATCTTTTGATGCTACTGACACCAAAACAAACCATGCATGCACATTTATACAAATTTTATTGTTGCAATCTAAATGCAGGTGGCCTTAATCATTTATACTATACTTAGCTCAAATATAAGCAACTTGCCCTCACTGCGCTCGTATGCGTCCTACACCCAGCTAATGTTTGCATTTGTTGTACGGAATGTATTAGATGAATGCAACCAACGGAATCATAAGTAAGACTAAAATGTGTGTATGTATGTATATTCAGCCTTTTTAACGTCCCACTGCTGGGCACAGGTCTCCCTTCAGTACGAGGGGGATCAGGCCATAGTCCACCACGCTGGCCAATGGCTGGTTGGCGGAAATCACATGTCTTTTGAAAACATGCTAGGTTCTCTCAAACAGCAGGTTTCCTCGCCATGTTTTCCTTCACCGTTAAGACAAGTGGTAGGTAATCATGTTGGAAATGATTCGTACATGAAAATAACAGAGGTGCGAGACCCGGAATTTGAACTCGCTTCACTCGATTTCCCAAACGAGCGCGTTACCACTGGGCCACCACTGCCTAAAATGAAATGAAATTAAACTTTATTCAAAAAGACTTATTATATAGCACTTTTGAATTATAATTCAAATCTATTTTTAGTTATACGTGGAACACGACAAGTTATTCAGGTAATCGGTCGCATTATTAACCGACTTCCAAAAAGGAGGAAGTTCTCAATTCGTTGGAATCTTTTTTTTATGTATGTTCATCGATTACTCGAAGACGCCTGAACCGATTTGGATTTTTTTTTGTTTCATAGGGTATACTTCGCAGGTGGTCCCATATAAATTTTATCGAAATCGGTCGAGCGGTTTTTAAAAAAATCAACAATAAACATATTTTTAAATAATTTTTTATCGAATATGTTATTAAAAAAATTTCTTCTTACAAATTACTTGCTTATTACGTCTACTCTAAATATAGTAAAATAAAAACTTTTGTCAGCCTACAATATTTTAAGATATGAATATCTAATAGGTAAATATGTATTTTACGTATCGAAATATATTAGATTTGCTTTTCATCGGCTGGCACCCACTTCGAAGTTCGAAAGTATCTGATTAGGTATCTATCCTAAATGAAAACCTCCGTTTAGTTATTTTGTACATTTTAGTGCCTGGAAGTCGGTTTTTTTTTCAAGATTTTATTTACATTATTACAATTAAGTACAATTAATATTATTGTTAGTTATAAGTACCAACCAACGAACGTGCTTCGCTTCTCGTTTTTTCGAAAAAGATAATTGCGCTTTTTCAGAAAAGACACTTAAATAGATTAGGTAAATTAAAAAGCAAAACCTTATCTTCTTTAAATTTATTATAATTTAAAAGGTAATAAATACATTCAGATTTATGAGTCAAATGCTAGCTTCCAAGTATTATACCTAGAGTTGATTTTTAGAGCTACTATAGCTGTTTAATTATGTATGTATACGTTTGTAGCATAGTGAATAAATTTTGATTATATTTAATTCTTGCTTTTCGTCTGAAAATATTAAAGTTTAGATAAAAACGGCTACAAGTTATAACTGTTTTTGTAATATTTATTTAGGAAAAATTATTAAGCAACTCGTATGTTTAAGTAGATATTCCCAGTTTTTTATCGTGATTTTATTAGTAGACCAGTAGCCAGCGTCAGCCATATACCTACAATTTAATAAATTTTTTTCGTTAATTTTTCAATTTTTTCTTTCATAAGAAACTTCTCCTGACAATTACAAACACAACAAAAAAAAGGTAAATCGGTCCAGCCGTTCACACGTGATGGCGTGACCAAGGGAAATAGGGATTCATTTTTATATATATAGATACACGATATAAATTTATATTTATTTATTTATATCCACCAGTGATAATTAGGTACATTAATACAATATCGCTTAGTAAAAAGAAATAGTGTAGCTTAATTCTAAATGCATTATCTTTTAAGGCAAATACAGCATGCAAATATTAGGAGGTTTATAAATCATTTATCATAAATCTTTATTTTTTAAACGAGCAATTCTGTATTATATATATATACTAGCTGACCCGACAGACGTTGTCCTGTCTACACGTCTTTAATTTGAAAATTTCAAACTTTTTTTAATAAGCTAAAACATTCTGGACCAATTTGATGAAAATTATTATTCAAATTGTGAATCTAAACCATTCTCAGATCCCCTTGAACACACACAAAAAATTTCATCAAAATCGGTCCAGTCGTTTGAGAGAAGTTCAGTGACATACACACTCACAGAAGAATTATATATATAAAGATATATATATATATATATATATATATATATATATATATATATAGTTCTTATGTTTTCAAAAGGTAGAGTTCAAGACGAAAAGAATGAGCCCTATCTGAAAATTGAACGATTTTTTTTTTAAATGTAAAACGTCCACTTGAAGTTGGGGGTGATTTTCAGCCTCTCGAGACCATAAAACATACTTTTCTCGGTAATGGCTACATATTTCAATTTTTATTTATTTATTACATGTATTTTGAAGATTATATTTCCTTAGTTTGGGGCCGTTCATAAAATACGTTCGCATACAAGGGGAGGGGAGGGGTCTGGCTGAGTGTGACAAGATGTGACAAGGGGGGACGGGGGGTATACAGCAACGTAACGTTCGCCTTTTATTATTTTTTGACATGAGCGCTAGCTCTATGGCGCGACTCTAGCGGCGTTGCTTTCCGTCACAACTGGTTTCTTTGTTTTTCCAATACTTGAGAGAGTAACGTTTCCACGTACCCTGCGCTCTCGATTCAGTATCAAATGAAAATACTGTTTCTCATGTATTTATTTATTCCTTCTTCCTTCCTTATTATTTTATTCCTTCATGCGCCATTTAGCAGTGAACTAATACAGACGCTTTTTTCATCTTCTCAATTTAATATTAGATGACGATGAAGTGGACGGTAGTTTTGAAGATGAAGAAGAAGATGGTGCAATACCGATTGTAGATATTTCGGCCCATTTAGAAAATCCTTGGACTTCTGAATAATAGAAATATTATTTATTATTTATATGTTCGTTATGAAAGATATTTATTAATTTATTTAAATTTTATTATAATAACTAAATAAATATTTTTAATTTTCAGAATTTGTGTACTATCATTTAGAATTTTTCAATCTCAGCTGGTCTTAGTTTTAGTGACGAAATATTTCTAGGGGGGGTCACAGAAAGTGTGACACAGCGTGACAATAGGGGGGGAGGGGATCAAAAAAGCTGATTTTAGTGTGACGTATTTTATGAACGGCCCCTTTCATGAAAATCAAAAGATTATTCTAGAAATTAGAAATAAAAAACCAAGTAAAAGTTAAAAAGCAAGTTTTCTGAAAATATCTCAAAAACTTTGTAAAAGTTGTAAATTATAAAAGTTGTAGATTTTTACTAGACCTATAACTTTAGTAGAAAATTATTTTTCGATAGGACGTCACAGTAAGCCGGAAATTGAAAAAAACTATTTTTCAACGCTTTGCGTCCCCCTATTTCTCGGGGGTAGCTGGGCATGTGGAGCATTTTACGAATTTCTATTTCTTAAATACCTGCTAACATTTTAAAATCATAAAACTTCAAGTTTTCAATATTTTGTTCCCAAACCGGATTCCGATTGGACTATAATATGTTATTAAAAAACTTTCTTCTTACAAATTACCTGCTTATTACTTCTACACTAAAAATGAAAAATTTAAAACTTAAAAAACCGACTTCCAGTCTCTAAATTGTAAAAAATAAAGTAAAGGGGGGTTTTTATTTAGAATAGATACCTAATCAGATATTTTCGAAGTCGGTGCCAGCCGATGCAAAGCAAATATAATATATTTCGACACATAAAATACATCACAAATTTATGTATAGTATTTTAACTATAATAATTAGAGTTCATACCTAATCATATTTACCTATTAGATATTCTAATATGGCACAAGTTTAGTATATGGGACGCGGCCCCTGGCGGAGTGGGTGGTATTTATGGTAATATTTATGGAAATATTAAAATGTCACTTTCAATTGTCAAAATGATCTCCAGATGATGAATCAGATCTATCACCGAATTTTAAATGAACATAAAGCACTTATTCATTTCATTCATCATTCTAGTTTTCTACTCATATAATAATGGCACTCGCCGGCCGCTGCCGCTGCACGCTCGCTTCGCTCGCTCGGCTCGTGCGTTGTGGTAACTGTTCTAACATAACCTAACCAAGATATGACGAATAATAAATAAATAACCTAAGTCTTAAACTAACCACGATGTCGCAAAATAAAAACCAAAAGTAAATAATACTTAGATTTTAAAAATAGTCTACTCACGGTTATAAATTGTATTAATATAATCTGTGATCATTTAAGCGGTAATGTAAAACAGAAATAGACAGTTGTCAAAATGTAAGATCATTTTGCTTACAATAGGTACTGTTGTGAAATTATTAAAAAATTAAATACAATAAAGCCTTAATTGTTCTGGAAATATGTATTGTACATAAAAAAGGATGTTTACTAATAAGTAATAGTTAAAGGTATGTTTATCTTTTGTAATCACATAGTTAGGTAAAGAAATGTATGGAAATGTATAAGATATGTTGTAACTTTAAGTCTCAATAACTTTTTACTCTTACGTTTCCTCAAAATAATTTTTAAGCTATTGCATAGCTTCTATCGCGGGCCTTGAGCGTGGGGACCGAATCCAGAAATTCCGTAACGAAAAAAACTGACACCCTCCACTCCAATTTACAACAGACATATTATGTATTTTAAAGAAAACATCTTGCCAGCGTGATTCAGAAATGAGGCAACCTACTAGTAGCGCCATCTCTTGGCAGGAATCGGAACTAAACCCGACAATAGGTGTATAGGTATTTATCATCTATGTACAACAGTGAATATCTGTACTCGTATAATTTGTGTACAAAGTGTTTTAAATATGAATAAACAAAGTGCATTTATTAATGAAGAAAGTCAAGAAAAAAAAATACTGCATTAATAAAATAAATAAATAATTATAATTGCATAAGTTGATAAAAAATGCTATGCAATAGCTTTACCGCGGCAGTCTCCTAGTGCCACATTTAATTTTATATATTTTGACTCTCTGTCACCTACCCTATCCAAAAATTATCAACTATTATGATATAACCAACTATTTATGATAATCGTATTTCCTGATTTTTGATATGTTGTTCTGGTGCAATAAATGTTTAAGCTATCTACATACCGATCTACGTAGGCAAGAGGCAAGGTTGCTTTTAGATAAGGTATTTTACTCTTAAAACTTGATTAAATATTAATTGGTTTGCTATATTTATTTACGCTAAAATGTTCTTAGTTATTTAAAAAACTAAAACAATAATAAAACAACACTGATTTTTAATTTTGAAATTATACACATTTTTTTTGAAATATATTACAATCACTGTCTGAAGACGTTTCACTGTCTCTTACTTCAATAATGAAATTATCCAATTCTTTATCCAATTCTAAATCATTGACATAATATTTTTCTTCAATAGCTCTGACGTGATCACATTCTTTCTTCCATATGTCAGGTGTGATGCTATCAAAACTCTCTCAAAAGACTCACTGAGAAAACCCGGTAATTGATCTCCATCAAACCAATGAAAATCATATTTACTATCTTCTAATGTCCAGCCATTATTTTCGGGGTTGAAAATATTTATCATCTTCATACTTGCATTGTTTCAAAGACTAGCAATATAGTTAGTCCGTCGGAACTACTTTTTAATGTCTCTTCCGTAAACAGTATAAAATTTACATCAGAATCTTTACAAAAAACACAAGGCACAAGTTTAGAATTGGGGACGTGGCCCCTGGCGGAGTGGGTGGTATTTCTGGATAAGGGACGTGATAGGGAGTCGAAATGTTAAATAAAAATCCGCGAACGTACGAGTAAAAAGTTATTGAGACTTAAAGTTACAACATTTCCATACATTTTCATATATTTCTTTACCACCATTCGGAGTGGGTGGTATTTTTAGATAGGGGAGGTGACAGAGAGTCAAAATATATTAAAAATATTTGGAGGAAACGTACGAGTAAAAAGTTATTGAGACTTAAAGTTATAACATATCTAACACATTTCCATACATTTCTTTACCTAAATAATTGATTACAACAGATAAACATACCTTTAACGAATAGTACGCATCCTTTTTTATGTACAATACATATGTTCACAACAATTAATGCTTTATTGTATTTAATATTTTAATAATTTCACAACACAAATAAAATGATCTTACATTTTGACAAAAGCAAAACTGACACTTTGTTTTATATTACCGCTTAAATGACAACAGATTATATTTGATTATTTTTGCTTTTTCTGTTGGTAAAATATTACTATTAATAAATAAATAAATAAAAAGAAAAATATTATTTTCACTTTATAAATACATTTATGACTTTTTATTTGATTTATGTAAAATATATTGTTTTACAATTGTACATTTAGTAAAAAAAACATTTTTTTATCTGTGAATATTTTTAATTATTTATTTATTATTCGTCATATCTGGGTTAGGTTAGGTTAGAACATTTAAGATTATATATTTATTATTCGTCATATCTGGGTTAGGTTAGGTTAGAACATTTAAGATTATTTATTTATTATTCGTCATATCTTGGTTAGGTTAGGTTAGAACAGTTGCCACAACGCACGAGCCGAGCGAGCGAAGCGAGAGTGCCGCGGTAGCGGCCGGCGAGTGCCATAAATGACTAGAAAACTAGAAAATTCGAATTTCACGCAAAGTACAAATAAAGACAATCATCTGTAGATCATTTTGACAATTGAAAGTGACGTTTTCACTCCAAGTGTCTAAATGGTAGTAATGTCAAAATAATGTATGGAAATGTTGTAACTTTAAGTCTCAATAACTTTTTACTCGTACGTTCGCGGAAAATTTTTATTTAACATTTCGACTCCCTATCACGTTCCTTATCCAGAAACACCACCCACTCCGCCAAGGGCCACGTCCCCAATTCTAAACTGCAGCCAAACACAATTTGATGAAGAAGCCATTATATTTTTTAAAACACTGAAAATATTTTATTTTTTTCACACACGTTGTAACTGAAATCACAGCTGCACTCAACAGAAACGGTAGAACACTGAAATCTGAATACATACTTTTTTATGAGTGACATTAGCTGTTGACCCCAAGGACGCCTTTACATGACATTATAGTTAGCTTTCACCTGACCAATTTTTATTTTATTTAACGATTAAATTAATTCTGAAAAAATATAAGAAAAAATGAAAATTAAGTTAGCCGATATCTAAAAAAATAGATTTTCTTTTTTTTTAATATTTTTCAGTTCTAATGAATAAATGAAAAAAAATTAAAAACGCCGGCTAACTTTGGTATTATTTGAAAAAATTGCATTCTTAATTTTTTTTTATTATTACATGTCATTATATTTTTCTTATTTTTTTCCTATAATTTATTTGTTAAAAAAAGTTCTAAAAATTATCAAATATCTGCTAAAATAATTTTCATGGCCTTAACAGCACAATCGATCTCACTCAGTCTCATGCGCGTGGATAATGCTCTCTCATTCCACAGAGGCATTAAAATTGAGTTTAGGGGATAGAGGAAGAGCCCGTGAACGCCAGATCTTCGTCATTTTATAAAGGCTGAAAGTTTGTCAGCGCATGCTCCCAACACAGATAAGAACGATGGACCATTATGAAGTTCAGGCTATGGTGGCTTTGGCAGGTACACGGTACTAAAGGTGTGTAAAATACCGATCTAAATTCGTCAAATAATAAAGTGTGACTTTTTGGTATTACCTTCAGAATATTATTAAAAATCACGTCATTCAATGCCAGACACTTCTAACATCGTGGCAAACCCTTGCCAGGCATCCTTTTCATGAAATCATATTTCTATTACCTTATAGTATAAAAGCTGATCTTTACATATAATACTTGGGTAATAATTAGATGATTTATAAGACTGCTAGCATAGAATTTATTACACACCATCAAAAATGTTCCAAACAAGTTGGAAGGCATTTCTAAGAAAATGTTGCAAATGGCCACCAAATTTGAAGCGCTAAGAATTGACTTTATTTTTGATCCTAAAATATTTTTCAATTTGTGTGGTAATTGTGTAGTAAGTTAAATAATATGGAAAATAACTGCGTCGGTGGTGTAGTGGCTAGCATGTACGGCTGCACACCCGGAGGTCCTGGGTTCGAGTCCCGGTCTGGCTCAGTTTAGTTATTGAGTCTTTCTGTATAGTAAGCCTCAGTAACAGCCCGGAGTTGGGAAGTTGGCGGTGTTTCACCCCCGTGCCTCGGAGAGCGCAGGGCGCCTTAACTCTCACCGGTCGTGTCGAGTGGTCGTCCCACCGGAGTATGAGAGTGATAGGAATAGAGAGTGCACTTGTGTCTGCGCGTACACTTGAGCACTATAATATCTCCTGCGCAGTTGGCTAATCTCAATGAGATTGGCCGCCGTAGCCGGAATCGGCTAGGAGAACATCATCATCATTTAACTATAAAATTTTGTATATTTAAGCCCTAATAGATTTATTATATGAGAATTTTTGCACTTCAATAATATTGCATAGGTACATATATATGTACGTGTCAAAATGATAGCCTCCTTTTTTTGAAATCGGTTAATAAATAATCAAGATAAAAAGTAAAAACATTAGTAAAAATTTATGAGTAATACTTTCTTAGATTAACAATTCACAAAATCATTACTGGATTTATTCATATTAGTTGTTAGTTATGTACTATCGAATTCAAAAGTTTATATAATACTCGCTGCTCGATCGTTGTTTATGCGCAGCTCATCGCGATATTTTCAAATTAATCACCTGAGATAGAGTAAGTGGATTCTTAATAAAAGTGATACTTAAATACAGAATAGTACTTTAAAATATGCACCAATAAATATAGAAAGGAAGTCACTGTAATTAAAATTCTGATGGATTTTTTATAAGACAGAAGTTTTTTTTAATAGACGCTTCTGTTGCATTGTAATTAACGTTTCTGAATATAAATTTAGCTTAAATAATAAAAGAATAAGCTAAACATCACCACATATATGTGAAATCTAAACACTTTTCATTGAAAAAAATTAACATTTAAACATGTGAAGTAATCTAAAATAATGTACTGATATCTCATACTATGTTATGCAGTCTGTCGTTTAGTCCTCGGTTCTCCATAGTCTGTAAATGTCAACTGTCAGTTAACATAAATGGGATGAGACCAATTGTTTATCTGTGTTGTTTATTGAGATTTGTCAATTGTTATTTCACATTTGAGATATGTTTTCTAGGTGCAATAAATATTAGTCACGGTTGCTTAATTCAATTAATTTTAACTTTTATTGTAATTCGATGCAAAGAAAGTCTTCAAATTCAATATTTAAATATTAAAACGAGTTTACTATGGGTGCCGTACTAGGTCTATGCTCAGCAGCTCAGGTGATGCAAAATCAATAATTGTTCTTTGTTCATGTTATCATAAACTTTACCTTCCTTGGAAAATACAAATAAAATACATTAGTAATTATAATACAATAAAGAAGCGAATAGCGTCTCATTCTGGGTTTTTTTCTTTATAAAGTACTTATGGCAAAAAATGTAACACAAAGTGTTATGAAATGCCTTAAATATTATGTCAAAAGTATCCTAATTTAGCTATTTTCATAACCTTTCTCTAACATTTAAACTTTCACTTGTTTCTTACAGTTAGCTTGCTGCTGTGGCAGTGCGGCATGCTCCCTATGCTGTTCAGCATGTCCATCATGTGCCAATTCGACTTCAACTCGTCTCATGTACACTCTTATGTTGCTGCTAGTGATGGTGGTTGCTTGTATTACTTTGGCTCCTGGATTACACGATGAAATGAAAAAGGTGAGTTTTGTTTTATTAACTATGATTTTTAAATTGTAAGATATTTTTGTAAAGCATTCGAAACGTCGGGAACCAAAAATCATAATAAATTCGCGAAAAAATCCGAAAAGATAGTTTTAATTTAAATGTCAAGTATTCGTGTAAATCTAAGAATTTATTGTAAGATATTGTTTTTATGGTCCCCACTATAATATGTATATATTATAGTATAAGAGTATGTAGGACTAATACTTTCTGGCTAATTAGATGCTTGTTTTTAAATATTTACTTAGAAAGCATTTTTTTTAATTTAAGATGTAACGCTATAAATAAACTGAAATATTTTATTTTAGATTTAAATATGTAAAAATGAAATGAAATATACATGAATAATAAATCTTTTTAGGTACCATTTTGTCAAAACTCAACAGCAATAATACCAGGAAACTTTAAAGTAAATTGTGATGAAGCTGTTGGCTATTTAGCTGTCTACAGGTAACTCCACATGAAGTGATCTCTGAATTATAAACTACCTCGCACTAAATTTTATTAATAGAAGGAAATAGAAAATTAAAACAGAGTCAAACAATATAATAGAAAAATAATCAAATTAGTTCAGATCTTAAGTATCAAAGTTGTTAGTAACCTATATATTTTATAAATACGTATACTAAGTTATCTATAAAACTATTTTCAGGATTTGTTTTGCGGCTTGTTTGTTTTTCACACTTATGGCATTGATTACGATTGGAGTAAAATCATCAAAGGATCCTAGAGCTGGAATTCAAAATGGGTATAGCTTTTTATTTATACCTATAAATATGTAAATAATAGTTGTGCTTCTTATTACATTAATATATAATTTTTTGTACAGCAACACCTATTGAAGGGAAATTTTGCAATATTAAATTTTGGCATGACATCATAATGCATTATGAACATGATTATACATTTTGATTCAGGTCATGTAGATTGTAGAAGTTACATAAAAACCAATAATTATACATACTATAAACATCATATATAGCATTGTACAACTTCTACTTGAATGAACTATTATTAATCTTTGTAGATTTTGGGGAATCAAGTACTTATTAGTGATTGGTGGTATTATCGGTGCTTTCTTCATCCCCGAAGGCCAATTTGCTTATACTTGGATGATTTTCGGAATGATAGGAGGATTTGGTTTCATTGTCATACAACTTATATTGATCATAGACTTTGCTCATTCCTGGGCTGAAAAATGGGTTTGTAAGTATTATAATATTACCTTTTTTATTATAATTATAATGAAACCCTTGAAATATGAGAGCTAACAAAACAAAAGTTTTATAGCCATGAGACATATTTTATTGTAACATAGATGTGACATAGATGTAGTTATCAAAATTTTGTCAACTCTACTTCTGCTTTAGACATCGTGAGTCACACAACATATATATGCGGCACAGCAATCAGATATGAAGTTAAATAAAGTAAACATTATACATATAGAAGCTACCCCATATCACACACTGCACATTGTCTAAAATCATATAGCAGAATATTGTCTTATCAAATTATTAATAATCCATACTAATATTATAAATGTGAAAGTGTTTGCTTGTCCTTCTTTCACGTCGTAACTGAGATTATCTCATTCCCATGGGAAAACACGTTGTAATAGAACCCACGACAAGTCATAATACCTATGTTTTTATTGTATATATATAACACAGGTCAACATATAGGATACTTTTTACTGTGAGAAAATATCTCATCTCAGAGAAATCTATACTTAACCTTACCTAACTAACTAGTGGTGAACCCAAGCAGAGAGAGGATGAGTTGCTAGTGTATTTATAAATAAGAAACTTGGATATTCATTGAATGGATTTAAATTAATATCCTAGATTTATACATAATGTACGACAGCTCAACTTTAATGTTACAACTTTAGTTTTGAACTAATCATTAATGGCACTTCTCATAAACATTAAATAAAAGGAAGAAAACACTTGACTCCAGCATACTTTTAAGGCAAATTATTTAAATAAATATATCTTTTAATTGTTTCTCCATATAAAATATGATAATATATTGTAGCTAATTATGAAGAATCTCAATCCCGCGGCTGGTACACGGCGCTGTTGTTGGCGATGCTAACATGCTACGCACTCACACTCACTGGCATTGTTCTGCTCTATGTTTACTATACCAAGGTATGATATTTGATATTATAAATTATAATTATTAAGATGCATTATTCCTAGATTCTAAAAAGTTTAAATGTTATTATTCTGATAAATTACTTAATGTGCTGCAAGAACTAAATGATGAAGAATATATACATCGAAAAAAATGTATGTGGCTGAGCCCATGTTTGTTACTCCTTCAACTTACTTCTAAAACAGATGGACGGATTTGCATTAAATGTAATAGTGCACATGATGGACTTTGGATTGTTAGTAATAAAATGTGCCAAGAGGTGGCACTGCCAGTATATAAGTTTAAAAATACTATAGCACCTAGAAAAACACCCGATTGAAGGAAGTATGTCAATAATGAAATACATAAATAGCTTTATATCCATACCATAATATTATAGATGTAAAAGTTTGTGAGGATGGTTGGATGGATGTTTGTTACTCTTTCACGTCAGAACGACAGAATGGATCGGGATGAAAGGCACAGAGATAGATTATAGTCTGGAATAGCACATAGGCTACTTTTTATCCCGGAAAATGTACCGTTCCCGTGTCATAGATTTATTTTTTTCATTTAAGTACCCAAACATAAATATAAATTGCAGACGGATGGTTGTGACTTATCCAAGTTCTTCATATCCTTTAACCTGATCCTGGTGGTGATAATGAGTGCGGTGTCCATCCTGCCGTCGGTGCAAGAGCATCAGCCGCGCTCCGGCCTGCTGCAGTCTGCCGTCGTCTCGCTATATGTCATGTACCTGACTTGGTCTGCCTTAGCCAATTCTGCTGGGGAATGTAATGCCAGTATTTCTGCTACTAATCAGGTAATCATTTTTTTCCAATAAATGATTGGATGATTACTATGTTTATGTTTTGGTATTTATTGAAGTATTAAAAAAATATATATATTTAAAAGATAATGATACAATAGTGTGTATAATGTTATTTATTTTTATCATGAAATATAATATCTAATTCAATAAAATTTGAAAGTATTATTTATCTATTTAAAACATAATAATATGTACATAATATATGTTTATTATTCATTATATCTTCCACACTAAAAAGCCAGTATTTTATATTGTATCCTACAACGCACTACCAGGAATCTAAGGAAGACATTTATTGGGTATGTATCATGATATGAAACAAAAAATCAAGTATAATTACTATGATTTTGTCTTTTATTTTCTGTTTGAAATTTACCATTTATCCATTTTATATCAATATTCCACACATCAAAATCCCCACATTCGCAAAGTTATTTTTTTAATACATATTTTAGTATTGAGATAGGTATACATATTTTGTCCATCAGCATTAGTATAATAAAAAGTAGGTATATTTCTTTTATATAGTTTCATAATTCTATGTATTTGTATTACTAGTTTCATAATAAATAATAATAATTACTCAATTTATTAGTGAATGAAAACAACTTAAATTTAAGAATGCATCACATAGCAACTTTTTATACTTTACATTTCCATTATCTTCAATTAAAGACTAAGAAGTTTGTAAAAATTTGATACCAAAAATGTCCCAACAAATCTGACTCAAAAATATGTCTCTCTATATCCAGGATACCTAGGACTGTGGAAGTTTGAGTATATATGTAGATCTGTATATAATATACTTAGGAGATTGAAACAAAAATTTAAACTGTTAATAAGTGTAAAATAATACCAAAGATTAATTATTTAAGACATAAATCTAAGGAATATACTACAACTTAACATTGCCTTACCAACTTCTTGGGATTTCCATCACCGCAAAGAATATGGCTCTGTATGTTCATTTTATTCATATTCATTTTTAAATGTCTGTTTGTTTTACGATAAAGATAATTCAGCCGCTTTCAGGTAAGCGCCATCTATTGTCCTTTCAGGCAAAACTAAATGAGCGAAACATTAACAGAATTAGGGTCAAACTATAAAATATTATATAGTTTCTGAACTATTATAGTCAAATGTGACATTACAAAAGTTTTTAATTGATTTAATCCATTATTCTACAGTCATCGTTCGACAAGCAATCAATAATCGGTCTGATCATCTGGGTATGCAGCGTTCTATACTCATGTATCCGCACCGCCTCCTCTTCGTCTAAGATCACTATGTCAGAACACATCCTCGCTAAAGATGGCGCTGCAGGTAATTATTATACATCATAATATTGTTACTTTTAACTATATTAAATTATGAATTGGAATAAGACGCTTTTCTTCATAATAAAATTTTGTTAAAAGTAAATTTTGAATGAGAAGTAATTCATACTTTGGGTCTTTGTAACTCTTTGTGAAATATATTTTTTTAAGTATGTATAAGAAATTAATTTGGCAAATATCACTGTATTCTGAGTAATTTTGTTATGTTCTTGTACTTTCTACTTGTATTATAATATATTAACTCATAATACTCTCTGGGAACGTACCGCGGTCCGACGCAACGCAGGCCAAGGAGGGCTCATTGCTAACGAAGGTAAAGTTCTCATCATCCATACATTTATCATGCTGGAGTGAGGGAAATCTTACGGATCAATCAATTATCAACCAATATAATATTATTGTAAAATATTAAAGGAAAAAAATAACTGTGATAACTAAAAGTATTTTAAGATACATACTATTTTTAATTCTTGTTATTTCTCTTGCAATGATATCAACATGAGGAAGATCTACGCATTGAATTAATGTTGTTTGTTGTTGATGAATTTCTGAACGGCAAATAATCAAATTTATATAAAAATATATATAAATGATTAAATTTGAATGTGTCATAAGATATCTCTCCAACTCCTGGGAAATATTACTTTTTCAACTCTAACCTGGGCATATGTCTGGTACTGGATGTTGGTGTTGCTTAGCAAAATACATGCTACACTAATAAGGATACATCTTTTACCTCATACATTTCGTCATTTATTTATATGCTTATATATATTTATATAATTTCTCTAAATAGTAGCACCAAGAGCCCAGGAAATCATTGCATGGTAACATAAATATTAAGAAATACAAAGTATAATAAAAATAAATGTTAACATATTATATGTATATTAAATATAGTCCTTTCAAGATTTGGACCAATGACTAAAGTGTTATATTATTTTATATTTATTATTGCGAATTTTTATATATTATCACTTCTATAATAAGTCTTAGACTTATTATGAACAAAAGTTAGAAGACATAAAGAACATTAGTAATGCTAGATAGCTTTAATACACCTACATATAATACATATAAAACGTACATAGCGCTAGTGGCCAGTAAAGAGAGCTAATAGTTGCATGTCGGACGCTCACTGAGCGCAGGTTATGATTCCATAGACGGGGACGGCGGCGAGTCCGGGGAAGAGACCAAGGTGTTCGACAACGAAGGCGATGGCGTTGCCTACTCCTGGACCTTCTTCCATATCGTCTTCGCACTCGCCACCCTCTACATCATGATGACACTCACCAATTGGTACAAGTATGTATGCTTTTGATGTTCATTTAATATTTTTAGAGCTTATTTTAAAGTAAAAAGATATAACTAAAGCAAATATCAGCAATTTTTGACTATTGAAAAATCAGCCTTTTGTTGTATGGCGACATTTGTTCCACGTATTTGAGTTTGTGGTTTTAAGACATCTAAAGAATTTAAGTTTTCAAATTTTAAAATTATAAAATTAAATAGCTTGCTTCCCCATACAAACTTTTATCCCCATTCTCACCTTAAGGGATGTTTTCAGGGATAAAAACTATTTCACTCACTTTTCTTATCATGAAATTAATAAAAAATCTTATTTTAGTAAAACGTAATTTTCTTCTATACAAAACTTGTTCTAACAATAAAAAACACGAAAAAAGAGAATACACAATGACATACATTTCGGTGATTCATTTTTATTTATATAGATTGGCAAACCAAATTATTAATAATGTTAATGGTTGAAATATTAATGTGGAGATTTTAAGAAATTATACAATATCAAAATTACAACTTATATTAAAAAACATAAATGAATTCATTTACAAACTATTGTAGCCCGAGCTCCCAGTTGTCAAAGGAGAATGTGGCGTCCATGTGGATCAAGATCACGTCGTCGTGGCTCTGCGTGGGCCTCTACGTGTGGACCCTGGTCGCACCCGCCATCTTCCCAGACCGGGAATTCTAAGCTTAATCTTATTGTTATGAAGTACTGGCTTGTACAATCAATATATTTAATATCTTATATATTATATGTATGTCCCATTTTTAAGTCAATAACTTAAAAATAATTGATAGTTACAGTCATGGAGGTTAGAGAATATGACAATGTTATAGCCATTATCCGAATCGTTTTTTTGTACTTCTAGTCTCACTACACTGATGTCAGTAAGCAATCTTAGCTGTTTATCAGTGTCAGAAAGTTAGTTGAATAGTAGTATACAAATTATTTAAAAAATAGTCTTAAAATTACATAACTGTAGCTATCACAGCACTACAATTTCTACAAATTATACTCCTTGTCTCTAATCTCCATGATCTCATTGTATAGTAAATAGATATTATTTTGCTAATGAATATATGAGTAATAAATACCATAACTTTTTAAGTTATGTTAAAATATTATAAAATTACTTGATTTCTTTAACATATAATTAGGATTTTTGTTATTGCTATAGAGATTCTTCATATAAAAATAAACCACTTCTCTTACACTTATGTAATGGATCTCATTTCTTAATGTTTCAATCTGTACATTTTAAACACAATTCTATATTAGTTGTTCTATATCTTGCACTAATTCTTTTTATTCTTTAAATTCTTCTGAGCTTTGATCAATAACAGTCTAAATTGTAGACCAAGCTTTAAATGTCACATTTAATAATACAACATTTGAATTATATTTGTATTATGTAAGCAATTATCTATTTTAAGTAAATGTTTTAGTTGGTACAGGTTGTTTTTCTTTTCACATATTTTTTAGTTTAAATTATATGAAATTATCTTGATGAGAATAGTTTTGAAAAATTAAAAGCATATTTTGTCAGTTTCTAAAGTTTTTTCAGATCATTATCTCTTTCAACAGTATACTTCAAAAGTTTGGCATATTTTTGAAGTAACTTTCGCCAATAACATATAACTTCTTTATCAGTAAGGTTTTCCCATATATGTTGATACCCCCTATCTGCGATTTCTTTTGCTAATTTGTCATTTTCTTTGAAATACAAGATTAATTTGGATATTTCTTCTTGACTTGCTTTTGGATTAAGTGGAACATAATGCACCCAAGGTTTAAGAGAAGGGTAAAAGAACTCCAACCACTCATTACCAACATGGAATACTAATGATTTACATAGAAACAAATGTTTTAAACGGAAGCTTGCTGCCACACCTCTGTAGTTGAATAGATATTTATATTTACAATGGTCTTCAAATGACACTTCTGAAGCAGGAGGAGCATGAAGTGTATCCTGAAAAAAGAAAGTTGACTGAAAAACATCAATAATAATTAATGATAAAGCTACATGTGTTTGTAAGTACATCTATATTACATATAATAAAATTCTGAGTTGAATCTGCACATCAAATATTTTTTGGAAAATCTTATTGAAATAGTCATTTTTATCGATACAGAGGATCTATAGTTTTTAGAAATTTTGTCTGTCTGTTACTGCATCACGGAAAAACCACTGGAGAGATTTAATAAAATTTGGTATGATGATAGCTGGTTATCCGGGTCAACATGTAGGATACTTTTTACTGCAGGGAAATATCTCATCTCTAAGAAATCTATACAAAGTGTTAAAACTTAACTAAGGACAAACCACAGCGGAGTAAAGGTGACTCACTCATAGTTTATATAAATACTTACAGCATCGGATTTCCAAGCTTGATTTTTTGTATATTGAGCATTTACCAGTTCTGGATGTGATCTTGAAAGTAAAATTAAATTATCTCTTTCCTCACTTGTCCTTGACCCTCTAAAAAAAGCTTTATCTTGTTTCTTTTCCCAGGGCCATCTGCAATTACAATATTAATTATTGATTTAATTCTTTTTGTTTTTTTTTTCAAATAATAACTGCCATATAGTAAACAAATTAGTATATATAATTGTTATTTATAACAATAATTGATTAAATTAAACAAGTTTTTTAATTAATCCAGGTAGGTTATTATGATTAATCTTAAAGTTTATGGAACCAATTATAATTTTATACCTATTTTAATTCTATAATTTCAATTGTAAACTTTATTAAGTTAAAAATTAGAATATTTATAGATTTAAACTATCTAAATTTGTAATTGAATAATAAAAACTACATACTTTTCAGCTGCCGCAGAAATTGATAGCCTATGTTTATCCCACCTACCAATACCAGTAGGATATAGCTGTATCGCTGGTCCACCTTCCCAAAAACTCCAAGTGGGATACATTATATCATAATAATCTTTTGTCTATAAGTATGAAAATACATTTTAAGGATTTTAAATATTTTTAAAAATTCAAAACATAAAAATTTTTCAAACTTAACCTTACTAAATGAAAACACAGGTGCTTTCTTATGTCCCCATGCCCCATTAATTTGTGGCCAGTCTCTTGTATTAATTGCTAAATCTAAATTGGGGAGTTTAGGTGCTAAATTTTTTAAATAATGTTCAATGCCACTACACCTGGCTGGAAAATGGCAATCTTTGGCTCTATATAATTTTCCATCATATATCTGAAAAATTTTAAAATATTACAACATGTATATTTTTTGTTTGTCCATGGCTCAACTCACATTAGCATTTATAAGCAAACAAAAAATAAATATCCAGCACCAGATCAATAGGTCTATTAAGGGTTGAATTTACAAAAAATCCTTTCTTTTATGATGCTTATTCTCTATGAAGTCTTTGTATAGATTTTCATGTTTCAGGCTTTTTAATAATAAATCTTATTATTCACTTCATCCCCAATTTTATACCCCCAACACTTTGACTTGGAACAGTTGTTATTTTAAAAGCTTTTATTTAGCTTGTTAATAAGAAATATTATTTTATATTTCCAATTTTGGGCGTTGGAATATACATACCAATAATGATATGATACATAAATTATAACGATATTAATAAAAATTTTAGTTTTCGTAATTAATCTGTGAGTGAATTGTGGTTTTGTTTTTATATTTAGATAGAAGATTTAAAACTAGAACCTTTTACCTGATATTTAGTAGCCCTTGCAACTGCAATATTGAACATTTCTTTTGTTATTCCGTTATAAAACGGTTGTAGGTCTTTGTTAATAACATCCTTGTGACAACTACAATTTAATTTAACACATGGTTCATATTTTGATAAGGCTTCTTCTATTAACTCATTTAAGTTATTTGTCCATTCATTTTTTTCTATATGAAAAGGAGAATATAATGAAAGTTTCATCTTACAAGGTTTTTTTAATATAAAACTACAAGTTTGAAACAGTCTTACCTTTACTGTATTTGTTATCCGTTTCTGGGCACGTGCCTTCTTTAGAACAATATTCTGCATCTAGACTACATTTACTTTCCACTATTATATAAAATAAACAAAGAAATGGCTTTAAATCGACCATATTCATTTATTAAAATAAAAGTTTTATATTTTGCGGCAAAATTGAAATACAAAGCAAGCAATCTAATAATTTACGTCAGTTGACATTGTCAGCTGTCAGAAGTCAGAATTCAGAACCATAGATGTATAGTAGCAATATGTAATCTGTGCATAAACGAAATGAGAAAAAACCTAATGGGGCCAAAAGAAAATTATTAATTAAACAAAAAGATAAAAATAGGCACTTATAAAACAAACGTATTTTATAAAAGAACAAACATTCATGAATATATAAAGACACCTAGTAACAAGACAAATTATAAATTTCCATTGAGGTAGCTATTTTGAGGGTACATTTTTGTTTATTTATATATAAATAAACAATGAACAAACAATTATTTATGGCAAACAATCAAGAACAAACGAGAAACAAACGATACGTGAAAGTAAGAATTCAAAAATTAGAAAAAGAGAAATTCTGGCCAAGTTTGGTGTGCCTCGGTGTTGTGCAACAGCATATAGGGGTACTTCATAGAGTATATTGCTACATATATAAAGGGTACTTTTTGCTTAAATTGACGATAGATGGCGTTGATCCGAAAACAATTTTAGTGATTTCGACCGTTTGTAACTACTGTAACAACTCATTTATTACAAATTCCACCAACTATCAATTACTAAGGTTTATGAATAATAATAATAATAATAAGTATTTATTTCAGATCAATATATAATCCATAGTAATTAGATGTTAATATTATTATACAAATTGCCGTGTTAGGTCACTTGTGGCTTCCCTTTTTCTTTTAAAATCAATAAAACGACGATAGACAATTCCTTCAGGCCAAAATTCAACTTGCATAAACAAGTCTAGTTTGTGTTTTGGAACTAAAATTTTGAATGATATATAATCTTTTAAAGACTTTGAATTTATTTGATCAATAGGAACACACATATTAGCCTTTGCCTTTATATAACTATTGATATCATTAACAGATACACTTTTTGCAACGTTATAAATAAATATTGGAATATTCACTTCCGCCGCTTTAAAATGATGATTTTGTTCCATAACCGCAGTCCCTCTCTTCCCAATAAATCGATTTCTTAGTTTTCTTTTTTGTACTATTTTCCATTCTTCACTCTAAGTTTGAGGTTTCAAATTTCCTTCCCGAACAATGTCAGCTAATGTAATTTCCTTCGACAACATAGGATTTTTATTAGCGTGACCATTTGAGATGTTTGTATTCGACTTATTACTAATCGTTGCGTCTTTATCCTGCACTGTATTTGAATTAATTGCCATATTACTTTGCAAACCACTCTTCTGGTCTGTCCGAATTTTGTCATAAGGCACATCGAAAGCTTGCTCTATGTCTTGAATATCCGAACATGTCATATCATTTATAGAATAATCTTTGGGTGTATTCAATTTTTTATCAAGAACAGTTTTAATACTGTTGGTCTCTGACTCACCATCATCAATTGGAAAAAACTGTGACTTGAAAATATCTAACTGCTCACTAGTAACATATTCCTCCCGTATTTTTTTAATATCTTGTTGCATTTTCAATAAATCTTTTAAAATTTTAGTTACGTCGACGTGATCAAACAAAATGGGTGGTAACTTATGCAGATCACGTGCAGCAAATATAGGCATGTCGTCTGGATCTGTGCTCTTTAGCACGCCAATAATGTCATCGATATCCCGACGAGCTTTTCCATCTCCTTTACGTACTTTCTTTTTGCCTGCCTTTGTTAATGACTCGTATAATAAATTTTTCGCATTTGCAATTTCACTTTCGGAAAAAGAAGTAACACAAATCCGTCCTAAGCTTACTTCATCCATTACATCAATTTTATTACTAACGTATGCAAGTAACTCGTTTATAATAATATTACAACTTGAACATTTCACTAAATTAATCGCCATTTTCAATTACTTAAGCCCAAAATTATTAAATATAATATTATAATAAATAATAATTATTGGACTGACATATTTTCTTCATGACGTTCTTGACACTTCTTCTCATTTCACGTTCTTTCTTTCTTCATATGAAGAACGCATTATTTTGTTTTCCTTTACATAATACTTTTTCAATATATCTACTTATTGTTAACTTTATTTTCAATTTTGTAATTTTACTTGGTCAATATCAAATTGTTACATTGAACACCATCTATTATTATTACGATATAAACTGATTTTTCCTGATAATGAAATAGTAAAGACAGATAATTTTAGTAAAGACAGAGCCGATTTCGGAGAGGATATTGCTCCGAACAATCAAGATGAAATATGACAAGTACTTATCCCATAGAGTATATTGCTACATATATAAAACTTATCCTATAGACTATGACATGGATTGAATTAAATAAACTGCTCAATATGTATAATTTTCATATTTTATTGTGTAAATTATTAAATTTAAGTATTTATTTGTGCATTCTGAACAAGTGATAAGCTGTACTCAGATAAAAACATTACTGGGAAGACTTAAATGCTTGACAAAAAAACATTATTTAGTAACAATAGCACCTGGACCTTCATACAAAAAGTCATTTTTTATACAAATAAGATTCCATATACAGTGATTAAACAAAAATGGTCCCAATCGAGTCACATAAAATGTAAATAATTACATTAAATAACAACTAAAAAAACTAAAGCAGTACAGATTACAAATGTATCAAAATATACAAATGGCTATATTAAAACAATTTGCTAAACATACAATTAATTGTCAATTGAAAATATTTTTTATTTGTTAAGTTTACGTTCAAGTTGTTCAGCAATGGCTTGCAAGAAGTCTTCGGTATTTAAGAACATTCCCTCCTTGGTATTGGCCATGCCATGGATGCAGATGACTAGATCCTTGGTCATTTTGCCGCTATCTATACACTCTACACATGCCTATAAATAAAAAACCACAATTAGAAAATGTTTTCCTCACTTCGCTTAGTCCCTGCTCACATCTGCACGTATTTGACGTATCGGGATAAAATATGGATACCTAAGTTCATATTAGAATGCGTCTATGGAAAAAAAATAAAATCGAATCATTTGTTATTGACATTAGTCTTCAACATCCATATATATACATATATATATATATATATATATATATATATATATATATATATATATATATATAGCAAAAACGAAACACAAATTTCAGAAAAATATAAATATTATGTCAGTATTTCTTCATATTATTAGTACATACGTATATGATTCTTTGAAAGCTAGATAAAAAAAACAAATTAAGATAAGTATTATCTGCAGCTAATTAAAGAATTTTCATGATGTTTTTAACAAATAAATCATTATTTACTTATTATTCATATGGCAATTACAATTTACAATGTAAAAATTAAACCGTTTTATATCAGATCGTGGAGAAATCGTGGGCGTTGCCATTTTAATTGCTGACCTATTTGATAACAGTACACAGTAATTTTAAACACTTGATAAAATGTTTGGCATAAGCTCTACGTAAAACAAAAATCCCAGCTACTCAGTTTAGTCAAGAAGAATAAGTTTTTAATAATTTTTTCAGTATAATTTTAATTATAAAGTACCTATTAAGTATTTTGTATTTTTGAGAAGATAACAATAGTTAGGGAAGGCAAAACCTTTCACAAATCGTATGACGCATACACATTCTTTTTCAATTCTAAGCTTTAGCTAAATGCCTTTATAAACAAATAGGTTAACATTATATTCAAAACAAGATTGAAACAACCTATCCATACAAATAATAAAATTGTAAATAAACCGAATTTGTACATTAAATATATTTTGGAAAATCTTATTGAAATAGACATTATTATCGCTACAGGGGCCGAATTTTTGTCTGTTTGTCTCTGACCGCATCGCGGAAAAACCACTGAAGGGATTTTGATGAAATTTGGTATGATGATAGCTGGTTATCCGGGTCAACATATAGGATACTTTTTACTGAGGGAAAATATCTCATCTCTGACAAATCCACACTAAACCTTAAAACGTAAATAGCTAAGTAGACCCTAGCGGACCGAGGGTGAGTCGCTAGTTCATTAATAAAAAAATTGTTGCCCAAATTCCTTATTTTTTTTTAATTTAAATTATAGAATATTTCTTTACTTTGAATAGGTTATAGAAACCTAATCATTAATTCAACATACACATTGATGTCAATAAATAAACCTACGGTATGGAATGGTATGGTATATTCGGGCTTGTTTCCGCAACTCCACGTCTGTGCACCTATTTTGCGCGTGTGGGAACTATTTGTGTGTTATTCACTTGTGTTACTTTTGCCAATCCAGTTCCTCCGGGAATTTCAACAGTCTCTTCCGTCTTGCTGAAAACCTCCGTGAGTGTAAATAAATAACCCTATAATTATACCATACCTCTTCTAGAGCAATAGCGAAACGTTCCAAGTCGGGCGTGCCGTCCAGCTTGGCGCGGTGCGCGAGGCCGCGGGTCCACGCGTATATGGAGGCCACGGGGTTGGTGGAGGTGGGCTTGCCCTGCTGGTGCATGCGGTAGTGGCGCGTCACGGTGCCGTGCGCCGCCTCCGACTCCACCGTGCGCCCGTCGGGGCACATCAGCACTGACGTCATCATGCCCAGCGACCCGTACCCCTGGGAAGTTACTTGTTTGATACAATATCTATATATTAATACGTGAAGATATCATACGGACGGAGGTGTAAGAAGTTTCCCACACTTATAGTTTATATAGTCAAGGTGTGCAGAATGCTAATTTTTTTTAATATGCATAAAAATACATTAAATCACTAAAAAAACATTACACTTACTACCATGTATAAAACACACACACGCATATATACTCTTTTGTTTATTGTTAAAGTCTGTGGTCAAATTGAGAATAGAACCTCAATATCGATCAAACTTAAGGAATTTATTGATTTTCAACCACATGGCGTTCACTAATTATATTTGATGTAAAATATTATATACATATACCTGAATCTATACTAATATTATAAAGAGGTAAAGTTTGTGATCTTGTGAGTTTGTGAGTTTGTGACGTTGTAGGGGGTAAATTCTTTTACCAATCGAAAGCCACGTTCTTTCTGAGTGTCATAGGCTATATATTAACCCGAAAAATGAAAAGGCTTTTTCGTGGTAGTCGGATTTGCAAAGTAAGTCGGAGAAAAAACGGTCGAACGAAAACGTTTCTTACGAACGCTGCCTTAACGATGAGAGATATATGATTATGTTCTAGAGAAAAGTTATAGAGCTTAATAATGCCTACAAAAAAGTCAGCGACAGCATATGTCTAACTTTTATATTTAAGTCACAAAAAGTAGTTTTTTATATTAAAAAAATCATTTAAATCGGTAGGTCATGTTTATTGGTCATATTATCAACAATTATGAATTCTTATCAAAATAAGTAAATTTATCGTCTAAAATGTTTAAAATAAAAGACTTTTCTCTTTTACTGCATATAATTTGGACAAATGGTTAAAGAGATAATACAACATATTCGTAGGTATGGACGAACCCGAGCGAGCTGTTTGTCTGTTTTTCTCTTTGTACGGGCTAATCTCCGGATCTATTGGACCTATTTAAATGAAATTTTGCATGGTGGTACCTTATATCTCCGGGCAACATCTTAGATACTTTTCATCCCGGAAAATTAAAGATTTCCCGTGGGATAGTTAAAAGACTATAACAACTTATACAGCTTAGTACACAAAAACTACTAATTGGATTTTAATGAAACTTTACAATAATATAGTTCATACATGACAAAAAGAAATTAGCTACTTTTCATCCCGGAAAATTAAAGACTTTCCGTAGAATAGTCAAAAAACAATAGTAACTTATACAGCTTAGTACACAAAAACCACTGATTGGATTTTTAAGGAAACTTTACAATAATATAGTTCATACATCAGAATAACAAATAGGTAACTGTGTATCCCGGAAAATAAGTAAATTTATCGTCTAAAATGTTTAAAATAAAAGACTTTTCTCTTTTACTGCATATAATTTGGACAAATGGTTAAAGAGATAATACAACATATTCGTAGGTATGGACGAACCCGAGCGAGCTGTTTGTCTGTTTTTCTCTTTGTACGGGCTAATCTCCGGATCTATTGGACCTATTTAAATGAAATTTTGCATGGTGGTACCTTATATCTCCGGGCAACATCTTAGATACTTTTCATCCCGGAAAATTAAAGATTTCCCGTGGGATAGTTAAAAGACTATAACAACTTATACAGCTTAGTACACAAAAACTACTAATTGGATTTTAATGAAACTTTACAATAATATAGTTCATACATGACAAAAAGAAATTAGCTACTTTTCATCCCGGAAAATTAAAGACTTTCCGTAGAATAGTCAAAAAACAATAGTAACTTATACAGCTTAGTACACAAAAACCACTGATTGGATTTTTAAGGAAACTTTACAATAATATAGTTCATACATCAGAATAACAAATAGGTAACTGTGTATCCCGGAAAAATGTACTTTTCCCGTGGGATAGATATTTTTGTTTATTTGTAACGTATTATGTACACAACATAGACCCCAAAACAATAGTTATTAAAAAAATTGCCTGTTTGTCTGTTTGCCTGTATGTCTGTTTTTGTGTGTGCGTTTCACGCGAAAAGTAATGTACCAATTTCAACGAAATTTGGTAAAGTGATAACTTATTACTCGAGTCAACATTTAGGGTACCTTTTGTATGTATGTATGTATGTATGTATGTATGTTGTATTCAGCCTTTTTTAACACATGCACCTCTCGCTCCCTTCAGTACGACGTGGATCATCAGGCCATAGTCCACCACGCTGGACAAGTGCGGGTTGGTGGACTTCACATGTCTTTCGAAAACTTACTAGGTTCTGTCAGACATGCAGGTTTTCCTTCACCGTTAAGACAAGTGGTAATTGTGTTAGAAATGATTCGCACATAAAAATATCAGAGGTGCGAGACCCGGCATTTGAACTTGCTTCACTCGGTTTCCCAAGCGAGCGCGTTACCACTGGGATACCACTGCCTAGATACCTTTTACTTAAAGAAAATCTTTCTTTCCCATGGGAAAATACAATAACTGGTTTTATCGAGTCCTCCCTAGAAACCTTCCTCTGGCTAAGCCTTAAGACATACATCAAAACAATATACTAAAAAATTGTAGGTCTTGAAAAGTCCTACAGAAAAGTTGTGAATAGTATATGTCTATCTTCTAAGTTACACTCGCAATATTTATTCTTATCTATACCTATAATAAAACTTAGTCAAATCGATGTGCGCGTTTCACGCAAAAAGTACTCAACCGATTTTAACTTAACTTTGTGAAGTGATAAAACTTAGTGCTCGGGTCAACATTAGAATACTTTTACGACAGGCAAATTATTCATTCCCACGGGAAAATACAATAACTGGTTCTATCGAATTATCCTTAGTAATTTATATGGCTAACGTTGGCTCAACCTTAAGAGATAGATCAAAACATTGTACAAAAAAATTGTAAGTCTTAAAAAGGTCTATAGAAAAGTTCTACATAGTATATGTCTATCTCCTAAGGTACACTCGCTATAACTATTTTCATTATTATATATTTCTGTTTTATTATACGTTATTTATTCTATCTGAATATAGGTACATATATGAATAATAAAACTGTAGAGGTCGAATGTCTGTACATAGATGGTAGAAAAAATTGCTAAAAAACGAGTCAGTTCTCTTCTTAAATCACGTAAGGAGAGAAATAGAACAAATCCAGATTTTTTCAATTTTTTTGTTTCTCTGTCTGTTTGTCTGTTCGTACGGGCTAATCTCCGATACTATTGAACCTATTTAAAGGAAATTTGATACTTTTCATTCCGGAAAATTAAAGAGTTCCCGTGGGATAGTTAAAAAATTATAGTAACTTATACAGCTCAGTACACAACAACTTATGCACCTAATTTAGTAAAATTTGGCATGCTGATACCTTATATTGCAGGTCAAACAACAGGTTACTTATTTTATTTTATATATTTTATTTTTATCCCGGAAAAATGAACGGTTCCCGTGGGATAGATCTGTTTGTGCTCTTCTAGAGGTGAACCCGAGCGAAGCGAGGGTGAGCCGCTAGTCTATTATATTGGATTTAAGTAGTTTTATTACAAGTATGGTTTCTAAATCTAACATATTTTAATAATGAATAGAATTCTATTAATTGATATTCTATCTAATATATTTTTCAATGTCCCTCAATCTATATATATAAAAGAAAGTCGTGTTAGTTACTTCGCTTATAACTCAAGAACGGCTGAACCGATTTAGCTGAAAATTGGCAGGGAGGTAGTTTAGAGCCAGGAGAAGGACATAGGATACTTTTTATCCCGTTCGACCGCGTTCCAATTTTTATGATATTTTAATTTTTGGATTTCTCTTAGTCCGGAATAGGTAAGTATTAAAACATATAATTAAAATGTGAGAAAGAAAGATTTTTTCTTTTTATATCTATTTAAAACGTACCTAGCGACGAACCCGAGCGAAGCGAGGGTGAGCCGCTAGTAACTTATATAAGAAGCCGCGAGCGAAATGCTATGAAAAATAAAATAATAGACTTAGTACTTTTGTGCGCGAGTATACCCATGCGCAAACATTCCCCCTTCACTTTCTTCCAGCGTTCTTTTTACAAGACGCGAGTTATAGCCAGCGTTAGCCATATGATATTTTTGTGATTTTTTCTGATGTTTTAATTGTTATTCTGCTATTCGGGGCGGAGACTAACCTGACTTTGTTTTATATGTATAGATATCAATATCTCGAAAACAAACGTCGATTTTGACCTAAGTTTAAGATTGAAATAAGTTCTCATTTTATATGTTTTAAATATGCGGAATAGACAAATTGTTTCACTTTTATTACATAAAATGTTTTATATGAATTATGTAAAATTTTAATATATTTAATTAGGTCATACCTGTGCTACAACATCAGATTGTACATCACCATCATAATTCTTACAGGCCCATACAAAACCACCAGAGCCTTTAAGCGCCTGGGCTACCATGTCATCAATCAACCGGTGTTCATACCAAATTTTTGCTTCTTCAAACTGCTTCTTGTAGTCACTGAAAGAAGATATTTATGAGGATTTATTCTTTCTAGTAATATTTCATTTCACTATGTGTTTCTTGTCTATATTAGTAAAATTTTTGCTTGTAAGCCATTTAACTACGATTAAAAATAGCGATTTGTTCCGGTTTGGGACAATTATTGACAATGTATTTCTCTTCATCTAAGTACGTGAGTTTGAGGTTACGTATACCTACTATTTATATTCTGAATCTTTTGTACGACACAGGGCGACCTACCGGGAATCATTGAGTGTCCTATAGACCTACCTACCTATACATTAATTTAATTTTTCACCAATCTAACATTAACCTCGAGTATCAAACTCGTTGCGCCACTATGGTCTTCAAATTTTGGATTATCAAAATATTTGACATGGTTTAACAAATCACAAAGTTTAAGGAAATGCTATAATCACATTAAAGATCAAGACATAAAAATATAACAGTAAATTAACGAACATTGAACCGTAACGGAATCATAAAAACACTCTAAATACGAAAAACTTAACCGTTTGGGTTATGTATTTCGTGTTGAGATGTTTCTGGTATCGGTCGAATATTCTTAAAAAACTACCTACCTGTCATAAATTTCTTGGAAAATATCCTTAAAGCGGCCGTCATATAGTTTTAAGATAGTATTTTTTGTGGACAAATAAAGCGGCCACTTCTTTTGTAATGCGACCTAAAACAAATAAATTATTTAATAAGATACACCGACTTCAAAGTACTTAATTAATTATTACATCCATGGACTTTTTTTGTAGAAATTTATATATGCAACAAATTGATTGTTACGTCTAATTTGTTAATTGGTGCGAATAAAAAATGCATACATGCATTATTAGAAGAGGGCAAAAACCTATATAACAATATTAGGGTATGAACACATTTATTAGTCCTATTGTTTTTTTTTTATTTCTTTACCTGGAAGCTGGAGTGTGCGAAAGCTCGAATAGATTCATCTGTATTGTACATGCCCATAGCAATTCCGGGAGATTTGTAATTATACAACAGACGCTTCTCCACAGTACCATCTTCCCCTGTGAACACCATCTCCACCTGTTAGAATAAACATTTTTTTTAAGTTATAATAGTAAACACCAACAAATACGTGAAACAACGTTTTTAGCTTACGTATATTTTTAGATTTTTGAATCTGATGTTTTAACTTCAATTTTCAAAAATGCTAACTGTTTGTTTTTGATAAATAGATAATATACCAAGTAAAAACATAAGTAAATTAAATCCGTTGGAAATTTCATTTCATGTGTGATAATAATTACGAGAACCAATTAAAAATATTGCGTACTTTGCCAGGTTTGGACACCAGGAAATCTTGAGCCTTATATTGGTCCCCATGAGCGTGTCGACCGATCACAATACCCTTCGTCCACCCAGGAACTACACGTGGAATGCTTTTACACAAAATAGGCTCACGAAACACTGTACCGCCAAGGATATTTCTTATTGTTCCATTTGGACTCAGCCACATCTTCTTCAACTTGAATTCTATATAATGAAAGAGTAAATAAATCTAAATTAAATATTACTTAAGGCATCTAAAACCGTCTCTCCCGTGATTGTAGAGCTGTAAAGCATTCGAAACGTCGGGAATTAAAAATAAAAAAAAAACTGCAAAATAATCCGAAAAGATAGTTTTATTTAAAATCCAATAGAACAATTTAAGATACTTTTTGTATCCGTCGAATCAAACCCAATTCGATTTTAATAAGCAAGATTGTTTTCAATGAGACTTATTATTGTACAGATACATCTAACAAGTTTCATTGCGAACGATGGAGTGCCTAAATTGAGAGGAACTTCACGTTGTATGAGGTCCAAAAGACCACGATTCAACCAAAGGGTAGATCTTAAATGTATGTATAAAATTACTGAATATTTAACAAAAAGTATTAAAGAAATATCGAACAAGTTCGTAACTATTTACTGCCCTATGGATAACTATTTCTATGTCGTTATGCGGATTACCCGAGATAGATAAAACTATAAATTAATTGTGCCTCTAGCAATGATAATAATATACATGCTATTTATGAATAATTACTGTTTAATTAATCGTTTTATTGATTAATTTAATAATAATTGATAATTTTTCAAATGTTAATAGTTTAATAGGTACTTCTTTAAAATAGTCTGTACCTTCAACTCGCTGTTCATCGGGTGTTATAGTAGCGCACTTAATGCCAACATTATGCTTGAGAATTGCATGGGCCGCGTCAATAGTGACTTGGTCATCAGTGGCATCCCGGTGGGGAAGTCCCAAATCGAAGTACAAGCTTTCTAGCTAAAAGAAAATTTGCAATAAGTATTTTTAGCAAAGGACCATGCTCATGGTTACATATAATAAAATTCTGAGTCGAATCAGTACATTAAATATTATTTGGAAAATCTTATTGAAATAGTCATTATTATCGATTCAGAGGCCGAATCTATAGGTTTTAGAATTTTTGTTTGCCTGTCTGTGATCGCATCACGAGAAAACCACTGTACAGATTTACAGGTTATACGGGTCTACATATAGGATACTTTTTACTGCGGGAAAATCTCTGAGAAATATTACTAAATGTTAAAACGTAACTAGTACTTACATAATTTTGCTAAATGTCAATTGTATATTAGCAAGTTATAAATAGTACAAACAATGCTCCAGTAAACTAATGATAAGAAAGTCGTGTAGAATCATGATAACTTGCATTCATGATAAATATTTAACAATTATTCTCTAGAGATATTCTTTATCTAGAGATTTGGTAAAGAAGTATTTGATTAATAAAAGTAATAAATATAAAAAAGTATTGAAAAATAAGTAAAATTAAATAAATAAAAAGTGTAAAACACAATTTTAAAGTACAGATGCGAATGCCATATTTAGCAAAACAACTATGATACTAAAACCTGTTCTTTTAACTATAAAAGTTTCATGCGTCCTTAAGACTATTTTCAATAAAACATCTGTTGATTTTGTACACACATTATCTCATTTGGTACGAATATATGGTGCATTATATTTAAAACTAGCGACTAACCATCGCTCCGCTCGGGTTCGTCCCTACTTACGTTTTAACGTATAGTATAGATTTCTCAGATATGAAATATTTTGCCACAGTTAAAAGTATCCTATATGTTGACTTGGATAACCAGATATCATCATACCAAATTTCATCAAAGTCCCTCAAGTTATTTTTCCGTAATGCGGTAACAGACAGACAGACAGACAAAAAATACGATCGACGCATCAGATCGAAGCGAGCAAAAGTCGCTAGTATTAATATAAAACTTCTCACTTTTAAAGTGTAAAATATATTGCACAACTTGTAAAGTGAATTCAATTTAATTTTCTTGTTGATTGATGTAGTAAGTATGGATGTGAACCGCATATCAATTAATTATTATTATTATTATCTGAAATGTAAAACTTGTCCTACATTGCAATTATTATCCGTAATGAAGTACCAGTTTGGCCACTGTAGGTAGTTGCCATAATTAAAAAAGCTTTCTAGGATAAAAATTTAAAAGTTTTTTAATATTATGATAATTCTTAAGATATAATAACATTTTAATTTTTAAAAGTTACCTGTGTTGTAATTTAAAACAGCAAAGTAAATTCTTTTCTCTTTGAGACTACTAAAGCTTTCATTGTGTAAATAACTGATAATTTCAAATCATTCATTATTTAAGGTAGACAATAAATAAGCAATGATTATTATTTTGCATTCAAATATAATATACCTACATCAGAGACAGTAGTAGCCCAGTGGTAGCAGGCTCACGTGGGAAACCGAGTGAAGCGGGTTCAAATCCGGATGTTGCACCTCTGATATTTTCATGCGCGAATCATTTCTAACATGATTACCACATTCCCAAATTTAGAAAGTTCTCGAAGTCATGTGAAGTCTGTCAACCCGCACTTGGCCAGCGTGGTGGACTATGGCCCGTATTGTAGAGGCCCGTGCCCAGAAGTGGGACATTAAAAAAAAAGGGCTTAATACAATACATACATCATCCCATAACAATCTGTTTGTTGAACCGAGCCTCAGAAATTTGAGTATTAAATTAAAACTAATGAATTTTAACAAGCCTAATAAACAGTGCCTACTTTAGTCCTATTTCTTCAAAAACAATTTTAATAATAGTTTATTATAGAACATGTTGAGAAATAGGTCATTATTATCTTCTATAAAAAAGAACAGTTTTTCCAAATGTATAATAACATTATTATAAATCAAATTCTTTTGCATATTTTTATATACTACATGAAAAACAATTTAAATTTTGAAAAAAAATAATCTTTGTAATGTATACCTTAACATAAGGAAATATAAGTTTTTCCTTGATTTTTTCCCAGATGATCCTTGTCATCTCATCTCCATCCATCTCCACAACAGGCTTTGATGCAACAACTCTTTTAGCCGTCCCATCTAAAAGATGAAATCATAAAATACATGTTATTCTAAAAACATCTAACAACGAAAAATGCGTTTGTACTTTTTTAATTTTTTGAGAAAAAATAGTTTATGAAAAAATTGAGAAATTTTTAACTAAATTTAAAATAAAGAAATACCTTCCCTATTTTATAACCTTTTAACGGCATTTTATTTTATAATAACTTTCTAGTATTTAATTTTAAGGTTCTAAGATGACAATAACTTAAGTAAGTGTTATTTATAATTATGTATATTTTATAGGATTTTAATAATTATTATACTTACAATTTCTTGCAGAAATAATAGTTTGTTCAGATACATATTTGAACAAACTCTTAGCGTTTTTTCCAACCATATTTAAATCTCTAATACACACTAAGAACAAAAGAAAAGTTAATCTAATTTTTAACTTTAAAATTATTAACAACGTAAAACGTCGCGTGTAGACGTGTCAATCGCTTCACGCTTGTATGCGTATACTCAATACTGTATCTGTATGGAGTATTGTATCTAGACGAATTTTGTCATAGAATAGTAATCAATGCAGAAATGTTTTCACAAATAATATTAACGTTATACAAGCTTAGAATATTTTAATATATGAATAAAATACGCAAAGATCATTTGTTTTGCATGACGACACGTTTGGCTCAGTTTGTAGTGACCCTACTTGCTGTGCCAGCGGTCATGTGTTTGAGTCCCGCTGGGGACATTTATTTGTGTGATGAGCACGAATGTTTGTACTCCAGTCATGGGTGTTAATAGTTTTAAATTATAATATGTATGTATTTAAAGTTATATATGTGTAGTGTATCAACTATCAGGTCCTGGTATCCATAACATAAGCCGTAGCTTACCATGGAACTAGACGGTGCTGTGTGTTAATACCTCAACATATTTATATTTCATAATAATGTCTTTATACTAATAGATATAGTTCTACAATGTTTTTACTTGTTACCTAGTTGTTATATAGATACGTCAATAGAAAGAGCATAATATATAATGATAATAAATTATAATATCCCGGATTGGAATCCACACTTTCTCTATTCCGAATATTATCTTAAAAGTTTTTGATAAAATAAAGGAACCTTTCTCCAAAGTAGCCGGTTGGAGAGGGTGGTACATTGGTAAAACCTACATTCTATGTCCTTGTTACCTTTGAGAAAGCGCACTAAGGCCACTATTACTTCCAAGTTCCACTTCATATAAAAGTGAGCAGATCATACAATACAAGCATTTTTCTACTATATTTGCTCAAATTTAAGTAACAATAAAACAATTTTTTGGAAAATTTTGTAGAAATATACAGGAACTGAGGAAAATTGGTTTAACTTCTAAATCATGTTATTTTTACATTAAAATTAACATATACGATTGATTAGCCACTTGATATTATAATTTTATTAATTAGCCTGGAGGCATTACATATTCCTCAATATTTTTACCGAGTGATTCTTTTCCAAAAAGGTAAAGGTTTTACGTTCAGTTAATATTTTGTTGTATGGATGTACTCCGATTACCTACTCTGAAATCGCACGTTCGATTTGTATGATTCTTTTTTTCAATTGAAAGTACTTTATTCACGCGCGTTAGTTTCTTTTCATATGATTCTAGTAATGAAGTCTATTTTGAATTCAAAGAATTCAACTCCGTGTTTCCTAATATTTGATACTCGTAGTTTTTACTTAATATGAATAAAGAATGACAATGCAATAATAGTATATAATTCATTTTTTTTTGTACTTAATGTTTTTGGAAGTTAATTTTTTCATGGTACGTCCACGAAAAATTGAATTAATTAAATTTAATTTATTGTTAATAGCTATTTATCAAAATCTATCCATGTACCAGTACCAAGAAAACTTCCTAAGTGACAAAAATAATGTATACTACAAATAACACTCATTTTGTGTTATTTTATGTCTTTTCTTTAAAAAGATTTAAGACACTCTTAATCAACTAAAATAGATGAACACGGATCGACAAGCCTGTGAATTCATCATAATATGTCATGTCCCAAAAATGTTAATTAAATAATTAATAAATAACCAAACCAACAAAAAAAATCAAAATATATTCGCGAAAAAAAACCCGATACATAGTTTTATTTAAAATAACTTTCACTAATAAATGTATTATAAATATAATGTAATTTTTCTATAACTATAAATAGTGTTAAATCTTACATACAACATACCAGTAAATGGAAATACCGCTTCTATAAATAATTTTACTCTATGGTCTGAGTGAGAGCGAACGAGGCCGACGGCGACCGGCATGCAGCCATCGACACCCGGCGGCGGCCGGCTCGGCCATTCGTCCTTCGCAGCAATAATAATATTCTGTGCTTTCTGTGCGGCTTGGCTGACTCTCTTTGCTCGTTGTCGTATCGTGTAGATATTCCGAGTTCTAGAAATATAGCTAAATATCAGAGATTTTTTTTTAGTGTGTGTTAAGTTTTTAAATAAACACTGATGTACTAATTATAAATAATAAATTTAAGGTAAGAAATGAACATTTTCTCGTATTGTACTAATAAAAAAACTATTTTACTTTTAAAATAATTAGGTATATCATATTATGGTAAAGGTATAGTGATCGTTTTAAATTAATTAATAGGTATTATTCATTAAACATTTATAAATTTCGAACAAGTTTGCTATACAGTAGTGAGTAGACACACCAGATGTTCTTAATTATTATTATTGCAAAGTACTTAGTTTAAATGAAATTCTTTAAATCATACTATTTTTTAAACTTGATTTAGTATATATAAGTGACTATTAATATTGTGTAGTTTATCATTCAAACAAGAGATAACGAAAAGGTTAGAAGATCCTGGACATCTACCGTACATACATACATATTTTATACATGTCGCAAGGAAATTGTAAGCTTCGTTAAAGAGTAAAGCAGTAGAGGTCGAATGTCTGTACATAGCAAAAAAATGAACCTATGAAATTGTGACAGTTTCACTAGATAATAAAAGTCGTTGGGGAAGATATCTCGCAAGGGCGCCACACGTATCGTTAATCGTTGTTAAATAGAACCTATCGCAACTCAAAATCTCCAGTGTCTAAAAGAGATTCTGTAACTAGGTTCTATAAATTAATTTTCGTTTAAATTAGCAAGCTCTACTACCCCTATTTTTTGCACATTTTCTACTTCATCTTTCCAAACTTAGAGGAAGAGAGTACAATCTATACTATAATAAAACAGTAGAGGTCGAATGTCTGTACATAGCAAAAAAATGCTAAAAACCGAGTCAGGGGGATGTAATAAGACAAATAAAACAAATCCAGATTTTTTGAAATTTTTTTGTTTGTCTGTCTGTTTGTCTGTTTGTACGGGCTAATCTCTGAATCTATCGGACCGATTTAAATGAAATTTTGCATGGTGGTACCTTATATCCCCGGGCAACATCTTAGATACTTTTCATCCCAGAAAATTTAAGAGTTCCCGTGGGATAGTTAAAAAAACTATAGTATCTTATACAGCTTAGTACACAACAACTTATGCACCTAAGTTAGTAGAAACTTTAACATTCTGATACTTTATATTGCCGGTCGAACAACAGGGTACTTTATCCCGGAATGAACGGTTCCCGTGGGAACTAATAGATCTCCATTAGTGTTTTAAAGTAGTAATGGAGATCTATTAGTTCGCTAGTAAATTATAATACAAATCGCATGCAATGTTTACGACATAAGAATCATGTAACTTGTCTAATATTATGGGCTCTTAAGTAAGATACTAATAATCTAAAATCTACGTTGTTTTTAAAGACCCAATGTTATGTACACCTGAAACTTACAGTCTCCCTCCTTCCTCTTCTTTTTTAAATGACTTGTGACATGCATACATATTATGTACATCTCGCGCCAAGGATGAAAGGTGGCATGCGACTGCATGATACTCTACCTATTCCTTCGTCAACTTGTTTTCATCTTGTTAGTTAGCTTTTATGCAGTCGGGTTTTTTTATTTTTCTATAATATTTTTTTAGCTATTTAGAGAAATGTCCAACGGTTTAAAATAATTTTAATTTTTCAATCCAGAAGTCTTCCTATAATACTGTTACGAGTTTGGGTTCTAGATTCAGAAAGCAAAACTGGTTATTTTGGTCTACAATTTTGCACAGTTATTAATTATTACGTATCTCGTACATGAGAGTTACTTAAATGTTCACGTAAGCTCGTGTTTTACACACAACAACGGCTATTTTCAGTCATTCAACTTTGTCTTCCACCATCATTTTCCATTAAACTTCAATGCCGTACCGTCATTACACTTCAATTTTTACTTCTTCGTTTCTTTTTTAATTTTATTTACGAAACTTGTATTTACCACTTCTTAAACTATTGCGCCTTTATAACCTATACAATAAAATAAAAAATTGAAAATGTCTGTAGCACAGAAATCTTAATAATAAGGTAATAGAATTGCCATTGCGGTCTTTTAGTACTGGGACGCGTGTCGCCGGCTTGCAGCTACCAACACATTGACAAACAATAAATACACACTATCGCTCACACATGCATTTTGCATTGTTGCAACAAAAATTAAACTTTAAGCGATGACATTACGCAATATTTTCTAAAAACGCATAATCTCAGAACCCGTGATCCCTGTGACCAATAATAAACGTGTGCGAAAAGCACAGAATGATATCGCGCGCTCACTTCTAGTGCAGCACAAAGCGCATAATGCTCATATCGATAATTTTCCGTTGTGTCTTGCAACAATAGGTAACTAATTTATTGAAAGTGTTTTATGTTTCATTCCTCGACGCGATTTTAGACGATTTATTTATTTTCATAAAGGGAATACAATAAAACGTTCAAAGTAAGTAATTTTTTTTATTATTATATAGTTATACACTCAACAGCTACTATATACTCAACAGCGATATATTGTTTTTAATTCTAGTTTAATTTAATGAAGAGTCTGACTGAATTTTGTTTTTATAATGTTTTTATTGACTTGCATATATATGCATAAGTGATATAAAAATTGACTTGTATAACTACATATATGTTATTATATTCTAAATTGGGTGTATACCTTTGCAATAAATATTATTATTATTATTATACAAAAGTTATGCAAACTATTTGTTAAAATCCTATACATTTTTAACAATGACTTAAATTTTTTTATAGAATTTCTATGTTATGTTTATCAAACAACTCGCCCTTAGAATTATTTACTCAATCAAATTAAAAAAAAAAATTTGGTAAATGCGGAACATGTCAACGATACAAGGATATTCAACGCATACTGTTTTTGACTTACCTATATACATAACAATAATAAGCCTACCTCCTAATAATTTTCTGAATGAAAAGTAGTTTAAAAGTACGAATTTACAGATAATCGTTGATAAATGACTTTTTATAAATTATTCAGACAGAAAGAAAACATACATAATGAGATGTAACAATTAAATATTTAACGAAAAATATTAAGCCAAACGTAATAAATTTTCGATAAAAAATAGTGGTGGCACGTCACTAATTCGCGGTCAACTTATGCGGCGTATCCTTGGAATTTACGTACTGCTTTTAGCAGTTGTAATAGTAGACATGAACAAGCTTAAGTGGTAATGGTTATTGAATTGAAAAAAAAAAACGTTTTCCTGCGATAATCGTAGTAGTGGTGGTGAAAACATTTGATTTGGCTATATTTCTTAAAAACGACATTATTTCAAAAATTAAGTACTTATATATGAAATGTTATCCCTTTATTTGTAAAGTTACAAATTGTGGAAGAATTTCCGCAGTTGGATATGCTGCAAAACACCATGTTTACCTCTCCGTGTCTCAAATAACACTAGTTACCGCAACAAACGCTTTACACGCGCTTGTGACCTACGAGTCACATGCGCGGCGACAAGGTCACGCGTCTATGCCACTTCTATTAGCTTATTATTAAGATTTCTGTGGTCTGTAGTCTCTACGCTATAATGACTCGTCACTGCACAATGACAATAATATGTCATACCCTTACTAAAAAAACCTGCCTCTTTGAACTTGCTTTAAGTTGAACAATGCAGCGTTTACCACCCTGTTTTTTAGTAGATCTACCCACCGGCATGCAGGATAGCGCAACCTGTATATTAGTGACAGTCCACAGTTAAATATCTGAAAGTTTTTCTCCGATCAGCTTAAAAATGCTTGTGTACCAGAAAATTTTCAAAATGCTTGCGTCAGCACTAACTTAGATATCCTTTAACTTAGGCTGCATCTATCCAATAATATGTAAGGCCAGAAAGCTGTCGCTTCTTCATAAATGACACCGCGAATATGTATAATTTTGCATGGACTGCATGGAATAGGCATATAGGAGTGCTGCAATATGCACATGGCTCTGGCAGCCCCAGATATGCATGCTATGTAAATTTCTATAAAGATTTTAAGTTAGAATCGATTCAGGACTATTTTGAATTTATCTTATTATGTTACTAAATAGGCAACAGACAGGTTTACACATCCCGAAAACGTTTTAACTACAAACAGCTATTCTCTATTCGAAAAATTATAAATCGTTATTGATAATGTGTAGCAAACTGTGACGCATTGTAGTATTATCTCACACAGCTCTTTCACAGTTACATCTAAATGCGAAACACATTTTTTTATTAAATAATTTTATCTACTTAGTAGTTTATAAACAAAGACAAGTTGTATAAAAATAAAATCTAGCTAGTCATAATATCGTAGAACTTCGGTGGAGCAAGATCAGCGTGTAATTAATTTAAATTTATTTGTATTAAGAGAGAATTATTTCTTCTACATGTAAAAAGTATAAAGCCGGTTTTAAATTTGATCCGTAATAATTGAGCTATTATTATTTATTTTATTGGGTGTGGTGCCGAGGTCGGCCCTAGCTACGTCGACCAGTAATGGTCCATTGTAGCTTACTTGAGCTATAGGTATAGTTGATAAATATGCAATTTTTAAGGTTATCAAAAAAGAGTGCGGCTACAACCAGTTTCGGCACAGTGACGTATCGTAATAACAATTAACTTTAAAAAAATGATTACGTATACTTACTATCGTTAATGAATAATGTATATTTTTAGACTGGTTCAACGGAGCTTCAATAGTTGCTAAAATGTGCGGCTGCGTGAGAATTCTCCGCGTAGGTAAGCCGCTACCTAAATCTTGGCAACGGAGACTCTTCAGTTCGTCATCAACACCTCCCCAGCCCGTACAAGGTGTTCCATACACAAAACTTAGCATCGGAGTCCCCAAAGAAACATGGCAAAACGAACGCAGGTATGATTCATATTTTTTGTGTAAGGCGAAGTGTTCATAATATAATATTACAAGCGTTAAGACGTATTTTTGTATTATCTATAGCTATTCGTATATGTATACATACATATATTGTTGTAACCGCAATTGAAAATTTTATTGGTTTCATTGCTATAATTAAACAGACGGACATCATAATGAACTAGGTATACATAGCATTATACTTACCCACTCATACGACTATGAAAATTGTTTTGAATAAAGTCTGTTTATCTAGTTTTGATCACTACTTACCATTTAATATGACGTTTAACCAAAAAATATAAAAATATATACCCAGCTTTGTTATTGCATTATGATATAATTTTAATATTTTTGTTTTAGGGTTGCAATTGTACCTGCAGTAGTTAATAAACTAGTTAAAAAAGGATTTAGTGTAAATGTTGAAGAAAATGCTGGTGTTTCTGCAAATTTTCCAAACAGGATATACGAAGAAGCTGGCGCTAAAATATCTAACTTGAAGGATACATACCAATCAAGTAAACGTTTTTATAGTTTTATTTTTCATTATTTTGATTGTGAAAAATAAAGATGCTCTGTTTTACAAATATTATTTCTCTTTACAATATTCTATGCAGATTTCGCCGTTTCTAAATGCATTTTGCTTTTATTTTATTTCAGAATGAGAATTGTAATAACTTTATTTTTTTCCAGATATAATATTAAAATTACGTCCTTTATCAGAAAACGAGATTCAAAATGTACAAGAAGAATCGACTCTTATATCGTTTTTATATCCGGCCCAAAATCAAAATCTCATACAGAAATTGGCGGCTAAAAAGGTCAATGCATTTGGTAAGTCTCGATATTTTTTAGATTCTATGTAAGTATTTCATTTTAAGCCTCAATACATTTCTATTTAATGATTATTGTTTAGTTTATCAATTGTAGTTGCGGTCTGTAATACGAGCATGGATAATTCCTTACACTTGTGCTTATTAACTACTTTTTTCTTTTTTTTTTTATGTCGGGAAATGCATTTACGCATACCACCTGATCCCCCAGGTGGTGATGTGGGGCTCACCGGCTAGAAGAGCCGGTACTACCCACTAAAACCCGACATTCCCCTCCCCTCCGCTTTAATGGGACGCCGCAGGATCGCTTGCGCATAACTACTACGGCGCCCCGGCGGCAGGTCTGCCAACGGCTGACCACCACACCGATGGGGCTGCTCCACAGTCAACTCTGCTACACCAGAGAGGTACCCGGAGCAGCCCCATTAAATCGAACCTCCGCCCACCGAAGTGGGCCACCTCCAATCGGCTGCAGAGGACAGGGAGAGCGGCAACGAAACACCGACACTCCTCTTCCCCTGCAGCCCCACCGCGTCCGCCATCAAACGGTGGCGGCCCCGTCTAGGCCGCGGAAGGTAGGGAGAACGGCGCACCGAAATACCGGCACTCCTCTCCCGCCGCGGCCTACCTCTCCGCCGGATGCAGGCCTGCGACCACAGTCCCGCAACCGGCACCCATCATCCGGGTGTGGAACAAGCGGTCCCACCACCGGTGGCCGCAACGTCTTCGGCTCGAGGCCTAGACGAGCGGCCCCACCCAAGCCATTTGGTCTGCGCCGGATTTCTCCGGTACCACCCGCCGCCCTAAGCGGGTGGCATTCCCCTATCCGCCACCTGGGGACGCGCCCGGTAGGAGTTGGCTTCTCCCCCGGGTGCTTATAAACTACTAACCTAACTAGCGATTTATACTCGATTCTTTCGGGTGCGCCCTTAGAAGTCTAATAGTACCCTATCTGTTACCCTAGTCATCATCTACCTGTGTAATAAGTAAAAGTTGAATGCAAATCCGTTCCTGCCGTTTCAGTGTAAACGAGTAACAAACATACACACATACAGTTTTTCGCATTTGTAATATTTAGTCCCATTGTAGTTAATTTTAAATTATTTTCTTAGCAATGGATTGCATTCCTCGCATAAGTCGCGCACAAGTGTTTGACGCATTAAGTTCGATGGCCAACGTGGCGGGATATCGAGCTGTTATTGAGGCTGCTGCGCAGTTCCCCCGTTTTTTCTCTGGTAAGTAAAAACAAAAAACAAATAAAATTTTAAAAACATTTATTTCGTATGATAATATTGTTCTTTTAGTAGTAAACAGAACCAAATTTTAATAAATTACTTATATAGGGGATTTTTATTGGACTTACTAAAATATGAAACAGAAAAATTTCATTACATCAATAACATTTTTAAATGTTATTCCTTTATTTGGCACAATAGACGAACGTTATTTATCAATAAACATAAATAATAAATTAAGAAGAAATCAAATCATGATTAGGTCAGATGACAGCCGCGGGTCGTGTCCCACCATGCCGTGTGCTAGTGGTGGGCGGCGGCGTGGCGGGCTTGGCGGCGGCAGCGCAGGCACGTTGTATGGGAGCTACAGTACGGGCTTTTGACACCCGGCCCGCTGTACGCGAGCAAATAGAAAGTTTGGGGGCACAGTTCATTACTATGGATCTTAAGGTTAGTTAGTACTTGTTAGTAATTAATTTTGAATTTGAATTTTTAGACACCCATCTTGTTAAATAATAGAGACAATACTGAGTGGGCTGTAGAGGGTTATTAAAGATCATGAGCGATAGCTCGGAATGGTACCGCGTTAATGATGAGCGTCTACTCTGAAATATTTAGATATCATGTTATATTACGCTTTGATTATGAGAACAATCAGTATATTATAGAATGTTGAGCATAGTAATAGATTAGACACGAGAAGGATATCTGCACTGACCTTTTAAATAAAAGTATATTTATTTACATTGACAATTACGTATTGTATTTACGACTTGTTTCAATTCAAGAATTCAAGTGACGACAATTTTAAGTGTGACATGTTTCATATTTTTTATTTATTATTTAAAAGATTATTCTCATCTCATGTACAGACTACAGTTTATGGACCAGTCAAACAAGCATTGATATCCATGTACAATTTGAAATTGTTATTTTCGCTTTATATTACTTGAGATTTACTTATAACGTCAATATTCTACATTATTGGATATTTATTATTTTTTAAATTATTGGAATCTATACCGATAGTGTCTGTAAATGTGTATGTCGTGGCCAGATCGTAGAATTGATCATTTCATGATATGTATGTGATACGACACTCGGTGTATGAAAGGGTTTTATATTATGTACTTTATAAACTTCTATGCATTGTCGCTTAGAGCGATCATATTATATGTAACTACTATTTAACTGCCTCGGTGTTGTAGTGGCTAGCATGTACAGCTGCACACCCGGAGGTTCTGGGTTCGAGTCCCGGGTCGGGCCAAGTTTAGTTATTGAGTCTTTTTGTATAGTAAGCCTCAGTGACAGCCCGGAGTTGGGAAGTTGGCGGTGTTTTACTCCCGTGTCTCAAATAAGCTAAGCCATCGAGAATTGGCCGCCATATACTAGGTAACTACTAGCGACTCACCCTCGCTTCGCTCAGGTTCGTCCCTAGGTACCTTTTGACGCTTAGTATGAAATAGATTTCTTATTCAATTTTTTTTTGTGAATTTTTCCTATATTTTAATAGTTTTTCTGCTATTTGAGATGAAGACATCCAACAAAACAAAGATTATGAAAATCAGTCCAGCAGTTCTCGACTTAAAAGTGTTGTAACAATCCCGACTTTGTTTTATATACATAGTCTGGCCATAAATTCTGTTACAATTAAAAATAAACAAAATATTACATTTTAATTTGGAATCTGTCATTTTTATATGATTATTCATTGTGTTTTCTCATTTTCGCGCCAATACAATACACAAAGTAGGTATGGAGCCAAATACAATTTTTAAAACTCTCCATACGCTTGGTATTAGTCAAATGTTTGGGTACCGGGCTATTAATAGGTACAATGAAACCTCCCTTGTTTGTGAAAGAAAAAGATCTGGCCGTCCACGTACTGTTCGTACGAAAGAGGCGGTCAAAGCAGTAGGTAAGGGAAAGAATTCAAAGAAATCGCCTCACTCACGGGTCGCCCGTGACCATGGATGCTGTAAAGCATTCGAAACGTCGGGAAACAAAAATGCAAATAAATAAATCCGCGACAAAATCCGAAAAGATAGTTTTATTTAAAATGTCAAATAAATCGCGTAAATCTAAGAGAGTATTATTTTGCTATAATTTTACATACATTTAATGTTTTAAATGTATAAATGTTCTCTCGGAAATCTATACATATAATAAAATTCTAAGTCGAATCTGTACATTAAATATTTTTTGGAAAATCTTATTGAAATAGACATTATTATCGATACAGAGGCCGAATCAATAGTTTTTAGAATTTTTGTCTGTCTGTCTGTCTCTGTTACCGTTTCACGGAAAAACCACTGGAGGGATTTTGATGAAATTTGGTATGATGGTAGCTGGTTATCCGGGTCAACATGTACTTTTTATCGCGGGAAAATATCTCGTTTCTGAGATAAAATACAAAACTGCACTGTAAGAGTATACTAATATGTAAAACCTAAAAATTTTGGTTTTTGGTTATCTGAACGCGGGCGGAGCCGCGGGCAATGGTAGTATATATATAATAATAGCTCTATTTCTTTCTGCATTAATACGTATATAAAATTTGTATATTTTTGGAACGGCTTACCTCTGCTAAAATTTCACCCTTCGCCACTGATGTATATAGATATCAGTGTGTGTGTTGTATTGTAAAGAATGTTCTATTTTTTCATATACGCGAATACCAATGCGAATGTGAACGTTGACTTTCAAATAAAGCGCGTGCAATATAAACAGACAGATTTGACATCCAGTGTCGACCATGTTTAAACCGAACATAGCCGTGTGGCGAGCTGACACAGGTTGAATGAACGAACACGTAAAGTTCATTCGAAAAGATTTGTTGTGATTTGAGGTTATTATTTGTCAAATTTAACTAATACCTATTCAAAAGCAACAAAGTGATATAAAAACATGAGTAAAGCACAGTTGTATTATGATTCCATATATAGTTTCCTTTTTGTTTGTCATATACATTCGGCAATCATTCGCATCGTTTCTTGCGAATATGAATGTGAATGGCAAAAAATAAGCGAATATTCGCGAATACGAATGCTATCATTCGTTACATCACTAGTGAAAATACTAAATTGTAAGTTGCTTGTCTTAATTTATCATCGCCCAGACCAAACCACTGGACTGTTATTTTGATAGGATATTCTAAAACATGAACTGTGAAAAATATGGCAAATTTTGTATGGCAATTGGCAAAAGATATTTTCCAAAAGTCAATTAAAAAAATATCTGATCTTAGTCAGAACAGACGCTTGTTTGTTTATACAATTATTAGCGACTCACCCTCGCTTCGCTCGGGTTCGTCCCTAGGTTGCTTGATTGCTTCCCCATACAAATTTTCACCCCCTTACAGGATGATTTCCGGGATAAAAACTATGTCATTCCCAGATGCTCGAACTATCTTACCAAATTTTATCCAAATCGGTTCAATAGTTTCGGAGTCTATTCGACACAAACAAAAAAAAAACAAATTTTTCCTCTTTATAATATTAGAGTAGACTAATATTTAGATTTTAGCGCATAACTTTTCTGTATTTGTTATAATTATTGTTATTATCAATCACCAATTATATGTTAAGTTAGGTTTAACACGTATCCCCCCCAACGTGCGTTCACCTTGTCGTAGTGGGGGGGCTCAGTAGTAGTAGCGAAGCTAAGAAACGCACAGGGAGGTTGCCTACTTCGGTGGGCGGTGGGAGGTGGCCCTCTTCGGGGGGCGGTGTACCTTGCGGGTTGCTCCTGGTACTTCTCTGATAGCAGAGTGGACCTTGGAGCAACCCCATGGTTGTGGTGGTCTGCTTTGGCAGACCTGCCGTCGGGGCGTCGTAGTTGAATGCGTAAGCGATCCTGCGACGCCCCATTAAGACGGGGGAAGGTTTTAGTGGGTAGTACTGGCAGTATTACGCCGGTGAGTCCCACACGTCGTGCGTAAATGCATTTCCCAACGTAAAAAAAAAAAAGGTTTAACATGTATGATAGTCTGGACTCGTTAATTAATGCATGATGTGCTATCGTGGTGGACTATAGTTGCGGTTAAAGTCTAGCTGTCTGTTATGTCTGTAACTTTTTACGTGCATCGGCAATATTTCTGATAATTTTAATATGTACATTAAGAAAATTATCAAATAGTAACATAACAATTTTTTTTTCAATCATTGCTAATGTATTGTATCATAAAATATTATTCTAAAACAATGTACCTACATATACTTAAACGTTTGGCTCATCTATTTTTGTCGTCATTCACGAAAATGGTCGTTGACCTCTCGCTTCTTTTATTCTTAATTCATAAACTGCTTTTTTGATCAAGTGTTCGTTGAATTTTATTGCCGCCAGTTTATTGATAGAATCATAGAAATGCAAAAAACGAAGCAAACAAACGATAATAATCATGTTATCACTAATATCAAACCCCCAAACCTTGATAAATATTTATCACCAAATGTTTGGAAGTTGTCAGTACTTGACTCGTTTATTAGCTCGTCCTTATCAATTTCTTTTTTGAAAGTATTTATAAACATTATAAGTAGTATGATAAATTTTCTTATATTATTTAATAATATTTAACTGCTCAAGGTCTATGTCGTAATGTGAACAAAACAATTTGCGAGTAATCTAGACTGCAAATATGTACAGAGATATGAGGGTAAATAATTAACAATAGCTACGTTTGCGTAATACTTTGAAATTGCTATACTCGTATGTAGGTACAAACTACAAGGGAAATTTTATACTTTAATTTATCCATATTATTAATATACATACGAAACTACGTACGTTTGGATTTCTCTTTAAGTCAATCGATAAGCGAATCGAAGAAATTAATTGGTTGATAGTTGTAAAGCCGCATAGTTACATAAAATAGTGTGATTATTATATGTAGGTACCTATTACTGGTACGTCAATGGCAAGTAAAAGCTATATGGGAAAATTAGAAAAATATATAGATTTCGGGTAGATGAACTGAAAAAGAATTGTTCACTTCAAGATTAAAAAACCCCCCAGTAAAACCAATATTGTAATAAAAAATTCTAACACGGGGTTAAAAACAGATTAGCAAACTAAGTACTGTATGAGTAAAAGATAGACACGCACTATTCAAAGTATATTGCAATGATGTTTTTTAATGAAACATTAAATATACAACATAATTTTATTTGAACTGTATTCATCCTATATCAGATGCAAAACAAATTAACACTTTATTTTTTAATAGATCATTAATTTGATACTATAGGAGGAAGGTACTGGTGCAGGTGGTTATGCAAAAGAAATGAGCGAAGAATTTCTCAATGCTGAGCGAGCACTACTGGGCAAAGAAGCTCGTAGTTCCGACGTAGTTATTAGTACTGCTCTTATCCCAGGAAAACCTGCTCCTCTTCTCATTTTAGAGGTAAAAAACGTTTTTATATACTTCATTTCATGATCATACATTGGTCCGTATTTATATTATGCTTTAATTTAAATTATTTTTAGAATTATTTTATAGTCATAACTTAATTTTTACATAATTTTGTTTTATGCCGGATCCACACGCTTACCATTTGACCACCACAAACATTAAACCACTACAAACGCTTGGCTAAATTTGAAGAGACAAACTTCAACATTCATACGCTTGTGAATGCGCTTGTGTGTTTCGGAGAAGGAAGCACAATGGATGTCAATTGTCGAGCTTGTGTTGGCTATTACGGTTTACCTTATTTCTATTACAAAAAAAAAGGGAAATGAAAAGAAACTGAAAAAGTCAATAAAGGAGATGGTGTTAAAAATTCATTAATTTTTGCTTTTATTAAATAACTAAGTTTCATTACAAGCGCTTCTCACAAACTTTCTTTGATTTGTGCACAAAAGTCGAAATCTTCCACACTTATTTGCAAATCTTCACAAGCCAAGCCGTACGTCCTCTCCACATGTTTGAATTTGTAATGGCTTGTCGAGGTTTGGCAAGTGTGTGGATCCGGCATCTTGCCTTGTAAGATTTATTCACAGTTAATAATGTTTAACTGGTTAACATTTGTATGTATTTCCAGGATGCAGTAAGAGATATGGCACCCGGTAGTGTTATAGTCGACTTGGCAGCAGAAATGGGTGGAAACGTGCAAACCACGACGAAGGGCCAGATTACTAAAGTACACGATGTCACTCACATCGGCCTCACTGACCTGCCCAGTAGGATGCCAGCACATGCTTCTACGCTTTATGCTAACAATATCTCCGCATTTTTGTTAAGTCTGGGTAAGTTTATTGGTAGACGACTTCATCCATGCTTAATTAGAGACAAATTAAGAGATCTTGTTCAATTCATAATTCATTAAACGTTTTTGTGTTTCGTAAATTAATAAAAAAAATGTTAAAGAAAATAACATAAACCTGCAGGTTTAAATTATGTATTATTAGTTTTTGAAGGTTTTGTTCAACATTTTGTAAGCGAATCTAGGACGATAAACGATTTAAATATATAAATTACAATTTCGTATTCCGCACACATATTGGCTACTCGTAAGCTTATCGGAACAAAGAACGTGGCAACAACGCGTTGTTGGCGGTGATAAGCTTGGGGTTAATATACCTATTATTTATGACGATCCAAAATCATATAAAATACATTAATTTGAACTGATTTAAAAAGAAAAAAAGAAAATAAAAGTGAAACGAAAGTGTGCATTTAAAACTAAAGAATTAATAAAATTGTATACGTTAAAGTGAAGGGCAGGCATTCAAATACTAAAATCTTATGTATCCGTTGCGGGATGACAAACTATACGATTAATTTTAACATACTGTCGTCTTGTTCCTTATTTGTACAATCGACCAATTTAGCGAAAGATTTTTTGTTTTCAGAAGATACAGAGTTATTGACTTTTAAATATCAATTCTATTGGTGTAAAAACACATTTTACTAACCTCTAAAACATGTAGGTAATTTATATACTTATATAAATAATATAAATCTTAGAAATAAGGTTTTGTTTTTAAAATAGGGAAAAAATCTCTACTGTAAAGTAGAACCAGTATTGGTCGCTTGTGCAAATTTAACTAAGGAGACGATCACATGACCTCTGGTAGACCAGAAGCATTAAAAGTCAAACACAACCTACGACACGACAATTCAGTTTAAAATTCAAAGTTTTACAGATACAAAAACATAATCAAAAGAAGTATATGAAACTTTGCTTAAATGAATTTATATAAACGATCTTAGGATATGTCTTCGAGCAATGACCTTACTACCGGTCATTCCCAAAAACTTGTACGTGTAAATATTATATGGCTAAGGTACGGTTACGTTAAGACAGGTTATGCTAAATTCTTTTTGTTTTAATCGTTTTTAGTGATGCTACCATTTTAAAAATTTGACCACACCTAGCTCTAATCAATAAATAGATGTAATCGGTATTGAGATTCGATAGATTGTATTGAAAAGTGCAACAAATAATAATATCAATCAGCATTATTTCAAAATCCCTTGATATGAATCCGAAAAATTTGATTGCAATCGAGATCAAGACAAATTTCGTGTTCTGAAATGCATTAAAACATATTCCGTAAGTCTTTTATCAGATTAGGAACATACAATACGATCATAAAAAATTAAATATTACGTTAAATAGTTTATAGTATACTAGCATTGCCCGCGGCTCTTCCCGCGTTCAGATGACCAAAACTCTTACGTAGCAGTTTTTGTATTTTTTCTCAGAAATGAGCCATTTTCTCGCGTTAAAAAGTATCCTATATGTTGACCCGGATAACCAGCTATCACCATACCAAGTTTCATCAAAATCCCTCCAGTAGTTTTTCTGTGATGCGGTAACAGACAGACAGGCAGACAAAAATTCTAAAAACTATAGATTCGGCCTCTGTATCGATAATAATATCTATTTCAATAAGAATTTCCAAAAAATATTTAATGTACAGATTCGGCTCAGTTACAATTTTATTATATGTATAGATAGTACTAGACTTTTGTCATCAGAAATTCAGTTATCCTGAACTATTATATTGCCTGCTCGAACTTTCCATATTTGTTGATGATTATAGGCATTAGGTACTTTTTCGGTTTCTGTCTAATAAAGTAAAACTAGTTCGGTAGGTACATATTTATCTAATCAATAAAATAATTATTCACTCCGTCAGTACTTACAACATTCAGTAGGCAGTATAAATTGGTCACGTGACATAATGCAAAAATTATTTACCTTCGCTTTACTAAAGATAACATACCATGCGCAATAGTAACGTTAAACGTACTTGTAATATACTAATAATTCTCCACTTAGAATCACGCGAATATTTCCGTAACTTATCTCGCACGTAAACTCACAAACCTCTCTATGATATAACGAACTGACCCGAGAGATGTGCTTTTTTCTAATTTCAATTTTAAGAAGTCCTCCCAGTTATTTCCGAATTTCCCAATTGTGCGAAACCCTAAAAAGTTTACTCATATTACTAAAAACATTAAAAAAAAAACAAAAGTCAAATCGATACAGTCGTTCTCAAGTGATACACTTACCAATCAACATGATTTTTACCCCCTTTTTGAATTTAAAATATGAATTTTACCCCCGACGCAAAAACGACGCGACGGGATGTTGTAAGTTTGACATGTCTGTGTGTTTGTTAGTGGCATCGTAGCTCCGGAACGTATGAACCAATTTTGATTTTGTTTTTATTTTTGTTTGAAAGGTGAATTAGTCGGGTGTTCTTAGCTATGTTTGAAAATCGGGCCAAGATGGTCGGTCGGTTTTTTTTTTATTTTTAATTTATCATATTAGATTTTGTCCGTTGCTTTACCCATTTCATTATTTATAAGGATATATTAGTCATTAAGGGAAACAAATATTTATTTCTTGCAGGAACCAATGATCATTTCCACATCAATCTCGAGGATGAAGTGACTCGTGGGTCAATAGTTCTAAAGGCTGGTGAGCTGCTGTGGCCTCCCCCGCCGGCGCCCAGCATGCCTCCAGCGGAAGCACCTAAAGCCACCGCCGCTGTGAAAGTTGAACCACCTAACCCATTTAATGAAACTTTAAAAGACACGTTCTTATATTCTACAGGTAAGACCATTATTTAGTGCCTAATTTTACAATGTCTATACATATATTAATTGTAAGTTACAGAAACAAATATGGTTGTTGAAGACAAAATACTGAAAAAAAAACTAATATGATATTGTGTTTGTTTAGGATTAGCAAGTTTAATTGGACTTGGAATTGCGTCACCAAATCCAGCCTTTACCACCATGACAACTACTTTGGCATTGTCAGGTAAATATAAAAAAAACGTGTGTACGTGTACTTATGTATGCACGTAAGAAGTTATACTTTTTTGGCGTAACAGAACAAAAATAGCTAAAGATTGGTGTCACTCAACCTACTGTCAGCTCTCCGTTTGTAAAAGGAAAGCAACTAATTTCCTCATGTCGCTTTTTGGCAGTCGGTGTGCGCGCGCATCGTAAAAATTTTACTCTCATATTTTTTTCAAACGTGTCAACAGAAGTATAACTGCAAAAATACATCATAAGATATCTCTAGTTATAATTGCGTGTGGTGCCACCTTTATAACATAAAAAAATATGTTTTATTATCGACGTATACATGTGACGCGTTTGGTACATAAAAATAGTTTGTTTAAATATTTACTGTTTGCGATAGAGTTCATATTTTATTGTTAGTTACAAGCGATGAGGTCAATGAATTAAAAGAAGTTTTCAAATAATTAAATTTTTTATTATCTAATTCTATTATATTACGAATTTTATTAAGTTTTTATCTTATTAATATGTATCTACATATTATGTATATACCATATGATGTATATATTTAAATGAAATTGTAGACTGAATATTATTGTATAGTACGATGTAATTGTAGCCAAGCCTGCAGATTTTTTGAATTTTTGTTTGTCAGCTTAATCTAGAAAAATTTACAGTAATAGCTTATGTAGATATTCTAATTGCGATCTAATAGCTGTCATGTGCGGCTGCATATCTGGAGGTCGAATTCCAGATTGGGCCAAATATAGTTATTGGGATTCTCAGTTATAGGCCACATTTGGGCGTCGGCTACTCTTCGAAATTATTTAGAGCCGGATTTTGCTATAAACATTTCTAGAAATAAGTTTTGCTAAATTCTATTACATAGGTAGTTGTTTCATTTTTCCATGTGGAATCAAACCATTTTAATGGTCTTGTGTACTTATTTATTGGCAATATTGTAGTTATACGATGCAAATTAAAAAAGTAGAAAATGCCTTGTTTAATTCGTAATTGGCAATATTACTACCTCTCACATTCTGCCCTGTAAATATTAATATCTAGCATCTGCTTACAGGTGTAGTAGGATACCACACAGTATGGGGAGTGGTGCCGGCACTTCACTCCCCGCTAATGTCGGTCACTAACGCCGTCTCTGGGATCACTGCAGTCGGCGGCTTGTTGTTAATGGGCGGTGGTTACGTTCCTGAGACTCCTGTACAGGTACAATCGATTATATTATTAACTAGCGGCTGACCCTCGCTTCGCTCGGGTTCGCCTCTAGACAACAAAAACAAATCTATCCCACGGGAACCGTAAATTTTTTCAGTATAAAAAGGAGCCTATTTGTTATTCTGATGTATGAACTATATTGTAAAGTTTCATTAAAATCCAATCAATAGTTTTTGTGTACTAAGCTGTATAAGTTACTATAGTTTTTTAACTATCCCACAGGAACTCTTTAATTTTCTGGGACAAAAAGTGTCTAAAATGTTGACCGGGGATATAAGGTACGACCATGCAAAATTCATATAAATCGGTCGAACAGTTTCGAAGATTAGCCCGTAACAATCAGACAGATAGACAAAGAAACAAAAAAAATAAAAAAATCTGTATTTGTTCTATTTCTCTTCTTACATCCCCCTAATTCGTTTTTAGCATTTCTTTTCTATGTACAGACATTCGACCTCTACAGTTTTATTATATGTATAGATAACTAGCAGAATCCGCGGCTACGCCCGCGTTCAATCCACAAAAAAAACTCTTTGGATTTATGTTATACAGCGATGTATTTATATAATATTGTTCAAACAAAAATACTAAAATCGCAATTAAAAAATGGGGTGTGGGGTAGTGAGGCGGTAGGGTGAAAAATACTTTACGACCTATTCTCATACCTACAAATATGTATTATAAAAAATCATTAAAATCGGTTGAGTCGTTTCGGAGGAGTGAGACCACAAACACCGTGACACGATATATTTATAAATATTAGATAGATGAGGCCACTTATCGAGATCGTTCCCACATATGATTTTATTATTTTAATTAAAGGGATATGTCCATGCTTTCCATCCACACTAGACTTTTTTGAATACTGTGGACAAGATTTGAATGTAATTTATCTTCATATCAACATGTTCAATATTTTCATTACAACGGCAATGTGTTTTAAATTCCTTGTTAATTCTTTTTACAGTGGCTAGCTAGTACAGCAGCTCTCATTTCGTTTGTGAACGTATTCGGTGGATTTTTAGTTACGCAAAGGATGTTGGATATGTTTAAAAGGTGAGTTTTAATTATTTGTTTTGAAATATTTGCTTAAAAAAATATTTTGATGTATTCTGTTATTATAGGCCAGGAGACCCACCAGAATATGGCTATCTATACAGTATACCTGCAGCGGCTCTGCTCGGAGGATATTTGACCACAGCAATGCAGGTATAAAGACATTGCCTTACGTTATACCGGATAATAATATACTCATTTTAAATGCGGTGAGAAATAGAACCTTCACGTTTAAAAAATACCCGTCTAATAAATCTAATCAAACTCGCACTTTGCAGAAAACGTTTCATGTAATTGATATTCATTAATTTAATCTTTATAGTATAATTTAATTCCTTGTAGGGATATCCTGAAGTCCACCAAATGGCGTATCTAGCCTCATCGTTATGTTGTGTTGGTGCTTTGGCCGGTCTCAGCTCACAGGCTACAGCACGCAAAGGAAACTACTTAGGAATGGTTCGTTGTATTTTATATTTTATATCTATTGTAATAACAATCATTTCATATATTTTATATCTATTGTAATAACAATCATTTCATATTGGAAAATCAATTGTATCGCAATCGATGATTAGAAAAGGCGTTCATAAAGAAAAAGACGTAGCTTCCAGACTCTGCTCAAGATCGCCCGCTCATTGTAATCTTGATGACATTAGCTTCAATCTTTTGATCATTGTAAAGGCATTGAGATAATAAAGACTTTCTAACATTATTCCTATGCCTAAATATAAGTCCATGTTTCGATTAATTATTATTTATACATTAATTTTTAAATTTTAGAAATTTTTTACAGAGATAGAAGTAATGTTATGGTCTGCGATGTAGTTAAAAATATAATTTTTGTAAAGTCAAAACCAATTATATTAACTACCATCGTGCATGTAATTTATGACGTGGCATCTTGAGTTTTAGCTCGTCTAGTTTTGATGATTCTTTAGTAATATGAGATTGCAATAAATCATAGGATTCAAAATATACTAAGCAATATTATGTTTTAAAATATTTTTATTTATAATTTTCGTAGATCGGTGTGTCAGGTGGTATAGCAGCCACTCTGGGATTGCTCACGCCCAGTGCAGAGGTCTTGGCTCAGATGCTGGGCGTGGCGGGCATTGGCGGCCTTATTGGGGGGACCATCGCTAAAAAGATTGAAATTACAGACCTACCGCAACTTGTGGCTGGTTTCCACAGGTAATTTTCAAATTAGTACTACTAGATATAAGATTTCATCAAAATGAATTTAAATAGATTATTAAGTTTACACTTACACACCTAATGATAAACCAAAGTAAAAAATATTTTTTAACATAAAAATAAAGAATAAAGTGTTTAACGAGAAAATTAATGTAATTGTGAAAAAAGCGTGGGTGCTCGATATCAGTTGTTATAAATATTCCATTTGGTACGATTCCTAAAATTAAAGTTAGTACAAAACACCCCATTGTTAATTACTTTATTTTTATAATAAAAATTATTATAACTGTTTATAATTTCTATTTTCTCAATACAGTATCACTTGAATTAGAATCGAACCCGCGATCTTTCTTTCAACATTATTCAAAAGAATATGCTACAATATTTTAAAAACATTTTAAACAAGTAAGTAATAACAGCTAATAAATCGTTATTTCCTGTCAGCTTGGTAGGCATGGCGGCGGTACTGACATGCGTGGCGACGTACATGCACGACTTCCCCGCCATGGCGCTCGACCCCACAGCTGCCACGCTCAAGACCTCCCTCTTCTTGGGAACTTACATCGGTGGTATTACGTTCACGTGAGTTTGCTATGGATCATTTTATTATTCGTAAATTTAAAACTTATTATTAATTTCATACATTTTTTTAGAATAGAATAGAATTTAAAGTGATTACATTTCACGATCCAATTAAGATCGTCATCATATTTTTATGTGTGAAATGAAAAAAAAATGAAAAAATTGGTCGGTAAATAAAAAAATCAACAATAGCGCCACCTACCGAGTGCTACTATAGCTAAGAACTATCCAGGTATCCCATAAATACATAAAAAATACCGTCATAATTGGTCAGGTCGTTTAGGAGGGTTATTCTATCTGATCTGAAATTTCATGTAAATTTGTCTGTTTCAGCGGGAAGGAATAAGAAACATATACTTAACACACACATAAAAACTTTTGTATTTACAATAACAGTCAGATTGCCTAGTGAAATCTATACAGATAAATAAAATTGAAGTGTCTGCTAGCAATTTCAAAATAATAGGGTTTTACTAAATGCGTACGAAATTGTATACGGTACTTATAAGAAAAACACTTTTTTTTTTAATTTTTGTGTCTGTCTGTTAGTTCCGGATAATCTCTGAAACGGCTGGACTGATTTTGACGGGATTTTCACTGGAAGATAGCTGATGTTAGAGGAAGTAACATATTCTACTTTTATTTTAGAAAAAGAATTAGGGTTCCGCTCAAAAAAATTAAAACGTACATAGGGACGCACCCGAGGGTGAGTCGCTAGTAACTAATAAATATATTTATGATTATCCAGCGGGTCATTAGTCGCGTACGGCAAGCTGCAGGGCGTGCTGTCGTCCGCGCCGCTGCTGCTGCCCGCGCGCCACGCCATCAACGCGGGCCTGCTGGCGGGCGCGCTGGGCTGCGGCGGCGCGCTGCTGGCCTTCCCCGAAGCCCCCGGCTTGCCCTTGCTGTCGGCCGCCGCTGTGCTCAGTGGCATACAGGGCCTCACCCTTACTGCTGCTATTGGAGGTCACTATATATTCTATCATAGTATAAAAATCCATCCAATAGCTGATCACCCATTATTTTTAACGGAAATACTGTCAAATGCAAGGGTTGTCGAAAATTCGAATTTCAATGTCTGTAGTGCCTCGTGGCAAGTTACAGTTATGCCTATGAACCATAAAGTCATTTCCCAACGGGCAAATAAAAGTAAGTAAAGTCTTTCTAGATGCCTTCAGTAGACGACTATATTATGGATTAGTATAATGTGCTTCTAGTGTGGGAATAGTTTTATATTGTTCATTTAAATAATATGATACATAGGTAGGTCACTTGTGGAGGTTACAGTGGTGAACTAAGAATGTTTTAACGATAAAGTCTTTATGTTAATATAATACAATATACAGGGTCATTTTTAATTTACTGAAAACCTTTTGGGAGTATACTATTTACATCATAACAACAACATCTGTAACAAGAAAAAATAATATTTCTTAAATTTTTATTTTCATAAAAAAATAAAAATATTTTATTTGCACTTTCTAAACTTTAAAGTTCTAGCATCTGGCCAAGTTTAAATGAGTAAGCGTGGCTTCCTACACCCCTCCACCCCTCCCCCTCCACCGGACACGCACTTTCTTTTGCTAATGCTGGACTATTACCGTTGAGAAGGTGCAATAAAAATATTTTTATTTTTGTTAAATTTAAGATATATTATTTTTTTTCTTATAGATGTTGTTGTTATGATGTAAATAAACATGGGAATGTACTCCCAAAAGGTTTTCAGTAAATTAAAAATGACCCTGTATAGTTAACAGTGCATTTTCATTAGCAGATGATACTTTAATGCCAACATACCTATCTACTACCTAGCCCACGCACTATAGCACCGATCACTACCACCGTGGTAGTAGCTAACAACACGCGCAAATCAGAAATAACGCGACCAAAGTCACGGTTATTGCAGTATGATGCACAGGCATAGAATTCTCATAAAACATTGAAATGATATCAATAATAATTAATATAGGTCCTAAAACAATCCAATTGTTGCTTTTAATACCAGGTGCGGACATGCCAGTAGTCATCACAGTCCTCAACAGCTACTCGGGCTGGGCGCTGTGCGCTGAAGGCTTCATGTTGAACAACTCGCTCATGACCATCGTCGGCGCACTCATAGGCAGCTCGGGAGCTATTCTATCATATATTATGTGCAAGGTATCTACTATACTTATTATAAATGTAAACATATTATTAGTTCCTTTTTAACATTCATGTTTCTTTTCATGACGTCATGATTGTTTTAATAAATAATAATATTTATTTTCATCTTACATTTATTTCATAGCTGTTTAAACATCGATAGGACTTTTATAGCAAAGAAAGATAAAACACTATCGCTAATGACTATGTTTATACAGAAGTCTGGTTAATACAAGTGCATTACACCAACACTTGATATGAGAAATGATTATGGTTGTTTTTAATAATACTATAATGCTACTATTTTATTTATTAAAAAAACCTATTATGAAAATAAATTAGATTCTACATCAGGCTAAAAGCTTGACTAAAACGACTGGATGGTTTTTAGTAAAAATTTTATACACAGATCTGTAATAACACATAAGCTACCACGATGAGCAAATCGTTGTTGTTCTACAGAATAATTAATAATATATAAAACAAAAAAAAATCCGTAGTATTAATCTATACATATAATAAAATTCTAACTAAGCCGAATCTGTACATTAAATATTTTTTTGGAAAATATTATTAAAATAAACATTATTATCGACACAGAGGCCGAATCATAGTTTTAAGAATTTTTGTCTGTCTGCCTGTCTGTTACCGCATCACGGAAAAACCACTGGAGGGATTTTGATGAAATTAGGTATGGTGATAGCTGGTTATCCGGGTCAACAACATATAGGATATTTTTTACCGCGGGAAAATATCTCATTACTGAGAAAAAATACAAAAACTGCAATGTAAGTGTATACTAATATGTAAAACCTAAGAATTTGGTTTTTGGTCATCTGGACGCGGGCGGAGCCGCGGGCAATGCTAGTATTACAAATGTGAAAGTTTATAAGTATGTATGGATGTTTGTTACTCTTTCACGCCAGAACGGCTGAACGGATCTGGATGAAATTTGGCACAGAGATATATTGTACTTTGTGATAACACAGACTACTTTTTATCCCGGAAAAATGTACGGTTCCCGTGGGATAGGTTTGTTTTTGTTTTCCTATACAATTAGTTTACAATATATGGCCTTACCAGGCAATGAACCGGTCGCTGCCCAACGTGATCCTGGGCGGGTACGGCGTGACGACGGGCGGCTCGGCGCGCCCCGCCGGCGCCACGCACACCGAGCTCAACGTGGACTCCGTGGCCGACCTCATACACCGCTCTGCCTCTATCATTATTACCCCTGGTATGCTATGACTATTATATTTATACTTGACCGACCCACTTTAATATAAGCTTCCTCTATTATTAGTCCGGTATTTTTGGAAAATATTCTTTATATTTCATCCATTTCAAAAATGGCGAAGGCACTCAGGTGAATGTTTTTTTAATACTTCAATTGTGATGAGATTTTCACGATGTTTTTTTAATTGTTAAGGTTATAGCTAGATCATAGGTATACACCTATACTAAAGATGGATTATAATCATGTTAAAGTGATTTTTGGTTGGTTTTGAAGTCATACATTTATCGTTAAAAAGTAATTACTTACATCTATACAGATAAATTGAAGTGTCTGTTTGTAATGTCAAAATAACAGCTTTTTACAAAATGCATATGGAATCGTATACGGTACTTATAAAAAAAAACTAAAATTTTTGTCTGTCCGTTTGTTCCGGCTAATCTCCGAAACGGATGGACTGATATTGATGGGACTTTCACTGGCAGATAGCTCATGTTATAAGGAGTAACTTAAGCTACTTTTATTTTAGAAAAAAAAAATACATAAAATCTTATTTCATCTTAAAGTGAATTAACTATTATTAATAATTGTTTGCTTGTAACATGTAATTAAAACTTTTATTGTTATTCAACAGGTTACGGTTTGTGTGTAGCAAAAGCACAATATCCAATCGCTGAATTAGTAGATATCTTGAAGGGCATTGGCAAGAAAGTACGCTTCGCCATTCATCCTGTAGCAGGTGTGTAACGTAGGTAGATAAAGTGTCCGAAGTAGGCGTGGCTTGCGCAAGCCAGATCACTCGTTTTTGGCCGTATTTTCATTTCTCTGGGAAAATTATAAATATTGGCCCTACAGTTCCGGAAGTTAAGACTTTTTTTTAGTATTACATTATACATACATACAAAAAGTTGACTAAAAAGACAAAGACTTGTTGACTAGTCTATGTTAAAGTAAAGACGCCACAGGACATTTATATAAGCTGGTCATCTATTTTGTACACTAATATATAATATAACACTCTTCTTCAGGACGTATGCCCGGTCAACTCAACGTATTGCTGGCCGAGGCCGGCGTCCCTTACGACGACGTGTTTGAGATGGAAGAGATCAACGAAGAATTCCCTGAGACTGATCTTGTACTAGTTATTGGTGAGTTTTATATGAGTTTCCAGAATAAACTAATAATAGATCAACATACCTAATTGACATTTCAGGCTGAGTCTTAAATTATTATTAAAATAAAATATACCTTATCTTACTTTTGAATAATGTTACATTTCAATGGTGAAAGCACCATTAAAATCATTTCAAAAATTTCAGAATTCATTCATTCGTAACTTATTGAATATTATCTCTTTATAATACTTGTAGATTTAGTATATAGTTTATTATTGTTATAATGTTGATAGATATGTATTACATAAGACGACGAGCGCTGCATGTTGAATTAAAAACCGGTCAAGTGCGACTCGGCCTCGAACACGAAATGTTCCGTGCCATCATACGAGATATAATACTATGTACTTTTTAAATACTTTTGTAAAATAAAATAGAGGCCCTATAATAATATATGTATAATTTTTCTAATTTGTATGGCGGCCGTTTTGAAATTGGACATCTTGTTTGATTTTTTATTCGTATATGTATGAGTATATATTTATAGGGGCAATAAAAATACACACTCTGTGAAAACTTCAACTCCCTATTACGGTTCATGAGATACAGCCCGCTGACAGACAGACTGACGGACAGCGGAGGCTTAGTAATAAGGTCCCGTGGGCACCCTTTGAATACGGAACTCAGCTGAAAACATTATTTCCGGCTCCAGTTGTTGTCAATCTCAGACCGAGCGCAACACGCTTGTAAATAAATGCACAAATCGCTGCCTTATGCCGTGGTGTATCTATCGTCACGATTGCTATAAGTATATTTACTCATATTATAAATATATCGCATCAATGACAAGGGCTATTTCACTTATAATTATTTCGGTGTAGATTTCTGTCATTTTCAGTATACGAAATATATAGTTTACTCTGTAAACTTTTTAGATTGAAGCTCATGGTTGTGATACGTTTTTCCCTGCAGGTGCTAACGACACGGTGAACAGCGCGGCAGAAGACGACCCTGATTCACCAATTGCTGGTATGCCCGTGTTGAAAGTTTGGAAAGCCAATCAGGTAAATGAGATTGTTAAATTTTATAACGTAAAGTGATATATAAATGATAAACCAGGGGGACCGAGATTCGCTCGGAGTTTTTTACCAAAAGTACAATTTTCTTCTTTAAAAAAAAATTAAAAACTTGAATAAATACAAAAAAAAACAAAAGTAAAAACTTTGTATCCTTTCTTATCAAATTCCTTTATTGTCAATTTTGCTCCATTTTGATATTTTCTTGAATCTTGATATTTTTCGTGCAAAAGAAAACCTCATGAGAACTCGAAAACATGCGTTTTCGCAGACATAAAACCCCCACATACCAAATTTCAGCGAAATCGTTAGATCGCCGGTTAAATATATTAGGTATTAATTCATTCTTATATATTTATTTATGTTTATCCGTATGTATTTCAAGGTGGTTGTTATGAAGAGGTCGATGGGAGTGGGTTATGCAGCAGTCGACAACCCTATCTTCTACAACCCTAACACTGCCATGTTGCTAGGCGACGCCAAGAAAACCTGCGACGCTTTGCTCGATAAAATAAAACACCTTACTGCTTAAATATTTAGATAAAAATATGCACTGAAAAGAATTTTTAATTCGTTTATTTTTTATATATTTAACGAGTCGTGGAGCGGACATCTGTGTATAATATAAATTTAAATGGTACAATTCTAACTTAACATAATTATGATCAATTGAATTATTTAGTATGCATGTATTTTCAGTTATGCTAGAAATATTTTTGTTGTTGTTTATTAAACGAAAACACTTTTCTACAACGAAAATATAAAAAAATGTCCGCTGTATACTAGTTTTTCTTTAAATAAATAAATTTAAAGATTTTTAATGTGGCTTAAGGCTAATGCAACACAGCACACAGACAAGCCACACATGTTTATCTATATACACTTTGATCTAGATGGAATATGTATTTTTAGATCAATTATGAAATTTATATGAGAATTTATTTACCTATGAGAATTCATTAAAAAAATGTATGTATACAATTTTTAAAAATCAGACTTTTAATGTGTAGATGCGATGAGAATGCCTTGGCCATTATATGTAGTTAGGTTCAATGATACTTAACTAGTCTGTAGGTAATTTACTGTTGTCATTTATGGATATTCATTTTCAACCGACTTCAAAAAGGAGGAGGTTCTCAATTCGACTGTATGTTTTTTTTTTTTTTTTTATGTTTGTTACCTCAGAACTCCGTCATTTATTAACCGATTTGGACAATTTTTGTTTTGTTTGAAAGGGTATACTTCCAGATTGGTCCCATTTAAATTTCAAAAAAAAATACCACCCCTAAGGGTGGAAAAATAGCTAATAATGAATTTAACCTACTTCTAATTGTCATATTGACTTGAAACTTTGCAAGTATTTCTATTTCCGTTGATAGTACAGTGGTTCAGTGTTGTTGACCTGAACTGATGGCAAGGCCAGAAGGTGGATAGGTGGAACTCTTCAACGGCTAATAGTAGATACTTTGAGTTTTGGATTATTTTGTTTGATTTGACAAGCCTAACACGTTAGAATCCTTACTTTGCTATTACTGTCTACACTAAAAAGGGAAAAATAAAAACTTTTTAACAAAAAAATAAAAACCGACTTCAAACAAAAGCACTAAAAAGTAAAAAATAACTGATTGGTAGTTTTCATTTACTATACATACCTAATCAAATATTTTCGAAGTCGGTGTGCTTTGGCTAAGTAATTAAAGCCTACCTATTAAATACATACCTAATCAAATATTTTCGAAATCGGTGCCAGCCCATACAAAGCAAAGCACACCGACTTCGAAAATATTTGATTAGGTATGTATAGTAAATGAAAACTACCAATCAGTTATTTTTTACTTTTTAGTGCTTTTGTTTGAAGTCGGTTTTTATTTTTTTGTTAAAAAGTTTTTATATGATATCTATTTGAGATGAGATCTATTAACATCAAATTTAACAACATACATACATTTTCATATATTTAAGAGCTAAATGTAAAGGATCTTTCTATTTTCTTCTAACAATGATCCCATCGTTAATCTAATCTAGTCTTCCAAGGGATTATGACTTTCTTTAAAAGAATTTTAAATATATGTGTATTTAAAATACAGCTTTCGCTTCTTTTTAAAAGAAGTGTGCAGTGGCTGATATGTTAGGAGCTGCCCATTAGTTAATGAAAGAAAATCATTTAAATTCGCCATTACTGTTTTTTAACTTTTAATCATTATATTATAATTATAATTTCTCATATGTTGTATGTTTTTAAAGTATGTAATATGTAGTAAATACTAAAATAATAAGTTCACATTCCATCTATATGTGTATATTAATATTAAATCATTATATAATTATTCCCTTCATGTATCCATCTTATGTATCTGCTTTAATATGAAGACCAATGTAAAGCTTTATTATGTAATAAAATTACTAAGATTAGACAGATAAGATCCTCAAACGAGTATACTAAAAAATTGCAACTTTAGATATCACTTGTTAACTTGTGAAAAAAGATTGTGCAGAAGTGAGAACGTATCATCACATGTGATAAGGCCCAATAAAATATATTTCTGTTAATGTGATTGGATTAATTTTAAACTGACTGACGGGCCTTAGAGCAATAAAATCTTTAAGAGATAAGGCAAAATTTTTGGAACTAATAAATGTAATAATTGTAAAATAATGCAATTGTTATTTTTACTCTCCTACCCAATTATTACTTAAGGCAGTAAGGTAGCCCAGTGGTAACGCGATCGCTTGGGAAACCGAGTGAAGCAGGTTCAAATCCCGGGTCTCGCACCTCTGATATTTTCATGTGCGAATCATTTCTAACATAATTACCACTTGCCTTATTTCTAACATAATTACCACTTGCCTTACGGTGAAGGAAAACATCGTGAGGAAACCTGCATGTCTGAGGGAACTTAGCAAGTTTTCGAAAGACATGTGAAGTCCGCCAACTCGCACTTGGCCAGCGTGGTGGACTATGGCCTGATTCCCCTCGTACTGAAGGGAGGCCCGTGCCCAGCAGTATGACGATAAAAAGGGCTGAATACACACCCAATTATTAAACCCGTTGTTTTTGCTTTGTAAATATCTGTTTATCTATATAGTACAATATTTTACGCTACACACAATATAAATTTAGACAAATTCTTAGTATTACCCAATAGTAGTATGGACACGCCACATTTTACTAATCCTATCAAATGAGGCCCTACTCGTCACAAACAGAGAAAAAGTATTTCAATTTAATATCAATGTTATATTATGTACCTGATTTATTATTTTAAAAGCTTATTATTCGTGTATTATTGAAAGTACTATATCGTGTTTCACCAATGTACCAAAGAATAATTAGATCAAGAAAATGTTTATAGATGGCGTTATATGTTTAGATTAGAATATCTAGTGTAAAATTAACAAAACAAAAATAGATCATATTAAGGTGCACTACGGTTTTAAAAATTTGCGAAGTAAAAGAAAACGAAATAATACGCTTGATAATCTGTTCTCCGTATTCATAGATGGCACAGTTTTCGTTTAATTATTTACCACGGCCTAACTACGTCACTTATATGGGCTCACGCAACTGTTTATAGAGTAGTTCAATAATTTTGATAACTCTTTTTTATTAGGTAGGGTATAATAGTTTCTAAGATGATTGATTGAAGTAACTAATTATGAGTCAGTGAGTTCGTTGCATAGAGATAATACACAGTATTATCTCCATAGAACGAATACACTCTAATGGAGAAGAATTTAAAGCCTTTTTCTCCCGTCAGATCATTATGTTCCTCAGTATATTGTAAAGCTCTATATGGTTTTTTTTTAAATTTTATTAAAATGATAAATTTTGGAGTGGCAGGATCCAAAGAAAATGTATATCATTTGTTCCCAAAAGACAAAAACTGAAGAAATTATGGGCTAATGTAATTAGACGACCAAAACTGTCAAAATCACAATCTTTATATGTAAGGCTATATGGACATCATTTTAAAGGAATTGATATTAAAATTCTTAAATCTTCCACAGGTGATTTTTTTTTACTTTTTTACGTATTCATTATAGTTTTATTTAAACTTACATCCCTCATTTTACCTATTTATTTAATTGTATTGAAGAGGATTAATACCAAGTTTCAAGTAATTCTAATCATAAATAATTCTTTGCCCATATAAACTTTTATTACCCCCTTTTACAAGGGGTAAAAGGTAAGGGATGAATTTAAAATAAATATATTTTAATTTTTTAACTAAAAGCTAAACACCACTTTCTGTGTATTTTACAATAAGAATGACCGAGATTAATCCCCTATTTACCCACTTAAGGATGAATTTTTGAAAAATCCTTTCTTATCGGATCTTACATCATATAGGGAATACGTTCTCCAAATTTCACGTTTCTACAACCAGCCGTTTAGGCTGTGTATGAATCCATCAGCTAATCAGGACCACTACAGGATGTACCTCTCCTTCACAATTCTTCCTTCAGCTAGGTAGATACAAATTACAATATATTGCACAGGTAAGATGCGAACACAATAGAATCAAAAAATCAGGTAAAAAAGATATCACAATAAATTACTTAACCTCAGACTGCATGTAAATAGGTGATACGTGTGGTGCCCTCCTTTCGAGAAATCTTCCATTATACAATGGCATGGAGTCTTGGAGACGATATTTTTATAGCTAGTAACACAATATACATGTCATTTTCATTTCCATAGTCAACTGACATTTGACAAATGACAATTCTCAATTCTCATGTTAATCGTGTTATTCTTTATCTCATTTCACATTTGTCATCCATGCTTTATCTGTACGCTGTAGTGTCTGTTTTAATTTACAATTTTTGAAATCTTATTAAATTATATAGGTACATTTCCTTTAACATATTTATTTTAGTTAACAAAGTCAAAAATGTAAAGATATCTAAAGAAGCCACACATCTATATTCAAGAAAAATCCATTTATTGGTAATTGATAAAAAAATTCATAGCGTTGTTTAAAAGCATCTTAGTTTATTGTCGTATGTGTTTAGAACGTGTGTAGTACTTTATTTTTGCCGTGCATTTGCTCTATTACAGTTTGCACTGTCCACACCCACAGCATGGTATGTTTTTATTTTGAATAGATATTTATATCTCACTGATTTGTTTTCATTCTACCGCTTTCAGGTATCTTTCTATCTATTACAATGACCTCACTGCAAAATGAATTTCGATAATATAATTGATATACTTACTAAGCTTGTTTTTTACATTTAACTATGTGTAATTTCTTTACTACTCGAAGATTAGCAATATTAATTTAGTTTTATTGATTTTCTTATGAAATTATGGTCATTTATTTGTAGGCCGGTAACAACAGTATGACGACAAACAGCAAATTTGCGCTCCCAGTGAGCAGTGATGATAACATGAGTGTATTCTCAGTCATTTATAGATTTTTCAAAAAGGTAAGTGTATCTACTAAATATAATTATAATAAGCACAAACAAACAGCATACTACAAATCAGATTTTGTAGCAGTAACATCTAAATATTTTTTTAAGTATTAGATATTTTAAGCCAAAAATTAATTCCCCTGATGAAATCAGAAAAATATATTGTAGCTGTATTATTATTTTGAAATTATAATAAAATTGAATTATACTGCTAACATATAACAAAAACATTTAGTTATTATTTGGGATATAAAATAATATCAAAATCAATTATAATAGAGAATATGTTGTCGTAAAATCTTTTACAATATTGATAGAATAATTGCCTGCTACAATTTCTCATCTTCACATATTTTGAAAACAAAATTAACACATAAAACAAATATAATATGAATAGATTTTATAAGGCCTAATGTTTTTATTCATATCAATTGTAATTTACATACAAATTTATACCACATAAGAGAATGAGTCAGTCCAACCTTCAAATTGGTAGTAAGGCTTGAATCATCAGTAGCGTTTAACCTTCATTTTCTTATTAACAATTCTAATTGAACTAATTTTGTATTTTAACCCAGTACTCATTCATTTAATATTTAAATATAACCAAAGCTTATCTTGTCAAACTATAGAAACTTATCTAGTATATCCATAGAATGTATATCCTTTACCCTTTCCAGGGTTCTTATTTAACCCTTTTAAAATATTAAGTAATTTGCTTTGCTAAAAACCAGCCAATGTTTACATATTAGAATATTATTAATGTTTGAGCAAATTTTTTTAAGAAACAGGTTGGAGGGTTAGATAAATAAGATGGATATGTTTTTAATATACATATAAAATGAAATCTCTTCCGCTATCTGTTCGCTTAGATCTTAAACTACTCAACGGATTTTAATGCAGTTTTCAGCAATAGATAGAGTGATTCAAGAGGAAGATTTATATGTATAATACATGCATATTAGAGTACAGAAAAGTTGAGAAATTCAAAGATTTGTATTTCATACGAACCGTTAAAACATACCTAGGGATGAACAAACCCACACACTGGATAGCTTTTTCCCGTAGTCTCAGAACAGCTGAAATACTTCTAATTATACTTTCATGCGCCATATGGGATGTATGTAAAAGTTATGTACATAAAAAAAGAGTAAGTTTAAAATAATTCTTGCCGATGGTTCATAGGAAACTCATATTATCAGAACTAAAACTGTTTTTTTATTCATCTTACCACACGAGCAGTCAAAGGCGAAAGATGTTTTGTAATATTTTTAATTATAAAATAACATGTTATAAATAAAAACATCTTTATTTATTTTTATTCAAACATCATTTTGACCTACAACTATTCTTAGCTATGACACATCCACAGTACAAACTTAACAAGTTTTTTACATTACTTCAATATCTATTACCTACTTTATATTATAATTTATACATAAATAATAATAAAAAAAAACAAATTCGTATATACATTCTCTTTAAAGTAATTAGTACGATAATAGTTAACGATAATGGTGACATCATCACGCTAAAAATATTCCCACCGGACGGGAAGTTAAACCCGTATCAGCTACGAACGTCTTTAAATGTGGAAAACTATTATATCGTATCAACTCAGTAGGTTTATAAGCTTTATGTAATATTTTTTTATCATGGAATATTTAAAAAGTCAATAGTTTATGAAAAAAATTTGGCAGAGCCACTCCACCGCACGACTAAGCTTTATATCAAGTATCAGTAAAGATATAAAGATTCAAAGATTGTGAGTTGAGAGATCACGAAAGCGGAAAGCTAATAATAACGTGTAAACGATAATTTAAATTGTTATAAATAAAATGACACTCGATTGTTTATATTATACCTAAGCTTTCCATCTTAATTGATTATATATTTATGTGTAAATTAGCAAAAACCGAAAAAGTTAATAATTTAATATTTACACTAAAGAAAACTAAACATATAATCGTAAAAGTCAAATAATATGAACTTCAACCAGTTTGATTTCCTGATAAAAATATCTCGCTCAAAGCAATTTCATAGACTTTCATTTATCGGCGTATATTTTACTAATTGATGACTACTATATGTAGTTTAAGTGGAGTGGGTGTTATTAAATGTATATATAGCCCCTATTTAAAAACTTCAATAGGATCCCAACGAAAGCGTCAAAAGCCACATAGAAACCAATAAATGTTTATTGGTTTCTATGTGGCTTTTGTCGCTTTTGATGGGATTCTATTGGAGTTTTTCAATAGGGGCACTTATTTATTAAGTATTTTATTTGTAGGTTGCAATTGTGGGCGCAGTGTACTTAATTGGTTATATGCAATGGAGCGTCGCCTGGTTGATCGGTCCTGTGATATTATCAGTGATGAGAGACCAATGGCGAAAAGAAAGCGAATATCGACGTAATCTCGCCAAAACTGCTGCTACGTCTTCCGAGAAAGATATCATTCTCGCGCGACTCGATGATCTCCCAGCTTGGGTACATACATATGCTTATAATTATACATTTTTTTTATTTTGTATTAGCTCCTCAATATAATTTTTAACATGTCTTAGGTATTCTTTCCTGATGTAGAGAGAGCAGAATGGCTGAACAGAGTAAGTATAAAAAAATATGCCTCATATCTATGTTATATGTCCCAATATTCATTTTACTATAAATCTCATGATGATTCACAGATTCTGCTACAAGTTTGGCCCAACGTAAATCATTATGCGAGAACACTCTTGAAGGAATCTATAGAGCCGGCTGTGGCTGAGAGTTTATCTAATTTAAAACTAAATGGTTTTAAATTCGAGAGGATGATACTCGGTACTATTGTAAGCATATTTTTTACTTTCATTTTGTACATACTTTTTTGAATATACCTTGTTCAAATATACTAATTTAATATGTGCCTTTATAAATTATGATTGTAATTATATCTAGCGACTCACAATTCCCATTTTCACCCCCTTAAGGGATGATTTCCGGGATAAAAACTGTCCTATGTCCTTCTCAGGGTCTTAAACTATCTTCTTATCAAATTTCATCTAAATCGGTTAAGTAGTTTCGGATCCTATTATGTAAAAACAAACAAACAAATCTTTCCTCTTTATAATATTAGTACATATTAGATAAATGCTATCTATTAATGTGAAGTTTAGAAAAAACTTGCAAAAAGAATGGAATAATTCATAAGAAACCCAACAACAAAACAAATAAATAACACGATTTTTTTTAAACACAACATGATACATTTCGTAACTAAATAAATAGTTTTATCATAACAGTCACGTATTAAATTTAAATAACCGTGGTTTTAATGCAGCCATTAGGTTGCTTTTATGAGAGCAGTAATAAGAATTTGTTTGTTTACAGGCGCCGCGCGTCGGAGGCGTCAAAGTATACGATAAGAACCTTTCTAGAGATGAAATCATCATGGATATTGACTTATTGTAAGTTTGCCTATCTTAAACATTAATCATTCTGTATGATACATTGGTAAAGATTTTATGGCGGCCGCTTAATGTGTACCTAAACATGCATCATGCATGACACATATTATAACAAATATTCATTTAAGGCTATAATTTGGTAAATATAATTATGTATTTCAGATATTTAGAACAACTTTTTGAAGAAATTATTTAAATTTTTGTAACAAAAAGTGAAAAATTAAGGTAAAAGTACCTTTTTAAGGTTTTCTTTGTTCTATCATTACAGTAACAATTAGTGTCAAACTTGATGTGACTATGGTACCTATTTGTGGCAGGCAGTAGTAACCCAGCGGTAACTGCTCGCTTGGGAAACCGAGTAAAGCGGGTTCAAATCCCGGATCTCGCACCTCTGATATTTTCATGTGTGAATCATTTCCAAGATGATTACCACTTGTCTTACGGTGAAGGAAAACATCGTGAAGAAACTTGCATGTCTGAAGTATGTAGCAGTTTTTAAAAGACACGTGAAGTCCGCCAACTCGTACTGGGCTCGTGATGGGCTATGGCCTGATCCCTCGTATTGTAGGAAAGCCCGTGCCCAACAGTGGGAACTTAAAAAGGGCTGAATAAATGGTACCTATCAATCCCCTATGGCCTATAACTACATACATAGTTGTGACTTTCATCATCTACACCCAAAAAAACTGCTCATTAATAATTTCGAAAATAAATTTAAACAATACTAATATCTATGTAAAGAGAATTTGTTCTTTTCAAATAAATATTATTCATTCAATATATAAAATAAAATTTTCAATATATAAATTAAAATAGTGAGGAGTATTTTATATTATATATGTAATTTACATTTACAGTTATGCTGGCGACTGCGATATCTCATTTGTCCTCCAGCGCATTCGTGGAGGCATTAAGGACCTTCAGGTACTAATTGCTAACTGATAAGAATTCTATATGAGATATTAATAGCATTGGGCTTCCTTTGCAATTATTACTGATCAATAAAAGTATTTTGTAACTAGCGGCTCACACTAGCTTCGCTCGGTTTCGCAAAAACTAAAACAAATCTATCCTTCGGGAACCGTATATTTTCCGGAATAAAAAGTAGTCTATGTGTTATTCCAAACTATAATCTATCTCTGTGACAAATTACATCCAGATCCGTTCAGTCGTCCTGGCGTGAAAGAGTTACGAATATCCATATATACTCACAAATTTTTACATATTTGTCAGTATAGTTAATATAGATGAAACGGTATTTAAGGAATCTTTGGCATTGTTCTTTGACTGGAAAGTAAATGAAATGTTTATGTTATTTGAAATGAACTGTCAGACTTCACTATGAAATATAAGAGTTGATAATAAGTAGTTTGAAACGAGTGTTGCTTTTCAAACAACTTTATCTAAGTTTAATGCACCCGCATATGTAGCGAGTTAGCGTAGTATTACTCTAAAAGTGATTAAAATACTAGCAAATAACCCTTGTTTCGTTAGAATGCGGCCCTAAGTGCCTCACAGTAGCCCATGTATTACTCCAGGACTTAATTATCTTTGTACCTACTAAACATCCAAATCTACAAACACACAGATACATACATACACACAAACTTTCACATTTATAATAGTAGTTCGTTTTAATAAAATATTTTTTATGAAAATAATAATTATTTTTAATTATTAAAAACTAGCGGTACGTTTAAAAGATATAAATAGTTAGTTTAAACAAACATCCCAAGTCAATTTTTTTTGCGCTAGAAACCTTTGCAGGCGTATACAAAATAACCCACCAGAGTTTCATCACAATAGGATCAATCGGTTAAGAACGCATAGAAGACAAACTTACAAATATTCATTTTTATTTATATACTATATAAATATATAATTAATTAGATAAGGTAAAATATGGCAATGTAACTATTGCCAGATCCACGGAATGATGCGCGTGGTGATGAAGCCCCTGATCACCAAGATGCCGCTGGTGGGCGGCCTGCAGGTGTTCTTCCTCAACAATCCGTCCATTGACTTCAACCTCGTGGGCGCCGCCGATGTCCTCGACATGCCTGGCTTTAGGTAAGCAGCCCTTTGCATTAACGTTTAAAGTTTAAACATTGCCACTTCCAGTTTGCTACAAAATATTACTTTTTTTTGTTGAATTCATTGTTACTTAAATATTATCATTAATTGTTAATAGGTTTTTAAAATATAAAATGTATGTTTTATACACATTCAATGAATGTTTTGAACTTCAGGCAGAGTTTGTTTGTTTGTTTGTTTGTTTGTTTGTTTGTTTGTTTGTTTGTTTGTTTGTTTGTTTGAACGCGCTAATCTCAGGAACTAATCATTCGATTTGATCATTCTTTTTGCATTAAATAGCCTGTTTATTGAGCTATAATATCTAGCTTGTTGCTATAGTCTATAATATCATCCCAAAAAAATGTACGGTTCCCGTGGGATAGATTTATTTTTGTCTAGGGACGAACCCGAAGCGAAGCGAGGGTAAGTCGCTAGTTTATATATTTTCTTTTCATTTCCACAGTGATATACTGCGTAGATGTATTGTAGAACAAATAGCGAAAATGATGGTGCTCCCGAACAAGCTGCCTATTAAATTAAGTGATGAAATCCCTACTGTAGACCTGCGCATGCCTGAACCAGAAGTAAGTAAATAATAGTCAATTGTGAAGTTTCTTGCTTCATCAATTATATTTGCTTGTGAAAATAATATCAAATTATTAATTAATTAAAGTTTACGCAAGTATATGGTGGTGTTGTGGCTAGTATGCACGGTTGTACAACCAGAGTTCCTGGGTTCGAGTCCCAGGTCGGATCAATTTTAATTACTGAGTATTTATGTTAAAAAAGTCCTGGTAACAAACAGCCCGGAGTTGGGAAACTGGTGTTGTTTTACCCCCGTGTCTCGGAGAGTACGTAAAACTGTTGGTCCTGCGCCTGATCTCTCACCGTAGTCGTCCCACCGGAGTATGAGAGTGACAGGAATAGAGAGTGCACTTGTGTCTGCGCGTACACGCGGTACACTATAATATCTCCTGCGCAGATGGCTAGTCTCGGTGAGTTTGGCCGATATGGACGAAATCTGTCGGGAATACATCATCGTTTAATCTATTTTAACTTTGCATTAGTAGCGTTTATATACATACAAATTGTATTTTAGGGTGTCCTTCGAATTCACCTAGTACAAGCTCAGAATCTAATGAAAAAAGATATTTCTATGCTGGGTAAGTAACAATCAAATTACATAATATGTAAGTAGTAGTAAGAGCAGTAAAATTATTAACAATTATTATTTATTATTAGAAAAACATAACTACGAGCGTGTGTCAAATTAATTTGTAACTTTTGCGGTAGGTTTTTGTGACTAATATGTATTTCTCATTGGCGAATATATCGTGTTATCACAAAAATATAGGTAGTTGGATTTTGTACGCAGGTTTTTAAAAAAAATAAATATTGTGTGCTCAAAATTTATTTCAAAATATATCCGAAAATTACATAAAATCTTTGAGAAATACTTTAAAAAAATGTTTTTAAAAAAATAAATATCGAATGTGCATATTACAAGACTTCCGCGATAAAAATAGCATTCCCAAGAAGGGTTGACGTCAGGCAGGCGGCCAGTCGTAAAACTTTTTTCAAATCCTATCAGCTGTACAGAAGATGTACTGCGCTGACCCTAAGTGTTTGGGAAATGGCAAGGAGATGATGTGGTTTTTGAAGTCTGTCAAAAACATTTATAAGATCTTAAATTAATAATGTTTATAAGCTTATTATAGAGTACAAATATAATAATTCTCTTAAAATCACTTCTTTTTATATATACTTCCAGGCAAGGGTAAGTCTGATCCTTACGCCATCATTACTGTAGGCGCCCAGCAGTGGAAGACCAAGCACATCGACAACAACATCAACCCGCGTTGGGAGTATTGGTGTGAGGTGATTATAAAAAAATTATAATTATTATATTATTATATTTTTATTACTTCTAAGCACGGTTACGGATAATGCACCTGTGAACACTTTAAATAACAATTATTATTATTTTTAAAACGCTTGTAGATTCTATTAGTGAATACATCTCTACTTAAGCTGTATTCCAAATTTTTGATTGTTTTCCTTTAATATCTGGTTATGGTTATTTGGTGAGTACTTTGGACATTTTTGGTGTTTAATGTTGAATACTTTAAATGGGATAAGAATTTACAAGTGATATTTTTTTATATAACAGTATATTAACAAAATGTATGCCAATTGCCACATTTGCATTAAAGGTTATCACTATGACTAACTTTGTATATAAAAAAGAATTTACAGTTTGCGTCAAATCTCTGCATGTAAGTTGTATTCAAATATTTCGACAAAAAATGGAAAATCTGACACATATTTTTTGAATTTTTTAACGTTTTATATAAATAACATTAACGCCCTTCAAGATTTTCCATTTGAATATAATAATAAATGTATATTCACTGTTCTATTATATTCTTCTTGCTTCTAGAAAATTTCATTTACAAAGATTTTCTAATGATTTTAGTTTTTTCCGTTAACATTATCAAAAAGGTATTGCATGGTATCTCTTCGTATTATTTGTACAATGTAGCGACGCACTAATTATATCAAATATAACAACGCCCGAGAAAAGAAATTAAATATTGAAATATAAATATCAAATATAAATACAAAAACTCTCTCAAGCAGATAAAATTAGGCTTTTTACAAAAGTAAAAAGCAATGTCCCTATTTTGAATTTTCGCCTATTTTCTTACTTGTCTTTTCTATGCCCTTAAAGGCCTCAAATTATTATTTAATTTTACTGACGGCATTGGTTCTACCATGGGGTCTTATTACGAACAAAGAAAAAATAGTTCAAATAAATGTCAATAGATGACGTCACATGTATGGATTTGATATTAAAGTTGTGTTAATTTAATAAAAGATAAAAAATAGATCACATAAAGTTTATTATTGTTTTAAAAAAAATTCTAACTGAAGGGAAACAAAACAGTGCGCCCGTAAATCAAATTTGTGTTATTTGATTACTGATTGTTTAGATATCAGCAATCAGATGATGGGTTTGTAGTGTATATTTACATATGGCGCTGTTACTTTTTATAAATTATTTATCACGGGTAAAAAGTGTTAAAATAACTGAAAGTTTTTTATTCAAATGCAGAATGAATTTTACAATATTTACCATCCGTTAGTTTTTACATATTTATAAAATAAATCAGTTTAACTATTTGTAAATCAATAATATATATTATCTATTCAACCAAACAAAAGTAGCCCGAAGAATAACCCGAATTGGCGCTATCCAATTTCTTTGTATGGGATGAGGCATCTCTACTGGAATAGTATTATGTGATCTGTGGTTCTACTATGACTTATGATTTATCAATTAAAAATCGTCGACACTGTTCCTGCATAAAATATTATTTAAATGTATTTCAATTGCTTCAAATGTTCTTTTAGTATATTTTTTTTCCAATACTTAAGTATAACTAAATTTAGCTTTGTTTTAATATATTTAGTCGTCGCTGATACATTTGTACTCGTTCTTTACGTGCAATTTTTTTCCTGCATTTTTCTAAATCGTCTGCTTACTTTATATGAATGTTTCCTCTCTGTAATTGGTTTAGTCATTGAATGAGCAAGAAATGATTTTGTTTTCCTTACTTATGTTTGCGTCGGGGTATGCTTCGTTTGGCGTACAGGCGCGTATAATGCAAACGTTGGGGCAAACGTTGGATGTTGAAGTATTCGACAAGGATGAAGGCAACGATGACGACAAGCTGGGCAGGTGAGTGCTGTGGAGGGGTGGGGGAGGGTGGGGGTAATATTAGGTGAGCCGGTAGACGGTGGTGGTTCGGCTTCTACGACCTTATGTATAATTGCATAAGGTTCAAAGTCGTCAAGCATTCTGATTATTATATTTTATAGATATGACATGCCGCAAGCTTTGTTGTAGAAGCACGCACTGCGTTGGTAAGCTAGTTTATGTGCTTGTAATTGTGTGTGTATTTTAAAGTTAGATGCACTTATGATTGAAAGAGAAAATGTTTTGTTGAATATAAATAATTACTGTAATTTTATCTAGATTTTATTGAATACATTTTCTCAATCAAATTGTTTTGCTTAATTTAGTAGCTTTTATTGTTTTTAAAATGTTGGAATGTTTTTTTTCTAATGTATTTAAATATTTTTTTTAAAGGTTTAATATTCCTACATTTTAAAAGTAAAGTTTAGATTAAATGCTTTCTACCTTAACTATTAACTCCCTATTTATATCATGTATATATTATAGTATAATACTAATAAATTTAGAATGATCTTACTCTGCATATAGGTCAACTATATTTAAACCACAGTTTGTATTTATTTATATTTTTAAAATATTTCTGATATATTAAATATGTACATACCAGTGTTAGAGTCTGAGAAAAACTTAAAAAAAACTACTGAACATTTTTTTTCTGTTACATTTATATGTATTCAGCTCTTTTTTACATATAAACTTTTACATACGAAATTATTTATACATTTTTTTTTAAGAAAAAAACTAGCTCAAAGCGTATAATGATATGTTATGGTAATAAAGAATTCAATGAATTTCGATATTATTCAAGGGCAGATTAAATAAAAGATAAATTGAAGGCAAAATTAATTATATTGTGATTTGTCCGAAGGCGATAATTAGCTCAAGAAAGAGCCAGGTGCTGCAGTGCGAGTTGTGGGACTGGGACCCGGGAATGGGCATTCAGAACGATGACTATCTCGGCAGGTCCGTGCCGTCCGCGTGTTTTGTGCCGTTTTATTTCCAATTGCGTCCCACATATGTTAACTTTTACATCACTACTATCATTCCATTTATTTATTCTAATTATTATGTTTACTTTATTTGCATTATAAAAGCTTATTAGTGATCTAAAGGTTAATAGCTGAATCCCCCTTGTAGTTTAACGAGAAAATTGTCTTATTGTAATACCGTGTGGTGTGTATATAATTTTATTTATCTGAGTGGCAAACAAATCTAGAAAGATTTAGGAGTTGTAATTTTTGTTTTTACTTTTGTTACTTATATTTATTTATATTTATATACTCGTATGTATGTAAATATATATTTTACTGACTTCCCGAAAGCAAACTAATGTACTAAATCGCTATATTGTTTCGAACTAATTTGTTAAAAATAATGCAATATACTATATATATATATATATATATATATATATATATATATATATATATATATATATATTATATATATATATATAATATGAAAGTGGTGGGTTGTGACAGTCTGTGCTGCGCCACGCCGCGGTGCGCGCTACCGTACAGCTATACGACTGGGACCGCGCGGGCAGGGACGAGCACTTGGGCAGGTCGGTCGCCCTGCGCTGTGCAATGTGCATCCTAGACGACACTCACGGCCTCGTTGCGGGCTGTACTCGCCCGACTCACCCGAGTCACATACAGATGCAAATAATGCATTTTGTTTAATCATTTAGGATACAACACGGCTGTAGAGTGGGATTACTAATAATATAATCGATTTCTTAATTGTGCGCTGATCTTGTGCTAACTTGGAAAATGTCGGACAGTTACTTACCGAATTCTATTTATTTGGAACTGTTATCATTATAAAATGAAATTTTGTTTTAAGCGCAGGCTTCTTTTGATTAATATTATTCATTTAAATATTAGTTAAAAAATTTAAATCCTATATATTGATTTAAAAATAATTGATATATGCCTGTAGTCGAATATTATTAATATATTATTAGTAGTCACTATCTGTGAACTATAACATGGAAAATAATAAAATTACTTACGAGCACCATCCCATTACTAATAAACATTCTCATGTTCATTTTATTAAAGCAATTGATTAAATTATAATTACGATACAATAGTTATTTAGCATTCGCATCAATTTTAATCTTATCCTAAAACTACGCAGATATAACATGTCGACTTATTTAAAATCTCAACAAATAATATTTAAATTAATTCATTGCATATTAAATATCAATAAATGCCTCCTAAACGAGCATGCAGCATGTTTTGTAACCTATCGCGGTACAATGTAAAAAAATTGGTACATTTAACGTGCACTAAATAAGTTCACTAAAGTCGCATTGCCACAATAGAAGTCTGCTTTGACAAAAAGCTTTAAAACCAAGTTTACTATGATAAACACGGCTCCTAGTCCAATTTGATTGAACGCCGACATCAAAGTGCGCTTTGATTGCTCATTTACACGAGTAAAGTAGTTATCAAAACTACTTTGTGAAAGCAGGCTTTGAGAAAAAGTAGAACACGGTCCAAGTTTCATCAGAATGCGCTTTATTTACTCGTTTACATGATCAAAGTTGCGTCAAAGTAGTCATAAAAACTTTTTTGTCAAAGTAGACTTTGATCGTGTCAACGCGGCTTAATCAAAATTAAACGTCACTATTTTACACGAATACAAAGCTTTTCATTCGATGCACGACTGTCACAATTAGGTATATTCGTTTTAACACTAAACTAACCTGATTAAAGTTTTACTTTTATTATGTCGTTTATTTAAAGAAGTATGACTTTTTATTTGTTATTTTTTATTTAACTATAAGGTACTGACGCCGCAAAAATAACTATTAAATTGGGTTATTTATTTGATATTTTTTTATTGATACTTTAAGTTTGATTAAGCTTTTTGATATTGATACAAACTTGTGATTTTTGCGCTTGTCTTTGAAAAACCTCTGAACCTCTTGTTGATAAACGTTTATATAATAATAAAAATGAGTTATAAGTAAAACTAATGCTATTTAGAAATGTTCTATTCTAACCGAATTCTATTTTATCTTAATTCAGTAGAAAGGAATGTTGTGAGTACCGCATGATTTAATAATTTTGGCTGATGCCCGTTTATTAATAAGATGTTATTTTATATGTAAGACATTTTAATTGTTTTATTAAGTTAATTCTCATGTAACATTAATACTTTTATGAGGTTATTTATTTTAACGTACATTTAAAATTACTCACTGATAAATGTATATTAAAAATTATTTAACATTTATCCAACGCAGGTGTTCTTTGGACATCTCTCAAGTTGTGCGCGCGGGTCGCTTAGATACGGTAAGAGTTTAAATGAGTATACTACATATATTGTATATTATATACGTACAAGTGTATACTCAAAATATATTAAATCATGCTTTTTTTTCAGTGGCAAACACTTCAGCAAGCTAAATCTGGGAAAGTACATTTACGTTTGTCTTGGCATCGCTTATCCACTGACCTCATGGATCTCAGCCATGTTAGTATGATATACATCATTTTATTGGTTATAGTTAAAATATTAATATCAATGTCAAAAATAACTACAATGTACAATTATGTATCCCTACAAAGTGTAGATGCAGGATTTTTAAAACCATTTAAATTCCTTCATTCCTTTGGTCACTAAATCTGTACCGTGTGTAAATATAACTTAGCCCTATAAACGTTCCTGGGCAAGGGCCTTCCTCGTATCGGGCCTTATTCGTACTAGTTGGCGGACTTCATACATTTTTCGAAGACTGCTTGGGCGGTAGACCATAGATAATACGTTCGTGTGTAAAACCGAAGAAAAAAGTGATGTGTGTTCAAACCCTGAGATGATCGCGCGCAAATTGTAAGAAAATCTTCACGTTTTAAAAAGCCTAACATCTGAAGATATGAAAACTTTAAACAAATTTCGTTGTTAGGAAATACTACAAACAATAATCATAGTACTTTTTCTTCAGGCCCTCACTGAAACTCAACTGGTGAAAAACGCAGAGCTCAGTTCGGCGGTGGTCTCCGTGTATATTGATTCGTGCAAGAATTTACCTGTGAGTAATAATTTAAGTCTTTAATTTAACATATCTACTATACGTTGTTTAAAAGATTTAGCAACACATTTCTAGACTTAAATATATGTACGTAATTTCCGATGTGTGTTATATGTATGTTACGCTAAGTGACTTTCCTCTCTGATGTTTAGGTTTAAGGTGATGCATACATACTATGAATGCCAAACTCCTAAGTTTATAAATATCACAGATATTTATTAAAACTCAAATTTCACTCAAAATTCCTTATTTATTAAATATTCATGCATTCATCATCACTTACCTCACAATGGAGATGCGGTTTATAATATAATACTAGCGAAATAATTGGTAAATGTACAGAACGCGCGCGCGCAGTCGCGGCCCGACCCCTACCTCACGGTGACGCTCGGCAAGAAGACTGAGAACACCGCGGTGCAGATGCGCACCGACAGCCCCGTGTATGAGATCGGGTACTCCTTCCTCGTGCAGAACCCTGAGATCGATGTGCTCGAGATAAAGGTTTGTCATTTAAAAAAAAAAAGGTTTTTTCTCGGTTCACCCCAGTTGGGTCTCTAGAAGAGATTTTTTCATAAATAAATATAGGTAGCCGATGCAAAACAAATCTAATATATTTTATTACGTAAAATACATATTTACCTATTAGATTTTCATATCTTAAAATATTGTCGGCTGGCACCGACTTTGAAAATATCTGATTAGGTATCTATTCTAAATGAAAACCCCCGTTTAATTATTTTTTACATTTTAGCGCCTGGAAGTCGGTTTTTAATAAGTTTTTATTTTTTCATTTTTAGTGTAAACGTAATAAGCAGGTAATTTGTAAGAAGAAAGTTTTTTAATAACATATTCGATTAAACAATTTATTGAACAAAATAATTTATCGTTGATTATTTTAAAAACTGCTCAACCCGATTTCGATAAAATTTATATGGGACCACCTGGGAAGTATACCCTTTGAAACAAAAAAAATATTTCCAAATCGGTTCAGGCGTCTTCGAGTAATCGGTGAACATACATAAAAAAAAGATTCCCACGAATTGAGAATTTTTGAAGTCGGTTAAAAAAAAGAATCCTAAGCGCTCATCGTCCTTCATAATAAAATATATATTATAATGATAATTGTGTACTGCAGGTTATAGATCAAAAGACAGGCAACCAGCTCGGACAGCTGAGCTATGCGATATCGGGGCTGTTGAAACAAAACAGTCTCACTATGCTGAACCAGCCAATGAACCTACAGAAATCTGGACCAGAGTCTAAGATTATTCTGGCGCTACAATTAAAGGTAATATTATTTCTCATATAGTTTATATATATTTAATCAGTGTAAATTACTAGTACTATGGAGTGTAGTATATCAAATCTTTTATCTTCTATATAAATAAAAATGAATCACCGAAATGTATGTACGCGCATAACTTCGGATCGACTGCACCAATATTGGATAATTCTTTTTTTTTGTGTTATAGTCAGGAAGTTTTGTATAGAAGAAAATTATAATTTTTTTTTTTACTAAAATAAGTTTTTTTTTTAATTTTATGATGATGATGATGTTCTCCTAGCCGATTCCGGCTACGGCGGCCGATCTCATTGAGATTAGCCAACTGCGCAGGAGATATTATAGTGTACCGCGTGTACGCGCAGACACAAGTGCACTCTCTATTCCTGTCACTCTCATACTCCGGTGGGACGACCACTCGACACGACCGGTGAGAGTTAAGGCGCAGGACCGACGGCTTTACGTGCTCTCCGAGGCACGGGGGTGAAACACCGCCAACTTCCCAACTCCAGGCTGTTACTGAGACTTACTATACAGAAAGACTCAATAACTAAACTTGGCCCGACCCGGGACTCGAACCCAGGACCTCCGGGCGTGCAGCCGTACATGCTAGCCACTACACCACCGAGGCAGTCAAAATTTTATGATATGACGTGTGACAAGTGAGTGAGTGAAATCGTTTTTATCTCGAAAATCATCCTTTAAGCGGGTGAGAATGGGGATGAAAGTTTGTATGGGGAAGCAAGAAACTCACTAGTTTTTTATATTTTTGTATAATGTTAGCGGCTTATCCTGCGCTACGCTCAAGTGTTTGCCTAGATTACTAACAGTAGACTATGTGTTACTTTAGGTCGTGGACTATCTATCTATATATTACATCCAAATCAGTCTAGCCGTTTCCATATGAAGGAGTAACGAACATACAGACCCATACATTCAAATTTTCACATTTGTAACACTAGTCTGATTGTAAGCAATACATATTTTAACATATTAAAAATATGTATAACTCAGGTATTTTTTATATGATTCAGATCCTTAAAGAGGCAGTAAAGGAGGAAGACATAGACGATGAGACAGTGTCTCTAGCGCCCAGCGAGCCCGAGCGCGCGCCCCCGGCGCCCGTGGAGCCGCCCTCCGAAGCTATTGACGGACTTTCTATTCCACCAGGTATCTTTACTTATTCTTTCAAGACGTCAAAAAATAGGGTGTACGTGTGTGTTTGTCTTTTTTTCTTTTTATATATTATACTAGCGACATATCCTCGCTTCGCTCGAGTGCGTTATAATTTTTTTGGGCGGAACTCTAGTACTTTTTCTAAAATAAAAGTAGCCTAAGTTACTCCTTATAACGTCAGCTATCTGCCAGTGAAAGTGCCGTCAAAATCAGTCCAGCCGTTTCGGATATTATTATTATTATATTATTTCGGATAGATTATATCATCGGCAGTCTATCTGCCTGTATGTTATTCGGCCGGAACTAACATACAGGCAGGTAGACAGACAAAAATTTTACAAATTGTGTTTTTCTTATAAGTGCCATATATAATTTCATATGTATCAAGTAAAAAGATGTTATTTTGATATTACAAACAGACATTTCAATTTTATTTATCTGTACAGATTATATACTTCTACCATATAAATTTCAAGAAATAGAATAACTACTACTCTCCTACTAAGTGACTCTGAAGTAGGTGTACCTTTTTAGTTATGAAACAAATAACTATTATTTTGACAAACGATATTTCGAACATATTTATTAATTATTTATTCAAATATTTAACTAACAGTGTGTAAATTTATGTTCACAGTTTTTATGGGTTATTTGAAAGCTTAAAATAAAAATAATTTCAGTTATAGAACCAATAAAACCACCTTCGAACGCAGAACTCAAAGACATTCAGGACGCACTTCCAAATGTAGATAACAAGTCTGAAAACTCCATTCCTGTTGAACAAATCATTAAGGAAGTTGGTAAGTGTTATTTAGATATAGACCCAATATTTTTCTGTATATTTTGTCGTCACTTTATACGTTTTTATTTGTGAGATTATTGAAACAACATTTTTAATCAACGTATTTATAATTGGTTTTTATTTCACAGATGTACCTCCCGAGAGTCAGCCCGAACGTGATTCTCCTAAATTGATTCACAGAACTTCTTCATTGACTACGTAATTACCTATATTATTGATTTTTTATAATAATGCTTTCTTTAACTTGTTTATATTTTCTTAGATTTACGCGAATATTTGACTTTTTAAATAAAACTATCTTTTCGGATTTTTTCGCGGATTTATTTCGATTTCATATAGTATATGAAACATCCGAAAAGATAGTTTTAATTTTAAATAACTTGTTATTGTTAAATTGTACGAGTTTCGAGTCATTTTTTTGTTTTCTAATAATGGATTTCACCTTTAACAAAAAAATTTTTAAAATAAGGAAAAATATACTCTGTGTATTTATCGATAGAACGCATATTGTATAATGTATATGCACAAATGATTTTATACAAAATTCAAAACACTTGTCTTCGTTTACTTTGTGTTTAGTGGATAAAAAAGCAAAAATTATATTTATAATAATATAATCTCAATGTTAGACCCCTACAAAAGGAGACCGCTTACAAAAGAAACAAAAACATTTTTACTGTAATTTCGTTACCCAATGAGTATCAATCGCGGTAGCCCGCGCTTAGATTCGTCGTGAGGGTCGCTAGTGTAGTGAGGTCCCTAGAAATGTTAAATGACACTGAATATTAACTGTTTGTGAGCTTTACATCGCGGATGTTCACTAATGATTATTGTAACCATTCTGCCATTAATGATTAATTATGGCAGACACGGCACGGCTCAACAAATGGTATTGCTTTAAAAGAAGAGCTAAAAAAGATATATATTTTATATATTTGGTTACTATTAATTATGTAAAACAAAATCCTGATAAACCGGTGTCGCGCTAACAAATCTAACAAATACTTTTTTAACTACAGAGATAGGACCTTACTCGCTAGTGGCTCCAACTGGCCACCAGATACGATAGTCCTCATACCATACGTATATATTATAAAAATATATTTTTTACCCCTAGATCTGCAGGTGAAGCGGGCCTGGGACGCATTTTACTGTCTCTTCGCTACAGCATGCAAAATCAAATTCTTTATGTTGTGGTACATAAAATCATGTAAGTATTTTACAATTAAGTATATTAATCTTGTGAAAAAGTGTGCAGCTGTATGTGTAATTTGAATATTTTAATTAAATTATTATAGGAACATACCTCTAAAGGACCCAGCCAATGTGCCCGACCCTTATGTAAAATTGTACTTATTGCCTGGACGCTCTAAAGACTCCAAACGCAAGACGCTTGTAAGTAAATTAATTATTACATATTAATCATACTACTGACACATATATATGTACTTTATAAACATATTACAAATAATTGTTGATATATTCTCTAATAATTTGTACAGCTGGTATTGATTGTTTTCAAATTCAGACTAATAAGAATATACAATTAATTCAATTTTCTTGTTAATGGCTTCAAAACAACCATAATAAGAATGTAAATACGATCGATACATTTATAATTTTAATACCTAAGAAACATTTTATCAGTATTTTTATATTCTCCTTTATACCATTGTAAATAGGTAAAATTTGCTTACATATTGACTATAATCTCTGGAATTTCTAAACCAATATATAAAACTTTTTTGTATTACAAAGCTCCTACCCCATATATACAACACGAGCGTAAACTAGTTTGTAATAGACTAGTTTCATTCTTATAACAACAAACTTGTATGCTCAGGTTGTGAAAGACAACTGCATGCCAGAGTACGACGAGCAGTTTGAGTGGGGGATCCCCCTCGCCGAGCTGCACTCGCGCCAACTGGAAGTCACCGTCGCCACACACAAGGGCTTCCTCGGTGGGAGCCCCGTTATTGGTCAGGTATAGTCGATATGTTTTATTGCTACTATATTCAAATACGGGATCCGGAGGTCCTGGGTTGGGTCAAGTTTTGTTATGGAGTATTTCTGTTAAGAAAGTCTGAGTAACAGCCCAGAGATGGGAATTTAGTGGTTTCATCTCCGAGCCACAAAGAGCACGTGAAGCCGTCGGTCTTGTGCCTGATCTCTCACCGTGGTCGTGTAGAAGTGTCAATAGAGTATGAGGGTGCACTTATATATTATGTGATACTAGCAGTATCCGCGGCTTCGCCCGCGTCCAAACTTCCGATCGCTAAAAAAAATCACAGGATACGGCCTTTTATGAAAATTTAGTAACACACCGACTGCAGCGTCACCTACCGAAACGATTTGTGAATTCAAACCTTGCGGGGACCGATTCAAACATACACAAAAAATATCATTAAAATCATCCCTGCAGTTTAGGAGATTATCAGTGGCACACCGACTGCAGCGCCACATCCAGGAGCCCATTTAAATATACACGCAAAGTTTCATCCAAATCGGTTCAGTCATTTAGGAGGAGTAGGAGTCCTTCCATCGCACCATACAAGAGAATATAGATTACTTATTTATAGTAGCAGTAGTTATATACAGTTTGTGTTTTCGAGTAATTGGCTAGCCTCAAGTAAGATTGGCCGCTGGAAATTCGTATCTCTGACCTCAAACTAACCGCTGTTTTAATATCTTTTATTCTAGGTAATAGTGCATCTCAACCAGTACGACTTCCGTGAAGCTAAGACCATGTGGTTTGATCTTTTGCCTGAAACTTCTCCAAAAGAATGAAGTCCTAAATTCGAATCTTGATGAAATTTTTCTTATGTTGTCGCCTATGCTGTGTCATCTGACAAAAAATGTTTCATATTTTTTTATAACTTTATACATTTTACTTTTTTAGATTAAAAAATATATATATTTATTAATTTTATTTGCTACATAACATGTGTTTGTAGATGTTATGCAGTTATAAGTTTTTGTTTATTTTATAAATTACACTTTGCCATGCTTAAAATATTTTAAAGCATTACTTTTAGATAGTGATGATTAACTTGTTATATATGTGTTATTATGACAATTATACCATGTTAATTATATGTACCTTGTTGAGATTATAAAAACGCAAATATTTTTATTTATATGAATGTTTATTGTTTCTAATCAATGTTGCCTTCTTATGATCAATCATATTTTTAAGTTACTAAAACCAAATAATGTTACTTAAATTTGATCTTATGAATATTAATTTTATAAAATAATTCATTAAAAAGATGCCTTAAATGTATGCTTGTATAATGTAAGTAAATGTCTTTTATTTAAATTATGTTGTATTTTTATTTACCCTATATTAAACTTGAACATTTAAAAAATCAGTTTAAAGTGTAATAAATTCATCTATGAAAATATCAATTAACATAACGAAGGTTACTTCACAAAATAGATATTTAATACAAAAAAAACGTGTGTATACTTATGTACGCACTTAAGAAGTTATACTTAAAATTTGTATCATAGTAGTATATATATCGCCCATCGTAAAAATTTTACTCTCATAATTTCTTCCAAACGTGCCAAAAGCACCTAGCTATGGTTGAAGGTAGCTTGAACACATCTGGTAATCATTTCACTTTTCAGTTTTAAACGTTATCTATCGGGCTATTATTACAAATACCACAGATCATATAATACTATAAGCAAATATAAAAGTTTTTATGTATATGTTTGTTACTCTTTCACGCTACGACTGTTGTCGACGGTTGTTGTAGGGTTTTAGATGAACGTGCATTCACCTTGTCGTGGTGGGGGGGGGGGGGGGGCTCAGTAGTAGTAGCGAAGCTAAGAAACGCACAGGGAGGTTGCCCACTTCGGTGGGCGGTGGGAGGTGGCCCTCTTCGGGGGGCGGTGTACCATGCGGGTTGCTCCTGGTACTTCTCTGATAGCAGAGTGGACTGTGGAGCAACCCCATGGTTGTGGTGGTCTGCTTCGGCAGACCTGCCGTCGGGGCGTCGTAGTTGAATGCGTAAGCGATCCTGCGACGCCCCATTAAGACGGGGGAAGGTTTTGTTGGGTTTTAGTGGGTAGTACTGGCTGTATTACGCCGGTGAGTCCCACACGTCGTGCGTAAATGCATTTCCCAACGTTAAAAAAAAAAAGGGTTTTAGATGAAATCGGGGCGGTCGGGATGCCCTGCGAACCGAGGGCATCCTGATTTAGGCGAGGCAGGCCCGCGTGGTACGGGCCGTCCGCAGCGGCGTTGCAGTGAGTGCGAAAGCGATCCTGCACGCCCCATTGCACTGCGGCGAAGGGTTCCGCTGTGGGTTTTAGTGAGTAGGAGTCTCACAGTACCCTGCCCATGACGGCGGCAGGGTCCCCATGATGGGTTTCCCCAGCGAAAAAAAAAGAAAAAGGGTTTTAGATGAAACTAGCGACACACCCTTGCTCCGCTCAGGTTCGTCCCTACTTACGTCTTAACGTTTAGTATAATTTCTCAGAAATCAGATATTTTCCCACAGTAAAAAGTATCCTATATGCTGACCCGGATAACCCGCTATCATTATACCAAATTTCATCAAAATCTATCCAGTGGTTTTCCCGTGATGCGGTAACAGACCGATAGACAGACAGACAAAAATTGTAAAAGCAATAGATTCGGCCTCTATATCTGATCTAATGAAATTATCTTTCAAGTGTAATACTTGGTAGATTTTATTTAACTTGAATTCATTGAATGTTTGTTCGGGTCAAATTTTGCAACTGAATTTTTAAAGCAGTTATCCTCAACCGATTGAGCTAATATTTTGCATACACGTTTATATTAGATGACAATACATGTTCAGCTAAGTGACGTCATTCTAAGTCCAATATGGCGAACTCCTAAAGTAGGCGGACTATGTTTTTTTATGCACCTTTCATTTGATATCCTTAAGCATGTTAATCATTTTAAAGTTATCAAATGAAAGGGTTTGCTAAAAAGAATAGGAATGAAATAAAAAATAAATTAATACTATAAAACATTTTTTTAAAACAAGCTTTTATCTAAGTGCTGCAAAAAGAAAATAAACTTTAAATTACAAATATGTGATATAAAAGCTTGTCGCGAGATTTACCTTTAAATAAACAACAATATAATATGTAACTTGATCTTGATAATTCTAAGAAAAAAATACCTATGGTTTTTATAAAAGAGGTAAAGTCAAATCTCGTGACAAGCTGTATCATATAAATTGTGTAATGCAATAAATTGATGGGTTTGATTTTATTTAGTTTTATTTTATTTTTCTTAGAGCTTTTAATTAAGTGCTTGTTTTTAAAAAGGTTTTTACTATAAATTTTTGTCATATATATAATTATTTCATATCTTTATATTCATATATATTTTTACATATCATTGTTTAATTTAACAATAATAAAATTAAATATAAAGCATGATTTTATTGAAACTAGTTTATTTAATGTAGAATTTACTTAAAATTAATAATATTGGTTACAAAATGCTTTCTATGTAGTCACATTCACATCAACTGAATGTTGATACCAATTATTTTCACAGTCTTTTAAAACATTGTCCCATACTCGATCATGTCAGCGTTCTAATGTATTTGGTGTAACCTTCTGAGCAATTATTTTGCCATAGCCTCCACGTCCACCATCATAATCTGTACGATATTCATCACGAACCTATAATACAAACAATAACAGAAAAGTAAATAGCACTAATGTAAAGCATTCAGGACAAAATCTATAATTTATATATGTAAATAAAAACTGTGGAAAAGAATTGAGCAAGGACATTATCTTGCCCCCTTTAAAATGAAGAGTTGAAAGGGATCCTTCCTAAAATATTTTATTTAAACTTTTTATTGCAATAATAAATAAATAAAATAAACTCATTAAGAAATAATAATATGATAATCTTGATATGGGTACCAGGTTATGCAGGCATTATTGGCAACAATCGAGCCGATGTGCTTGCAAGAGTGGGCGCTCTGGGTACTCGACAGGGACCTGAGCCCTTCTGTGGTATACCTAAAAGCCTAGCTCAAAGAACCCTCATGACAAGCTTTGGGCGGAATCAACAGGAATGATTCACTCCAAGATACTCATCAAGGCCTATGACAAAGGTACAAGAAACTAGTCCTAGCACTAAATAGAAAAATTTTATGCTTATTATTAAGTTTTCACAGGACACTGGTGCTTAAACAAGCATATGTTAAACCTAGGTGTGTGACACACAAACCTGCAGAAGATCTTTTGGGAAGCAGATGAACACTTCTTCATCTTTCTGGGTAACTCTAGTCCTATATGTGGAGATCACTATAGAAGAGAAATGGTGGAAGTGATACTTGAGGCGCAAAACAGAAATAAAAAACCCTTAGAATAAAACATAACATTTATATGTATTCTATAGAAAATTATACTGTTTATTACCTGTCCACCAGTCTTTCCCCTACCATATTGTCGACCTTCAATAAATCCAGCATCCCAATCACATCTTATAATTCTATCATCTAATCTTGTACCATTTATGTACCTATAAAGAAGAAAATAAATGTTAAATATTATCTTAAATCTTAACAATATATCCTTGATAGAAATTTACATTTTTAACAAATGGCTGTTTAAACTAACCTCATGCAATTCTCTGCATCTGGCCTTGCGTAGTACTCTACAAAGCAAAAGCCACAAGGCGTCTTTTTATATTTATCCAAACCCATTATAACCCGACGAATATCACCACAGCGTGAGAATAGTTCGTAGATTTGTTCTTCAGTGGTATAGAATGACAAATTTCCAATATAGAGTGTTGATGATGCTCGTAGTAGCTTTTCTTGTTCAGTTCTAGATCCCTAGTAAATAAATTTTAAATAAGTATGTGTGTTTTATCTACAAAAACACAATTGTTTTAATAAATAGTGAGTAAATTAGTACTGCCTTAAAATGTTGATCTCGGTAAGAACTTATTTCAATTGAAGAATTCATTGAATCGTAACTCCTCTTCATTATGTTAGTGCTAATTTTTTCAAACAAACACGTTAAATTAATAAATTTGTATGATGCTAAATTTCTATTACAATTTACAATCCAGTTTGAGTGACATTTACTTATGACATTGACAGATGAAATGACATGTCATCTTTTATTGCAAGTGCAACAGACTTTTTATTCGTCTGTTAATGTCGGTGTAGAAAGGTCCGACCATAAAACGGATCTATAAGCCAATAAAGAAAAAAAACGGATTTCAACCGCTCCCAATCTGTATGAATATTACTGTCTGCATTTCATTTTATATCAGCATAGTCATATTAAATCGTATATACAACGATTGCGCCATCGATTGGGGAGTACCAAAATTACGGCAGCGAGTTTTAAAAGACTTAATTTTAAACGCATGTATTGCAAATCTAATATGTTTCGATACGTAAAATATATATTTACCTATTAGATATTCATATATTAAAATATTGTCGGCTGGCACCGACTTCGAAATTTATATGGGACTACCTGGGAAGTATACCCTTTGAAACAAAAAAAAATTCCAAATTGGTTCAGGCGTCTTCGAGCAATCGGTGAACTTTGAAAAAATATTCCAACGAATTGATTTGATTTTTCTGTTAAAAACTAGCACCATACACTATTGTAAATGTTACCGATTTATTTTAATTTTTATCTAAGATGATACATGACATTATAAGCAGTTTAATATGATTAAACATAGTATATGAATATAGTATAATTGTGTTTTATCAACAAGTTGTAGTTTTTTTTAATAATATAAAAATCCAACCCATTTAATATACCTATATGCTTTAATGTGAACATTCTGTCTTGAATAGTGATTGATATGATTCCATCGCTCGCCATCGATTTGTTCCATCCTGTATAATATTATACGTATTTTAGTAGGGCTTTCGACATAGTTTCCAATAGAATTCTTTTGTATAAGTTGGCTATATATGGAACTTCAGGCTCCCTACTGAAATGATTTAAGTCATACTTAGCAAACCGATTGTTTTTGCGGTGGTAGATGGGTACGAATCAACAATCAAAACAGTAAAATCTGGTGTCCCCCAGGGATCTTATTTGGGGCCTACTCTTTTCAATATATTTATAAATGATATTGTTGATTGCTTTAAGAATTCTGCGCCTTTCATGTAAACCGACGACCTAAAGCTTATAAAAATCATATAAAACCTTGCAGATGTACAGCTCTTACAAGATGATATAAATAGAATCATACAGTGGAGTTCTAATAATAACGTTCAAATAAATAATAAAAAGTGTATTCACATTAAAGCCACTAGAAAAGTTAATGTTTTAGCTTCTGCTTATGTTACTGGTAATAGCATTCTACGTGAGGTTGATGAAGTAAGGGATTTAGGAGTAATTATTGATCGCAAATTAACGTTTATTTCGCACATAGACTACGTGATTAAAACAGTTCCAAAATATGAGGTTTCGTTGTACGCAATGGTAGAGAGTTTACCAAGATCAAGACTAAAATAATTCTATATAACGCCTTAGTACACAGTATTTGAGAGTACTACTCTACCGTCTGGAGACCACATTATGCTACACGAACATGTTAAGAATACATGGACATCTTGCCTTTACTTCGGGAACGTCCTTGATACTAAAAGGATATACCTAAGGGTAGACCATGAACGAATTAATTCGTTCATGGGGTAGACTTAAGTACTTTAAAATAAATTCGCTGGAAGGCCGCAGAAACTATTAGATCTCGTATTTTTATATAAAGTATTTAGTCAATAATTGAATTCACTGTCCAGAGCTGCTTAGGCCCTTAATTATATGCACCTTCAAGATACCCCAGAAAGGCTATTAATCTCTCCTCATACCCTCGTCGCTCCACAGTTATCTATTATATATCCTATTCTATTTTTGTCCAGTCAATAGTCACATTTCGAAAATTAATAATATAAGCCCTAATTTAATATAGTTGTAGCATATAAAGTATATAATTTAATGTTTAATTTTTTTAGGGTTCCGTACCTCAAAAGGTAAAAAAAGAGCCCTTATAAGATCACTCTCATGTTGTCTGTCTGTCTGTCTGTCCATGTGTCACCACCGATTTTCTCAGGAACATATGAACCTAGCAAGTTGAAATTTATACCAGATACTGAGGTTTATAGTCCCTATTAGGTGTATAAAAATCAAGGTCCTGAGTTAACACGATAAAAAGATATGGGTAAATTTAGATTTTCGCGAAAACTGGTAAGTACCAAAATACACTTTAATTTTAAAATTTTTGTATTTTTCCGAATTTTCCCTTTACTCGTGCTGCAAGACCTTGCTTTTAATCAAAATTGACAATTCTAGGTCAACCGGAAGTACACTATAGGTTTTGGGTCGAAATCCTATATGGTAGTAAAGTCAAACACAGTACAGTTACAGTACAAATAAAGGAAAAATTCCAAAAAATAAAAAAAGTTGAAAATTAAAGTTAAACAGATTTCCTACAAATTTGTACGGAATCCTCGGTGGGCAAGGCCGACTCGCACTCGTCCGTATTTTTTTGTCTTAGGCGTTATAGTAAAAAATTTAAATTACAATCTAATTATTTTTACCGTCTAATTATATTATTATATTTAAGTGTTACATGTTGTGTTTACCTGTAAGTGGCTTTGCATTTTAGATTTGTATTTTTAACGTTATTTCTTGTGTAGGTATATATGAAAGGTAAAGATGTTGGTGAACCTAATCAAGAGAAAAAACAAGACATCACGTGATAACGGACGATCCTTTGTTGCAACAAATTATAGTTGTGATTATTGATCTAATTACTACACGAATATACCTACAGGTGTTAATTATGAAATACTGAAAATATTTTACAATATTATATTAATTAAATTAAAAAAGAACAACATTTGTGTAAAGGTATGCCACCTTAAGTACATATATTTATTGTTGATTATTTAGAACTTACATTATAAATACATCTATAAAAATACTGTAACCAGTTAAGTATACACATTTTGATGAATCTGCAAATAAAGTTTTTATAGTGAATACTGTGGGTTTTTTTTAAACTAAAGCTTTTTAAAACTTTAACAGATAAAATATTTATCTGATAGATATCTGAAATATACATTAAAATATAAATGCAATGTAAACAACTCTTAATAGTCATATTATTAAAGCAATTTTAAACTACATTTCAAAGGTATGCATTAAACTATTGATAGTTCTTCAAAAGAACACAGCTAAATTGAGCACCACTTTACTTATATACATTTAATTTAAAATAGGTTTTTCGATAATTTTTATCGTAAATAAATAATAACTAATTTCTTTAATTAAATCTTTACACTTTTAAATAATATCGCTATACATATCGCCGCATCATTTACGTAATAACTTCGAGAAAAAATCTATTTTCATAGCAAAGTATAGGATTACTTAATCTTTTTTCTTTAACATATTTATTACCATTCATTACATTTAAATGTCCAGCTTTAGAATCATTTTGGCTTTTATGTTGTAAAATGATGTAGAAGTAGATGATGATGTAGGCAAAAGTCTTAAAAAATATATAGGTATGTTTATGACTCGTGTTTTGCGAAAAAATATTATAATACGGAACTCTAGGCTTTAATATAAAAAAAGCTTAATATTTAAAATCTATTGCTTTTTGTGATGTATTAAAGAAATGTACATTGACGCTTCGGCACATGTTTCTTCCGAAGAGCAGCTCGCACCGCTTCTTCAAACACTTCATGCATATTTTCTCGCTCCAAAGCGGAACATTCCACCAACTGACTTGCTCTGAAAAAAATCATATCAGTATTAAACGACTATAATTTAAAAAAAATGACTACTGATAGCTGTAGTCACTGGTAGGTACTGTAATATTATCTATTTTTAAACTATTATTGTCTAAGCTAAATATTATTGTAAGTATACCCGGTGCGGGATTCAACCTTAGCGCCGCCCCTGGGAAATGTATAAAATGTCGCCATTCTCGAAACTTTGCATGAAATGAAAAAGTTTCGAGTATCGCTGAAATTAGTGAATTTAAAAACAAAACATTAACAATTTTTCTTAATTATATTTTTTTTAAATGTAAGAAATCTATTTATAAATATTATGCTTTCTATTTTTCGAAAGAATTGCTAGTAACATTTTCTTAATTATTCATTTTTTGGAAAATAAAAAAACAATTTTCGACAATGCGAAGAAAATATTGTTTCTGGCCCTCGGAATTAAAAAAAAAAGGAAAAAAAGGAAAAAAAAAATTGCCGCCCTGGGCACTAGTCCCGACTCCCGAGTGCCCCTAGTGTAAATCCAGCGCTGAGTGTATCTAATATTGTTTTAGTTTGTACAAAACTCAGTACAGTATACCGTACCTATACCTATCGCTGTTTTTCACCAACACATTTACCTAATTATTTTAACATGAAGAAGGTTTTTATGCTGTCTATTTTGCTGTATCTCACCACTAAAAAGGTTACATACTCTATACTCGCCACTAGATTGTGCTGAAGTCATGAGAATTGTTACACATTGGTAATTGAGTTCAGAGTATGGAGTATTAATATAAAATAATTTTGTTAATTAATTGCATCTCTTTTACTCTCGTGTATTTATCTGAATATAAACATTTATCGGCGAACCAACAGTAATGGTGACGATAGTGCAGCTGCCAATGCGCGCAGATAGCATCCGACAATTTTTCCTCACTCGAGAGATTACATATTATTAATTACATGCGATACTTTAACGGTTATGAATAATATTATACATATTAAATAAATACTTATTCTTGCACTTATAAATTATAGAAATACTAAAGAAAAGACTTTTTTATAATAGGTAGGTACATGTAGTTGTAGATAAATACAAAACATTATTAAAATCAATATAGAAGTATGTTTAATAGCTATTTTTAAGTTTTTAACTAAAACGGTACACTGAAATGCAATGGTACCTGCTTTGAAATCACTCTTTTTAGTAATCATTTGTTTATATAGGGTGGAATATAATCAATAACAAATTACCAAAATCCACAAACAACAGAATAAAACATTTAATCAAAACGTAAAACTTCACCTTTATGGAGTCTGTCAAAAAAGCTCTTACCGTATTTTCTTTTTCAGTGATACTCCTTCTTGTGTTGTAATGACAGCTTTTCCCGACGATCTTAAGTCAGTTTTGGTAGCTATAAACAAAACATTACATATAAACATTGTCAACCGACTTCCTCAAAAAGGAGGAGGTTCTCAATTCGACTGTATTTATTTAAGTTAAATTTAATGAATTCAATACATGTCTAACCAAAGTATATATTTTCCTTTAACTCTTAAAGCCATCATCTTCATCTCTACATGATTGATTTACGAATTATGTCATAAATAGGTACCTAATGTCTAATTATGTTACATGTGAAAATAAAACTTCCAACTTATAACAATTTGTCGATGAAATAAAATTATTCATTTTATGTAATTTATTAGTTCACGATAACGGCCTGCCTAAAAGAAGAAAAAAAAGTTTGCCAAAGCATTTCGTCTTATTTACCCACGAGGAAGAAAAAAGAAATTTTCACCAACAATAAAAGTAGTAAGGATGGTATTCGTACTATAAACAAAAAATAATAAGTATTTAGACTTCGTATAAAATTGCGCTATCAAGCTCTGTCTATCGCGTGTCCTGTACGCCTTTCCTGTTACGCGATCGAGCCATTTATAATCGCTTAATCAATACATTATGATTACATATAGAAAAATGAATATCATCTATACATATAATAAAAATGTAACTAAGTCGAATCTGTACATTAAATATTTTTTGGAAAATCTAATTGAAATAGACATTATTATCGATACAGAGTCCGAATCTATAGTTTTTAAAATTTTTGTCTGTCTGTCTGTCTGTCTGTTACCGCATCACGAGAAAACCACTGGACAGATTTTGATGAAATTTGATATGATGATAGCTGGTTATCCGGGTCAACATATAGGATACTTTACACCGCGTGAAAATATCTCATCTCTGAGAAAAAATACAAAAACTGCATTGTAAGGGTATACTAATATGTAAAACCTAAGAATTTGGTTTTTGGTCATCTGAACGCGGGCGGAGCCGCGGGCAATGCTAGTAACAATATAAAATAATAATAAAAGATCATGCAATGTGAAACTTTAATTGTACTTTTTTAGATCTTTTACCTATTTATTTTCGGAAATATGAAAGAAATAAATAGAGAAAAATAAAGGAAATACGAACCTACTGCTTTCTCTCTGTATGATATTGCTCTAAATAGCAACTCAATTGCTTCTATATTACCGTGTTTAATAAATTCATCCTAATTAACGTATATTAAGCCAACAGTTAAATTACTGTTTAATGACAAAGCTACTAAATTTTTATCTAATTTACTACGTTTGTCATTAAACTAATTAATAGTAGGTTGATATTTATATGTAAGTAAATTAAAGGTCTCAAAAAGCAAAAAATCCATTACCGTAATACAATACCTAATTCATTAACCTGCTAAGTGTAAGTATTTCTTCATAGTTTACAGGACGAAGAAAAACTGATTTATATTATAATTTTATTTTTAGATATCCAAATTCTGAAAATATTTTGGATCCTTGATATTTTTCTAACCTTTTTATATTGATATCGATAATGTAGGTTTCAACTTTTTAACCGGCATAAAAAGTAAAATTGCTCAAAAACGGACTTGGTAGGTTAACGAATTAGGCCGACGATATATAGGTATATAATTATACATATATATACTTATTAGTTATCATAATACAGTTACAGTATATTAAAAATACGGGTCCCATAATAATATTAAAAAAGTATAAAATATTATTATTAATTACTCGGAGACGTATGAACGGATTGATTAGGACTGTTTAAGTTTTTTTTTTTATTTATTTATTATTCATCTCGACACACATTCAAGGGAAATCGTTATAAGTAGCCTAGATTATAAGTAAGATTTTACAACTACACTTTGATTCTCTTTCTTATTTTTGGTTCAAGAAGTTAGCAATATTTGAACTCACCTACAAGTACTATTGGTACCGCAGAACTAAAATGTTTTAATTCTGGATACCATTTGTGGATTACGTTTTCATACGAAGATCGACTCCCAACGGAATAACATACGAGGAAACAGCTAGTCTGTAAAACAATAATAGTTTAAATATATATTGTTCACTAAATGTTTCATTTGAGTTCGGCGCGTGTATTTAAAATGTACTTAATACTTATGTTCACTAATTTTTCGATGTTTTTCTAAACCTCTATATAATAAACAGTATACGAGTATATACAGATTTCGATAAAATTGAGCAAGGATTTAGACTGCATTCTGGTGACGGCTTCAAAAGATTCGGCATTCAGTTCAGTTATTTCTTCCTTTTTAGAGCCGAGGAAATAGGTTTGTAGGAATCTAACAAATAAAAGGTAATTTGTCAAGTCTAAGAGCATATTATAATTTCGGTCAGACGCACGCACATTCCCTTCATGACTGTAACATATTTTGTACAGAATATAGACCCCAAAACAATAATGATTAAAATATTTGTCTGTTTGTTCACGCAAAAAGCACTAAACCGAATTTAATTAAATCTTGTGTAGTGATAATTTATTATTCGAGTCAATATTTAGAACCTATACCTTTTTCTATAGGAGAATCTTTCGTTTCCATGGGAAAACTCAATAACTGGTTCGAGTCATCCTTAGAAATTTACATAGCTAACTCTGGCTAACCATGCTAGATTTAACAAGGTTTAACTTAAATAGGCCTACAGAAAAGTCCGCAATATCAAGCAAAAGCCATGAGTCTATCTCCTAAGGTACACTCGCAATAACTATTTATACTTAAACCATATGTAGACCTAAAACGCTAGTATAATATAAAAATAAAATTAATTTATAAATAAATGCATACCCAAGTATATCAAAACTCACAATCTCTTACAAATGAAATAGCAATCGTAAATTGCGATCGAGAAACAGTTAACAATCGCGTTTTTTAAGATAAACGTGAAGTCACTGTTTTTTTTCGATTATTTACACATCAAATGAGAACGCACTCTTTATTATTGGTATTCTATAGGGAAAGAAAACGAGTGCCGAAGTTTTAAACATAAGCGCGTTATAAAAGGAAATAAAAGAAAAAAAAAATAGCCAACAACAACTAAGACTAAGCATTTGTGAGCAATAAAATCAAACAGTAAAAATATAAAATATTATCGATATGTGGAAGGAATTGTCCATACCTATATAACGAAATATGTAAATGCTGCGATTAATTAATTATCTTTACTTACATTAATTTGTAAAATAAAAACTAGATTTTTTTGCTTTTGCAACTACATTGCTTTCAAATCCATAACATGGTTGGTGGTTCCCATCTTGGGGGTATAGGTCCTAACATGAAATTGATAGTAGTCAATACATTGTATTTTTGGAATATATAAATTGAATACCTATTTCATTTATTTTCTTTTTACCTCAAACACCTCAACTCATACGAAGTTGAGATAGGATTCTAATCTATAGGTATAATATATGGTATGCTTTTGTACGACACTAAAACATAAAAGTAAGTTTTTTCGATACTTTGTCTTACTATTAGCACGTTTAACTAGTCTTGGAAACAGGTGACTGCATTTTCCTTTTTAGTAAGTAATTATAATGTTGGACCGTGAGATAAAAGGATTATACTCACATGGTTATAACACAACGGCCTCAGTCGCTCATAGTCCTCTTGACCAGCAGTGTCCCATAGAGCCATTTCTACTTCTTGACCGTCGACAGTAATGTGGCCAATGTAATTATCAAATCTAAAAATGACAAATTAAGATTGCTGATTACATTTTTTATAATTAGTTACTACAGCAATTATATTATATCAATACTAACATTATAAAGCTGTAGAGACTGAATGTTTTTTTTGTTAGAATTCAAAAGTGAACTTCAAAAATTCTATATAGATACATCTTATAGCTTATTTATTAAGGAAAGCCTTAGCTAACTAACATTACGCTACGACACTTACGGGCAGAGAAATTATACAAAAATAAACTACATGAACGCAGTTGCAAGAAAAAGCTAGTAATATATGTACTACTATATATAGCAACTTAGTAACAGATCAACATGGTTTTTTGCGTATATACATTAATAATAATAATAATTCTTTATTGACATAATTTTTACATACACAGGTGATTAAGAATTCCCTAGCCCCTGCGCTCGTTAAAAACTGTATTGCAGGAGCCAGTGTCATCCCCATATGATTAATGACAGGTTTATGCCAACACAGTGATATATGTAGGTACAGACAACAAGAGTAACATTAAGAAAAAAAATAATATTAGCACAAAAAAAAAACAATAAAAATACAAAATGAAAAAAAAAGTGTGTGTGTGTGTATGTATGTATGTGTGTATAAGTGAGTGTGTGTTTGTAGATACTATATAGCATTTTTTATAATTTCTTCTGTCGCATCATAATCTAAACTTTTCAGCCAGGTAATTAAAATTTTTTTCAGCTTATTGGTAGGATGCTTCTTAACTTTATATTTATTATTAAAAATATTATAAATACGTGGAGCCACAACAGTGAAGTGCTTTTTAGCAAAGGAGGTTTTAACTTGTGGAATCGGACAACGATCTACCCTTTTAGAGTCAACTTGTAAAGTAGGCACTATTTTTTTATGATATCTCCGGATTGTTTCATAAATAAACATTTGTCGTATAGATAGTACACCAGCTTTCTCATATAAGGAGGTGGTTGGATGCCTAAAGGGCAAGTACAATAACACCTTCAGTACAGCTCGCTGAGCCAGTTCGGCCACGATAAGGTGCGTTTTGCCTGCACAACCCCAGGCACTTATGCAATATCTAATAATACACTCAACAAGCGCCCTGTAGGTTAGGATTAATAGCTGTTTATTGGCCACTGTACGTAAATTTTTAAATATGTAAATTGTTTTCCTGATCCTGGTCGCCAGCGATGCTATGTGAATATTCCAAGAAAGCCTTTCATCCAATATAACTCCAAGATATTTGATGTGGGTAACGCGAGATAGAGTTGCACAGTTGCAAGTGCTGTAGTTCATCGCACGGTTACACGGAAAACCGTGTATTTTAAGTTCTAAACTATCTCCGGGATTACCTGAGACTGATTTACTAAAGCAAACGTACTTAGTTTTGTTGACGTTAATGGAAAGAAGACTATTTTCAAGCCACGCTGTCACTTTAGCTAGGCCAAGTTCCGCTAGTAGAAAGACCCCTTCCCAAGTGCTACCATGGAACACTAGCACTGTATCATCTGCAAACATGGTTATATCAAGTCCTGGCAAGATAGTATTGCATAATTCGTTGATATAAATGAGAAAAAGAGTAGGTCCAAGTGTACTGCCTTGTGGAACTCCGTAACTGCATGTGGCATTGTCACTTACATATTTACCAATGCGTACACATTGTGTTCTACCAGATAAATAGTCCTTAAACCAGTCCAGGGCAACTCCTCTTATTCCAACATTCTCCAATCTGCTGACCAATATGGGCACTGACACCGTATCAAAAGCCTTCTGTAGATCTAGGAAAACTCCCAGGCATTTATCACCTTTATCAAGCTGTTTCATCAATGTCGTTGTAAGCGACAGAACTGCGTCTTCTGTCGATTTTCCTACCCTAAAGCCAAATTGGTTATGATTAAGGAGTCCATTTTTTTCTAGGTAACTGGTAAGTCTTTTGTTAACTATTTTTTCTAGAATTTTTGATAGAGTAGACAGGATAGATATGGGTCTATAGTTGGTAGGATTATTTTTTTCACCAGACTTATAGATTGGGCATACAACAGCTCTTTTAAATTTATCAGGGAGAGTCAGATTGCACAAATATGTTATTGGATTAGCAAGTGACAAGATGTTTTGTTTAAGTATGTTTGTGGTGATATTGTCCCATCCAGGGGCACTGTGCGATCTGAGTCCCAAAACAATATTCCTGACCTCGTGTGGATCTGTTGGGATAAAAGACATTGAATTCAATGGCCCAGATGATGTTCTAGCTAGTCGTGCCAATTCATTTTCTTTAGTGTTCAATCGATTGAGAATACCCTTGGCAAGAGTACCTCCTATTGAAGTAAAGTATGAATTAACCGTTGTAACGGACTCGGAGGGGGAATCGTTAATATTAAGAAGCTCCTCGGAAGATACCTTATTCTGGCTAATGTTGCATACTTCCTTTATTGTTTGCCACTGTTTTTTAATATTACCAGCATCGTTGATCAACCTTTCTTCATAATATTTAGCTTTAAGACTTTTTATTAGGTGGTTACACGAATTTCTATATGTGGTATATTTTTGTTTCAGGTCAGTGTCATTAGGAAACTTTTTAACTCTTCTATGAAGTCTATCACGTTTTTTTATACATTTAACTACACCGTATGTTATCCATGGCTTGAGTGGACGATTTCGTTTTGAGATTGGTCATAGATTGGTTTTGTTTAAGTCTCATACTTGATACGTGATAATAAGTTTTTATCCCTCTAGTGAGTCGTGGGATATTAGTCTTATTTAAATTAACTGAGCAACAAACAAAGCTCACTGATTTTATTACAATACTTTTACTTATTGTAAATATTTAAATAAAATCCAAGTAGTGCCAGTAGTGGATTTAGGGTTGATGGCGCCCAATATGGGCCCAAGTTGAAATGGCGCCCTTTTTCTTTTGTAACAGTATATCTATCTATATATAAAAGGTAAAAGTGATTAACTAATGTATCAACACACAGGCCAAACCCTTAAGGCTAGAAAATTGAATTTTCGCACACGTATTCCTCATACGACGAAGGCATCCACTAAGAAAAGATTTTTCAAAATTCAACCCCCAAAGGGGTGAAATAGGGGATTTTTTTTCTTACAGATGTTGTTGTTATAATGTAAATAGTATATTCCCAAAAGGTTTTCAGTAAATCAGAAATGACCCTGTATAGATTAATTATTTTAACAAAAAAATTCTAGCCTTAAAATGGTATTATGTTTAGATTGTAAGAGCGCAAGAAAATAAACTTTAAAATTTAGTCTTACAGTTTACAGAAAAACCAATCGATTTTTAATTTTAGTCGTCTTAAAAATTTTGGCGCCCATCAAAATTTGCCGCCCTAGTCCCGGGCCGCTATTGAGTCGCTACTGAAGAATCCGCTACTGAGTAGTGCAAGGAAAAAAAGAAGACACATTGTAGATACACAGGTGCTTTGTTCGCAGTCTATAAGTAGGTACCTATCTTTAGATTCAGCGTCTAATATTAAAATCTGAACGGGCAATTAAAATTACCGCCATAAATTGCGGTCAAAAGTAAAATATTTAATAATTCTGCATGACCTTGCGCTGTGCTGATTTTTTAATACACATTTGATATCAGCGCGGTCATTGACTAGTGACTACCAAGTGCGTAGGACCTTGGTATAATTTACAGAGATGGATGTAAGGAAGTTTCTTAAAGAGGAAACGATACTTGCAAATGCACAATAGATGTAGGTATTGCCGATACGTATTTGATTTTATAAATAGTGCGCTCGAATTACTTCGGACATTATCAATAATATTATAACTACACAATAACATTCTCAACCGGAAATAAGAATCGTAGTATTTTAAGTACGTACACATCAAGTGTATTTATAAATTTTCTGTGTTCATTAGATATTGGTCCAGTCTGTTTCTGACAAATCCAGAATCCTTCTCCATAAGTACTCGTAGTTGTAATTTTAATTGTGAGAAATGTAGAAAATAATAACATATTAAGTATATTATGTAATTATTTTTCTTTTTTATCATATTATTTTTAATACATAGTATGACGAGTTAGTCACTCTTGATAACGTTAGTAAATTCCAGTCTTAGGCAATACGCATAAAGCGAAAGATGACGTCAGATTATTGATGAATCGTCATCAATCAATAAATAAACAGATTTTCGTTGTATTTTTTGGGTTTGTATATTAAGATCTAAGCAACACAGCGACATTTAATTTCTAATTACAGTTTAACCAGATAGTTAATTAATTTACTTTAGAATAATAAATAGGCAATAGATTAAATTAGTTAATGAAGAAATTTAAAATACTTAGATACTGCTCTGATACATTAACATATTATTTTGTTTTTATTATTGACCGACATCAAAAGGAGGAGGTAGTCATTTAAATTGTTACGCGTAATATTTGATAATTGTAAATTAATTTTCATATTTTTAATGAATAAGTTATTCTTAATTATACCTTAACAATGATGCCATATAAAATTCAAAGAAAAAATCCATCTCAAAATGAATCTTTACTCACTTTAAGTACGTAAATAATTAGCATTACCAATACGTACCTGTAGGTACCTACTTAATTTTGTTTCAATAAAAATCAATAGCATTATGTTAAATGCGGTAGCAGCTGTAGGCATGTACTTACATATTTTAATTTACTTAGCATATTATGATGTAATTATTATTAAATAGTAAAATAGTATCAGTAGGTATTCAAGGAAAACAGAGGTTTTTGTCGGAATCAGTAATAATAAAATTCTAATCTATAATATTGAAATTCTAAATGAGTCGAAGCTATACATTACCTACATGTTTTTTTGGAAAATCTTATTGAAATAGTCAGTATTATCTATACAGAGGCCAAATCTATAGCTTTTATAATTTTTGTCCGTCTGTCTGTTACCGCATCACAGAAAAACCACTGGAGGGATTTTGATGAAATTTGGTATGGTGATAACTGGTTATCCGGGTCAACATATAGGATACTTTTTACCGCGGGAAAATGTGTCATTTCTGAGAAAAAATACAAAAACTGCAATGTAAGAGTAGTTAGACTAATATGTAAAATCTAAGAATTTGGTTTTTGGTCATCTGAACGCGGGCGGAGCCGCAGGCAATGCTAGTTGAAACATAAATTCACCTTTTTAATATACCTTGGTAAGTACCGTGTTAAGTCAAAAATAGTTTATTTACTGGCAGTTTTTACAAAATTGATTAATAAACTTTTAATTGTTTACAAAAAAAACTTTTTCGTAACTTCTTCATCAAAACAAATAATGTTTTTATTTTAATTAAGTAAGAACTAAATTAAATCAATTGGTTAATTTTAATTTGTAAAAGGTACTTGTAAATTGAATACTCATTTTATCATTGAAAGAAGGGCCGCGAGATAAGAAATTAAAATGATTATTTCTATAATTACATATTTAATATTTTATTAAATAGTTTAGTGAAATACCATAATAAAATAAGAAGGTACACGCGCACATCACCACAGTATACTTTTAAGTTTTAACGCTTTATTTATGTCAAGTTTAACTATTATCATATCCATTACTAAATAACTTTAAAATTCGGATTAGAAATATCCGTGATCGAGGTAAATATTGATCAAGGTAATTTTGTACTTTTTTATAGGCAAAAATCCCTAGTATTTTATGGTAAACATTGGGACTTTATTAAATAAACAGAAACCATATTCATGGGTATTTACAAGGATGAATCATAATATAAAACGATAACATTTGGTATAGTCATAAAAGGAAAATGTGACAAAATTGCGTAAATCATAGTAGTACGTACAGTTTACTTCAATGGTTACAACAGCCATTTATTTCATTCGTATTGAAATACATATAATTGTGCATTGATAGAGTTTCGGGAGTTAGCACAGAGATAACAACGGCATCAACTTGCTAATTTTGACACACACGGCGGGCTCGTTCAGCTGCCGACCCATTGACCTATAGACACCATCGGCTTGCTTCCTAGATAATCGATTAGTTACAAAATGGTGCTTACACGGTCGGCACATATTCCTTGGGGAATTCGTTTCTCGTATATACGTAGAGCAGACATGTTTTGCCAACCATACCATCGCCCACCACTGTTATCTTCAGTCTCGGTACCGTCCCCATGATACGCACCACGGCATCCGACTCACAGGCTCACAATATACACAGTAGCCACAACAACGCCTATTGTTCAACACTCGTTTTTAATAGAATCATATCATATCGAATTTTAGCGACGATTTTATCACCGGTTAGACAAATCGGTCCTTGACGGTTCTTATCATTCCGTGATGTAATGATCTTATCAAACTTGAAGAAACATTCACGATAACGCGTCAGTTTTAATTGAAACCAGGCGCGCGCGCGCACTTTGGTGGTTAAATGCAAAATGCTTACAAATATTAAAATGCGCGTGATTCAACTGCGGCTTGTCGCGACGAATCATTCGTATCGCTTGTAGAGTGTAGAGCGCACTTCGGCAGGCCTCACTAGTCACTGAATGTAATTCGTAATTAATTCTATAGACGTATTCTGTCCAAACTTCGTTAACAAATGAACTACGTCATACTTTTGTCCGATTTGCCAGTGTGTTATTGAGTTTGTTGTTTGTTTTATCTATAACATGTACAAGATATAATGAAACAGTAACTTAGCAAAATACATACATGATATATTTTTTTAAAACAATGACTATAACGTACTTTGTACAGAATATTGACCCCAAAACATGCTATTAAAATTTTTGTCTGTATGCCTGTTTGTGTGTGCGCGTTACACGCAAAAAGTACTGAACCGATTTTAACTAAATTTTGTGTAGTGATAACTTATTACTCGGTCAACATTAAGGATATCTTTTACTACAGGTAAATCTTTCAGTCCCACGGGAAAACACAATATCTGGTTGTATCGAGACGCTGGTTAAACCGAGATACATCAAAACAATGTACTAGAAAATTGTAGGTGTTAAAACTTAAAAAGGCCTACAGAAAAGTCTGCAACAGAATAAGTCTATCTCCATATATCACATTCGCAATAACTATTTACATTCAAAACGTACCCAAGGTCGCACTCGAGCGAAGCGAGGGTAAGTCGCTAGTGTTAAAATAAAGTAGTAATAGCCAAAATATTCATTGTATATAAATAAACTTTTTTCAATTCTTTTGTTTCTCTGTTTGTACGGGCTAATCTCCGAAACTGTTGGACCGATTTAAATGTAATTTTGCATGGTGGTATCTTACTTATATCCCCGGTCAACATTTTAGATACTCTTCATTCCGGAAAATTAAAGAGTTCCCGTGGGATAGTTAAAAAATATTAGTACTTAGTTCACAACAACTTATGCACCTAATTTAGTAAGATTTTGCATGCTGATACCTTATATTGCCGGTCAAACAACAGGTTATTTTTTATCCCGGAAAAATGAACGGTTCTCGTGGGATAGATCTAAATGTGCTTTTCTGAAGACAAACTCGAGCGAAGCGAGGGTGAGCCGCTAGTAACACACAATACTAAATTGATGTTGTTTTAAAGATTCTTTAATTACTTAGTATGTACTATGTACCTATAATTTGCAAGATATTATGTTAAATTAAGTAATAAGAATTATTATATTATTAACTATGGGTTTTATACTACAATACAGTAACTATATATTTTGTGGTACCTTTTTTTTTTTAAACGTTGGGAAATGCATTTACGCACGACGTGTGGGACTCACCGGCGTAATATAGCCAGTACTACTCACTAAAACCCAACAAAACCTTCCCCCGTCTTAATGGGGCGTCGCAGGATCGCTTACGCATTCAACTACGACGCCCCGACGGCAGGTCTGCCGAAGCAGACCACCACAACCATGGGGTTGCTCCACAGTCCACTCTGCTATCAGAGAAGTACCAGGAGCAACCCGCATGGTACACCGCCCTCCGAAGAAGGCCGCCTCCCACCGCCCACCGAAGCGGGCCACCTCCCTGTGCGTTTCTTGGCTTCGCGAGTACACTACTGAGCCCCCCCACCACGACAAGGTGAACGCACGTTGGGGGGGATATTTTGTGGTACCTAAGCTGTCTCTACCAGACTACTTTATAATAATTAAACCAACTTTGAAGCTTATTTATATTATGATGTAGAGACCGGATTATATGCTTTTGTATATAATAAGCCCATTTAAACACTGAAGCTTAGAGTTAGAATGTGTTAAACGGTCACGCCTCTTCGATTCCTTCTTTTTTACCAGACTACGGCGAAGAAAATATGTAAGAATAAGCATAAGTAAAACAAAATAAATACAATATATAAACACATAAATATATATACACACTATAATTCCATATATATATATATATATATATATATATATATATATAAGCATAAATACATAAATACAAATATGAATTATAAACACTATATGGATAAATATATGAGAAAACAAATAAATACCAGAACTATTTACATACATATATACATAAATATACTTATATTATTACAAAACAGAAATGTATACATTTTTCAACTATGAGTTAAAAAATCCTTTTATATATTGATTTTAAACACATCATTGGAAGGGCTCTCTTGTAGGACTTTGGGAAGTCTGTTCCATAGCACTGCAGCGTGTACTGAGAATGAGTTTTGGAAAACTTGGTGTTACTTCTTGGTATGTCAAGCATCGATGTGATGCAGGGCCGCCTGGATCTCGATGGAGTGGGAAGAAAGTTAAACCGGGAACGAAGGTAAGAGGGAAAATTGAGGTTATAAAGGATGTTGAACAGAAACGAAAGGATGTGCATATCACGGCGAAGGCGGATAGGGAGTCATTTAAGACGAGTTCGAAAGTCGGAAACATGATCATACTTGCGTAGACCATAGATAAAGCGTATGGCGAGATTTTGAAGACGCTCTACTTTATGGCTTGAGACTTATTAGGGTTAACTAAATTATGTTTGTTTATTTGTTTGTATTTCTGATCCTATTTTCACTCGTAATTATTAAACGGTTTTACTGATTTTGATGATTCATACGTCGTTCAATTCGTCTTGCTAACGACAATAAAAATTTGTTCGTCCAAGTCAATCGAGTGGGCTTCACTCAGTGGGGTAACAAAATACAGGTTTTTAACAGACGATTTGAAAAATGCATACAACTTATATATATGTTGGATAAGAAATTGTCTACTAAATGCAAATAAAAGTATATACAATATTTATGATGAAAAAATCATTTTTATAAATTTTTGTTTGTTACAGCTAAGTTCTAAACGAATTTTGTGAAGAAAATCTGCTTACATACCAACGCACTCGAGCGAAGCGAGGGTAAGTCGCTAGTAGTTCATATCTCGCATTCTGAGATTGGATCATTCAAAACAGACCTAGAATTTTAAAGTTTAAATTTTATTGTGTCAGAAGCAGTTTAAAAGCTTTCAAAAATCATTGTTATGCTCTTGCAGACGATAAGTTCAATAATTTTAATAAGCTTTAAGAGGATTGTGAACCTGTAAATTTTCATACAAAAAGCGATAACGTTTTTCTCCCCTTAAACATTGTCTAATTTTCATAATTTTTGGAAATGTTGTAGATATAATCAAAATCTAGGTCCGTACGTTTTTATTTTTTTGAAATATTGCGTACGACAGAAGTTATTAGCATCTAAATATCAATATTTTTGACCTAAAAACTTCCTCCAGCGTTTTTATTTTTTTAAATTAAACTAAACTGAATTACAAAAAAAGGAAAACGTACAGACCTAGATTAAGGTGTACTGAATCTAATGAGACCAAAATCGTCTCATTTCGTTAATGTTTAGGGGGGTGAAAACGTTATCGCCCGAAACAATATTTCAAAAAGGAAATGTAGGTAATTGAGTCTAAGACTTGCAACTCTCTCTATCGCACCATACGGGTCGGGGGCGGGGGCATATTGTAGACTGTAGTGATGTTGAAGGTGCTATCGATATTATTATCTCCTAGGGAGGAGAAGGTAATATCGATATATCGATCGATACTGAAAGGATTCAATCCAAAGTTTAGAATTTTATTATACTCGTATGTATAGATTGTAACTAAGCCGTATCTGTACATTAAATATTTTTTGGAAAATATTATTGAAATAAACATTATTATCGATACATAGGCCGAATCTATAGTTTTTTGAATTTTTGTCTGTCTGTCTGTATGTCTGTCTGTCTGTTACCATGTCACAGAAAAACCACTGGAGGAATTTTGATGAAATTTGGTATGGTGGTAGCTGGTTATCCGGATGAACATATTATAGGATTACCGCGGGAAAATATCTCATTTCTGAGAAAAAATACAAAACTGAAAATATATATATATATGTATATAAATATATATATATATATATATATATATATATATATATACAGGGTCATTTTTAATTTACTGAAGACCTTTTGGGAATATACTATTTACATCATAACAATAACCTCTGTAACAAGAAAAAAAAATATTTCTTAAATTTTCATTTTCATACAAAAATAAAAATATTTTCTATATCATCATCATCATTATATCTGGCCAAGTTTGAATGAGTAAGGACCACTTCCTACACCCCTCCACCCCTTGCCCTCCACCCCTCGCCCACCACCGGTCACGCGCTTTCTTTTGCTAATTGCTGGACTATTACCGTTTAGAAGGAGCAATAAAAATACTTTTATTTTTGTAAAATTTTCTATTTTTAATTCTATATTCGTTATAATTTATAATATTTGTTATAATTTTATGAAAATTATTACGAATAGTATGTGTATAATTATATATATATACACATACTATACGTTATAATTTTTCCGAAATTATCGATATTTTATTAGTTTTTGGAGTTAATTTTAAAAAAAATGATTTTAGGGCAATTACAGAAAGAAATGACAATCATTCGTAATCTAATCTTGTTTATTCATTAGTTAAAAATATATTTTAAAAAATTAAGTTTATATATTTTATAAAATTTAGTCATAGATTTGTTAAAAAATCGTAAATCATCATCATTCATGATCAGGTCATTTTATGAATTTCTATTCCTTATATACCTGCTAACATTATAAAATCATAAAACTTCAGGTTTTCAATAAAATAATTATTTTAACAATAAAAGGATTCCGATGGGTCTATTAGTACCTACATATACAACAAAAAATTCTATAACTTTCAACTTTTGGAACGAGATTTTTGTAATTGATCTAAACCACCTATTTATTTTTTTATGATTTTTTGAAGTCATCAATCTAAACAAGTCAAATTTTAAATGATATTCGCCACAGAATTGTAATTTAGAGTTATTTCAGTTTATGAATAAAGGTGCGATGTAACTTGTAGGGAATGTATATTGTACGCAAACCGTTAAAATAATAAATATTAGATAAACTTTGAAATTGCTCTTGCGCCGAGTCGCGCCGCCCCCGCCCCCGCCCCCCGCAAGCGCCCGCGCGTCACCGGCTGCTGCTATCATAGTGTGTGTGAGAATTTGCGTATGTTGTATTTGTGTTGTGCACTGCCGGGGGGATGCAAAGCGGTATGAAACAGATAGCATTTTTAAAAATACCTACTCTCGCCGCGTATCGGCACTTCACAATCCTCTTAATTTTGCACATTATGGATGTATTTACTTTAAATTCAAAAATAAATAATTAATAAATTCTTATAAGTCTAGTAGAATGAATTATTTTTTGGTATTATTAAAATGAAAAAAACATTTTAGTTATTTATTTTTTAATGTATGAGAAATAGAACTTATATCAACAAATTATTTATTATTATATGTTATTATAAGCACAGCCAGTCCAAGGTAATTCAAATAACATAACTGGAAATATTTCTTATGTCGTAATACTGAATACAAAGAGATCATTTATTAGATTATTAATTTATTATTATGATTATTTATTCTTATCATATTAATTAAGTACTTTGATAATTAGCATTTTTCATTACTTTTTTATATGTACAGTTCCAATTCCTTCAAGTATAAGCTCCTCCTTTAGGGCTAGCACTTCTCGTAATAATTCTTGATTGTTTGCTTGTAGCTGAGCTATTAAAGCTCTTTGTTTTCTTTCACGTTCCTTCAATTGCATTAGTGTACTATCACATATTTCAGCACAAGGTGTGAAGCTGTCTATTGAAAGAAATATTTATTTAGCAATATACTTACATACAAGAATTTGGCCTACAAATAGATAATATTAAAAAACTTACCAGATTTGCCCCTCAGTCTATCTATTAATTTATCATTTTCAAGCTTCAATCTAGATATTTTATTTTGTAAGCACTTCTCAGTGGTTTCTTTTTGTTTAGTTAATTGGTTCAATTTTGTCCTTGTGTCAATAAATTTTTGATACAATTCATCAGATTGATCCGAAACTCTCCGTGCAGATGCAACACAAGCTTTTGATTCATTCTTCTCACAATTTAATTTATCTTTTAATCTACCCACTATTACCTACAAAATATAAATATAAAGAAAAAATTGTAAAAATAACTCCTTTATTTATTATTTAAAATAGGTTCCTTCATATATTCTATTCTAATAACAAATAAATAATACTCACGTTTAATTCTTTGTTACTATTATCAAGGACATAATTTTGCTCTTCTAAATTTTCAACCTTATCCTTTGAATTTTTGTGATGGTACAACAATGTCCAAACAGAGTTAATCAGTTTAACTAGAGCTTCTAGGTGAAGATTATCATTCTCGACATCCGTATGTGGATTGAAAATGTACTCTATGTTCAACAAGCTAAGTTCCTGAAAAGAGAATTTTACTCTTTAAAACATAATAATTAATATAAACCTATAGTATGTTAACAAATAAAGGATATAAAATATTAAATCAATATATTCAATATTATCTTACCTCACTCAAGCCGATCAAACATTCTTTAAAATTCTTTAATGTACATGGTTCGTAAGCGGTCGCCTTTTTAAATTTATAATTCTGCAACAGTTCCTTAACTTCTTCATCTATATTTTCAAGATCTGAGGAAATCATTTTTTGGAATGATTGAAAACCAATTAGGCAATTATTTGCTTATTTTTAGAAACAAACGAAAGAAGAAACATATATTGTCTGTTAAGTGTTAACTTTTTGACAACGTATTGCTAAATTTTAAAACTTTGATCAACAACGAACTGCAATTAATATTTTAACTTTTAAGAGTTGCCAGAATAAATCGGCAATAACTGATATTTTATTAATTCTTAGTTTTCAATAAATGCATTACAGAATATTATTATAAAAATATAAATAAAATTGTTAAAGGGCCCACCGCCCAATTAATATATTTTAGAATATCTGTCGATGCTCTAACTCGTGACTTGAGTGACGTGCGAAGTGAATGGGTGGATGAATTTTATTGGATTTTGTAAACCAACTTCAAAAAGGAAGGAGGACCTCAATTTAAGTGTACCTATACTTCTTCATATCTTTACCCAATGATTATAATCTATTATAATAATTCTTCTTCTGAATAGTTAGTTTTCGAAGTTTCTTATATAAATTTGAGGATATTAGTAATTTTTAACGCGATTAAATTTATTAAAATACAATAAAATAAAGATGTTATATTAATAATGGCTATATAGGAAAATATATTTGATCTAAACATTTCTTCTCAAAAATAAAACTACTCACACGTGACGGTGACGAGTACCTTTAAAAATTAAATCGAAAGGGGCTGGATAGACGTCGCTAGAGGTAACACCTTGACAAAGCTAAAAGATGTTCTGGAGCGATGGAAGGACAACTGTTGTCAGCTATAGCGGAAAGAAGATGGTTCATTAAGAAAATGGAATAACTATCCTGAAGAACGCAAAATAATACTTTATGAGGTGGAAGATCACAAGTTGAAAATGGTGAAAATTAGAGATAAAGCCTAAAACATCGACGATGCCTAGAAAATGTGTTTAAACCATTTTCCAGCATGTAAAAAATTTCAAAAGTTGTAAATTGTAATTTGTAAATAAATAAAAATAAGAAACAAGATATTTAGTTTTTCGCGAATAATTCAAAAACTTCTAATAATTAAGAATTTTTTTTAAATTTCTTAATTATTAGAAGAAAAACTTAAAGAGGAAAAAAATTTCCAATAAAAAATCCCGACTCCCGGAACTCTCCCTGCATTATTTGAATTTTAATTTAAGGCTGTAAGTAAAAATGATATATATATAATACTTCTGTGCGTGTGTTTGTTAACCTACTCCTCCTAAAAGACTGGACCGATTTGGATGAAGTTTTGTGTGTATATTTCAATGGGTTCCTGGATGGTTTGAAAATACAAATGGACCCAGTGTGGCGCTGCAGTCGGTATGCCACTGATCATCTAAGCGGCAAGGACGATTTTAATTATTTTTTTGTGTATGTTCAAGTAGGCCCCTGCAAAGTTTGAATTCACAAATGGATCCGGCAGGTGGCGCTGCAGTCGGTGTGTCACTAAAGTTTCATAAAAGACTCCATTTTCCGAGAATTTTAAATAAATTTAAATTGTTGATTAAATAAAATAAAAATCGATCTGTGCATGTATGTTTCCTATGGACTCCAAAATTTTGATAAAATTTTCAAGTAATCTTCAGATTAGCCCAGCGGGTGATCCTGTGAATTTTGTTAGCGATCGGAAGTTTGGACGCGGGCGAAGCCGCGGGTACTGCTAGCACATATAATCAAATTGTAACTAATTGATTAATTGTAATTAAGACATTAAATATTTTTTGGAAAATCTTATTGAAATAGACATTATTATCGATACAGATAAGAAACTATAGTTTTTAGAATTTTTGTCTGTCTGTCTGTCTCCGCTGTCCACATCACGGAAAAACCACTGGATGGATTTTGATGAAATTTTGTATGATGATAGATGGTTATCCGGGTCAACATATAGGATACTTTTCATCATTCTATTAAATAAAGAAATAAATATATCTAATATTGATACGGTCGCTATAAAATGTTGTAACTTCACTAATTGGGTAATGACAAAGTTGTCGGAAAGATGCTTCCTTAGATAGGCACCGAATAAATTAACCGACTTGGTTATACACTATATCTCTTTGCGTTAGAAGAAATGCGTTGCGAGATTTGCAATTTGTTTACATGTTGTGTTTTTGATTGGATATACAATTTACTTAACAAGATCACATTATGAAAGTGTTTAAAATTTCAATATTTTGTTTATCATAATTTTTTCAATTCATCTCATGATCTAGACTAAAGATCATCTATCAGTTCTGTACTAAAATCTCAGAAAGCGTTCGCTCTTTTTTGAGGGCACTTTTTTTCTTTGTATGTCAATGACTGCAGAACAGTAAATACTTTTCTAATTTTATTTATTAAGGGTAAAGAAAAACACAAATATTTATTATCTAATTTTTATTTTAGTTTAATGGCACTTAAGTTCAGAGAAAATACAAAGAGAATCGTGTAAGTATGTGTATGTCGATAAAGGTTATAACAAATTATAATGGTGATGTTACTTTGTATCTCGATTGTTAAAATAATTTTCTGTAATATGTTTAAAAACAGAGTATGTTGTTTATTCAATTAGATGGAATGCAGCCGAAACCGATCCACGGCAAGCAGACACTGGCAATGGGCGGTTCCGCTGATACGTGTCACTTTTTCTTACTGTGATCTAGTTGACCCTGTTTAAAAAAAGAGATATAATTAAATTCAAAGTATTAAAATAAACGAGCATTTGTCTCCAAGTAAATTATAGAAAAAAAATGGCAATGTTGGACTGCCGACAGAAGTGAAAACTTATAACATTGGAATAATTGTTTTTATGTAATTAATTATAGTATTGTATGTATGTATGTATTCAGCCCTTTTAACGTCCCACTGCTGGGCACGGGCCTCCCTTTAATACGAGGGGGATCAGGCCATAGTCCACCACGCTGGCCAAGTGCGGGTTGGCGGACTTTACATGTCTTTCGAAAACTTGCTAAGTTCTCTCAGACATGCAGGTTTCCTCACGATGTTTTCCTTCACCGTAAGGCAAGTGGTAATCATGTTAGAAATGATTCGCACATGAAAATATCAGAGGTGCGAGACCCGGGATTTGAACCCGCTTCACTCGGTTTCCCAAGCGAGAGCGTTACCACTGGGCTACTACTGCCTTTTTATTTTTTTACTAGCATTGCCCGCGGCTCCGCCCGCGTTCAGATGACCAAAAACTAAATTCTTAGGTGTTACATATTAGTATACTCTTACATTGCAGTTTTTGTATTTTTCCTCAGAAATAAGATATTTTCCCGCGGTAAAAAGTATCCTAGGATCGCGCGCTACATCGCCCGGTTTATATAGCTTGAGCAGGCGGTCGAGCGATGCGGGGCAGAGGGGATGGACTCGCCGTAGGCATCTCAATGCTCGCCAAGCATTAAAAATGTTTCGCTACTAATTACTTCTAACAACGATATCTCAAAAACTATTCATCTGATTGATTTAGTGTAAAGAGCAATTTTAATCTGCATTAAATGACTAAGCTAACTAAAATATTCATTTGGATAAGGATTAATACCGAACTAAAGAAAATAACTTTGAAAATAACGTAATGTTTTTAATTAAAAATGTTAACATAAAAGTGGTTATTGTAAGTCAACCGTAAGAGATAGAGATATGCTATCGCGGACTTTTTTGTAGCATTTTTATAGATTTTGAATTCTCTAGTACATTACTTAACTGTATCTTTGCTAGTTTACGCGGCGTTCGCGTGGAAAGTTCCCATTTGGCGAGATTTTTTGCGACCTCTTCAACATTTGTCGCCGTATTTCAGCTAATTTACATAAAAGCATAATAAATTATATACCTAAACCTTCCTCAAGAATTACTCTTTCTATTGTTGAAAACCGTATAAAAATCCGTTCAGTAGTTTTCGAGTTTATCGCGTACAGACAGACAGGAGGACAGAAAGACGCGGCCGGGGGACTTATTTTTATAATAAGTATAGATTATTTAATTTAGATTATAGTATTAATAATTAAAATTAAATAATTTATAAATTGAAATTATTATAAGTCTGGTTTACACATCCATTGGCACTCCGAGCAATTTGATATAGTTTATTTGTTAATCAAAGCTTAAGACGCTGCGCGTTGCCAGTCTGCGCCAGACTGTCGACACGTCACATGTTACATATAACATATCGGTTACGCGAACCCATAAGTTTTGCCTCTACCAAAAATAGCTCAACGCGGCTAAAAAAGTATTCACGTCAAAAATGTATAAAATAAAATATATATATTTGTACTATTTATTAATATTTAATTTGTAAATAAACCAAACTCATCAGACTCACCTTAGTTAAACTAAGACCGATTTCGCTAAGGCGTTTGTGCTGGTAGGTGAGTGGTTCGTGCAGCTTGGCGTCGCCGCGCTTGTAGAAGTCGCTGTAGTCGAGCCGGAAGGCGAGCGTCTGGAGGGACACCTCGGGGTGCAGGGCCAACTTGAGGATGAGTGTTGTTACGTGCCCCCTGTACATAAAAAACATATCAGTCTATTTGTTGGTAACCGTATCCGTAGGACTAATTAATGACTGAACTGATTTTTGGCTAATTATTTAATGTTCTTAATTGGGAAATAATTTATTTGAATACACCACTACCTGTATGTTCTCGCCCAAACATTTAAATCAGCTTTTCTGTTTGCCAAAAATTGCTGGAAAATTTTTCTTTTTTCCTTATCTTGCGTTTCATCAGCCGCGTTGAAGGCATATTCACCTTAAAAATAGTGTTTAGTTAGTGATTTAAATTTTAATTATTTGTTTAACAAAAAACTACTTATTTTACTATACAATTACAATATACATTTACTTCAATTTGCAATCTATACTAATATTATAGATGTGAAAGTTTGTATGGAATTGGATGTATGGATGTTAGTTACTCTTTCACGCCAGAAAAACCCGCTAAACGGATATGGATGAAATTTGGCACACATTATAATCTATCTAGATTATAATCTGGAATAACACATAGGCTACTTTTTATCCCAGAAAAATGTACAGTTCTCGTGGGATAGGTTTGTTTTTGCTTTCCTAAAAAAATCCAATAATTTCTAAAGTACCATTGGGATACAGTAACAATTATATTATAATAAATATTACCACATTTTTGTAATCATCATTGCTATAAAAGCGTAATGTTGTTTCCCCTTCTTTACGCAACAACGAACGATACGTTAGCTGTAAATATTTTGAATAAACATAGCATAAGCTGAAGGACTATAAGGTACTTGACCAACTTTACAAAAGTAGGTCATACACAATTCGAGTAAAGTTTATTATGTTTATAGTTGTATACATATATTGGTAGAAGCTACACTAGATAGGTTAAGTAAATCATAACAGACTGTATATACTTTGGGGTAGTTTTTAATATAGATTTCTCCTAGTTCTTAGGCGATATTTTCACCAATTCTAAAATGACTTTCATTATTATTTTTAATTGATAGGTTATACCTCAAAGAAAACTCTCTCGAAGAAAACCCAAAACATGAATTTTATAGTTTTTTTTTTAATATTTTTCACTAATAGGCATTATTTAAAATTGGACTAGTTATACTTCACGAATAAATGAGCAAGTTTGTGTATATGAATATGTATGTATGGTTATTATTTCATTACGCTAAAATGACGAATTTCAATGAGATTTAGTACACTAATAGATGACCTGGCACATATAGGCTACTACTGTTAGGCACTTAGAACCGCACCTGGGCAAAGCGACGGTCGTCAATTTTAAAATAAATGTAATAAAAGTATTAAGGTGTCTGCCCACTACACCGTCTCATACCATGACCGTGCTAGGACCAGGTAGGTTTTAAACGAAGTTGAAGTTTGTACATTTTTAAATCATTCTCAATTTTAAGAAAAAAATATAAACGGTCAAGTGCGAATCGGACTCGCGCATGAAGGGTTCCGTACCATTATCTATGAAAACCGCAAAAAAAATCAAGTTTGTTGTATGGGAGCCCCCTTAAATATTTATTTTATTGTTTTTTTTTTGTATTTGTTGTTATAGCGGCAACAGAAATACATCATCTGTGAAAATTTCAACTGTCTAACTATCACGGTTCATGAGATACAGCCTGGTGACAGACGGACAGCGGAGTCTTGGTAATAGGGTCCCGTTTTACCCTTTGGGTACGGAACCCTAATAAACTACTCTAAAATACTCTGTTGTGAACGCAGAACCCGAACCATACTCGAAACGCGCGGTTTCTCGATAACCAATCACACCGCGAGGACCTTGGGCCCCCATCAGCTGCTGGCATACCTCGATAAGCTATATTTCTCGCATCTATGGCTACACATAAGACTTTTTTGTAGTACTCATTTGTAAACTTTATTTACGTCTGGCAATTGTTTAAAACCGGTAAATTTGTCTGGCGATTTACAAGTATTATTGAAAATTACTCAATAAATACGTGATTAAAATTTCAGATTGCCAAAAGTATATTTTTGGGAATTTTAATAATATATCTTTGGAGAGGTCTTTTAATACTTAATAACCGACAAAAAGTCTGGGGTTCTTTTTTTGAATTATATAAAAACTAAATTAAAAGACAAAAATCAAGTTGCCAAAAATATGTTTTTTTTTTTTATATATATTTTTACAAATGTTATATACTGCGCAGTAACGAAATAACCACAAACGCTATGCCAGAATCGCGGGACTGGACTCGCCAATTGACAAAATTATACTTTTTTACGATTTCAACTTGCCAAAAGGACTTTCCCAAAATTCGGGACCAGTTCTCGGGCTAATGTGCGCAGGCGGCGCGGTAGTGAGGATACGCAGCACTAACACTAGGCATAGTAGTCCGTGTTATGCTCGTTTCCGTGCCTGATACGTTCATAGCACACTCATGTTAATAGACGGTGTAGTGGACAGACTTCTTTAAGTTATCATTATGTGTCAATACCCCGCGCGAGCCGCTCGGCCTTTAGCTGCTCGAGGCGGTCGCGGCGCTCGAGCTCGGCGGTGATGCCGGCGTGCAGCGTGGTCTCGAAGCTGCGCAACGCCAGCGTCTCATTCAGCACGTTGCCGAGGTACGATTGGAGCTCCTGTGGAAAACAAAGGGCTTTATTAATATTCATATTTTTTATTATACTTGCTTATATCGAAAAATCTACCCAGTAACGTATTTTAACATTTGGCACCGGCTATGAGATGGACCGACCCTTAATTTATTTTTTCGGTCTTAACCTTCAGGGTCATACATCGAATAACTCACCAGAGTTTCATCACAGTCGCATCAATTGTTTAGGAACGCATAGAGGACAAACATAAGAACATTCATTATCTATACATATAATAAAATTGTAACTAAGTCGAATCTGTACATTAAATATTTTTTGGAAAATCTAATTGAAATAGACATTATTATCGATACAGAGTTCGAATCTATAGTTTTTAGAATTTTTGTCTGTCTGTCTGTTACCGCATCACGAGAAAACCACTGGACAGATATTGATGAAATTTGGTATGACGATAGCTGGTTATCCGGGTCAACATATAGGATACTTTTTACTGCGGGAAAATATCTCATTTCTGAGAAAAAAATACAAAAATTGTAAGAGTATACTATGTAAACCTAAGAATTTGCTTTTTGGTCATCTGAAAGCGGGCGGAGACGCGGGCAATGTTATATATATATATTAGTTATTTATAGTATTATATTAGCTGAACCCGCGGCTTTGCTCGCGTGGAAACTACAAAAAACTAAAAAGGTAGGTTTTTTACAAACTTTTATCCTCTATTTTACCCTCTTATGGGATAAATTTCGAAAAATGCTACAACACGTATTTATTTAATTGTATTGAAGAGCATTAATACTAAGTTTCAAGTAATTCTAATCATAAATATTTTCTTTGCGTTGTATTATAACGTGTTTTCCAGCCAAAACACGCCAAACCGTCACTCTGTAATGACATGAAAGTAGGACAAACAAACAAACAAACAAACACACTTTCACATTTATAATATTAGTACGTAGAGCACCTGTGTGGTATGATGTATCATGGCGTGTATAGAGTGCCTGTCGAGCGCGCGCAGATGCAGCGCGAGCAGGCGGTCGAGCGGCAGGCGCGCGGCGGCGGCGGCCAGCAGGCCCGCCCACGCAGCCTCCGCGCCCTCACAGCTGGCCTCCTGCAGCGCGCCGCACAGCCGCAGCGCCTCCGCGCGCAGACACGACACGCGGCGCATCAGGCTCCACACCTCTGCCCACAATATACAAGTTAATACAGTATGCCATCAGTGCTGGATTTACACTAGGGGCACTCGGGGCTAGTGTCCAGGGCGGCAAAATTCGGAAGGTGGGAAAAAGAAATCTCTTCGCGTTATCAAAAACACTTTCTTTATTTTCCAAAAAATGAATAATTAAAAAAAATACTAGTACATTTTTCGAAATATTGAAATCATTTATAAAATATGCAAACATTTTGAATAATGCAAAAAAATTATAATTAACAAAAACTTTATCGAAACCCATTTTATGCAAAATTTCTATAATAGGGTGGCATTTTCTAGTGCCCAGGGGCGGGCGCTAACGTTTAATCCGGCACTGCGGCCACGGCCTATTCGTTGTAACGAAAATGCAGTCAAATTACCTACCCTTGTTGTTGGCCGCCACTGCTGCTATTAGACGTGACTATCTTACTTCTGGTATAGTAAAAAAATCTATACATATTCTTAATTGTTATATAAAAGTAGGTATGACATCTCATCTACGACTTTTGACGACTTTATACGACGATTGTCCTGTCTAGAGGCCTCCATTGGACGACTGTATGGATTACTAGACAGTGACACTAACATACATATTTATACTAAGGATCTATGCACATGAACACATTTTAATGTGCTGTCAACGTCACGACACGCTTGACACGCTACACGCTTCGATACTCAAACTATTTTGTTTTACAAAAAACTATTGCGAAAAAATGTGTTGCTGGTCGTTCAATTTGAAATTATTTGAATGCTTTTGACAATTCCTTATTAATGTTGGTGATAAGGTTGAAAAAAATAGCTAAAACAATTTTTTCGGAGAAAATTTTTCTTACCTCATTTACACTTAACAAAGTTCGGAAGACGATTTTATCGTAAAATCGCCTATTTTCAACAACCTTTTTTTATTATTATTTGGTAAGCTGATAAGTAGCTGAAGTTTTTTAAAGTACTTTGAATCTATGTAACTTCCATTTTGTATTGTTAAGAGAATTTTGAAAATTTAACTCTGTCCAACACACACCTAAAATTATCACATTCAGCCCTTTTTTGGTAACTTATAATGAAGAACGTTGTGTAGTTGATTATAACTTATAAAAGAGTGATTCAAGACGATCATGTTTCAGAAAAAGAAACCAATTTTTTTTTACTATTATACAAGTTATGATTTTCCGGTAAAAAATCCGCAGATACACATTAAAAAAATCATAACTTCTAAACTACGAAAAATCGCGGAATATACATGGGGTATTTTCGAATACACCCAGATGCAAGAATACTAAAAAAAAATTATGGCGGCATTTCTTGGACCGTTTTACGAAACCCTAAAATAGGTGTGTCCATACCGGGCATATGCCTGAGCCGCTTCTGCAGTATGGCGTGGTCGCGCCAGGCGTGGTGCAGCGCGTGCTCGATGCGCTTGACGCGCCACAGCTGCGTGAAGAGTGCGCGGTACCGCGCCGCGCACGTGGCCGGGAACAGCGTGCCCAGCGGCCCGTCCACGCGGTACTGCAGCGCGAACACGTCCCACCCGCTGTCCTCGCGTCCGTCGCCTGACGATACACGTATAGAATACATACTTAGATTTACGCGAATATTTGACATTTTTTAATTGTAAAAAAAAATCTTTTCGGATTTTCTCGCGGATTAATTTTGATTTTTTGGAGAGTCTCTCCCGTGACCATGATTGCTTTAGTAAAGTATTCGAAACGTCGAAAACCAAAAATCTAAGTAAATCCGCGAAAAAATCCGAAAAAATAGTTTTATTTAAACACGTATAGAAATAATAACCGTGAACACATATTGACCACAGAACATTTTTTAAAAATGGACAAATTGCTTCATTCTGCTAATTGACTATTAAAGTTTCTTTCGGTTGCTAAAATAACTTTATAATCGATAGGGTTTTTAATGGAATCAAGTATTATGTTATAAAGTTTATTGTGAATGTCATATGCATATAGTGCACTTTCAAGGTTAATAGAAAGACATAGGTAGTATCTTATTTGTTTTCTGCCGTATGACAATGAATGGCCAATATAAGTCAACATAAAAGACCATTCACATACTTGAACATCAAATTAAATTATAACTTATGAAAGCATTTACCAACATTCTAATATTCCAATTTTTTTTTCATATAACTTGAAAAAAAAAAAACAAAAGAAATTTTGTTGTTAGATTCTCTTGCCGTTTCTTTACGATGTTTTCCTTCATCGTAAGACGAGTGGTAATCATGTCGAAAACGATTCGCACATGAAAATATCAAAGGTACGAGACTCGGGATTTGAACCCGCTTCACTTAGTTTTAGTTTCACTGAACCTATTAAGAAAAAAACAAAATGTTTCCAAAGCGTAAAAGTATAATTTATTTTAACCAAAATATGATAATCTTACAGTTGGGGTACAAGTTGACATGAAGGCGCGCGAGCACGTGCGGCGGCTCGTATTGCGCATTGGTGGCGCGCACGGCCGCCTCCAGCGTGCACGTCAGGTTATGCACGTACAGGGAGGTCGCCGGCTTGTTCAACTCGTCTCTGTTGGCAGTGTAGTGTTTGTGTATTAAAGGTGTCTGCCCACTACACCATCTCATACCATGACAGTGCTAGGACCGTGTCAATTGAAAAAAATGTAGTGTACAAAGTAATAATTATTATCGATTTCTCCAATTTTTTTTTAATTTTTAAGGGTGTTTTTACAAGATAACCATACAATGCTTTTATATTTTCAAAAAGTAGAGTTTAAGACGAAAAGAATGAGCCCTATCAGAAAATTGAAGAATTTTTTTTAAATGTAAACGCCCACTTAAAGTTGGGGGTGATTTTCAGCCTCTCGAGACCATAAAACATACTTTTTTCGGAAATGGCTAAACATTTCAATTTCATTTTTTTTTAATTTATTATATGTATTTCGAAGATTACATTTCCTTAGTTTCGAGGAAATCAAAAGATTATTTTAGAATTTAAAAATAAAAAACCAAGATAAAGTAAAAAACCGAGTTTTTTACAAATATCTCGAAAACTTTGAGGTTATTATTAAAAGTGTTATTCTTAAAAGTTATAGATTTTTACTAAGCCTACAACTTTTTAGAAAACATCACAGTAAGCCGGAAATTGAAAAAAAAACTATTTTTCAACGCTTTGCGTCCCCCCATTTCTCGGGGGTAGCTGGGCAGAGGGGGCATTTTACGAATTTCTATTTCTTATATACCTGCTAACATTTTAAAATCATAAAACTTCAGGTTTTCAATAAAATTAAAAAAATTCTCTTAAAAATAAACGCATTCCGATTGGTCTAAAATAAGGTACTTATAAGAAAAATATTTTTTAAATTTTTGTCTGTCTGACTGTTTGTTCCGGATAGTCTTTGAAACAGCTAGATTGATTTTGACGGGACTTTCACTGGAAGATAGCTGATGTTATAGAGAGTAACTTAGGCTACTTTTATTTTAGAAAAAGTATTAGGGTTCCGCTCAGAAAAATTAAAACGTACCTAGGGACGAACCTGAGCGAAACGAGGGTGAGTCGCTAGTATGTAAATACATATAACAAGGCACATACTGCAACAAAGTCATCAGGTGGTGCACAAAGTCGCCCTGCGCGAGCAGCAGGTAGCGGCGATGCGCGGCGAGGTGGTCGAGCAGGTGGTGGTGCGTGGTGAGCGCGGCCAGCAGGCGCGCCGCCGCCGCGCCGTGCGCCGCCGCCACGCCCGCCGGCAGCCCGCCCGCCTCCCACCACGCCGGCTCCGACCTCTCGCCGCCTGTCAATGTCCATATCACCCATGCAAATTGATAATCTAAATCTTCTTACATTCATTTTTACTAAAAGACCAATTTTATAGAAAGACAATTCTCTTGCGTAGAAATGTCGCGTCGGCATTTTGAATTTCACTTTATTTCGCACAAAGGTACAACGTGAAGAAATAACAAATATTTTCCCACTCTTTAACTTTCGCTTTTATAATATTATCGCGTAGTGGAGCGTGCATTTTTACACCAAAAATAATAATTCAAAATGGAACATCTGACACGCTTAATACATCCTAAGACAGTTGTCAACGTATGGCAATTAACAAAGAACAGTAAATCGCAAATTGCAAGCTAATTAGGAACAAAACATTTTCCAAAAAGGAATTGAGTTTACTAGAAAAAATTTTAATTTTCGAACACTAGAATATATCGGCTAGATAGAGAGAACACGCAGGCAGATGCAGGCACGCACCCGGGTGCCGCGCGCCGGCGCCGGCCCGTAGCAGCTCGTGCAGGTGGTGGTGGTGGTCGGCGGGCGCTGGCGCGTCGGTGCAGGCCTCGCGCATGAACACCACGCTCTTGCCCGTGGCCAGGATCTGCGCCGCCTGCTCGCGCGACATGAACGACGGCACCATCCACTCCCTGCGAGCGTATCACCAACAGATTACTTTATGCTGCGCATTATTAATGTTAGTTATAAAAGAAAAAAAAACTTTTTTTTTATTTTAATGCATTTCTTTTTACTCAATATAACGGTAAATTCCTGCGACGCTGCGTATTAAAAAAAGCGCACTGAAGAGTAAGTATCCTATGTCTTTCTCATATAATTATCTTCAATTGACATAGTTACATGAAATAAATACTGGATATTTGTTATGACTAAATTTTCAATATGAAATGGTTTATCTTGACTTATGTTCAAAATTATTAATCCAAAGCAATAATGGAACCCGTAATCTATGTCACAGAAGTCAATTTATTGACACAAATGTACATCTAAAAAATAAATAAAACACTCTCAACTCACCGCACCCTGTACTTGTCATGCCACATTCTATCTATAGGAACACCACTTCTACTTTCAATAAAGAACTCATTAAAAGGGTCATCAATTTCTCCTGGAATAAAATTATTATACATATAATAAAATTATAACTAAGTCGAATCTGTACATTAAATATTTTTTGGAAAATATAATGATATAGACATTATTATCGATACAGAGTCTGAATCTATAGTTTTTCGAATTTTTGTCTGTCTGTCTGTCTGTCTGTTACCGCATCAAGAGAAAACCACCGGACAGATTTTGATGAAATTTTGTATGATGGTAGCTGGTTATCTGGGTCAACGTATAGGACTTTTTACCGCGGGAAAATATCTCATTTCTGAGAAAAAATACAAAAACTGCATTGTAAGAGTATAATAATATGTAAAACCTAAGAAATTGGTTTTTGGTCATCTGAACGCGGGCAATGCTAGTAAATAATAAAACGTAAACAATATCAATAATTAACAAGTAAAAATGACCAAATGAAATATATTTTAAATTTACCGTGCAATAGCCATCTTGTAAGCATTTGTAGTAGCGGATACGTGAGTGCAGTGAGTAGACGTCGAGCCAGTGTCACGACGCGGTCGTCGCCGTGCCTCACGAAGCGATGTACACATGACGCCAGCTCCCCGCCTAATGATTATAAATAAATAATATTTCAGCAACAGAAAGTTCCCACTGATGTATACGGGTTTTACACTATAGCCAAATAAAGTAGACTACACACGAAAATTAGTAAGATTATCTAATATCTTAGACAAGAAAATTTCCTCATTACGTTTCCCCGTTTTTTTTTTACTTTTTTACTTATAAATATAATATAACTTTTTATTTGTTTAAAACCTTATTTATGAATACCTTTCTTATGATGAACGGTGTGTGCAATATTCGCCAGCCAAGTCAGCCGGTGTAGCGGTTCCTGCGCCCAAACACACACTCGCCGTAGCGTGCCGCCGGCGCCATCGCCTTCACATATCTTACATACAATAATATGCATTAAATAAACCTTACTGGCTACGAATTCAAGACTATCTAGTATCTTGCAAGAACAAATTAAGTTATAATTGGACCCAGTTATGCAAAAAAACAGCCATGTGCGTAAAAGTACCAACAGAGTTATAAGCATGTTTCTGTCGATAGTTGCACTTGGGTTATGTTTTGTTTTTCTGGTTATTTTAAAATTGAACAATATTTATATAAGTATTGTTTATTTTTTATAATTATTTTATTTTTTATAATAAAATGCTTATAACTATGTTGGTACTTTTACGCACATGGCTGTTTTTTGCATAACTGGGTCCAATTACACAAATGTACACGTGTGTATGTGTTGTAGTAAGAATTTCCTTCTAATCATTTTCGATGATGGCAAACAGCTTGCATACTTATTCTCCTTCATGAATGTTTAAGTGGCTTTCTAGACTTGGTTTCGTGTTATAATTACTTCACAAACTCTATACACAAGTTTTTAATTGAATTCAATTCTTCGTTATTTGGCGTTTAGGCGTGCCAATGTCGTGTAGAATGGAGAATACACCAGTTTAATTGGATAAAGTCAATATAATTTTAGAACTATTCTTCTATAATAACTTAGTAATTTTTCAAAACTCACCTGAGATTGTAGTAACGCAACACTTCTGTAGTACTCAGTGAGCTCGTCTCGGATGGAAGCCACTAATCCTTCGCCCATCAAACCTGTATAAAGAAGCGCAATATTTATGATGATTGAAATTTGTAGGCGTCCATACACAGTGCAGTATTTCTTTTACTAAACAGTAGAACGTCGCCGGACATAGGGCAAGGTATATTATACAGGTATTTGTATTATTATTAATAAAATATTAAGTTTGCCAATTTTTTCATTTACAATTAGCCCCGTCATTAATCTAAGACTGACGTTAAGTTCAATATACCTTCCGATTACAAGAAATACCTTTTATATTTAACATAAAAATTCAATTCAAATTCAATATTTCAAAAGATTAAGTTTAATGGATAAAAATAAACTTAATTATTTTATAATACTTTCTTAGATTTACGCGAATACTTGACATTTTAAATAAAACTATCTTTCGGATTTTTTCGCGAATTTATTTTGACGTTTCGAATGTGTTCGAAACGTCGGGAACTAAAAATCAAAATAAATTCACGAAAAAATCCGAAAAGATAGTTTGATTTAATTATTTTACTTTTTGATTAGAGATAATTCATCAACTTCATTATGTTAAATCAAAATAAAGTCATCATTTATAATGTCAGTAGCGGCGTTAGGGTAGGGCGTGGTTGGGCGACCGCCCAGGGTGCCAGATATAAAGGGGCGCCGCATGAACATAATTATCTCAAATCAAATAAAATCATTATCGTGCCTTCAACATAATGAACTAAAATAAACTTCTTAATTATAATCAGATTATGAGATATGTAGCAAATGATTATATTGTATGTAAAATACTTTGCCTTTCCAAACTTAGAGCTTAGAAAATTTGAGCTTTCAAGTAAAGCTGGCTGTTGACAAGCTTTAGTGTTACCAAAAAAAATATGATTATTATTTACGGTCAGATCGCTAATTGAACACAAGTATTAATATTAAATAGGTTCAGTGATATTTCCATTGAAATATCAAGAATTTTTTCATTCCTTTAGGAAGTTAAGGGAAGGAAGTGGATTGATTACTTTTAAGTTTGCCTTCAACTGATCATTGTGAACTTGACTTTTATAATTTTAAGCAACCTAATTGGTCGGGGGGCGTGGCTAGGCCGGTGACCACCGATGTCTAACTATTTTCTTAACACGAATGAGCATTACGATAAGTGTGTCTTATTAGTTCATTATTGCACGGCGTGAGTTAATGTCCGTCCACAGCGCGGAGGGAGGGAGGAAATTTACATTGCTCGTGTACAATTTTTAAGAATAAAAAGTATCGTTCTTCATAAATTGCTTAAATGAAAAAAAAAGGTTTAGGTCACGGCTATAGTGTTTAAGGAAATACAAAACTTTAGAAATTATTAATAATTTACCTTGTGGCATAAGATCTGATGCAGGGTCAATGAACTCCTTAAGTCGGTCATGCAGGAAGCCTAAGTGAGCTATCCGACTGTATAATATCTGTGCCGGACGAGTCCAGCTCTCCTGACCACGGGCCTTGATCCCTGTCGCAGCCAACACTGCATCCCGTACACATGCACGCTCGTTTGAGTGATCTATACACACAGATTTAAATCTACAGATTAGCTATCAACATACTTAGAACTCGTATAAAACGTTGGACTCACGTATCTCGTATGGCGTACCAGTTGCTCTTAACAAGTAATACATTAAAAATTAAAAAAATCTCGACCATCTTGGACTGATTTTCATCAAACGTAGCTAAGAACACTCCCGACTAATTCACCTTTCAAACAAAAAAATAACAAAATCAAAATTGGTTCATCCGTTCGGGAGCTATGATGTCACAGAGAGACAAACATACACACGTACACACACAGGCATGTCAAACTTATAACTCCCCGTCGTTTTTGCGGTGCGAGTTAAAAATTGTAAATTTTACCAAATATCAAGCAATAAAATCTTTACCTCATAAAATACTGTATAGTAAAAACGTCCTAGTAGTCGTGTAAACATTTTAAAGTTTAGTACAGATTTCTTAGAGATGAGATATTTTCTCAGACAGATAAACAGACAGACAGACAAAAACTATAGATTTACAATTTTCACTATGAATGAGTGAGCAAAACGAATCCAAACGGCATGCAATACCATGGTACCGCGTAAATAATTGAATCATGAAAACGTGACCATATTTAGACATAGCTGAGTATATAATTGTTTGTATATCTATAAATAACTTACGTAATTTATATTTTTTATATAAAACATCAATATAGTGCCATGAGTTATTTCACAACTTTAATAAAAAGTGTTTTTTAAGACTACAGGGCTGTTTATTTAACTCTTATTAAATTGCTAACTAATCACCTGAATAGAGTCTTAAAGCTAGTAGTAAGTCAGTAAAAGTTTTAAGTCTCACCACTAGAACAGACAGCTACAGCAAAATCACTTTTATTTGAAGGAAGACTTTGATTTGAACCTTGTTGTTTTAAGCAATTACTGCCCCATCTCACTGGTCCTATGTTACTTTTACTTGAGCTGGATGCAGGAGTTGATAAACCAAAAGCAGAATTCTGAAAAAAAAAGAAATTTACAAAAGTTAAATCTAAACTAATGTATATATCTACACTAATATTATAAAGAGGCAGAGTTTGTTTGAACTAACTAATCTCAGGAACTAATAATCCAATTTGATAAATTCTTTTTGCTTAGATAGCCTATTCATTGAGGAAGGCTATATATAATCATGCTACTACTCAAGGAAGCGGAGCAGTAATTTATTGTAAAACTAGACTTCCACACATTGTTGTAAAACTATATATATATATATAGTAGTATAATAGTGATAGGGACGAACCCGAGCGAAGCGAGGGTGAGTCGATAGTATTATATTAATCAATAAATGCATTTATGAATTGTATAATTCATTTTATTTAGATTTTTTGCATTTTGGTGTATAGACCCCGTGGTGACCCTGTATAACGTGGTGCATAGGCTCACCACGTTTTATATACGCGCCGACAACGCGCCTGATAAACTCAAAATGGCGTACCTACACTATATTCCATAAACGTGCCAAGAATGCGCGTATAACGAATATTTTGTGCTGATGTACGTACTTAAAACCATTGCATATGCAGAGGCCCTTACATGTACACATGACACTGTATAATATAATAATAGTAATTCTATAAAGGAAAACTATATGACCGTTTTTTTCCTCTGTAAAAATACAGGTATATTCTTTTTTATAATCAATGCTATATATACTACAACATACAAGTTATAAATATATTTAAAAATTTATACATCTTCTGTACTGCTGATAAGATTTGGCAAAATTTTTACAACCGGCCGCCTGCCTGAGGTCAACCCTCCTTGAGGATAGATTTGATTTTTTGTTTATTTGTACCGAATAGGCTTCGAAACTACTGAACTGATTTAAATTAAATTTGGTAAGAAGATAGTTTGAGACCCTGGGAAGGACATAGGATAGTTTTAATCCCAGAAATCATCCCTTGAATGAAAATGGGGATAAAAGTTTGTATGGGGAATCAACCTAGGGAGGAACCCGAGAAAAGCGAAGTAAGTCGCTAATTATCTATAATTTTAAAATAGAAATTTGTTTGTAAATGCTTATATTATCTTACCGTGATTGAAATATTTGGTATAGGAAATAACTGTTGTGTAGATTCAGTTTGTTGAGGTGTTTCAGACAGGTCCAACAGAAGGGAAAGAACAGCAACTCTCTGTTTCAATACAAACTAAAACAAAAATTCAATATTACCGAATTGAAATTAAACAATTTATAAATATTTAATGAACATGTTCTAAATCTTATACTACTTTGTATAGACTTACTGAACTCTTGAGTTTTGAATAGGCTTCACTAAATTTGTCACTATCCCTTGCAGAAACACTGGCTAAGCGTGCATGAATCCTTTGACACAACAATCCCTCATCTAAAACTGGTCGTGTTTTCTTACTTGTTGAAGATAAATATGATAATGCAAGTTCATAAGCTCCATCTGCAAAAACCAATACTGCTTATAGGTCTAATTTCATTAAATATATCTCTTAATTTCCAAAATGATTTTTCTTAAGAAAACACACTTTGCATAAGCCTAAAATACAAATGTTAATGGATTTTAAATTATTATGCCAGTAATATAATTATTATTTTAATAGGAAGAGATTTATCATGAGCTCTTGATATTAATAATGTTTATGATATATAATTATTTTTATCACAAAATAATTTAGAAAAAAAAACTTTTTAGAAATAACTATATTTTAGCAATTTATTTGTTTTAACTTTAAAATTCAATTAAAATTTATTAGGTAAGTATATAATATAATTACCTATTTTAAACTTTTCAATTATATCTTTTAAATATTCCTGAAAGCTACTCATAGATAAAAATAATATTGATATTTAATATTAAAAATCTCGAAATCAAAAATTGACAGATAGTTTAAAAAAGGAAACTTACCTGGATCAGATGACAAGCTTTCACATAATTTATGAAGTAATGTAGCAATTGTACTAGCTGGCATATCCATCTAATTTAGAAAAATATTACATATTAATACTAAGATATTTCATTGTGCTACCGGCATAATAATTTTCTTAACTTTGACGTACCTACGTACTATTTTAATTAATCTAAGACCAATATTTACGTAAACTGTTGTTAGGAATAAATGGAATCAAACTTGAAACATTTAGGAAATAATTATACAAAATAATTATTACTAACTTACAACTAATCAATTTAAATGTTTATTGTTTACTATTCAGTATTCATAATTCACTGTTTGAGAGTATCTTATTTAAGTCATGTCAAAATGTAATTTAAACTTTAAAGATATGTCACCATTCACCAACGTTCAACAGACAACAGTCACCTAAAAGCATAGATTAAAAACTAGAGTGAATTTTTTAAGAGTTAAAACTTTGTCTATGGTAATTACAACAGAACTAGACAGTCTTCATTCTTGTTGTTCCTGGTCTATGGTCTACAACAAAAAAATACATAGGTATTTTCAGCCTATGACAAAAACGTGTTTAATCTATGGAATAAAAGCTAATTCTTCTACGTTCAAGCCGTAATTTTATTTTAATAAAGACTCAAAACAAGCAGTGATTGTTGAAAAAAACCATGTCCACTGTTCATGATGAATTTTATAATTGAAAATTGGAGTTTCTTTTAATTTACGAATCAAATAGTAGTATTGACATCCAAAAATGAGTTTTTCAATTGATGAAGTAAACTTTCTTGTGTACCGATACTTACAAGAATCTGGTATTTATCTTCCGACACAGGATAATAGACGCCAACATGCTTTTTCAAATAGATCTGAGTGTACTAATATATTTATTCATATTTTAGGCTTTCATCATTCTGCATATACCTTTGGTATTGAGTCTCATATATCTCAAAGTAATATTAATGGAGCACTTGTGCCACCAGCAGCATTACTTAACATATTACAGAAAGGCCTACAATACACAGAAGCCGAAATAACTATTGGTGAAGATGGTAAGAATGGGGACATAACATGATTTAGCCGTGAAACATGGTTAAGACTACTAAATGTATACAAATTATGTCATGTTGTTTACAGGTTCAGAAACTCGACTTACAGAAAGTCTTAGCTTAATTGATGCAGTTACTCCAGATATAGTAGCTGCAAGACAAAATGCTCATAATGCACAAAAACAAGCAAATAAAGAACCAGGCTCTGGAGGAGAACAGAACGGTGTTGATGTATGTTTAGCTATATTTTGGTGGTTTATCATTAGATTATTACATATCAGTATCCAAAATAACAACAATAGTCTGTTAACCCGCAGGGAACTACATGCAATACAGCTTCATCAACTGGAGGTTCTGCTACTCCTAGTGCCCCAGAAAATATGGATGTAGACCAATCAATTGAAATCCCTGCCAGCAAAGCAACTGTTCTCAGAGGACATGAATCTGAAGTATTTATATGTGCCTGGAATCCCAGCACAGACCTTTTAGCCAGTGGCTCTGGAGACAGTACAGCTAGGTATCCACTTAAGATGTATGCTATATTATCATCTTTTCTACACACTTAATTTTATAAATGTATAAAAATTTTTTAGAATATGGGATATGTCTGATAATCCTGCCACAACACCAAATCAACTTGTACTAAGACATTGCATTCAAAAAGGTGGAGCCGAAGTACCGAGTAATAAGGATGTCACATCATTAGACTGGAATGTATGTTTACTTTTTTGTATGTGTAATATGATTAGGACTTCATATTATATAGAAATATAATTTACTTTTCAGTGTGATGGTAATCTGTTAGCAACCGGATCATACGATGGTTATGCTCGTATCTGGACAACAGATGGTACTTTGGCCTCTACATTAGGTCAGCATAAGGGACCAATATTTGCTCTAAAATGGAATAAAAGAGGAAACTATATCTTAAGTGCAGGGGTAAGTATAGCAAATTTTATTTTAAGTAATATTATTGTTGCAAATGACTTAATTTATCATTATTTTTAGGTGGACAAGACCACAATTATATGGGATGCAGCATCTGGGCAATGTACTCAGCAATTTTCTTTTCATGCTGCACCAGCACTTGATGTTGATTGGCAAACAAACAATTCATTTGCATCTTGCTCAACTGACCAATGCATTCATGTTTGCAAACTACATGTTGATAAACCAATAAAAAGCTTTCAAGGCCACACAGTAAGTAAAACTACAATTACCATATTGAAATATGTTTTGCATATATTTATTCATCTTTGTTTTTTAGAATGAAGTCAATGCTATTAAATGGGATCCCCAAGGACAGTTACTTGCTTCCTGTTCTGATGATATGACACTGAAAATATGGTCAATGAAACAAGATACTTGTGTTCATGACTTAAAAGCACATTCAAAGGAAATATACACTATAAAATGGTCTCCAACAGGACCAGGCACTCAAAATCCTAATATGAATTTAATTCTGGCAAGTGCATCTTTTGATTCAACAGTAAGATTATGGGATGTAGAAAGAGGAGTTTGTATACACACACTAACAAAACACACAGAACCTGTTTATAGTGTTGCATTTTCACCTGATGGTAAATTTTTAGCAAGTGGCTCATTTGACAAATGTGTGCATATATGGTCAACTCAAACAGGAGGCCTTGTTCACTCGTACAAGGGTACAGGAGGCATTTTTGAAGTGTGTTGGAATTCTCGTGGCACTAAAGTAGGAGCAAGTGCCAGTGATGGAAGTGTGTTTGTTCTAGATTTACGCAAACTGTAAGAGATTCATCATTTAATTTATGATAACAATTTAAAGAACTGATAATATATTTTTCATTAAAAGATCCATATAGTAAATATCAACAACTCAATCAATTTAAATATAATAGAGAAAATAAAATGGTAAGAATACATCTGTAATATAATGTTTTTTAAATACACTGATCTGTAAAATTGTATCTTTTTGTGTGTATAAATTTTGTAAGAGAAAATTATAATTTTATTATTTTAAGAACTAATACACGAAATGTAACACAAAACTTAATAATTTTGCTCTTTTTTTTGTATTTACAAAGACTCCTACCGAAAAAAATATACTGAAGGTGAAAAATTATTATCTCCATATTTTTATACTTATTTAAATAAAATAATAATTGTTATAGTACTTTAATACAATCATTTGTGACTCCTGACATTTCATTATTCACGACAATATACATTATGTCAACAATTTTCATTCCAAATCATTTTAAGACAAATATAGATTTATTTACATTTCAGTACTTTTATTCATTTGGATCACATTCTTTTATGTAATCTTGTTAAGTTTTTAGACAAAAATTTTATATTTTTTTTATAGTTTCATTGGCCTTTTGTATGCTAACATATCTTCATGTTTATAAAGTGTATGAAGCTTCTCATACATAAATTTAAAAAAATATAGAAGATTGTCATATTCCCCCTTATAAGGTCTACAATAAATATGATGTTCTTGACTATGTCTTGGGTAATTTGCTGTAAGTTCATTCTGATAATTAGGGCTAAGGCCCCAAGCACTAGCATGCAATTCTAACAAAAACTGATGTAATGCCTCTATTGTTGAAAGATACCATCTTGGGCTTCCCTTCTGATGACGCCAAAATTGAGATATTCTATTTTGTAAAACAACTTTTGGAATTGTTTGTAATCTTGAGTCTGCAAATATACCTCTGCTTTGATTCCATGTGCTGTCAATCAGTATTAGTCTTTCTATAGGTAATTTATCTACATGGAAAATTTCATTTACATCAAAATCAGGATTAAGAATTTTTGTTCTTAGAGTTCCAAGATTATAGCCAGAAGGTAATTCAGCTAACACATTTTCAGAATAGGTTTTAGAGTCATTTTTTCCTGTGAATAATTCTTTCACAGTGCATGCCTCTGTACCTGGATATAACAAAACTGTTTTACCATTTAATTCATAATCTGGTATTTCAGGATATGTATAGACATTCACATCGTTAGGTGCTAATACGGCAGCATGAGCAGCAGTGCTTTTACCGTCTATTTCTCGTTTATGTTTAATAATGTCAACTTTGATAGGTAGCTGAAAAACAAAAATTGAGTACTTAATTACAAAATTATAATATTTAATTGGCATATTACGATAAAACATTTTAAACTTATCTTACTGTACATAAAGGAATTCTTCCATCTAATTGAGTGACAGGAACGAAACAAGTGTAACAAAAATACATTCTGGACTTGCCGCAACGTGGGCATGGACTTCGACTATCTAAGCTATCTAATTCAACAGACTTTGATATTTTCAATCCGTCGAACGGGTTGTCATCGCGATTTCTTGATTCTGGACTTTTGGGGTTCATTGTTTACAGTATAACTTAGACAGTTTTTTTGTTTTATTACAACTTACAATCGCACAGAATATGGAAACAATCGTTTATTTCCTAATTCCGCTTGACTTTTACGAAACTATTTGTCAATTTAGTTCCTCACGTTTACAGTTTACGTTGAGGTTTAGTAACATAGAGTATATTGCTACATATATAAATTTAGTAACTTACAACCATCTATACTCTTTGCTTACAACTTTAGTTATGTCAATTGACTCAGAAATTTGAATAATCGATATTTTAATCGATTCTTAGTTAATCATTATCATTTAAGAATACATAAAAAAGCTATTTAGATTTTAGAAGACGCGACTTCGTTGATGTAATCATGTTAAAGTCGTGTTATTTTAAAAGGGGTCAATAATAGTAAAAACAAGCAAGAATGAATTATTTTAGTAAAATAAGACATTATCAAAGTCATTTATTATTATCGGGATAAAAGATAAACTAGAATAGGTATTAATAAAGTGTTTGATAATTGATAAAATGTAGATAGCTTATATTGTGCAATTTGCAATATAAAAAATGCATAATCACTGCACATAAGATTCACTTTTCAGAGCAGTCTCATGAACTTAAACTAACCGTACTTTAAGTTTATTACACACAGGGCCATCCAGCGGATTTTCATCTTAAACTGTCAGTACTATTTACGAGCCATATCTTCCAGTGGCTAATCCCTCAACCACCGCGGACACGCCGGCGTTACAGTTAACTATTGTTTGTGATTTCTTAGAAATTTAATTAATTTCTTAGAAAATTACCGAGATTTTCTTAGAAAATTAGAGGTGTTAAGAATGAAATTTGAATGGAAAATAGGCTAATATCCTAAGTTAACAGCTAGACAATTTTATCTACATATCTCCGGGGCAGAGGCTGACTGCTACCGGACGCGTCCCCCGGGTAGCGGATAGGGAAGCACCACTCGCACCTGTTTGGACCCGACAGGAGCTTGTGGTACCGGAGCAATCCGGCGCGGACCAACAGCCAGGAGGGGGGGTCAAGGGAGCGGCGTCAGGAAGGCGCCGTCTCCTTCTTGGAGGTAGCGCGGTGTCTCCGGCCGTTTCGCAGTAGGAGGCACAGCGCGGGCCGCACTGCCGGGGCTAGCCCGTCGGTGCGGCGGCTGAAGCGCGGCCAGTTTGGTGATCCTGCGTCTAGCGAGGAATGTCGGCAGCCATTTTGGTCCGGAAGTGGGCCGACGGTAGGGGGGCCGCGGGGGAAGAGGAGTGTCGGTATGACGATGCGCCGCTCGTCCCTATTTCCCGCAGCCTAGCGGGGCCACCACCGGGGGAAGTCGGGTAGTATCCGTAATAGGATTTCCCAACTATAAAAAAAATATCTGACCAATTTTGGTCCCAGCAACATATTTGATTTAGACTAATCGTCGGCACAAGACTAAATGGGATATTATAATGAATAAGGGTTTGCGCAAATACGCGTTCTCTCTTTTTATTTCTTTTCTCTTCCAAGCCCACACAACAACTTAACAAGACTGGATTATAATTGAACAACAACAACAGGACGGATGTATTCTAGTGGACTGCAGTGTTTATATTACTTTAATATTATTATAACGTCTCTCACGTCATTATCTTACTAACTGATATTATAAAGAGGCAGAGTTTGTTTGTATGATTGTTAGAACGTGCTTCAGGAACTACTAATCCGATTTGAAAAGTTCTTTTTGCATTAGATAACCCATTTAGTAAGGAAGGATATAATTTCATTAAAAACTTAAAAAAAAATACTTCCAGCCACTGAAATGTAAAAAATAACTAAACAGATAGAGAATTAGAGAATAGAGAGATTTAGAGACTAACAAACAGAGAATTAGAGTTTATACCTAATCATATTTACGTTTTAGATATCCATATCTTAAAATATTGTCGGCTGGCACCGACTTCGAAAATATCTGATTATGTATTTATTCTAAATGAAAACCCCCGTTTAGTTATTTTTTACATTGTAGTGCCTGGAAGTCGGTTTTTATTTATTTTTTTAAAGTTTTTATTTTTCTATTTTTAGTCTAGACGTAAAAAGCAGGTAATTTTTAAGAAGAAAGATTTTGAATAATATATTCTATTAAGCAATTTATTAAAAAAATAATTTATTGTTAATTTTTTTAACATCAGTGAACATACATAAAAAAAAAGATTCCGATGAATTGAGAACCTTCTCCTTTTTGGAAGTCGGTTAATAAAAATTGTTTTTAATAACTGAATCTGATATAATAATTTACTGGTGTGTCGTTGCCTTTAAAATTCAATGTTAATCCAAAATGTTAAAATCGTACTAAATGATAAAAATAATATTATTTGCAGAGTTTTAATAAAGCTTGATCATTTTTTTTCAAAATGATTTAAAAAATACAGATATTATTATTTTTTCAAATGAAATCAGTTCAAACGAAATACGATACATGTACCATAACAAACCTTACAAATATTTCATCTATTTTCGTTATTACGTCAAAGTGTAGTGCTTATTAGTGATTTTAAATATTTTTCTGTAATTGTGTATAACATTAAGGTATTCATTATTTAGTTAAATACTTCATATTTTTTAATTAAAGAATCATTTATTTATGTTTTATAGATTTCTGGTAGTATTCTTATTGTCTACCTTGTTTAGGACAATGACGCCATTTTGTCGCGCCGGCTGATCAAAAATAATATTTTATAGTGTTTTTTTGAGTATTTCTTAACGATTATGTTAAATATATGTTTACACATCTGATAAGTCATAAATAGTCATTCTCTGTAACATAGCCTTTTAACAAATTAATGTGCGTAATAACAATGTGAATATATTGATTATATGGATTCTTCATTGCAAATAAGAAAATTGGTGTAAATTTTCTTTTGGGAAAATACCAGGGACTTTAGTTCAAGTGTTGTTTCTTTAAGTTGCACGTCAATGTATTACTTCCATTATTTAAAATTGAAGTCACTGTAGAAGTACTTACTTACATTAATATCGCGAATCTCATAATGCCTGTGCTCTTACGGCTGGTACAATAACATAGATAATTTTCATCTTAATTCTAGGAGAGGTGAAATGATTAGGGATATGTTATAATAATGACAATATCAATGAAGGAACAAGATCAGATGCCCGGGGACGTAAGTATTTTAGTTTTAAACTATTTTTTTTAATGTTATCTTATCCATTAACAATTCTCTATATGTATTATTTATTATAGATGATATTCCCCGAGGCTAAGTTAAAAGCTTTAGAAGAAAAAATTTCTCATCCCCGGTGGGTTGTACCTGTTTTACCTGAACAAGAACTAGAAGCTCTTTTGATTGCCTCAACTGAATTGGCTGCAAAAGGTATGTAAAATGAAGATAATTGATTACAAAGAAGTTTGATAGTGGTAAAATTAATTGTGATTTAAACGTAAATTAGGTGAAGATCTGAACAACCCATCTTGCCAACGGTTTTACAATGATGCGTTGACTGTATCATTTACAAAAATTTTAACTGATGATGCAGTCTCATCATGGAAGAGCAATATTCAACAATGTGTGCGTTCAAATTGTGAAAAATTGGTAAAGTTATGTGCCATGAAGCTAGATGATCCTAGATTTTTACATCTCTTATATATGGCTTTCAATCCAAATAACAAGTAAGATTTTTATTATAATTTTTATATATCTTAAGTCTTCTGTGTTTATTTATTTACTAGCATTGCACGCACGCGGCTCCGCCTGCATTCAGATGACCCAAAATCAAATTCTTTAGTTTTACTTATAAGTATACTCGTACATTGCAGTTTTTGTATTTTTTCTCAGAAATGAGACATTTTTCTGCTGTATAAAGTATCCTATATGTTGACCCAAATAACCAGCAATCACCATACCAAATTTCATCAAAATCCCTGTAGTTGTTTTTCTGTGATGCGGTAACAGACGGACAAAAATTCTAAAAACTATAGATTTGGCCTCTCTATCGATAATAATTTCTATTTCAATAAGATTTTCCAAAAAATATTTAATGTACAGATTCGGCTTAGTTACAATTTTATTATATGTATAGATTTATTTTATTAATGCTTCTGTGTATTGTACTAAATGTTTAATTATATATAGGTTCCACACTTTTAACGCCACAAGAACAAGTGAAGGTTTATCAGTGGCAAACATTACTGCAACAACAGGGCAGGGATCTACTCAGGAACCTGAAGTGTTTGCTCGATCACAAGATCATCGTACACCAAGGGGATGGCTGGTCCATCTAATTAATTTGTAAGCATGATTTTTTGCATACCTGTGTAGTTATTAGTAGGATTAAGTTAAGATTTGTAGACTTTTGTTGACATATTGATTTTATTTGCAGATTTGGTCAAGCTGGAGGGTTTGTAAAGCTTAGGGAAAGATTTGAAACAATAATGGGTTTTAAAAAATCTGAATTAACATCATCTGTTATAAGTGAGGAAAAAGTTTCAAATGAAATAACAGAAAAGGAAAATGAGGAAACTAAATTAAACTCCAATGAAAATATACCATCTATAACAGAAAGCATTGAGGTTGTTATAGTAAATAAAGACATCAAATTTCATTCAAACATCTTAAAATATTTAATTTTTATGTAAATATTTTGCCATTTATATTATAGAGTTCAATGACAAGAAATGAACAGCCATCATCATTAGAACAATCAATAAATGGTGAAACACGTGTTGCAGCAGTCTGGCAGCTCTTACGCCCCTTAGGTCTTTGCCATGATCTCCTCACCCCAAATACTGTTACTGTTTACCTTCTACCTGTGTTGGTAAGTATACATTTTTATTGTAGACATTCATTATATTCTTTATCTTATTCAATTAAGGTAAAATGTGTTTGTTTTTGAAAGACTCAACTAATGGACCACTTTTTAAAAAAAAGCCCCAATAAATAATAGGAAAGAACACAATACATCTAAGCAAGTAATATTACACATTGTTACTTGTGCCCAATACCAATGTAATAAATAACCTAGGAAAATATTATAAGGGTTCAATGATGTTTTTGTTTATTTTAGGAATGTATACCAACATTATTGGAAAGCTTAACAGATGAAGAATTGAAACGAGAGGCAAGGGGTAGTGAAAATAAGACAGACATAGTATCATGTTTGATAAGAGCTTGCAAATGTGTATCGATTAAAACTCCTCAACATCACAGTTTACTTAAATGTAAGTGATTATTGTTACTGTTAAGCTGTAAGTATTACATTCAAATTGATTTGTATGTTTGAATGGTTTCTATGGTTTACATAGTAATTTAAATGTCTTTTCATTTGAAATGTATGAATGTTATCATAAATTATTTCAATATTTTATAATTATGTGCATTGGTTGTTTGTTTAATAGTAAGTAAATTTTTCAGATAAATACATTCTCACCAGAAAACGAGAATGTATTTATTAAAAAAAATTTACAATAGGTTTCATTTTCTCTTCACAATTTCTCAGTTTGTTACTGGAATTTATAGAATGAAAAGCAACAAGTAAGAGGTTTGCGAGCTGTAAGCTGATTGGAATATGATATTTTGTGATAATAGAAGATAATGTTAAATCTTTTAACTTAAAGCATATTTGTCATTGTTTTAAAATAATGATTTCTTTGAATACATTTGCAAAATAATTTCAATTGTTGGTGTACTAGAGTTATTGTCATTGATATTGTGTCTATTTTACTTTGTCAGTGTTGATCACAATACATTTATTTCAGCTTTAGAAGTAAGATAAATGTAACATAAAGTAATTAAAATGATATTTAAATTATTGATGAATATATGGTATGGAGCAATACCTTGGAGCTAGGCCGGCTGCGGACCCTGTAGCTGCTAAGGGGCGAAGTGTGCTTACCTCCCCTGAGCTGCTACATCGTCTGTTGTTGTCCTTAAGTCATCGTTGCACAAGTATCGCCACATCAGCTTCTTATGCATGTTTTTTGTATATTATTTTATTTGTTTTACAATTTCACAAGGTTGTAGAACAAAATGACCTAAAATGACATTTTGTATTACAATTTTGATGACATTCATTGACTGTTACATGTGTTTTCATGTTAATTGTGACTGTCATTTTATTTTTTCAATATAAAAAAGAAACTTTATCAAGATTTTTTGCCATTACAGCATTAGAAATGTTTCGGTTGAAGATGATTTTACGTCTATTGCAAATGTCATCGTTTAATGGTAAAATGTCGGCGTTGAATGAAATCAACCAGCTCATCAGTACTATCTCCCAACAACCAAAACCAGAATGGCTTACTCCTGCTGTAATAACGGTATGTAGTTGGCACTATTTTTAACATTTTTCTTTTATTATTTCAATTGCAATTTTGAGTTTTTCTTTTGTTTTCAGAATTGGATTCGTGAAAATAAAGTCGTGGATATAGTATTACGGGATTCGCTCCACCAACCTCAGTATGTGGATAGATTAGAGAAGATGCTCAGGTTCATGATCAAAGAGAACTCTCTGACTAGGGACGATTTGGATGCTATATGGAGAGCGCAACACGGAAAACATGAAGCTATAGTAAAGAACCTACATGACTTGTTGGCTAAACTAGCTTGGGACTTCACACCTGATCAACTTGATCATTTGTTTGATTGTTTCAAGGTGAAAATATGTAAAATATAGGGCAGTTATATTTATACTTAATGTTGTTCTTTAGTAATATTCACCGTTAAATGATCTTTCGTCGCTAAAGGCAGAGATGTTCATTTTGGTATATAAAATGTTCTTTTTCAGGCAAGTTGGGCAACATCAAGCAAGAAACAAAGTGATAAGTTGTTAGAAGTAATCCGAAGACTGGCAGAGGATGATAAGGACGGTGTTATGGCTAATAAGGTTAAATATCATACAATTATTTCCTTTTTAAATTTTATATCTTTAACATTTGTTTCAAGTATTTACTTATAATTTAAGGTGCTGGTACTCTTTTGGAACTTGGCTCACTCAGATGAAGTTTGTACAGAAATCATGGATGTAGCACTAGCAAATCTAATAAAAATACTTGACTATAGCTGTAGTCAGGATCGTGATGCTCAAAAAACTTTATGGTTAGACAAGTAAGTGTGCTGAAAATGTTGGTTTTAGTAACAGAATAATAAATACCTTATTTTTTAAATTACAAATATTGAAATGTTAACCAAATTAAAAAATAAACTTCAATTTCAGATGTGTAGAGGAATTAAAAAATAACGACAAGTGGGTGTTGCCGGCGTTGAAGATGATGCGCGAGATATGCTGCCTGTACGAGGCGGGCGGCGGCTCGGGCGTGCGGCCACACGTCACGCGCCAGGAGCTCATCGACCGGCTGCAGACACAGCACTCCCTCGTTATACTCGTCACCGACTCCCTCACACAGTACATGGACGCTGTTCGGAATAAATTAGCTGGTAACTAACATTTAGACAATTATGAATATTTCATTCATGTGCGTGTTTACAAACTAATAATAAATAAATTTTGTTTTCAAGCGGAGGGTACGATTGATTGGGATAACTGGTTACCGGATGGACGATATCCGCACGCCGCACAAGTTCATGAAAGACTTAGTTTTCTTCGGTTTTTACTTAAAGATGGACAGTTATGGCTTTGTGCTGAACAAGTAAATATTTTTTTGATTACTTAATAAAATTTATACACTTAAAAATGTATAATTATTATTTGAACATGTAATATTTCTTTTTTTAGGCGAAACAAATTTGGATATGCCTAGCTGAAAGACCCGCACACTTGGGTGATCGCGAAGCATGTTTTCGATGGTTCAGTAAACTTATGGGTGAAGAGCCCGACTTAGATCCTAATATTAACTTGCATTTTTTTCGACGGAACATTATGACACTGCCCCCAAATCTACTAACCCATTCTGGAATCAAGTGTTTTGAAAGGTAAGGTTTTGTATTTTTTTTTAAATAAATTAATGGGGTAATATTTATTTTTAATTCAATCAATTTTTAACATGACTACTTGTTTCAGGTTCTTTAAAGCCGTAAATTCCAAAGAAGGCAAACTTAAAGTTAAACGCCGTAGTTTTTTACTAAATGACGCTGATCTCATAGGCTTAGATTATTTATGGAGGGTGAGTTTACTTCTTTTTTTTAAACAATTATATTTAAAGGTAATTTGATTTGAAATAATTTACTGACAATTTAATAATAACATCATTACACCAACAAATATATATATAATTATATATTATTCATTATGCATTTCACATTACTACGCACTACCACTAATGCCTTAAAAATAAGTCAAATATTAGAAATTGCGTCAAAGTAGTATGATAGAGGGAGACCGCATTATGTGCAACATCAAAATATTCATGAAAAATACCATGATTTTATATATTAATCGCAAAAAACCTAATCAGCATAATTAGTTAAATGGTACAGTATTTTAATACAAGCCATTTGTGTGAAAATAAAAAAATGTAAAATTTCGTTTATCTGCTAGGGTAATAATAATTATGAGTGTAGCAACGTAGAACGTGTAATTTCACTCGTGGTGCAGGTGATAACCGAGTGCGAGGACGAGATCTCAGCGCGCGCGACGGAGCTGCTGCGCGAGGTGAGCACGTGCACGGGCCCCGCGCTGTCGCCCGCGCACCACCACGAGGCCTTCCTCACGCAGTGCTGCGCGCGCACGCAGCGCCTGCAGAAGGACATGGACCTGGCTGGTCAGTGCACATGTACACACATTTTGCTCTAGCTTATTATTTCAAACGACCAATACTTATTAGTGATCTTGATTTTTTAATATTAAAATGTGTATTTAATAATAATAGAATTGATATTTAAAATCCAATAAATTGGTTATTTGGACAAATAAACACTATAGCGAAATCCTTGTTTCGTTTTTTTATTACTTTAATTAATTGGGGGCATTTGGTTATACCTAAGCAAATGATATCATCGGAAACGGACATTGTGTGTTGTCATACTTGATATCTTTACTATGTTGTAAATGGAATGAAGTTATAAACTTATTTAAATAGTATAATATTACATGCTTATACTATTACATGCTTATTTTATGATTTACATAACTAAAGTGAATCATAATTAAAATCAAGAATTTTTATTACTTGGGAACAATGTAGACAACAAGTAATGTTTTTGTATTCTTTTAGATGTTGCAGAGTGTTGTACAAGAATGTGTAGAGTAATTCGTGCCATACAAGAATATATAAATGAATGTGATAGAAGATTCACTGCAGAACGACAAATTCTTCCGATCTATAGATCTGGTAGAGGCAGGCAATGTACAATTATAGTAAGATTTAATTTCCAAACAGGTCAAAGACAAATTGAAGATATAGAACTGTTTTCTCATTCTAATGAAACATTACATTCTTTACGTTCAGCAGTTCAGAGGAGGTACTAACCTAACTTGGCCTACTTACTCAATGATATTTTTATAATAAAACAAGATTTTTAATTTATTTGTTATCCTTTCCAGATTAAAATGTGCGTCAGATAGCAATATTAAATTAGAAATGTACATAAATAAGCTAGAGTTGTATGTTAATGGAGAACTTTTGGATACAAGTCATGACCGTAAAATACTCTCTCAAATACCTCTCAGGGATAAAACTGTGATTGTTGCTAAGGTAAATTTAAATAATTCAAATTCCCATAGTCTATAAATCTTATATGATAATATGACGAACTGTAAAATGTACGCTGTTTGTTATTAGGTTTACGATGGACAAGTATGTGGAAGCGGTGGCTGTGGATCTTCAAATGAATCAACTAGTGACTCAAGTACTTCATCTCCCCCCCTACCTCCCACCCCCGAACATGCTCTGCCAGGAGTTGTAAGTCAATTTACTTATAAAAATCTATAATTTTACAAAGAGTAATTTTGTGTGCATGGTTTAAAGAAATTTTAGTCTAAATGTGATAAAGCAAATAATGTATAAAACAAACATTAAACATTGTTTAGTATCTATAATAATTAACTATTTATCCATATTTTTAATATGATCTGTTTTCAGCTATTCGCTCAAGGCTCCTGGTACATACCCTTCATTTTAGAATTAGAACATATTGGTATTACAAAAGGACACCCACAGTTGACAGAAGCTGCACATTTGCTTTCCCAAATCTGTCCCAGTCATAAGCAAACTGTATGTATATCTCCATTTTATTTTGAATTTTTTGTTGCTTTTACAATCTTTCGTTATCGAAGTTTCTTTTTAGGTGGAAAAATTAACGGAATCTCTTCTCAGTCGAGATGATACAAAATTGAGAGATATGCTTTACGGACCGGCACCGCCCACTGTCGCATACAGTATAGAGGTTTGTGTCGAATAAACTTAATTTAATTATACAAGGATAGAAAGTATTCTATATCACTCACTACTATAAGAAATTTCAGAATCAGATAAATAGTTCCAGAGTGTATGTACCTTCTACATTCCAATTTCAAAACATTCCTTTATATAACACTAGCGAGTCACCTTTGCTTCACTTCGGGTTCGTCTCTAGTCCGAAAAACAAAGCTACCCCACGGAAACCATGCTTTTTTCGGGATAAAAAGTAACTTATGTGCTAATCCAGAGTATAATCTATCTCTGTGCCAAATATCCAGATCCGTTTAGCCTTTCTAGTGTGATTGAGTAACAAATATCCATCCAAACATTCGCATTATAATAAATATAATATTAATAATAGAATTACTGTAAACAGATTGTGATATAATGTGGCTTTAACATTTTATTTGTTCCATATAGGTGCTATATAGCATGATAATGCCGTCATCAGACACAAGGCTAGAACGCAACCGAAGTTTCCAGTTGGCTTGTGTCAAGAAAGCTCCATTGCTTGTGCAATGCTTATCTGATAGTGAATTCTTGAAGGATGCAGCACCTCATACGAGAAGGTATATAATATTACTAGCATTGCCCGTGGCTCCGCCCGCGTTCAGATGACCAAAAACCAAATTCTTAGGTTTTACATATTAGTATACTCATACAATGCAGTTTTTTTATTTTTTTCTGAGAAATAAGATATTTTCCTGCGAGAAAAAGTATCCTATATGTTGACGCGGATAACCAGCTACCGTTATACCGAATTTCATCAAAATCCCTTCAGTGGTTTTCCCGTGATGCGGTAACAGACAGACAGACAGACAAAAAATCTATAAACTATAGATTCGGCATCTATATCGATAATAATGTCTATTTCGATAAGATTTTTTAAAAAATATATTTAATGTACAGATTCGGCTTAGTTACAATTTTATTATATGCGTTGAAATATAATGTATATTTTTAAGAGTATTCCTTGACAAGATTTTTTTTTGCAGGGTTGGTTACTTAGCGTTAGTTAGATTGGCTAAATTGGCTTTGTACACTTTAGGGCATCTCTTTGAAATTCTTGCGCCCGATGGATCCGACACATCTGTGGATAAAGATTTAAGGTAAGCATATATAACTCAAATGTCATCAAATGGCACAATAACTAATATCACATGTCATTGTTTGTTATATTTAAACATTCGCAGAATGGATGTAACGATATTGCGAGAGGCACTACAAACGGTACCCAATCATAATTGTGAACTCATCGTAAAAGCCGTAGCAGAAAAATTAGCGAACACTTTAGGTGAACAGGTGATTATACGACAAAAAATATTTACTATTGTACATTTGATTAATTTTAATGATATTAGTGTCTAGTACATATATAATGTCCTCATATAATTTTACTGAAATTCACAATTTTATTACCCTTTGCATTCGTTATCTCTAGCTACCATGCAATGAATATAGATTATAGCATAAATATATCTCATGTTATTATAGTGGATGATAATGAATTTTGTGCCCACTCTCAAAAAGAATATTTGTACCTGGGAGTTAGCTTTTAATTGCAAGTTAACTTTGTTTTTCATTGTGTTTTTACAAAATACATCATTTAATTAATATAAGTTAATTTTAATTAGTTTATTTTTATTAAAAGCATGCATGCATCAGATAATATTTTCGCGCTAGATTTTAATTAAGATGTTATGCAATATTTACAATCCAAGAGCATCCATATGACGTTCTGTACGACCAGGGTTAATAAGAAAAAGCCAATTATTATTTCTAATAATAATAAGCTTATATATTATTATTATTATTAATGTAAATCAGATGGTGAGCAGCAGTGAAGATGGCGACTCGGTATCGTCGCTGGTGTGGTGGCGCGTGCCCACCGCGGCCACCGTGCGAGCGCTCTACGCGCTCGCCTACTCTGTGGCGCAGCCCTCTGAACATAACGGTCTCGTGCATTCCGATGACGTTATATGTAAGTGTTGTTTAATATTTTAAATTTCTATTGTGTAATAGTACAACACATACATAGCAACTATGTTAAAAATTAATTTCTGATGGGCTAAACATTCCAATTTTGGGTACATTTTTTTTAGATTGGGATTTTTCTGTACGTTAGTTCACAATGGAAACTTTTTTTGAGATGATTTTATGAAAAGCTAAATTATGTACTTTTCTTTTCTTTAGTGGTGCGAGAATGTATGGAAGTTGTGACGATATGCATCGCACTGGGTGGAGGCCATTTAGAATCTCTTTTACATGAATCATGGTGGCAAGATACGGCATTGTACTTAATGATTGATTGTCCCAATCCTCAAGTAAGTAAATTGTTGCAATCACTTGTTATTATTCATATTACAAGAAATAATCAGTTTACATAACATATAGTCAAACTAATTTTCAACATTATTTAGGTGGATCATAAAAAAAAGTATAATATTATCTACATATAAATAGGCAAAGACAAGACAGTCAGATTTTCAAAAAAAAGACACGAATTTCGACCATTGGGTGAACACTAGTGTTTGTACTGTATAACATTACAATCATATTTGTTATACATATATGTACATATGCAAGTACGGTTTTGAAAACATTTTTATACTCCTTAATCAAAGCTAATTTATTTTTGTAAACAAACAAAACTTTCATATATGACAACTATACTAATTAAAACTACAATAATTAATTTGTTTTAATCTACATATATTTCGCACAGGTGAGGGTATCATGCGCAGAACAGTTGCTAGCGATGTGCGCGTGGGGCGGCGGCGGCGGCGCGCGCGGCGCGCTGGCGGCGCTGGGCGGCGCGGGCGGCGCGGCGGCCGACCCGCGCCTCGCCGCGCACGCACGCCACGCGCAGCAGTTCCTGCAGCTGCTGTGCCGCCTCGTGTCGCTCGCGGGGCCCACCTCGCGCACCTTGGAAGATTTAGCTGTGGAGGTCAATTGTTTTTTCATTAATTATTTTTGATATATTTATTTTAAAAAGCAAGCTAAGGAACTTAATTTATTTTTTTCGGTTCAAGCTGGCAAATCTAAATCTGGCAAATATTCCATAATTAGCATGCTCTAGCATGAATAAGTCTTACACTACAATTGCAAAGCTGCGGTCTCTACTCTAGAAGTCCTTTTTCTGTATTTTCTATTTATTCTATTTTTTTACTTTTAAAGGATGTCATATTTTAATATGACTTACTTTTTATATACATGTATTTATTTATCCAGGTGGAATGGTTGCGAGCTGTACGCGCAAACCCAGCAACTCTAGACGACACTTTATTAGAGGGCCATTTGAACTTGACTAAAGAATTGTTCACACATGTGCCAGCCCAAATAAAATTTCAGTATGGTGCACATCCTGACCATAAAGATTCAGGTCTTATTAAGGTAAGAAAAGCTACCACTAAATATTTTTTATAATTAAGGTATTTTATATAAAACAAGATGACAAGACTCATAAAAAATAGTAAAGGGAAAATTACCTTTCTTTGTATCTTCAAGACGAAGAATCATCTTTATACTTGATAAGTGGATAAGGACCTATGCAGTGCATACTAAACATAAATAGGCAAAGACAAAACAGTTTAGTACCTTCCAGTGGCGAAGGGTGAAATTTTAACAGATGTAAGCCGTTCTAGAAAAAACAGACAAAATACATTGATACCCATTTTTTATATAGTAATGCAAAAAAATATTGGATTTCTAAAAACTAAGACAGTGAGAATCGTCTTGTATGGACCCTTCGCCACTGGACTAAATTTTTTTTCTGTGCTTGTAAACCTATTTTCCTTTTTTTTTGTTCATTAATATTGATGAAGTTTAGTATAATCAATAAAAAATGTTGTAAACAGTTGTTTTTTTTTGTGTAGATAGGTAAAGATAAAAAAGTTCAATATTATTATTTATAAGTGTTGATGTTGATTATTTAGACCACTGGGCGAACATTCGTTTGTATAATTGATTAATATTTCCTTAGGAGGTAACAACAGAATTCCTATGGCCGTACTCGTGGGCGTGGTGCCGCATGGGCGGCGAGGGCGAGGAGGGGCGCGGCGAGGCGGGCGAGGGCGCCACGCCGCTGTGCCGCACGCCCGGCGCCGCCGCCGCCGCCACCGATCTGCTGCTGGCGCTGGTGCACGCCTGCGTGCCCAACATGGCCGCCCTCGCTAATCTACTCGATCTCATGTTTTATAGCGGTCAGTTATGTTTTCAAATCTCATGAAAATGTAATTTATTCTAATAGACCGTTTGAACCTCGGAATAAATAATAAAAATTAACATTTACTTTTTATTTAAATTTAAATTAAATGTCAGCTTGTAAGTCCATGAGCGAGACACCACAAAATATCATGTTTTGTACCCTTTTAACATATCAATAACGTTTCTTATTTAATTTATAGCCAGTTCTATCTATTGATACCTCATAGACTATTTTGGATTAATTAACATTTTCAACTATTAATATTATCTACAGCTTGTGGGACGATAGGATACACTTGTGTGTTATGTTACTTTAATCCAATATCGGTGCTTAAATTCTTTTATAATATTTGTAAGCAGAGGCTTTATAAGTAAGTGACCATGTAGGTTATTAATTTTTGAATAAAATGATGATTAAACAAAATGTGTATAGACAAAGCCATGGGCCTGTCGGAGTGGGAGTACATGCCGTGCGTGGGGCCGCGGCCGGCGGCGGGGCTGGTGGGGCTCAAGAACGCGGGCGCCACGTGCTACATGAATTCCGTGCTGCAGCAGCTGTACTGCGTGCGGGCGGTGCGCGACGTGCTCCTCGCCGTGCAAGGTTAGAATAAAGCCTATCTTTCTACTGAACCTTTATGTATTGGTCTTAAAGAGTTACTGTCTACTTGTGACCAAGATTCAGTTCGAACTTACCTTCGAATTTTAATGTAATAAAAAAAATACTCCTTAATAATTTTCTATGTTTTTATATTTTTATTACAGGGGCTGCCACTGATCCGAATGAAGATTTTTCTGGTGAATCACATCATCACAGTATACATGAAAATAATGTGGAGGTACTTGTATTTTCAACTAACTTTTTTTTTATTAAATGTAAAAACTATGAAATTGACTTACACATACTATAAATTGTATATATTTATTATTTTACATGTATTATATTTTAGGGCAACACAGATTACAATATCACAATACTCAAGCAAGTTCAGGCTATATTCGCACACTTACATTATAGCAAGCTCCAGTATTACATTCCCAGAGGACTATGGGCTCATTTTAAGTAAGTAACAAGTTCTAAACCTAATGAAAAAAAAAAGTTGTTCAGAGGAATATTTACAAAAATCAACTTGTTGTATGGTAAATTAATTTATGTCTTATAACTTAGGCTTCAAGGAGAACCCGTCAATTTGCGGGAGCAACAAGATGCTGTGGAGTTTTTTATGTCACTGGTAGAGTCATTAGATGAAGCTCTTAAATCCTTGGGTCAAGAACAACTAATGGCTAAGACAATGGGAGGAACATATTCAGATCAGAAAATCTGTAAAGGTTGCCCTCATAGGTAAATTATTAAGGAATTACTTTGCCTTGATATCATATATTTGTTTTTTTTTTATAAATATATGATTTGTTTATAGATATTGCAAAGAAGAACCATTTAGTGTGGTTTCTTTAGACATTAGAAATATGTCGCGACTACAGGAATCGTTAGAAGCGTATGTGCGAGGGGAGCTTTTGGAAGGTGCTGATGCTTATTATTGTGATAAATGTAGTAAGAAGGTAGGTAACTTATTTTATTATTCTATTGTTCACCTACAAATTTAAACTATTTAATAACCCTAAATTTCAGTAAATCAATAAATGCTTTCTTTTAATCATTATTATATAAATATAATATTTTTAGGTTGTAACTGTAAAGCGGTTATGTTTGAACAAGTTACCTCCTGTACTAGTTATACAGCTGAAGAGATTTGAATACGACTTCGAGAAAGTGTGCGCCATAAAGTTCAATGACTACTTTGAATTTCCTCGAGATCTAGATGTGGAACCATACACAGGTACTGATTGATTAATAAAATATTTCGTTATGTTATGGAGTTTTGTGGGTTGATATATGAAGCTAAAACTATTTAGATCATAGTAGTAGCCTAGGTACACAGCCATTGCATCGTGCATGAGTTACAAACATACATATAAACTTTCGTGTTTATTATAGTCACCCGATTTTGATAAAGTCTATTAAAAGCAAAGTGCATCGTCTAATATATTTTATATTAGACGATGCACTTTGCTTTTAATACGAGTGACTCACCGTCGCTTCGCTCGGGTTCGTCCCTAGGTATGTTTTAACGGTTAGTATGAAATAAAAATCGTTGAATTTCTCGGTTATTCTGTACTATAATATGCAGTTCTGATACGTATAAACCTCCCTCTTGAATCACTCTATTAAAAAACCGCATCAAAATCCGTTGCGTAGTTTAATAGATCTAAGCATATATAGGGACAAACAGACAGCGGGAAGCGAATTTGTTTTATACTATATAGTGATTTAATGATGTATGTTAACTACAATACAGCGTGGGGCCTGGCGCGCGCGGAGGGCGACGCCACGCTGTGGGAGGGCGGCGCCGAGACCACGCCCGAAACGCACTACCAGCTGAGCGGCATCGTGGTGCACTCGGGTCAAGCTTCCGGCGGACATTACTATTCTTATGTACTCTTGAGGTATGTTCTATTAACTTTTTGTTAATAATTTAATTTTAGAAGTATAATTTAGATTGACAATTATTGAAGAAGATATCGCGTAACATACGCAACAAATGTTTTAATATCAGCACAATCCCTTTTTTTGAATTTTATTGAAATTTTATGCTATTTTTGCAATAATGTGTATTTACCACAAAGAATAAATATGTTTTTAGTACTGACTAGCTTAATAAACATCCATGTAATAAAAATGTAATATCAATATCAGCTTAGCCTTTTAGCTTTTTTAATGACTAGTGCCCGCTCAGTGGTGAAATTCGACCATAATCATTATTGATTTTTTTATTGACACTAAAGCTCGTCAGTAGTAGAAATGTTATGGTTTAGTTATTGGATATATCATCGAAAGGTTAATTTAGCTAAAACCTAACAAAAAAAGGAATTGTCACAACAGGTCGGTTATAATAAATAATAAATATGTTTGGACATTAAGACACAGCGCCATCTAGTTCCATGGTAAGCTACGAGGCTTGTGTTATGGATACCAGATAGTTGATACACTACACATATATAACTTTAAATACATACATATTATAAATATAAACACCCATGACTAGAGTACAAACATTCGGGCTCACCACACAAATGAATGCCCCCCAGCGGGACTCGAACCCGCGACCGCTGGCACAGCAAGTAGGGTCACTACAAACTGAGCCAAACATGTCGTCAAATACAGTTTCGGATAACAGTATCGTATAATACAGTTTCGGATGTAATAATTTATACCCAACCAGAAGAATTTTTTTACAACAAGTGTTTTCCTTGAATATTTTATACCTAACGTTTAAGATTAATAAAAAAAAAATATAATTTAAAATTTTACAGGGACAATGGTAGCGAAGCGGGTCGCTGGGTAAAACTGGATGACGGCGATGTATCAGAATGTGCAATGCAAGACGATGAGGAGATGAAAGCACAATGTTTCGGCGGAGAGTACATGGGCGAGGTGAGACGATATTATGTATTGTTGTAAATATAATACATAATGTAGATGTAAATATTAGTGTCACTAAACAATTCTTTGTATATATGTAGATAGCTCTACTTAGGTGTGTTTATTTTAGGTATTTGATTCCACTATAAAAAGGGTAACTTATAAACGACAAAAGCGATGGTGGAATGCATACATGTTGTTCTACACGAGGAAAGACATGGTTGAAACGTCGGGCCTCGAAAAATCTATGCAAAATATGACACTAAAGTAAGCTTATTTAATTTTAATGTAATGCTATTATTGGCAAATACAATGATATTAATTATTTTTATATTTGACAGGGAGAATAACATACCGAAACCTATTTGGAATTCAGTTCGTCGTAGTAATATCGCTTTCTCACACAATCAAGATCAGTTCAGCTTGGAACATTTTAACTTTATGAAGAAATTGTGTTGTATGCGTTTGCAAGTATTGCCAGGTTCACAAAGTGCAGTGTGGGTAAGCAGGATATTCAATATTTTTTTATTTAAAGTTACAATATATTTTTATGTCTATTAAAAAAATGATATGTTTAGGGTCCAGAGCATGAAGAAATGTCGATGTTAGCGGTTCAGCTAGCTTCGAAGTTCTTGTTCCAAGTAGGCTTTCATACGAAAAAGACGTTGCGCGGTCCTGCTTCAGATTGGTAATTACAATTAAAAATAATTTTTCATTTTTATCAATGTTTATTAAATACTTGGTTGTTGTCCAATACAAACTTTCACCCCCATTTTCACCCTCTTAAGGGATGATTTCTGGGATAAAAGTATCCTATCGACTAGTCCTACGTATACTAGTACAAGTGCAAAAAAGCAACTTTACAGGAGAGCGATTCAAACATTCTAAAGCTTGTAACTTTGATATAGTTCAACAGAAATCTTTGAAATCTTGAAATGTTTTACCTGAGTATTATAGGAAAAGGACTGTATAATTAAGTTTTAATATTTTTTGTTATTTTAGAAAATCGGGTCAGTTGTATTTGCGTAGCCTATTCTTCCTTAAATATTAAAACACATAAAGTAGTACAAGTGACACTTATATCAGTGTACGCGTACTAATTTTTTTTGCAAATAAAGGCAAATAGAAGGACAAATCAATATTACATATGCATTTCCGTGGTTACTGATAAATAATTAAAGCTAGTGATATTAAAAATAAAGATCTTTATCAATTTTTATCACTTGCACCACTTTACTAAGTACTGATAGACTACTTGTATCAGTTTTTTATACAATACTTTAGACATAAATTTCATTAGGTTTACGGGAAATAAAACCAAAATATTAAAAAAAAGATTTTTTACAAATATGATAACCAAACAAATGAATGGTTTTACTATTTTGGAACAGGGCAGTAAATATTTATTAGTATTTAATCAGTCTTTCAAATATTATTAATATCTAGTAACAAGGTTATTAAAAATATAAAAAGAAACAAACGCATTTTCTAAATAATCTTAATAAAACTTTATGATTTTACTAAAACGAAAAGAAAACAAAGTCCTTCTTAAGTAGGAACGATCGGTAAATTAATTATTCATTTAGTAACTCTTTAATTATTGGCCTTTCTGGCTAATCAAAATAAAATATCGCTTAGTCACTCTCTCCAGTATTTTCGGATCTAATTTTCAAATTATTATAATATAAATGCTATCGCTCAGGAATTACATTCGATTTACAAAGATCTTGAAAATCTTTGTATTTTTTTTTATCAATTGGTAATAAGCTTTTGTAAGCTACATCTAAACTATCAATTTTTTAGTAACATTTTGTAAGGCGGTTCGTGTATTACTTCTTACACATTGTATAGTTTTATAGGCATCTTCTTCAAAAGTATATTTGTAATTGAGCTTAAATAAATCTTGGGCCTGAACATTAACCTCACAAATTTTATTCCACACTACAAGCTCTCCAATACAGTTCTTCTTCCAGTTATCAAAAAAGGTAAGGCACGACTTAAAATAAAAATTGAGTAACTTCTTTTACTATGTATGGTTTTGCATTAGCAGTGGCCATTTTGAAAGCAAGAGACCATTGATCTGGAGTATATATCAAAACATTTCTGGTTTTCTTTTCTATTACGGAGTGCATACTGTCACCCTCGTTCTGGATGTGACCAACAACAAGAAATCTATGAGTAATATTCACGTTAAATTTCCAAGCAAAGTACATGTACATGAGAAAAACAATTCTATTTCGATTCTGGCCTCCACAATTTTCAGACCAGAATATAAAACTTTTAACTCCTTCCCTCACCTTCATACCAATAAAATCAAAAACACAGCACAGCTCCTTTTTTCGCAATTTGTTCATCCCAACAATTACAATATCCTTGCAGATCACCCATGTCAAATGGGGTAAAATTATGAAAATGTACTTTTCTCTTATAATAAAATGTGCTAACATTGCCCTGTGGTGAGCTTTGTGTTTTTTGCAACTCGAAAGTAACAGCAAGTAAGCAAGCAACAGTTTTATCATCCCTAGATATTCTTTGTCCAAAAATTGTTAAATATATCGTACCTTGCCATTTCTTCCACCTTTTCAGCACATTTTCTAGGATATTTACAAGGAGCTTTCATTTCTTTCTATTTAGTTATTTTTCTAGTCCATTCGTTCTCATTTAGCCACATGCTTTGGTATCTTTCTCGTAATCTGCCCTTATCATTCTTTTTTTGTTTTTTTTTTTGTCTTTACATTTGTCTGACAGTTTAGCGGTGTATCAGTGTAATCTGAATTTAAAGGAAAACAATCAAACTCGCTTTCAGTTTGTTGATAGGCTGATGAAAAAGAAACTGATGGTAAAGGCATATGTGTGAAGCTCAATATCATCTTCAGGAAGTTTTTCCTGCTTAGATACACTTAATCCAGCAATAAGATTTTGATGTGAAGATAAAAGCTGAGATTCACACTATATGTCGTATTATGAACGATCACACAAACTTCCTGGTCCTTATAACATGTAGTAGAACTATCAGAATCTGACGAATTGTTTGATAAATTTCGATATAAATTTCAACTGTTGGCGTTTCCTCGAAAAAGTATTCTGGATTGTTTAAATTAACAACAGTATTGATGAACGACATTTCTTCAGTTAATAATTCCGCACTCGGGGGCATAAAGGGAGAATCTAAAAGACATGATATACATGCATTTAAAATACTAATAATTAGTTTTTAAGGGAAAGTTTTCAGTGTAAATAATACTAGGATTATGATAATACGTAAATAAAACAAAGTTCTTTAAAAACATATATTTCATAATAATGTAGTCCATTGCTAATAATGTTGTAAAATATTTATGTATTTTAATTAATTGAATCCCACTCATGTCAAAAATATTGGTGACTAATGTAACTTATATCAATATACTTATAAAACATTTGCAAAAACCATCAAATCAAGCCGTGTATACTGATATAAATGCAAAATTAGACAAAGGGAATTCACAAACAAAAAAATAACAGTTTACATATGTAGTATAACCTTTTTACCTGGCTTATGTGATAAGTTTTCATTCGGGAATTGTAGATTTTCATTGAAATCAACATATTATTTTTTTCTAAATTTAGCTGTAATTCCTCACAAGATCTGCGTGTTGATAATTTAAGTGGTTCTAAAATCCAAATAAAAAAATGTATTAACGTATTTAAAAAAAGTTTATACTATTAATAAATAAATTACCGTAAAAAAATCACTTGCACCAATATACGCGAGTACACAAAATAGGATACACACTTTGTCTACTAGTGCAAGTGATAATATAAATAAACTGTATATTATTTAATTTATAAAACAGTTACAAACAATTACATTAAATCTTAATATATCATTTCTGTGTTGAAAAAAATAAATTATTTCTTACCTTCGCAATTTTCGAGTGTTTTAGTTTTGCTGCATTTTTTTCTATTAAATGTATCATTAGTTGACCTCATGAATGCTTCATGATTATTATTTACTATCACGGTAACTCAACATAAGCATAAACCTTATGAAAATAGGTAATTTTTAACAATTGCATAAATAAACCTGAAATCATTGCACTTGTACCAATGTAACACGTTAACTCTGTAGCGGCGCCACGTGTATACTGATGTAAAGGTCACTTAGACGCTTGTGCCGCGTGAATTGTAACCATCTACATTAGTGCAAGCGACTTGCATCAATGTTGACAGTCGTGTGGTTTAAAATACTGTCACTTGCACCAAATGACAAGTTTGTAACTTTGAAATTTATTGGTATATTAAAATAAATTTCACAGGGTATAAAATATAGGTTATTCTAAAGCTATTGATGCAAAAAAACAGTTTTCATAATTTTGTCGGTTATACTAGTATACGTAGGACCAGTCGCTATGTCCTTCCCAGAGTCTTAAACTATCTTCTTACTAAATTTCATCTAAATCGGTTTAGTAGATCCAAAGATTACCCCCTACAACGTCATAAACTCACAAACTTTAACTCTTTATAATATTAGTATAGATTATCTTTATTTCTTTTTTTTTAGGCATGATATCCTCTGTCAGCACTTAAGATGTTCTCAGGCTGTTAGAACTTGGTTTGCAACAGACCTCTTCAAACATCCCCACAGGTATAGAACATTTATTATTTATTTGTAATTTATCTTTGACATCCTCTAATATTAATAATATTAATTGCTCAATAATACCTTCTTTTAGGTTATGTGACTATCTCCTGTCTTGTCCATCTGCAGAAGTGAGAGTGGTGTTCATGAAAATAATAGTTTTCTTAGCACATTTTGCTATCCAAGATCCACCAGGTTAGTTATTTAATGTAATTTATTAGTAACTGGCGATTTACCTTTATTTCGGTTTGCTGCTGTTGCTCGTCACAACATCTGTATATTAAATTTCATCCAAATCTGTCAAGACTTTTTAGCATAAAGGTTTAAAAGTAGTGAGATTATATATTTTTTAATAACAAATTTCATTTTAATGTGTTCTCATCTATACATATAATAAAATTGTAACTAAGTCGAATCTATACATTAAATATTTTTTAGAAAATCTTATTGAAGTAGTCATTATTATCGTTACAGAGGCCGAATCAATAGTTTTTAGAATTTTTGTCTGTCTGTCTGTTACCGCATCACGAGAAAACCACTGGACAGATTTTGATGAAATTTGGTATGATGATAGCTGGTAATCCGGGTCAACATATAGGATACTTTTTACCGTGGGAAAATATCTAATTTCTGAGAAAAAATACAAAAACTGCACTGTAAGAGTATACTAATATGTAAAACCTAAGAATTTGGGTTTTGGTCATCTGAACGCGGGCGGAGCCGCGGGCATTGCTAGTCATGTAAATAAAAACTTAAGAAAAACCGACTTCCAGGCACTAAAAAGTAAAAATTAGAGTTCATACCTTGTCATATGTACCTATTAGATATTTATATCTTAAATAAAAATTCATCTTCTCCCTGCCCATTTCCCAAATCACTTGGGGTCGGCGCAGTACATCTTCAGTGTACTGCTGATAGGATTTGGCAAAAATTTTACGACCGGCCGCCTGCCTGACGTCAACCCTCCTTGGGAATGCTATTGTCTGAATTGTAATTGTATTGCTATTGTCTGAATGGTGTTAAATATTATGCACTTTCGATTTTGTTGTGTTTTAAAACATTTTTTATACTATTAATTCAATTATTATTGTTGTTTTTGGGTATATTTTAAAATAAATTTCGATTACACAATAAATTTTGTATTGACGTTGTCAAATTTTTTCTTTTTTTTAAATAAAAAATATACAATGCCGTTTTTTTTTTTAAATAAAAATTCATATCAACATAAAATAATTTGTTGTTGATTTTTTAAAAACCGCTCGACCGATTTCGATAAAAGTTATATGATTACACATGGGAATCGGTGAACATATATTAAAGATTCCGACGAATTGAGAACCACCTACTTTTTGGAAATTGGTTAATGAAATGTCCAACACGCACAGTGCCCTGCGGCTTCGGGTCGTGGTGCTCGCGCGAGGAGGCCGCGTCGCTGTCGGACCAGGTGCTGTGCAGCGCGCGCGCGCTGGCCGCGCCGCCGCACGCGCTGGCCGCGCCGCCGCACGCGCACCACGCCGACCACCGCCACCTGCCGTTGCTGTTCAATCTGTTCCACGCGTACGCCATGCTGGGGCTGCCCGAGCGGCACCAGCTCTTGCGGGTACACTATATCATTTTGTTTTTTAATGTTGGGGGAAATGCATTTACGCATACCTCCTGTAGACATACAGGTGGTTATGAGGGTTACGAGGGGGGAGGGGGGGGGTTTACACTACCATAAATGTCGTACTTAACCGCTTCGTCTAGTAGCGAGCGTATACAGCTTTACAACGTATGGTGCTGGTTTCGAGTCTTGTGTCAAGCCATAATACTTTCTTAGGTTTTCTGTCATAAAATACTCAGTAGCAGCCCGTAGTTGGAAAATTGGCGGTGTGTTCTATCCTGTCCCTAGGAGAGCACAGTTACCTATCGATCCTAATTTGGCTAATTTCACTGACATTTATCGCTGTGGACGAAATCGGTTAGAGGATGACATTACTTCGTCTACATTCTTAATAAATTTTGTTCTGTTTGTTGATCAAATATATCTCATGATTAAGTTACTTGAAAATACGTCAAGTATTGAACAGTGAACATCAATTATACTAAATCGTAATATTTCTCATAAACTAAACGTAATTAATTATATGAATATTGAATGAGTCAAATTAAGAATATTTATGAATATAAAAAAAAAAGTTTGATCTTATTGTTTCAGCTTAAAATTTTGGACATCGTGCTAACGGTTTGCTTGGACGATACTTCTTCCTCCATCGGAAAATATCAATATCCAGAATCAGCAAAAATACATCAGGTTTGTTCTTTATTTACCTACTTATGATTTACATTTAGGGCAAACACACAGCACCATGTAGCTCCACGGTAAGTTACAAGGCTTGTGTTATAGATACCAGGTAGTTGATACACTACACATATATAACTTTAAATACATCATATTATAAAATATATAAACACTCACGCCTGGAGTACAAACATTCATTACATAAGTTAATGCCCCCAGCGGGGCCCCGCGACCGCAGCAGCAACCGACAACAACCTACAAACGACCGACACAGCAAGTAAACTCAAACGGGTCGTCTAGTGAAGTCTTTACGTATGATGCATAAACTTATATCTTTTAAAACATAATATTAGAAGATTTGTCAACAATGAAGATGTCTCATATGGTCTTACGGAATATATTACTATCTCATAAGAACTGCTTTCGGGCTTTGCCCACGATGACTTTTTTACTAGCCGTAGATGCACGTTTGACGCTCGTCCGACGCAAAGTCAATAGTCTCGACTTTGAATGTTGTAATTTAAAAGTAAGACAAACCAACAAATATATCCTACTTTTTTATATCAGTAAAGACATTTGGTACGTACGCAGGTGGTGTGCGCCCTCGTCCGCTGCTGCGACGTGAGCGCGCGCTGCCAGTCGGCCGGCGCGGGCGAGGGTGCGCCGCCGCTGCCCAACCCGTACGCGGACCCGCCGCCTGCCCACGCGCACGCGCACGCGCCGCGCCCCGCGCTCTCCGCCGCCGCCCTCGACGTACTGTACAACCGGACTGGGTGAGTTGGACTGAACTGACAGCCTTATGGAGTAACTAGCTCAGGAACTAGGAAAACAAGAATCTATCCCACGGGAACCGTATATTTTTTCGAGATAAAAAGTAGCCTATTTGTTATTCCAGACTATAATCTATCTCTGTGCCGAATTTCATCCAGATTCGTTCAGCCGTTCTGGCGTGAAAGAGTAACAAACATCCATACTCATAAACTTTCACATTTATAATATTTATGCAGATATAAAGATATAGATTTATTTCGTGTATTTCTAATTGTTGTATATTTATATATAAATTAATTTGTGTACCTTCGAAATGGCTGTAACGATTTGGATCAAATTTTGTATTTAGATGAGGTTTTAATATAGATAGAAATATAGTTTCCTCTGTGGTGGTAGGGGCGGTTAACCCTCTATAAAATAATGCAGTGAGTAAGTCAATATTTACTTATTGATTTTTATATAATAAATTTTATTTCCAGTACTTACATGAAGAAACTAACAGAAGAGTGTTGTGGTTGTGAAGAAGGTATAAGATTGCTCCAGTTCCTGTGCTGGGAGCACGCGGGCTGGTCTCGGATGGCGCTTGCCGAGCTGCTGTGGCAGATGGCCTACGCGTTCTGCCACGAGTTGCGCCGCCACGCCGACGCGCTCACCGCGCTGCTGCTCATGGAGGACAGCTGGCAACACCATCGGATACACAACGCTATCAAAGTACGACTGTAATGGACTAATTAGTTATTTTTGACTGTTTTCAAAAAAGACGGGTGTATTTATGTGTATGTCGGTTGCGAAATTATTTTCTTGATATTTTTTAATAAATAAATTCATGTTATTGGCAACAAATAGTTCCACCTCCTAAGACTGGAAGAATTATTTTACACACACATAGGAAAAGTGTGTTTCTAAAAGTCTATTTATTATTATTATTTTATTATTTTCGTTTATTACATATTGATATTCATGTTAAACTATTTTAAAAATGCGACAAGTCTTTTCAAAGCAATCACATCATTCAAGCTATAATTACCTAGCAGAACCCGCCGCTTTGCTCGCACTTTACGAAAAAAAATGTGTGTTTACTTATGTACGCACGTAAGAAGTTATACTTCTTTGGTTTTTTAAAGCATAAAAGCTTTAAAGATAAAAGCTTTCTTTCTTATTGTTTCTTTTTTTTCGTTTTTTATTTCGTTTTGTTCTCAGCAAACCATTTCAGTTGATATCCATATCATGGGCGACTATATTGAATTTACAACGGAGTCACTTTGCTTTTTGGGTTTCGCTCGCATTTTATGAAATGTAAAGAACTTAAACATATTATGAACATCAGTTTTACAATAATGTATGGAAATCTGCGAAATTTGTTGGCATCTATGATTACTGCTCCGCTCCCTTGACTAGTAGCTTGATTATATATAGTCTATTAGCCTTCCTCAATAAATGGGCTATTTAATGCAAAAAGAATTTTTCAAATCGGATTTGTAGGCCACAATCAAACAAACTCTGCTTCTTTATAATATTAGTATAGATTATTATTCTTTCATGACAGGGTGTTTCCGAAGAGCGTCCCGGTCTCTTAGAGACTGCGTTGCGCGCCCGCGGGCACTACCAGAAGCGCGCGTACGCGTGCGTGAAGCTGGTGGTGGGCGTGATGTGCCGCACGCCGCTGGCCGTGCGCGCGGTGCACGCGCAGCCGGACGCGCGCCGGCGCTGGCGGCAGCTGCTCGCCTGGCTGCAGGACGAGTTGGATAGAGTGAGTACATACTATTATTATAATATCACAGAATACTAACCTATGCAGTCGTCTAGCGATGGAGTCTGGGCAATTGACTGAAAGGAGTCCGAAGTGAGATGCAAGTGAAGTGTTACCGACTGTCATGCAGAATTTTACTATCGGGAAATGGTTTTAAGATTGACAGTTGGGACTATATAACTTAGTTCGAGCGCTGCAGCTTTTATTACGAAACTGGCTGTGATTATTGATATTTTTGGCATTCCTTGCATTTTGCGGGATTTCCATTAAGATCAAAGATCGACCACCTACATGGATTTTTATACTGTAATGTTACTGTAATTTTATACGGTAATGTCACTATTTGAGTGTGCTTTAAAAGTTGAATGATGGCTGTTACTGACGGTTTCGTCAATGCCAAGACTTCAATATTGAGGGACTAAGATTTTAGAAACCATTCTATTTTTACTTATTATTAGAGATAACAAGAGTGATTGGTGTAAAGTTTTGAATGGAGAGCAATATGGTTCAGGGGGCTATTTAAAAAAACACCTTAAGAAGTCAAAGAGATTTTTTGGGGTTGGTTTTATAACGTGTTTTTCCGTAGGAATGAAATAATCTCCCGCGGAAAAAAGCCTATGTCACTTTCCCGCTCTCCAACTATCTCCATACAAAAAATCACGCCAATCTGTCACTCCGTTTCGACGCGAAAGACGGACAAATAAACAAACACACACTTTCACATTTATAATATTAGTATGTATGTGTATAAAATATCAATAATATTAGGTTATCATGCTACTATTCACCAAACACTATTGATATGCAAACTTTCTTACAGTATGGGCCTGGAGGTTACGGTTCCTACGGAACGTGGTCGCCCCCTAGCATTTCAAACGAAACTTCTAGTGGATATTTTCTTGAAAGAAGTAACTCCGCCAGAAAAACTCTAGAAAAGTAAGTGACTTCTTAATTTAGTAAGCATAAATATAAAATGTAATGTAATGTAAGTAATGTAATGTAAAAAATGTAAAAGTAATTAAATTAATATAAATAATGAATGTAAAGGATCAAAATGAAAATATAATGTTTAAAATTATAAAGAGCTTTGTGAGAAGAAGAAAATTCCCAACATGAATGATTGATTGATCAATCACCTCTTAAATCTATAAAGCATAATGCGACAAATTTCTTCCTTCCTTATTGTAAAAATATATTCCTTTGTTACGTGTAACTATTTGTGAAATAAGAAATAGTGTATGTTTATATCTTAAAAAGGTATAAATTATAAACAACTTTATTATTGACAGAGCCTATCAGCTGTGCCCTGAAGAAGAAGAGGAGGAGGAGGAATCACGTGACGCGGGTTCCGGGTCGGGCTCGGGCGAGGCGGGCGAGGACAGCGGCGACGACGACGCGCCCGACGACGACGAGCCCGCGCCGCGTCGTTTGCACCTGGCACCGCCCGCCCCGCCGGCGCCGCCCGCCCCGCCCGCGCCGCCCGCCCCGCCGGCGCCGCCCGCACCGCCCGCGCCGCCCACCGGCCTGTGAGCGCGCTGAGCCTCTAGTCCCCTCGTCTCTTTATGTTAAGCCTTATAGCCCCACGTTTTGTACGAGACGCCGCCGCTTAGACGTAGTTTTTGTTCTGTGATGTTATAGATACGTGTACGCCCGCCCCCGACTCTGGGCCGCGCGGATTCGTCGATGCGTTGCTTACTTTTTTTTATTGTTTATGTAACATAATGATACGTTTTAAAAGTACCATAGTATTTATTTTTTCTTATTAAGACTAATTGATTACTTATTCGGATAGGAGATTTTTCCTTCTATCTACGCATAGCATATTCAATATTTTATTATTATAAGGAAATATTTAAATGTGCTCGACCGACTCTGCTTCTCGTGATCGTTGCTGATGATGTTTTGGATAATAGTGAAAAGGAAACCGAAAAGTAGTCACATTTTATTATGACTTACTATATCGACTATCGATTTAGTAGCAATCTAAATTCTACTTTAATCACACTTATTACAAAACAAATACACTCGTAAACGAATTTCAAAAATCACTAGAATAAGTTATAAATAATCGAATTATGGGAAAGATTATTTTCTAAACTATTATAACCTTTCGTTTGTTATAAATTGTATTACATTGCCCCAGTGTTTATATCGACACCCTTGAAGTATATATATTATTGTTAATAATAAATTTTATTTTTTATTGTTTTTTTTTATTAAAGTTATTATAAATATAGATAAAATAAATTCTTGTAATGTTACATAGTCTTTCTAAGTGCAACAAGTATTATATTAAACCTTTATTTATTATGACTGAAATATAATGTTCTTATGTGATAATAGTGAAGTAGAGCAACATTACGATGAGGACAACTTTACCGTTTAATTATTCGTATATTTGGAGATTTCATAAATATTTTATTGACTTGAGCTTCTTGATGGCTTCGATATCTTAAACTACGCATGAGTATAACAGAATGTATCTAGCTACTGTTTCTTCTCTTAATATTTGTACGTGTTATTGCTATCTTAACAATTTTAATACTATTAATTTTTGAAATTCAGTTCCGAGTGTCAATAAATAATTATAATAGAATCGTAGTTGACAATTTGTCCGCATCACAAGTTAATAGTTGATATTCGTAAATAGTTACGCCGCTTTATGTACTTTGACTTTTAATTTATTATTTATAGTTTAATTTAGCGTATAAAAAGTTATCGTTTTTTGTGTATGTAAAATTAACACTCGTATTTAACAAGCATCTCGTTACATTCGACTGCACATTCTGACTGTACACACGCGGCCGAGGCCGGACTGTACGACGTTGGCCTAACGAGCACTGCGTTACTACGTTTTATAAGTTTATTGCTAGCTTTATAATAGTAACAAAGCGTGTAGAGAGTGTAGATATTATAGAGGTATTAAACACTAGTCTAACAGGAAAATGTTGCCACGTCGATGTTCCGCTTTGTATTATATGTTATTTATTTTAATATTCCATTAAAGGTTGTATATTTTTTCCTCTCTTTTAGTGGTTAATTCGTGGCGTCACTCAGGCTATCAGGGAAACGTGTGATTCGGTGTGGAATATTCGTGTAATAATAATTCATACAAAGTTTTATACCAGTATTTAAACTAACGAAAGCTAGTGCAGATTTTAACCACACTTAGGCATTTTAAAACATTTTGTACAATATAGAATGGTAAGTTTGTTGGTTTTAATTTTAATTCTGAATAGTTAAAGTATACAATTATAGTTGCAAATTAAAGTACCAAGTCTTTGCCGAATTTCTAATGAAATAATACCACTTGTAGTAGTAATGAAACATTTATTGTTGGTCGCATTGACCTTGTGCCTTACTTTTATTTTTGTTGCTCAATTATTTACTCCTGATAGTCTGTTCCGTCTATTAAAATCATCTAATCATATGTTTTTGAATGAATTAAAAATTGAAATATTGCTTGGCTAAAATTTTTGAACTTTTTTAATCATATCATAATATAACAAACTAAGCGTTTTAATAATGCAAAGCTTGGTGCAGTGACCGTTACTCGTTGTTAACTTTATTACCAAAGATGGATTTATAGACTGAGGGTGATTGGCGACCCTCTTTCTACATAGCTTAGTGATTGAAATGTTTTGTATCTTTTATAAAATGCAAAAGTTAATGATGTTATGTTAACGAAGAAAATTGTGATCGATCTTAGGCTTAGATAGGTGAGATATATATGGTGATGAGACACAAAACTAAACTGCCAAACACATTCGACAACTTTCAAACTCGTGCGAGTTTCGATATCGTGTAAATATCATCGTAACCATTTTTATGTGACTTTATTTTGTACCTGGATACCCAATCATATTTTAAAGATGCGACAAATTTATTGGCTTTACTAACTTACGTTAAGAACGTAGATTTACTGTCATTTATAAATGTTAATGTAGTCCCCGGCAACTCAGTGGTGACGATGGTTATGTCGGTAACAAAATAAAGTCGTTGAATTTATCCAGAAAAAGCATGCCTATTCGCCTGAAGTGTAAAATTTTGTTGATAGATTTATTATAAGATCAGTTGAGTTTTGTATAAGGTTTCTATGGCAAATATGTAACGAATGGCATTTGGCATTATAGAATGCTCAGGATAGCATTCATACAAATATAATAAAATCAAAAAATACATTTTGAAAAATTATCACGTGTTTTATTTATTCATATAAGATATAAATCAGAGTTCCAGAATATTCTAAATATATCGTATTTAATTACACTTTATCAAAAGGAACATTAAAATATTTTGCAAAAAAAAGTACCCAAACAGTGTAATAAGTAATAACTGACCCCTGGCCTTTGATGTTTTATTTTGATAAATCATTAAATACTTACATAACTTCTTATCTCCCAAGAATTATTTGACTTATTACGTTCGTCTCTGTTCATCAAAACGGTACGTTTTACTTTACAATGGAGAAATTTATAAGTGTTAAAGATTTGGAAGACGCAGCGTTAGCGGTGCTGCCTAGAAATGCCCGTGACTACTACAAGAGTGGCGCGACCGATGAATATACATTGGCAGATAACAAGCGGGCGTTTCAAAGGTATCCATAAAATATAACTACGTATTAAATAAATATATATATTATATAACACTTTCTTAGATTAAAACTATTTTTTCGCGAATAAAAATATCTCAAAATCTACGAAAAAATCCGAAAAAGTAGTTTTATTTAAAATATATTTTGTACTGGCGACTCGCCTTCGCTTCGCTCGGGTTCGTCCCTATTATGTATGTTGTGGTTCTTTTAAAGTGGTATATTTTAATGGTTTGTATAGAATTGACTATATGATATATAATTATGTACAAACACATACATAGTTATAGAAAAGTAGGTACGTAAGTATTTAAAAAAAAAATAGGTTACTTGAGAAATGATTGATTCCCCATTCAAACTTCCCTTTTTCACCCCCTTAAGAGATGTTTTCTGGGATAAGTATTATTCTCTTCTTCCCAGGGTCTCAAACTATCTCTCTACCAATTTTCATCTAAATCGGTTCAGCGGTTACGTGTGAAAAGGTGACAGACAGATACACACAAAGTTACTAAGTGTACCTTAGGATATAGACATACTATTGCGGACTTTTCTGTAGGCCTTTTTAAGACCTACAATTTTCTAGTACATTGTTTTGATGTATCTTTTAAAGTTCAACCAGCGTTAGCCATATAAATTTCTAAGGACGACTCTATAGAACCAGTTATTATGTTTTCCCGTGGAAACGAAAGTTTTTTCTATAGTAAAAGGTATACTAAATGTTGAACCGAGTAATAAGTTATCACTACACAAAATTTAGTAAAAATCGGTTCAGTACTTATTGCTCGAAACGCGCATATCGATTTCACTAAGTTATTGTTTTATTATAAGTATTGTGTATTGTAGACTTTTCTCTAGGCTTTTTCAAGACCTACAATTTTAATTTTTTCTTAAGGTTTAGCGAGCGGAAGATTTGTAAGGACGACTCGATACTACACGCACACACAAACAAACATTTTAATAAATATTGTTTTGAGGTCTATATTATGTACATAATACGTTACAGTCATTGTTTTAAAAAAATATTTCATGTACAGATTTCGCTAAGGTACTGTTTTATCATGTGTATAGATTATAGAACTATTAACAAGTAACAATGTGTACACAATATGGTAATGTGTATATAGTAAGATAACTTAAACGCTTTAAATACGTAAATTAGAACTATATTTTCTAAACTTTTCATAATTGATTTTGTTTGTTTTTTTGCAGATTAAGAATTCGCCCAAAATGCCTAGTTGGATTGAGAGATTGCGACCTCACGACGACTATTCTAGGAGAAAAAGTGTCGATGCCTTTAGGTATATCACCTACAGCAATGCAAAGAATGGCTCATCCTGATGGTGAAACAGCTAATGTAAAAGGTAAGTTATAAAGTAACCCTTTATCGTTATATTAACGAGCGACTCACTCTCGCTTTGCTTGGGTTCGTCCCAAGATTGATTCCCCATACAAACTTTCATCCCCATTTTCACCCCCCTTAAGGGATGATTTCCAGGGTAAAAAGTATCCTATGTCCTTCCCAGGGTCTCAAACTATCTTCTTACTATCATCTAAATTGGTTCAGTAGATCCAGAGGTTACCCCCTACAACCTCACCAACTCAGTAACTCACAAACTACCTCTTTATAATGTTGGTATAGATTATAATTTATCGTATTTTTATATAAAGCTTCAGTCCAATAACAAACTTGTCAAACAAAATTTTACACTAACCCGAATCTTATAGTACCTACTCTTAAGCTTACTTTCAATTTCCATGCAAGCTTACTTTAAAATCTCGTTACACTCTTTAAAAATTATTTGAAAAAAATATTCTAACCTAAAAACCTGATATAAGGAGGTGGGTAAAAATCGGTCATTTTTCGCCGATTAGCAAAATCTTATTATATTTACTAGCATTGCCCGCGGCTCCGCCCGCGTTCAGATGACCAAAAACCAAATTCTTAGGTTTTACATATTAGTATACTCTTACATTGCAGTTATTGTATTTTTTCTCAAAAATGATATATTTTCCCGCGGTAAAAAGTATCCTATATTTTGACCCGGATAATCAGCTATCACCATACCAAATTTCATCAAAATCCTTCCAGTGGGTTTTCTGTGATGCTGTAACAGACAGACAGAGACACAAATTCTAAAAACAATAGATTCGGCCTCTGTATCGATAATAATATGTATTTCAATAAGATTTTCCAAAAAATATTTAATGTACAGATTCGGCTTGATTACAATTTTATTATATGTATAGATTATACTGATACTGAATAGAAATGAAAAGGCCAGGTTTTTTCAAAAAAAATAATAGCGAATACAGAAAAAAATTAGCTATACTAAACTATGTGTAACAAATGTCTTCAATTATATTTACCTCTCACTTTCACTAGCTGAATCGTTACTGGATCATCCAATAGCAGCGTTTTGAAATGTACCTATATGCACACCCAAAACTTGGTGTTTTTGTCTGAGTTTGATTAAAGCGTCAGTAACCCAAGTACCAAGTACCAAAGTACAGATGCAACATGTGCATAGCAGCTAAGAACTTTTTACAAGAATCGCAATGATTTCCAGGCCTTATTTTTTGATTAATCTGCACAAAACCCATACAATCTTACTTAAAATAATGGCTACAAAATAAAAGAAACATTAGTTTTACAGTATCACACGTGCGAGGTCAAGATACGATTGACCGCTTGTCCACAGAAACCGTTTTATTTTCTATCACATAGGTTCAATGTACCAAAACAAACTTAACGTTAGTTTAGAAGCCTATTTATTGTACAATTTGAGAGACAAAAATATCAGACGAATTTACCAAGTTTGATGGCCTTTTTATGTTTTGTAAATAAACTATAGTCTATCACGCATAGATGATAACATAATATTTTGTTATATATGTAGGTATCATTTGTTGATAGTATGGCTAAATAATATTTAACAAATTCAAATATCATAGGTTATCTATAATTAAATGAAATTTACAGCCGCAGAATCTAATGGCGTGATCTACACATTAAGTACAATTAGTACTAGTTCTATAGAGGAAGTTGCTAAAGCTGCCCCGAACGCTATTAAATGGTTTCAGCTATACATCTACAATGATCGGTAAATATTATTTAAGAATCGTACCCAGAGTTATGACCTCAATTTACGTTTACGCTATTTGTATGTTCTTCTTAAATGCTGTAATGAATAACTGGTTAAAATAAAAAAATGTGTTATACCCTAAGAAAACTTCAATGTCAGATCCGGAAGCCAATGGTTTGAATTCCAGGTCAATTTAATAATAGTCAAATAAGAAATGGTCCTAAAAACAATAAGGAAGTTGACAACGTCGGCAGTAACGCCGTGCCTCGAAAAGTACATTGTACAAGTTTTTGTAGGTGGTGTCGAATTTTCGTCCCACCGGACTTTGAGGGGTAAAGAAATAGAGTGTTTGTGTACTCACTTGCGCATGGTCTCACTGAAATTGGTCGGCGCAGCTGAAATAAGCCAGAAAGACAGTATTATTAGTAAGAATAATAAAAAAAATAAGGCCAGACACTATGGATCCCCTTTCCATGTTCCAATCTGTTTCTCCAAAGTTCTTTTTTGGTATTTGCCCCATTTTAAACTCATTCTAAGGGTTTTAATCACATTATTTTGAAATGGATACCACCATTTCAAACAAAAGTTAAAAAAAACTGAAACACAAAACTGGGTGTGTGATATTTTTTGTTTGTACTTGTTTTTAATTTATTTCTTTTCACTATATAGGGAAGTGACTCGTCAGCTTGTTTTGAGAGCTGAAAAGGCCGGATATAAAGCCATAGTGTTAACAGTGGATACGCCAGTTTTTGGATTAAGGCGAGCTGATGTTAGAAATAAATTTGCTCTTCCTAAACATTTAAAGTAAGTATGTGTTTATTTTCATAATGATAACTTTAAAAAAGCCAGTGGTAGCCCAGTGGTAATGCGCTCGCTTGGGAAACCGAATGAAGTGAGTTCAAATCCCGGGTCTCGCACCTCTGATATTTTCATGTGCGAATCATTTCCAACATGATTACCACTTGTCTTAACGGTGAAGGAAAATTCGTGAGGAAACCTGCATGTCTGAGAGAATCTAGCAAGTTTTCAAAAGACATGTGAAGTCCGCCAACCCGCACTTGGCCAGCGTGGTGGACTATGGCCTGATTCCCCTCGTGCTGAAGGGAGGCCCGTGCCCAGCAGTGGGACGTTAAAAAGGGCTGAATACAACTTTAAAACAATTATACATACTCTAAGCATTATGTAAGTTGCAGCGTGACTAAGCATAAGGCTGGGTTTCTTTAAAACATTTTCAAGTACGTATCTTTTAAATTTTAAAACAAATGCAATGATGGACGTACATATGTTAATTGTGGACGTACTTAGACATATTACCTAAATCTGAAGAGATTGTTTTTGTTAATTTGAATTTCTGGAACTACCAGTTTAATTATATTTTTAATTATGTTTAATTATATTACTTTATGTACTTTAAAAATTTACTAGCGATTTATCCTCGCTTCGCTCCGCTATATATAGCTATAAAGCTGCGTTTTAAAAATATAAAAATAGTTCGGGATACTTTAGAGTTTAGTTAGTTTACGACGACACGTTTAGCTCAGTTTGTAGTGACCCTACTTGCTGTGCCAGCGGTCGCTGGTTCGAGTTCCGCTGGGGGTATTCATTTGTGTGATGAGCACGAATGTTTGTACTCCAGTCATGCATGTTTATATTTATAATATGTATGTATTTAAACTTATATGTGTGTAGTGTATCTACTATCTGGTATCCATAACACAGGCCTCGTAGCTTACCATGGAACTAGATGGTGCTGTGTGTTAATGTCCCAACATAGTCGTAGTAGTAGTAGTTTAGAAGATAGATTATGCTATTGCGAACTTTTTTCTAGGCCTTTTAAGACCTGCAATTTTTTAGTACATTCTTTTGATGTATTTCTTAAGGTTTAGCTAGCGATCCCCCCCCCCCCCCAACGTGCGTTCACCTTGTCGTGGTGGGGGGGCTCAGTAGTGTACTCGCGAAGCCAAGAAACGCACAGGGAGGTGGCCCGCTTCGGTGGGCGGTGGGAGGCGGCCTTCTTCGGAGGGCGGTGTACCATGCGGGTTGCTCCTGGTACTTCTGTGATAGCAGAGTGGACCGTGGAGCAACCCCATGGTTGTTGTGGTCTGCTTCGGCAGACCTGCCGTCGGGGCGTCGTAGTTGAATGCGTAAGCGATCCTGCGACGCCCCATTAAGACGGGGGAAGGTTTTGTTGGGTAGTACTGGCTTCGCCGGTGAGTCCCACACTTCGTGCGTAAATGCATTTCCCAACGTTAAAAAAAAAAAGCGGTAGACATGTAAATTACAAAGGACTACTCGAGTAACCAGTTATTGTGTTTTCTCGTAAAAAGTGTATCGATATACGGACAAAAAGATAAAAAAATCATTAAATATTGCTTTGGGGTGTATATTTTGTACAAAATACGCTACAGTCATAAAAATATTTCATGTATGTAAAAAAGATTTCGCATTGTTACTATTTTATTATATACTAGTGACTCACCCTCGCTTCGCTTGGGTTCGTTCCTAGGTACGTTTTAACGGTTAGTATGAAATATAAATCTTTGAATTTGTCGGCTTTTCTTTACTTTAATATGCATGTATTATACATATAAACGTTCCTCTTGAATCACTCTATCTTATCAAAAATTGTATTAAAATCCGTTGAGTAGTTTAAAAGATCTAAGTGAACAGACAGCGGAAGCTACTTCATTTTATACTATGTAAAGACTAGCGAGTCCCTATAAATTATAAGATATATAAATGATATATGATATACCCTTCTTCAACAAACAGGCTATCTAGTGTAAAAAAATCTGATTAGTAGTTCCTGAGATTAGCGCGTTCGTTCAAACAAACAAACTGCCTGTTTATAATATTACTATAGATAATAAATAATATGTATGTATAGATTAAGGAGGGTTATAGGCTATCTAACATCACGTCATGAACCTTAGTAGCATTTATACGTTTAACATAAATAAAATACGCTAATGGATACTAAATGTATATTAAAGTGTAGCTGCAGCTTACAGGTACAATTAACTAATTTAAATATTATTTAACAGGTTAGCTAATTTTGAAGGTATTTTGTCTACAAAAATACACAGTACGGGAGAAGGCAGTGGATTAAACAACTATGTCAGTTTGTTTGACAAAACTTTAACGTGGGATGAAGTGAAATGGCTCAAGAGGTAATTTATAAATTATAGTTTTAAAATATATTTTTTACTTTGTAGTTTTCTTTTCCTACACTTAACACTATTAATACGTGTAGTATAGTACAAATTGACTACTGCGTCATGCGTATGTGATATGTGTTACTGTGTTTTTCACTCGTGCTTCACGTTCACCCTAAGTTCGTGACATTTGCTAAAACTGCCTAGCTAGTTTTAAATTTTGCTCTCATTCCGCACGTCTAGCAATGCCGTGTGTGCTACAATGTTTGGTAAAGAAATCATTTATTTTTACGATTTTTTTCTACTTATTCTTACGAAACTTGCGAATTAAAATTGTCGTTTATTAAGTCTTCGTTGTCGTTGGTAAATAAAGAGCAAGAGAGTGATTAAAAAAAAGAAATATTTAATAAGAATTAATAAAAGATTGTGTAAAATTTCCTCAACTAATCGTTAATTATTTTATGAAGATATTATTTGGTCCTTTATGTTAATTGAGATAGTTTAGTTTTACAAAAAATATATGAAATTAAATGGGTTTAATTAAGTAGGTAGGCAAAATAAAGGGCGTGTTTGCATTACAGCATAACCAAGTTGCCTATAGTAGCTAAAGGCATTTTACGTGGTGACGACGCAGTCAGAGCCGTAGAAGCCGGTTGCAAGGCGGTCCTGGTGTCCAACCATGGTGCAAGACAGTTAGACGGCGTACCATCAACGGTAGTATTAACTAATTTTGTTGTTCGATTTTTACAAAATATAGCTTATTTTCGGGGAATGGCTTCGCTAAAATAAACATGAAAATTAATCGTTTTATTGATTTAATAAATAATTTAAATGAGTACGTTAAAAAAAATATTAAAGTATCTTTACCTAATACATAATACTTTGCTGGCAAAAATCAAGGAACCCATACCGTTGGCTACCTTTGGATTACCCGAAATATATTTTACATCTTGCCAAATATGAGAATTCATTTGAATTTGTTATTTTAGATAGATGCTCTGCCTGAAATAATTGAAGCTGTCAAAAATTACGATGTGGAAGTTTATTTGGATGGAGGAGTCACCACCGGTACTGATGTTTACAAAGCTTTAGCATTAGGAGCGAAAATGGTAAGCGTTACTTTGATAAATCTCAAATTATTTTATTAAATAGTAACGCCAGATTTATATACATTTTTTAATTCTTAATAAGTCTTATATTTAGTTTGGTCGTTTTACTCACTTTTTTATAGCACTACTAACGACTTGGTACTTACTCGCTTTGCTCGGGTGCGTCAATAGGTACGTTTTTATTATAAATAATTATTACAGGTGTAACTTAATAGGAGAAAGACTCATGCGATATTGCGAACTTTTCTGTAGGCCTCTTTAAGTTAAACCTTGTTAAACATAACATGTTTCGTTTAAAATTTGTAAGGATGACTCGAACAAGTTATTGTGTTTTCCCGTGGGAATGAGTATTGAGTTCGGAGTATGGAGAATTGAGTTTCCTGTAGTAAAAAATATCCTAAATCTTAACCCGAGTAATAAGTTATCACTACATAAAATTTAGTTAAAATCGGTCCAGTACTTTTTGCGTGAAATGAGTACACAAACAGACACACAGAAAAACAGATTTTTTTTTAATAACTTTTGTTTTGGGTCTATATTCTGTACACATTCGTTATATTATACGTATAGATTATGCATTTGAAATTATTTATTATAGACGTTAGAAATAAATACTTAATATGGCAGCAAGATCAATCTTAAAGTAGCTATAACATGTAACTTAAGTGTAAAAGTTTCGTGAGTATCGCGGAACTAGTAGAGCTGCATGTAAATCTAGTTTAATATATTTCTTTTAGGTATTTGTCGGCCGCCCTGCACTATGGGGTCTGGCAGTCGGTGGCCAGGCAGGAGTTGAAAAAATGCTAAGTATTTTCCGCAATGAATTGGAATATACGTTCCAAATTGCAGGTAATATTTTTTTTAAATATTACCACATATTAAAAAAGATATAAAAGCTGTTGCAATAATATCTGTATTATGATTGACAGAAAGAGCCGTCATTTTCAAACATATCGTTTTTTTAGAAAACAACGAGATCGAATATCGATTCCAAATAATTTTTTAAAATCTAAATTTTTTCATATTCCTTGATGTTTATGAGCATTTTTCGCATTTAGAAATTTTTAATTTTACAGGTACGGCCACTGTAGCTGACATAACAAGGGATATGGTACGCCATGAGACAGCTTATAGTAGACTTTGATTGCTTCATAAGCGGTTATAATAAAAGAAAATGTACAACGGGTAATTTATTTAATTATAAGTTTACGGTACAAATTGTAAAGCACACTCGGAGTCATATACTTTTCCTGTGGCCACATAGCCTTTGATATTTTCTGGAAATAGTAAAAACATTATATTTATACAATGAAATATAATACTAATAATCTAACATTAAATTTTGTTTTTTTTGTCTAACCTTAAAGTCGCATCCATATAGGTTTATGCCCATCTTCAGCCTTTTGACAGTTTGTTGCAAAGACGAATTGTTGGCCAATTTCTGTTTCAAAGCAATTGTGTCATTGCATGTGTTGCAGTCGTTTAAACTAAACACGCTGATGTGTTTTGAATGTTCAATATTATCTTTATTGCTCTTCAATATGGCGTCTCTTTCACGCATGTAATTGGTGAAGCTGTAACTACATGTGTCTACTTCTGTATCGGAATCATTTTTTTCGTAGTTCTTTAGAACTTTCTTACTCTTGAATATATTTTTGAAATTTGTAAAACTTTTAACTATTGTTGTACATGAAGCGTTTACTATGTCCAGGAATTTAGAACTCACAGATTTATTTTTCAATCTATTAACCGTTTTTTTATATTCCCTTTTGGGCCTACTGATTTTTGTCATATTTGAGTCACGTGATCTACACGTGGACGTTCTTATTGTTGTATGCGAAGAGGCTTGTGATATTGAATTTAGATTAACTTTTGTCATTTTTTTCTTTGGCGTAGAAGCAAAGAATGGCTCGAAATCTAGCACACTTTCTTTATCTGAATTTCGCGATAAGGTTTTATTCCCGTCCAGCATTTTCGTACAATTCTGCGTTAAATGCTGTGGTTGATCTATATCATACTTATTGCAATATATTACATTCGTTATTGAATTTTGGTCTTTGATAGTTGACTTGGACCCATAGTTACTCAGATGATTATAAAATTTGTTTTGCTTTTTAGTTTCATGAAGCAAAAAAGAAAAGGACAAATTATTATTTTGACAGGGAATTTGTGGTTTTAAAATATTATTTTGTCTCTCTCCAGCTTTTGAATGTTGTCTATTTATTAAATCTACATTAGAATAAGTATTTTCACATTTCAGTTGAAATTTTATATCGTCGTTGCTTTTTCTCCGACCTTGTGAACCAATTATCTCGTTTAAGATATTTCTGAACAATTCTTTAGTTTCGTTCAGCTCAGGATTTATTGTACAATAATTTGGTTTTGTACTAAGATTAGTAGAATAAATGCTTTTTCTGTGCTCCTCTACAAATACATTACTTAAAATAGATTCCACGTTGATATTGATGCCTAAAACTAGTATTTATAATGTTATTGTCAGTAAATAAAAAATATAATTAAAAACACAGTATCTATAAAATTTTATATACCTTTTTTATATGAATATAAAATGATCGAGGCCCATTGGCTAACCTGAGAACATAAAAAAGTGAGATATGTAATTTTATTAAAAAAAAATTGCAATTTTCTTCATATCCTCTATTCCTTTGAATTAATATAGCAAATCTAATATCAATTTAAAAAAAAACTTAAAATAAAATAATTACCGGAGTACTAGCACCATATATTTTTAAATAATTCAACAGGTACTCGAATATATGCGATGAATTTAAAATTATTTCCCTGTCTTTGGACTCCGTGTTTTCTACAACAGTGTTGAGTAGCTGCAAGCAAAGGGTACTTTGCATTGTCGCTCTGCAAAATTTGTATGAGAATTATATTCGAGATCACATTGATTATGAAGAAATTATCATATTTTTTTCATTAAAAATGTATTTTATGTAATACCTTAAAAAATACTTCAATTATTCAAAATAAAGATTTTCTATAATTTTGAACTATTAAAAATACTTTATCATAGATAACGCAAAAACAAACCTAGAAAATAATTCCATTCCCTTATTTTGGTGAAATAATTCTACATTACGCTTATGTTTGTTGAGTAGACTTTGTAACACTGAAAATATTTCTGAACTTCCACAGCGGGATTTTTGAATGCACTGAAATAATTAAAATTTCTTATGCAAAAAACGTGTCCGAACGGAGTTTAATAATAATAATAATCTTTATTTCAGACGTAAGTACATCCATATATTAATACTTTCTTAGATTTACGCGAATATTTAACATTCTAAATAAAACTATCTTTTCGGATTTTGTCGCGAAAAGATAGTTTTGTTTAAAATACATCCATATATTGTTAATTGGTTAGTAACAATTATACTTAATACTTAGTTACTTTACTTAATAATTAGTATTTTTTGCAAAAAATATTATTACACTATTATTAATATTATTTTTTATTTATCTTAGCCCAATGGCCAACTCCATCCAGTGTTTTAAGCTAATCAGAAAAATATATTCAGAATGTATGAATAGTTTAAATAGTGAAATTAATTCACCAGATTCAGATCAAGAAATCTCAGGATTACGATCCAAAATTGATGCTTTATACACGTGTCGTAAGAAGGCATTGCAAGTTACAAGTGAACATTTTAAATCTGTGAACGACGTAGAATTCCCTAGTATGCTCAAGAAAAAATCATGTTATTTGAGGCTGATGATTTAAATCCTTTTTATATTTTTGCTTCTTCACACGTACTTACAAGGATTACACTGTAAAACAGATCTGTTCTTAGGAGATGGTACAAACTGATGCCAGATCCATTCGCCCAACTATTTTCAATTCATGTATGTACCTATATATGCAAAGTACATCGATAACAACTACAATAATACCTATATTCTATGTACTGTCTATTACCTGATAAAAACAACATATAAAATAAAGGATATTTTGGAGTACAAATAAAAAACTTTAAATGTGATTACGAACTAGCAATCAATGCTATTAAAGTCATTTTCCTAGACGTGCGTGTTAAAGGTTGCTTCTTTCATTTTTCGCAAGCTATTTGGAATAAAGCTGCAGAATTAAGTCGCTAGTAATGATTTCACACTATTTAAAACTATATATTTAATTTAAAAAAAAATATTTAAAAAATACTTGTATTTTTAATTTCCTCCTGACTGTACAAAGCGTGACTACTGACTCAAATAGTAGCTAAATTTGACAAGCTAAGAAACGATATAACAATTTGACGAATGAAGCATTTGACGAATGTCTGCACAACCACAGTTAGACATAATATGGAGTTTTTATTTAGCTATTTCATATGCTAAATGACTTTAATAAAAAATATAAGTTGCTTATTTTTTGTACGCCCCTCGATAGGTTTGGAAGATTAAAAAAAACAAATTGGGTCCAGAAATCCGCCATTTTAAAAATCAATTCTAATTAGCCTATGACACTCGCGTTATCAAAACAAATTTGATGACATATGAATCATCAAAATCGGTTCAGTCGTTTAGTAACTACGAGGGAACATAGGATCGGACATACATACAGGTCAGGCAGATAATAGCATCACTGCAGTCGGGTAAGAAATACCCATGGCTATTTTCGCTGACTGACTTTATTTCATAGATGATAGAATTATAATTATTTAAAACAATCTTAAAAAAATTTTTGCGCTTCGGCATCGATAGTCATATCTTGATTTATTTATTTTTATTTCAAAAATCATCTTTGCACTTACCAAAGGTACTAAATGTGAGCAGAAAGATTGATTGACCGAAGAATCACGAACAGCTTCACTTATGCTATGACAAAGAGCTTTCAATGTTTCTTGATGCTAAAAGTAAATGAAAAAAGGAAAATAAAAAAAAATGTCACGTGTAGTATATTGGCATCAAGAGAATTATCGTCAGAATTGGAATAGATTTGGAGAATCAAGTTCCAATCTTAAATACATACCTATAATATTATAAACTAGCAACTCACCCTCGCTCCGCTCGGGTTCGTTTCTACGTTACGTTTTAACGTTTAGTGTAGATCTCTGAGATGAGATATTTTCACACAGTAAAAAGTATCCTATATGTTGACCTGGATTACCAGCTATCACCATGCCAAATTTCATTAAAATCCCTCCAGTGGTTTTTCTGTGATGCGGTAACAGACAAACAAAAATTCTACAAACTAGTTTCGGCCTCTGTATCGATAATAATGTTTATTTCAATAAGATTTTCCAAAAAATATCTAATGTACAGATTTGGCTTACAGTTTTATTATATGTATAGATTACATTAAGCACATGTAAATATATATATATATATATATATATATATATATATATATATATATATATATCGGTATCTATTAGTGATAGAAACTTCCGGTTTGCTTCAGTTTGTTCAATATTGTTAAATAAATCATTTTTTTGTTTTTATTCTTCTGAACTCAAATAGAAATATATATATATATATATATATATATATATATATATATATATATATATATATATATATATATACCTATGTATAAAAGGCAGTGGTAGCCCAGTGGTAACGCGCTTGCTTGGGAAACATAAGCGAGTATTACATATTTTACATACATACCAACATAGAACTTGCGAATATATTAGACATTGCTGTTAGGCAACCACTATTGCGTAGCATATTCTGTGCATAAATGTATAAAGCTTTTTTCCTCGTTGGTCCATCCTCATCAAGGTACAATAATGCTGATATAAAGTTAAGTGTTATTGTTATCTTTACTTGTAAGCCACTATTTAATACAAGCAATAGTTTCTCATACAGTGGCTCATATTTAACTATTTCGCTCCCAATATTCTAAACAATAATTAAAAATTACAGATACTCTTAATTACAATTAAGTTCAAAAGTCTAGACTCAGTTTAGATATTTACCTTTGATAATGTATATATTCCTAAATTTGAAAAAATATTTGTGAGGAAATTTATATTGTATGTATTCTGCAATAACTCTAATTGTTCATAAATTTTATTTATTGTATTTGCTGGTAATCCGAACTGTAAATAAATATGTTATTATTTACCTATATATTAGTCCAAAATAAATAAATTGTAAAACAAAATTACATACATGCTTGTAACAACCACCAGTAGTATTTTTTCGAGTTGTCCATTCATAATTCCACATTACTAATAAACTATACGAAATATTATTTTATATTTACCGCCATTTAAATATTTTTTTAATAAATTCCAATAATGAAGTGATAATGGCATTACACCATTCTGCTTCGTCTTTAATATGTTTATTATGTTAGTAAAGGTTAATTTAACAAAGCTTTTGCTATTGACTACTTTTATTATTTCGTTTATATTAGTCTTTCAAATGTATATATTTTATTTTTTGAATGTTATCCATGTTGATAAATGGTACCTACTTTATTTATTCATCTGTGGTAGGTACCTACTGGGACTGGGTAACTGGGATTTTTTAAACTGTCAATGTCGTAAACATTCAATTTCAGCAAATAGCAATAACATCGTTAGTGTTTTCTAAGAGTTGAATTAAAATAAATTTAACAATTTATATATCCTTACGTTTACTTTAAAAATATTTGCATTTGTAAAGTCTTATACATTTTAGATTTTAATAAGAATTTCTATTAAATATAATAAATACATATATCCAAAATGGATGTTGGAGAACTGCTCTCGTTCAAAGTAAATATTGTTACAACTAAAAAAGCACTTTTATTATACAATTTTCAGTAATGAAATATTAATGTAATTAATTTTTAAGCCGACACCAACTCCCAAACGGCCCAATGAAGATGAGCTAGAAGATTCTGATGATGACAACAGCCGTTCTTCAAAAATGCGCCGACTGAATAAAGCTGCAATAGAACGCATGTCTCAGCCTAGTAATAATTATCTTCCCAAGGAACCAGCAATAACAGATAAAGAAAGGGAAGATATTTTAAAATTTGTTGAAACAGAAGCAACTGAAGTAATTACGGTTTTCATGATAGATAACCTTAAATTTTACATAATATTCATAATGTTAACAGTAGGCATGGAACATTTCACGAGTAGCAAGTGAAAAATCACATGAAATGCGTTATCATACGTCACACCTGCTACTTAAATTCACAGTGACTGCTACAAATCACCATAAACTTTATAGTAAGCATGGAAATGATTGCTACTTTTAAATCATTATCACGTGATGAAATTACAACAATTTTTCACGTGATTTCACCTGCTACTTTTCACGCATAGATTTTTGATTTCGACGGTCTGGTGTCACACTTTATATTATTTGCTATTAAAATGAAGTATGAAATGTCACCAATGGCGCTACTGATGTGATATGGAGCAGAGATATAGATCTGACGTAGTTGCATACGTACATGGTGCTTTGAATGAACCTATTTTCAAACAATGAACTTTCCCTCATACTTCTACAGGTTTGGGACTGACAATGTAAAATTAAATGAATTTTAAATATATCAGAGTAATCACACGGTAAAATTGTATTAAGCTAAGTTCCATAATTACATTGGCGTATTTAAAAGTTCATTGTTTTTATGTACAATAAGAATTTTTATAAAAGAATTTTATACACTTTTTTTTTGTTTTTCTTAATTTTTTTAATTTGTTTATAATCATTTTTTTTGCTTTTTGATTTTTTTGATGATTGATTTTTTTATGAGATATCTATATACAATAGTCTTCATTGCTTTTTAAAAATACAAGTTCCGCTGTTCGTTTTCTGCTTAATCGTGCTCTTTTTTGGGTTGCAAAATTTCCCGCTTTTGAAAATACTCTCTCACACTCCACTGATGTCACCACGATGTGACAGTGCTCATGAAATATTTCCGCCAAATTGGGGTACATATAGGAGTGAGATTTCCACCAAAACTAATGGCGAAGAATCGCGCGGAAGCACTGGTTCATTAATAAACATTTCTAGCTCGTTCTCAGCGTTGGTGGTTATGTCTGTACGTATTACACATAATCATTCAGTAAAAATTATAAGTATTTGTTGGATAAAAAACTAAAAATGTGCTCTAAATTTAATTGTTGTTTCTAATTTAAAATTATTTCTAAACAATATTTCTAAGAATCCGAAATCATGCAACTCGAAATAAATAAACTCCCCAATTTACTGATCAACGGTATTAACTGAAAATTGTATTTTGTTGAATAAAAAATCAATAAAAACATCAGTACGAAAATGTATACGGAAAATGCGAGTAACGAAATGCATTCGTGAGTAACGTTTCGGTACTCGGTACTAGATGGCGTACCCGTTACTCAGTAACGAATACATACGGTTTGCTACAGCTCTAGATTTCACCAAGTTGTGATTTGTAGCAGCCACTATGAATTTAAGTAGCAGGTGTGACGCATGATTACGCATTTCACGTGATTTTTCACTTGCTACTCGTGAAATGTTCCATCCCTACTTTATAGTCGATTTTTGCCTCTTCGGCTTGTGCAAATCGGCAGATTATTGAATTGGACACTTTTCAGGATGTGACTAGCCTACCACACCTTAATCTGACGGTTTCAAGTATTTCTACCTTATCAAAACATTTTTTAAATATTTTAATCGGCTTCCCTAGACGCGCCCCTTTATATAGAAGACTTATATTATGGTGAAAGTACTCAATAGAGTGCAAGGTAACCTCTTTTATGTTAATCTGCCGCGCTCGAGTAACTACAGAAAATCCCCTCTTGGGCTCCCCTACTAATACTTCATTTAAATAGCAAATAATATAAAGTGTGACACCAGACCGTCGAAATAAAAAATCATTGCCTGTGAAAAGTAGCAGGTGAAAAATACGTAATTTTATCATATGATAATGATTTAAAAGTAGCAATCATTTCCATGCTTAGTTAACAGTCACAAAAACATTCTTAATTTTTCTAGGAAATTCTATAATTTGTAATACATTAATGTCAGAGTATTTAAGTTGATAATTATTTTTAGGGAGAGATTTTAGATGACACTGCAGTAAAAAAACTAGTGCTCAATTTTGAAAAAAAGGCATTAAAAAATAGAGAAATGAGGATAAAGTTTCCAGATCAACCTGAAAAATTTATGGAAAGTGAAATTGACTTATATGAGGCACTACAGGTAAATCAAATATCTATTAACACTTAAAATTTGTTATGTTTTATATGATGGTTTGTTGATTACTAAATGAATGCGCTTTTAACTTAGTTTAGCTTTGCTCAGGTGCATCCCTGGGTCCCGGGGGAGAAGCCAACTCCTACCGGGCGCGTCCCCAGGTGGCGTATAGGGGAATGCCATCCGCTTACCTGCTCGTCTAGGCCTCGAGCCTAAGACGTTGCGGCCACCGGTGGTGGGACCGCTTGGTCCCACAACCGGATGACGCGGGACTGTGGTCGCAGGCCCGCATCCGGCGGAGGGGTAGGCCGCGGCGGGAGAGGAGTGCCGGTATTTCGGTGCGCCGTTCTCCCTACCTTCCGCGGCCTAGACGGGGCCGCCACCGTTTGATGGCGGACGCGGTGGGGCTGCAGGGGAAGAGGAGTGTCGGTGTTTCGTTGCAGCTCTCCCTGTCCTCTGCAGCCGTTTGGAGGTGGCCCACTTCGGTGGGCGGAGGTTCGGTTTAATGGGGCTGCTCCGGGTACCTCTCTGGTGTAGCAGAGTTGACTGTGGAGTAGCCCCATCGGTGTGGTGGTCAGCCGTTGGCAGACCTGCCGCCGGGGCGCCGTAGTAGTTATGCGCAACCGATCCTGCGGCGTCCCATTAAGGCGGAGGGGAGGGGAACTTTTTGTCAGTTGGCGTTACGTTTCACTTATATTGTTAAACGAAAGCTCGATTCCAACGGTTAATTATTTTAACAGATTTAATTTAAATTAGTTGTTAAAATGATTTTAAAAAACTATTTGTTATGTTTTAAACATTGACATATATGTTTTAATGTTATTTGTACGGTTTTAATAATTTTAGTTCGTTTATACTGATTATCAAATATGAGTGTAAACTCAGTAAAATGGAACGACAAAGAGGAAAAAGATTGCATTCTATCCATCGTCAAAAATGGATTGCCTTCGTAGGGTTTGGTTATTGGGATTCAGATAGGAGATCGATCGACTGTTACTGTCTGATCTAAAATTGATTTCAATCTGAGATTGTGGATTCATTATTGGGTTCGGGCGTTAGTGGGTAGTACCGGCTCTTCTAGCCGGTGAGCCCCACATCACCACCTGGGGGATCAGGTGGTATGCGTAAATGCAATTCCCGACATAAAAAAAAAGGTGCATCCCTGGGTATGTTTTAAAAATGGTTATTGTGAGTGTTCTTTACTTCCATTCAGTACTTTTTGTGTAAAATGCACACAGATACACAGACAAACAGACAAAAATTACATCAACTACTGTTTTGGAGTCTGTGTACTGTATAAAACATGTAACAATTTAAAATGATTCATGAATATGTTAATTTAGCTTTAATTTTATATTGATTAATGCTTAAAAATTATGACATATTTGTTTACAAGATTAACAATATATTATTAATGTTGTTCTTTTAGGACTTAAGTGCAGTAGCGACAGTTCCAGACCAATATCCATTATTAGTAGATTTAAAATGCATTAACTCTTTGCTAGAGCTTCTTTCACATGATAATACTGATGTTTCTACTAAAGTAGTTAATCTTTTACAAGTAAGTATTTATACTTAAATATATTATAAATCAATCAGCATTTAAATTTAGAATTATAATTTTAAATATTCTAGGAGTTAACAGATGTAGATATCTTGCATGAAAGTGAAGAAGGTGCTGAAGAGTTGATTAATGCTTTGGCTGAAGCAGAAAGCCCTTCACTACTGTTGCACAACTTGGCCCGTCTAGACGAGCAAGTACCAGATGAAAGAGATGCTGTTCATAATACTTTAGGTATATTATAAATTTTATAATACTTATCAATTTCTTAGAAATATTAACTAGTAAGAGTGACTAAGTAATATATAATTTATATTTTCATAGGTATAATTGAAAACCTAACAGAATTTAGACCAGAATTATGTGTAGAAGTAGCAAAACAAGGCTTTATACAGTGGATCCTAAAACGATTGAAGGTAAAATTAGTTTTAGTTTTACTTATTTATAAATTTTGCTTGTATAAAACTTAAGTTCTTTTTTACTTTAGGTGAAAATTCCATTTGATGGCAACAAGTTATATGCAACAGAAATTTTATCAATATTGTTACAAAACACTCCAGAGAACAGGAAATTGCTTGGTGAACTAGATGGCATTGATGTTTTGCTTCAACAGTTGGCTGTATGTTTTAGTTCATTTATTCCATATATGTATGAATAAATTATACAAAATTATTAACATATAATCCATATGACATTCAAAAAATATATTCTTATTTTTTGCATATTAAAAATGTGTTGTATGTCAATATACATAGTAATCAATGTTTTTTAAATATTTAGTAAAGTATCACTGAAGCATTAAACGTTTATATTCTGTGATAGAAATTCCTTAAATATTATTATATATGCAGTTCTATAAACGGCATGATCCAAGTGGAGCAGAGGAACAAGAGGCTATGGAAAACATGTTTGATTCACTCTGTTGTGCACTAATGGAGCCCGCTAACCGGGACCGCTTCTTAAGGGGAGAAGGCTTGCAACTTATGAATCTGATGCTTAGGTTTGTTGATGATTTTACAAAAAAATCGATTGATTCTTATTGATTGAAATATATGTATGTATATAAAATATATAACATTATCAACTTTATATGTTAGACTCGTATTTTATCTTTCTTAAATAAATTCTGTAATATATCTCGAATTTTAATAATAACGATATATTTTAAATTGTGTGATTTTTAGGGAAAAGAAAATGTCTCGTAATGGATCATTAAAAGTTTTAGACCACGCTCTGGCGGGACCGGATGGTCGAGATAATTGTAACAAGTTTGTAGATATTTTAGGACTTCGCACAGTATTTCCACTGTTCATGAAAACACCGAAACGAAAAAGAATACTAACAGTTGATCAACATGAAGGTTCATAACATTTTTTTTACATACAAAAATTTTATTACTCCTTATTTACTTCTATTTCTAAAAAAGCATTACAGTTTAAAGATTAAATTTATAAAAATTGTTGAATCAGCACTTAAGTGTTGCATGTAATGAATTAGAAAAAAAAAATAGAATATTTCAAATAAATTACCCTTTCAGTTAGTATACATATTATATATATTATGCCTTTCTATGTCCGGCATTTGACCACTACAATTTTTTTACAAAATGGAATTTGAATTTATATTTCTTTTTTTAGAACATGTTGTGTCCATAATAGCATCCATGTTACGCAATTGTCAAGGCAGTCAAAGACAGAGGCTTTTAGCAAAATTTACCGAGAATGATCTAGAAAAAGTTGATAGGTTATTAGAATTACATTTTAAATATATGGACAAAGTAGACCGAACTGAAAAAGAAATGGAAGTGAGTTTTATATTATTTTTTTCACAATTTCTATTACTATCTATATCTAAAAATATATTTTTTAAACAATATTTTTTGTATTGCAGCAAGAAGCTGAAGACCTAGATGATGAAGCCCAATATTTAAAAAGATTGTCTGGTGGTCTGTTCACATTGCAACTTATTGATAGGATTATATTAGAGGTACTTTTTATACTTATTTATATATATATTACATTTAAATATTATATTTGTATTATGACTTATGGGCATTTACTGAATTTTTCTTTTTTATATGAAAATTAATCAATTTAACAATGCTTTCTATCTAAATCTGAATTGAAAAATATTGTTGGTAATTTTGAATGAGTCAACTTGTAGTAAAATTATATATGTAAATAAATAATACATATGTTACTGCAAAACTAAATGTACTCTAGTCTCGATGTTGAAGCCGAAAGTGTTATCCGAGACTGATTTATTTTGGATATCTACCTCCATTCACTTTGTAAATCTAAAATTTTAACTGAATGGTAAATTATCTTTAGATTAAGGTCGTTCATTAAAAAAATTACTCAATATATTTAAAATCCAAGGTTAATTAACTCGAAATATGAAATTTTTATTCAACATGGAATTTTATCATTTAGATCAGACAAATCATCAATCAGGGTTTACTGGAAAGTCTTATGATTAACTAGTTAGCGGTTTGACTGTATATGGTTATATTATGTAATACGTAACGTATGTGTCAGGTGTGCACCGCCGGTCCGCCCACTATAAAGCAGCGCGTACAGCGCGTGTTGTCACTTAGAGGTGGCTCACTGAAAATTATTCGACACGTCATGAGAGGTACGATTTTTCTTTTTAACTATATGTATGTGTGTGTATAGTAACTATTTATTTTATTGTTTTTAGGGTTCCGTACCTCAAAAGGTAAAAAAAGGAACCCTTATAAGATCACTTTTTTGTCTGTCTGTCTGTCCGTGTGTCACCACCAATTTTCTCAAGAACGGGTGGACCTAGTAAGTTTAAATTTATACCAGATTTGAGGTCTTTAGTCCCTATTAAGTGTATAAAAATCAAGGTCCTGAGTCAACACGATAAAAAGATGTCGAAAATTTGTAAGTATCAAAATGTACCTTAATTTTCAACTTTTTTATTTTTCGGAATTTTCCCTTTACGTGTGCTCTAAGACCTTGTGTTTGACCAAAACCAACAATTCTAGGTCAACCGGAAGTACCCTTTAGGTTTTGGGTCGAAAACCTATAAGGTAGTTCCCGTTGACTTAGAATCATGAAATTTGGTAAAAAGCAAGGTATTACAGCACAAATAAAGAAAAAAATAAAAATAGATGAAAATTAAAGTTAAACAGATTTCCTAAAAAAAATTCTAATAGGATGTTATTATTATAATATAGACACACACACACTATTTCAAACATGATCTTAACAAATCAGTTCTGTCAAAATTCCCTTTGAAGATTTTTGTAACGAATTTATAAATATATAGTCACCTGTCACGAATTTTATCATTCTTGCTACATTAAAAATATACATAATAATGTACAATAAAGCCGACATTAATTGCTTAAACTTATTTGAGGATTATCAGTTATACTTAAATATTTTAAATAAAACTATCTTTTCGGATTTTCCGCGAATTTATTTTTTTTTATTTTATTTATTTTGATTTTTGGTTCCCGACGTTTCGAATGCTTTACAGCAATCATGGTCACGGGAGAGACTGAGGTGTTAGATGTCTCTAAGGTATTATATAGTTGTATTTTTATATAATTTTAATTAGTTTTATAATTGAATATAGAATGCTATTTATTTAATTTGAGCTGTTATTATTATAATTAATACAATTTTAAAAAAATATTAATTTTTAATCTACATTTTTAGTGTTGCCATTATTATATTTATAACCATAAAGAAAAAATCATAATATATTAATTATTTAAGCCATAATTGATCTATGTGTAATTTGAAAAAGTTAAGATTAATTAAAAATAATAATTTTAATTTAAATTTGCTATTATTTAAAAAACAAATTATTAAGCAACACATTACTACATACATTTACAAATGAAAAAAGTGAAAAATATTATTAATCAGAAATGCTATCATTTTGATCTACACAGTAAGAACTTACTACATCTACCTGTCTGTTATGTTTAGATTTATTATTAGATTTTATTATATTAATAACAGGATCCCATGACGATGGTAGTACCCAGCCATCTTCCCTATTGAAATTTGGATGTTTTTTAATTTCTATGGCTTCTCGAATCATTCTAGGGCGATATCGGTTTTCTTTCGCCAGGATTTGAGGTCTATCGAAGCGAATATAATGGCTTGGGCGGTCCTGACTATGTTTGCAGACAGCAGATGTTGTATTGCGACGGTGCTTCACATCAGCTATGTGTTCTTTGACCCGGGTTCTAATGGATCTCTTTGTTTGTCCAATGTAAGAGAGCCCACAATCACAATCAAGCTTGTAAACTCCTGCATCTTGTAGAGGGATGTGGCACTTGACAGGTGGTAGAAACTGACTAATTTTCTTTGGCGGCTTGAAGTAAGTTTTAATTGAAGCTCGCTTTAGAATGTAGCCAATCTTGTCAGTGACGCCTCTCATGTAAATATAAATCTCTCGTGACCATGTTGCTGTAAAGCATTCGAAACGTCGGGAACCAAAAATAAAAATATTCGCGAAAAAATCCGAAAAGATAGTTTTATTTAAAATGTCAAGTATTCGCGTAAATGTAAGAAAGTATTATATACTTAAATATTTAGGCTATAAAATAAGAAAGTACAATGAAACGTTATGGGAAGAGCAAAGTGCCTCTTGAAATTTGAACCTGTATTTCCAACGATTTAAAATATTCCATACTCGCAAACACGGACTTAAGATTTTTGTTTTGTAATAATATACTCTTCCTATAATAAATAAAGATGACAAACCTAGTCAGTTACAAATACTTTGTTTTGACAAAAGGGGTTTTCAAATTCAAAATATTTTATTCAGCATTAAATTATTACAATTTTTTACTGAACGTCATGAGTCTACTACCAGTTCGGAAAGATGAAGCCTCAGACCTGAGAAGAATTGGCGAAAGAAACTCAGCGGGACTAATATTAACTCGTTATCTTTTGTGTCTAATATAAATCCAGATTTTTTTAAATATATTTATATGTGCAGAATATGCGGGTAACCTGGGCGATGCCGGCAGCGAGGAATGGCGCCAACAAGAGCAACAACACATACTGCAACTGGTAGATAAATTTTAAGTATCTTTAGTGCATCTCGTTTTTAAGAAGTTTATACATGAAATAAAACAAATTGAATAAACATTAAAATAATTTTATTTATGGCGCATTATTACTCAATTATAGTTCATGTAACAATAAAAAAAACCGTTTTAATATATTCCATTAATGTGCAAGAATACATGGTTAAGTAGGCACACATCCAAAAACACGTAGAATCGACGTCCTCTATAGGTAAAATAATAGTTTCTATTAACACAACTTAATAATCTATTTAGTTTTAGTGAATAACCCCATCCTTAATTAAAAAGATAATTTCATTTTGACTTATAGTTCGTCACAGCTTTATCACAATTATATGGAACCCAGCTTAGATTATATTACACATAATCTAAGAAACCCAGACTCCGTTAAATATTCTATTAAAATTCTTAAAATAATAAGATTCAAATACAAAATAAATAATGAAAAACAATTTTTTTTTGAATATTACACAGTCAAATTTGAAATTATTTTGTGAGTCAACAAAGCTAGGACAGAAATTGTCTGTTAAAAACAATGTAAAATATAACAAATATCACTACTACTAGATACTTAAGTAACCAATAGTGTTAAAGACATACTGAAATTATAGTCTACTTACTTAAGTTAAATTTCATGATATTGCAAAATACCCAAATAATCATTATTTGTGTAATTCGCACCTGATTTCGTAACCGTAATCGGTCACTGTCAGTCGGTTCACTGAGAAGAACCAACTGCAGGGGAGCACAAGCGTGTGCGAAAGTAAGTGTGCACTCTATTCCTATCACTCTCAAACTCCGGTGGGACCACAATTCCACACGACCGGTAAATACCTACTGGATCAGTTAAAACTCACACATTGCATTACTTGCTCTACGGGGCATGAGTGTGTAATATCGCTAGATTCTCATTAGTGTGCTTTTATTGAGGATTTTCGTAATCGATTGTAACAATTACAATAACTAAGCCGAAATTTAGTATAGATTTTTCATCCTCATAAATTGAGTATTTCTATTTTCGTCTGTTACATAACCCTTGTAATATTAAAAATAATAGAAATATCTTGTCACCTCCAGGTACATTTCTAAGAAATTAATAAAATTTCTAAGAAATCTATTGTTAACTGTAACGCCGGCGTGTCCGCGGTCGTGGAGGTATAAACACATTTTAACCGCTAATAGAACTTCCTCCTTTTAGGAGGTAGGTTAATAATGAACATACAATAAGTTCGAATATTTGACGAGTACACATATATTCTGGACATATGCTAGTAAATTTATAACTACTTATAAGCAAGAATAAATAGTACAACTCGAAAGTTTGGTCTTATACAAAATAAATATTAATTTTCATATTAAAAAAAATTGCCGCATATTAATTTAAATACGAAATGTATACCTACGTACTAATAATACCTGATCTTGAACTTTATCATCGTTATTTACGTATTATCGGTGAACCAATTATTTTTATATATACCTGAAGTTAAAAGAAGTCGAGGTAGACAATATCACGGTAATGTAATGCATAATATTACCGTGACAATATTGACCGGTTTTGGCTTAGAAAAATTTTAACTTGTGCGTTTTTTTTTGCAGTCTCTAATTTCTTTATAATTTTAATAATAGAGAATATGCGTGTGATTTAAATAATGGTCAAATATTTTTTTTTATAAATCTTTACTGCTTTTGAATTAAGCCTATATTTATATTTTTTAAAGTATATTTTTTTATTAAGAAAATAATTATTAAAAAGTGCAAATACAGGTGGGAAATTCAAAGTAGTTGAAATTGGTCAGACCGAATATGACTTCAAAGTATCATAACAGAGCTATTAGCTATTTTGTCGTTACAAACTGAGTCATAATTTTTCTGTGTATACCTTAATGTGACTTCACGCTAAGCGCGCGAAATGGAGGACGTATAAAGTATCCGTATTGGTATGATATTATTTTTATACTAAATTTTAGTATTTTCGAGCTGGATATTTTATTACAATTATAACGATGTTAGCTATTGTATAAAAAATTAAATAGAAATCACGCGTATCCCCTATGTAGCGTGAGTAATTTGTTTTTTTTTTCAAATTATCAAAACGTTATGTAATCACAAGGTATTTTGAACATTTTTATTTACTTTCAAATATAAACACTTTCAAACTTGGCACACTGGCTTAATGGCCCTCTTATCTCACGTATCTTATTTATCTTCATGTAATTTAAATTTAAAAATTAGGAACGTTGATCGCCTACGAAGGCATCCCACGTAACTTCATCAGTTACCAGCATTTCAGTACCAGTCATCCAGGATAACTTATAGTAGCATCTGTCCAGAAGACATGGACGCGGAGAGTGTCACGTAGCACATTATTTAATTGATTAAAGTTAAACTCCACGCCAGCAACTGCTAAGCTCTTACAACTGCACATTTTGATAAAATTTTATCTAAATTGCATTCTTACCACTCATAAACGTATAAAGTACTAATTAATTGAAATCCTATCGTAATTACTTTACTCATAGTACTCAAAGTGTATAGATAAAAATCAAGTATCTGAAGCATTTCGTCAGTAAATCTATTGGCATTTACTTTGGTCATTAAATACCATATTTTTGCATGTCTTAAAAGGAATGAAATAACATTTTATAATACTATTTAAGGCGAGTCAAGTACAACGCTTCACTAAAGCGTCACTCAAGGCACTACTCGCGAGGAGACGAGAGTGGAGAGAGGGCGCAATTAGGGGCAGTCCTTGCTGATCATCCTGCGGAAGGCGTTGGGAATGTCGTCGTTGGTCTTGGACACGCTGCTGCCGCCCAGCAGCCGCGGCGCGGGGACGGCGCCCGTCTGGATGCCGTGCGCGGTTTTGAGCAGGTCGTAGTTGATCCTTTCCGTCACCACCGAGTCTCTCCTGCGACACGAGCAACGCACGAGTGAGGTGAGTGGCGCGTACAGCGTACAGTGGGCAGGGGTATGTGTGTATACGCACCTGTAGTCCGGGTGGGCGGCGACGAACTCGCGCATCCAGGTGGCCATGGTGGCGATCTCGCCGGCGGCGCGGCGCTGGATGAGCTTGAGGTACTGCTGCACGGTGCAGTGCGTGTCCGCGTCCACGTCCATGCCGGACAGGTAGGACTCGATGAGCGGGATGAGGCCCGGGAACACGCCCTCCTTGCCGCTGACGATCTCGTGCACGGTCAGCTCGAGGTACTGGTCGCGCGCGTCGGGCGCGAGCGGCGCCACGTCGCCGGGCGCGCCCACGTCGCGCCGCCACCAGAAGCGCTGCTGCGTGCACGCGCCGCGCCGCTGCGCGCGCTGCATGTTCTCGTCCACCTGCGCACGCACCACGCCACGTCAGACTGCGCCACACTACGCTCCTCCTCACTACTCATCCTCAGGTCTCACCTTGCTGATGGGTATCACGAAATTGAGCTTGTAGGAGAGGATGACGCGCGTCAGCAGCACCACGAAACACACGTAAGCGGCGTTCTCGAAGTCCGTGAGCTGTGCCTCGCACGGGCGGAACTCCACGCGCCAGCCGATGCTCGAGTTGGGCGGCGGCGGCTTGAAGCGCATCGTCTGCCAGTTTGTCGATTGGATGTTCTGCCAATGAATATAACCGAACATGCAAACAATATTTTCAACCGACTTCAAAAAGGAGGAGGTTCTCAATTCGACTATGTTTTTTTTTATGTTTGTTACCTCAGAACTCCGTCATTTATTAACCGATTTGGACAATTTTTGTTTTGTTTGAAAGGGTATACTTCCAGATTGGTCCCATTTAAATTTCAAAAAAAAATACCACCCCTAAGGGTGGAAAAACAACTAATGATGAATTTAACCTACTTCTAATTGTCATATTGATTTGAAACTTTGCAAGTATTTCTATTTCCATTGATAGTACAGTGGTTCGGTGTTGTTGACCTGATCTGATGGCAAGGCCAGAAGGTGGATAGGTGGAACTCTTCAACGGCTAATAGTAGATACTTTGAGTTTGGGCTTATTTTGTTTGATTTGGGAAGCCTAACACGTTAGAATCCTTACTTTGCTACTACTGTCTACACTAAAAAGGGAAAAATAAAAACTTTTTAACAAAAAAATAAAAACCGACTTCAAACAAAAGCACTAAAAAGTAAAAATAACTGATTGGTAATTTTCATTTACTATACTTACCTAATCAAATATTTTCGAAGTCGGTGTGCTTTGGCTAAGTAATTAAAGCCTACCTATTAAATACATACCTAATCAAATATTTTCGAAATCGGTGCCAGCCCATATAAAGCAAAGCACACCGACTTCGAAAATATTTGATTAGGTATGTATAGTAAATGAAAACTACCAATCAGTTATTTTATACTTTTTAGTGCTTTTGTTTGAAGTCGGTTTTTATTTTTTTGTTAAAAAGTTTTTATTTAGATAAAAATGTTTATATAGTATTCGTGGATGAAAAAATTGAACATGAATACAGTTTTAAGAATTTAAAGAAAAATTAAATTATTATAATAGAAAAATATTCTGCGCCATTTAATGGTGTGCCAAATTATTTTACCTCAAAGTGATCTGTATCATTTGTGTCGTCTTGGTGCACTTTCTCTGAGAATAGGGAAACCGTGTCACGAATGAACAGATGCGCGACGTGCAGCGCCAGTGGATGGTCGATCCCGCCGTCGCGTAAGCGTCGATAGATGTTCGCGTCGTGTATTATAGGAATATCATTATACCTACGCAGAATAAATAAAATTAGAATGTACTCGATAAATTCTTTAAAACATTTAAATTTGTTTCCCAATAGGTAGGTACATTAATACGTATATGACACTGAAACATAAAATAAATTAAAGAAATGAGCTGGTCCGTTAATGGTTATAAAAAATGTTTAATTCAGTCTAACGTTTCTTCTTACTATTTGGAGTAACTAAATACTTTCTACATCTGAACGAATGAAAACCATGATGGTGATCTTCGAAATTCATAACATTTTTTTGTTTTTTGGTTATTACAACAATTAATCAGAAAGCAGAAAAGGAATAATTTGTAGTGGCAGTTCTGACGAAACACATTTACATTTGACAGAATTTTTTTAGGTACGGACGAGACGAGTGTATCAAGTACTTATTAGCCAATTATGGTGAGCCAATGACACTAAATCACAACATAGTTTCAAACCATCAGTGCTACGGTGGTCTAACCCACATTTTTCTTTTTTCACTTAACTAAACTACACTTGCACTTAATAAAAGCTAATTTAAGGACGGACAATTTTCATTTATATGTATGTATATAGGCTACATAAGTTCAGTTTTATTGACATTTAATAAATATTGCTGTGAATTTTAGTTTCTTCCTTTTTTAATTAATTATTGCAAAAGTGGTTTAGCCTTCCTAATTTAGGCTTTCACATAAAGAGGGGCTTAGGCTGATGGCCCCGTACGCTATTAATAATAACACAAAAATAAACATTTTAAAAGTAAGCACGTTTTTTAAAACTCTTAAAACGTTCTTAAAAAAAACGAAAATGCTTAATATCTTCATATATCTACCTATATAAATAGTAGTACCTATATAATATCTACCTATATAATAGTAGGTCTACATACCTGCAAAAATGTCTGTAATTCCCATCCATACACACGTTACACGTACACGTCACACACACGCACGCGCATACACACACATGATATGCACATCAAACAGATTGTGAATATCATATTCATTAGCATGATCAATTTAATCATTCAGAGGTTTTTATTTTTCTTTTTTCAATTTATGATTACTTTGATATCCATTCTATAAGTTACCACAATAGAGTTATCTAATTTTGGCCGTACATATTAATAAGTTCGTGCTAAAACTATATTTTTATTATCTTTGTAACGCTGTAAGATTACAAAAAAAACCAGTAGTTTACATGTTTTCTCCTTGTTGCGTTTCTTGCTACAGTGCTACAAGGATCTTTTGGCTTTTACATGACAGTGACATGAGGGCGTTGGTGTGAAATTAGGGTTACAAGCTAATACAATCTACTTTGTTTTAGGGAATTCTTTTAAAAACTCTATCTTTATATTCCGTAATTCAATTTAACTTAGGAAATGAAAAAAATAAAATTAAAAGTGAATGAAATTTAATTACTTAATATACAAATTATTTAATTAATATAAATAAATAAAACATTAAATTTTTTTGCTGTAACTATGTTCTGCATGAACTATGTCAAGAGGTTGCATACTACTAAAGCTTTCCTCATCTTCATCGTGAGAATCATCATCGTCACTGCTTTCTTCACTCTCAGAGCATAATTGTATGAAAAAAGTTTCGTCCAAATATCTATTTATCTCGGCTACTTTTCGTTTCATGGATGCCCAGACCATTTCAATGGGATTAAGATCACAATGATAAGGAGGTAAACGCAATATCTGAGAAAAAAAAGAAGCAAAATTAAATAGTTTACTCACCCATACTTAAAATATTGTTTTAAAAAATAGCATAATAAGAAGACACTTTATTAGTGCCTCAACGGGTCTAGTAGAGCATTCAAGCTATAATTACCTTGTGACCCAGTCCTGTTAAAATAGCATCGACGGAATACACTGGTTCGGGTTTGTTTTTATTTACAATTTCTAATAGTTATGGTCTAGTATATTCTTCTGAATATTCAAAATTATTTATTCTTAACCACTCAATTATTTCATTTTTTCTTGTGCTTGTGTTTGGGTGTTTATTAATTCGTGTGTTATGATATGGAGCATTGTCCATTATAATTAGACTGGGCTCCATCAAATTGGGAGCCAACTTTTATAAAACCCATTTATTAAAAATTGTGTTATTCATGTCTCCATGGTAATCACTACTCTTTGTTTGTGATTTAAAAACCAAACAAGCATTGTTCACAAAGCCTTGATTACCTCCGGCATGAACAATAATAAATCTTTGTCCTTTAGAGATGGGCTCTAATACTCCATCTGAAATTGAATTTTTGAACTACCTATAAAACAACTATAATACAAGCAGAGTAGAGTCTTAGAATAAATATTAATAATATATAAATACATATGAAATTAGTCAAAAAAGATTTAAAAATATATTACTCATTAATATTTCAAGATATTTAATTAATTAGCCAATACCTTCATCATCATTCTGCCAACATTTTCCAGCTGTATGATCCGCCATCTTGTCTGTTAGTTCCGATTTCGGCCACGCGCCAAAAGATCCTTGCAGCACTGTACGTGTATGTATCTCTCCGTGAGCATAATACTATGTTTCTAACTAACTTGTTTCTCTCTTGTTAGTTTATTTTTTAGATAGTCAGTTTTTTTTATTTTTGTAATTAGAACGGAGACAGGGGAGTCACGTTCGGTAGCTACAGTTTTAGTGGACTATATTTTTGCTGTTCTGGGTTTCCAACGAGCGAGTAAGTTTTTAGTAAGATGTTCAATTAAAAGGATTCGTGTACTAACCTCGATGACGGCCTTCGGCCACTCCCGGAATGACGCCTTGGTCCTGTAGTTAGTAAGCTCGGCATTCGCGATAAGATAGCGGAGGGATAAGATCACAGCAAAACACCTCTATCCTTCTATTTTCAATGAAGGATGCGAAGAATTGACGAAAACGTCAATTATATATATACCTTTGCTGTAGGTATTTGAATTTAATATTTTATATTATATATAAGGTGCAAGAACAAACTACGAATCCAAATTCACGTGTCTTTATTATGCGTGCTACAGTGTGACTAAGGTACTTTTATAAGATTGAACACATAGATCTATCTGTTACCAAATATGGATACACATTATAATAGGTATTGTGCACATGGCACAGTATACCCCCCTTCAAAAAAAGGATAGCTATAGATAGTTATTATTAAATTCACATTTAAGAAAAAAAAATGACAATGAAAAAGTGTCGTACAAACAGGATTTTTCACAAATTATTCAAAATTATTACTTTCGTTAAACATAATTTAGCAAATAGTGTATATGTAATATATAAAAATAATGTAAAAAAATAATATACCTTAACCTCCATTGATTACACATACAAAAAAAATATATTATAGTACATACGTATATACTTCTACAATATGATTACAATATCTTACTCGACTACCATTACGATTGGGTACACGTAACTATTGTATGAAAATAAAAATACATGACATGATACGCTTACATATAGCACGTGTTAAAATCATAATTTTTTTTTTTATTATTTAATATTGCACTTACACTACACTATCACTTGCTGACATCCTGGGTTCTGCCGTTGGTCTGATTGTCTCATGACAACAGCAGTATTATCCAGTAGTGTTCTTCTCATAAAGTTTGCAAATTGATTTTTGCAGCGTTTCCATAAAATGTAGCCAATAACTAAGAGTAAGACAGTCAGAGTTGCGAGAGAATACAACTCTACCCTTGTGCTATAGTGCGTGGCCGTTTCTGAGGCCACTGCGCTGTTTCCTGCGCCATTCTGTGCAATAATAATTTCTTCTTTTTCTTGTTTGCTTTCTGCTTTACCCATTCTGATAATATATTATATTATTATTTAAAAAATAATAATATACGTATTAAAATATAAAGTTGCAGTAATGTAACCAATTCGTCTATGGAGCGAATCTTACAGTAGGCTTACTGATGCGCCCTGATCTTGTCACTATAGGCGATTTGTTAATATTACACCTTTCCATATTGGGCGAGATTGCATTGTCATCAGATTGTAACATGAACGCGGGCTTGAGTCTATCTATACTAATAACTTTCTGCGTATCTCCCTCTTGAATTTTAAAATATTTGTCTGTTCGACTCAAAATGTTATATGGACCAGAATACGGTGGGGTTAATGAGCTGGATAATCGGTCGCAGCGAATAAAAACATGTGAGCATTTTCCAAGGTCTGGGTGAACAAAAATTTCTTTTTGACGAATTTTGCGCCTTGGGATTGCTGATAAATCTCTTATTTTCTGTCTCAACGCCTGTAAAAATGTTTCTTCACTTGAGATTTCTGGCTTTGTCAGCTCAAAGAAATCACCAGGAAGCCTGATCGGTTCACCAACTGGGCTGCACTAATCTGGTTGTCATCTCGTAAACTTGCTCTTAGCCCCAGCAATACGCTCGGTAGCTCTTTAAACCAATTCTCTGTGTTACCTCTATACATAAGAGAAGTTTTGAGTGAACGATGCCACCTTTCAACTGCACCGTTCGCCTGCGGATGATAAGCTGTTGTTCTCAACCTCGTTATTCCCATTCTTCTCGCTAGTTGGTTAAATAAGTTTGACTCGAATTGACGACCTTGATCTGTCGTTATTCTTAACGGACAACCGAATCTTGTAATCCAGCCACTATAAACTGTCTCAGCTACACTTTCTGCTGTTATGTCCTTTAAAGGATAAGCTTCGGGCCAACCCGTGCTTCTGTCCAACATTGTTAATAAATACCGGTATCCGTTGTAGTATTTAAGAGGACCCACAATATCTATATGAATATGTTCAAAACGATCACTTTTTTCAAATGACTTGAACGGCGAAATGTTGTGCCTTTGGACTTTTGACCTTTGGCATTCCAAACATGCTCTAGTCCATGATGCAATATCTTTGTTTATTGACTTCCAAAAGTATCTATCTCGCATCATATTTCTTGTAGCTCGAATGCCGGGATGACTAACTCCATGTATGGCGTTGTAAGCCGATGCGCGGAATTCCAACGGCAAATATGGGCGAATTTTTCCGTTCGATGTTTCACAATAAATAATATAAACTTTTTTAATGTGTAGTGTTTTAGACTTTAATAGATCCAATAGCTCTGTGTCATTACTCTGTGACTTAGCTAGATCTTCATAGTTTATTGTGGAAGAAAAATCGATGGTAGCGATTCGAGATAAAGTGTCGGCCACTGTGTTCTCTGAACCGTTAATATGCTCGATTTTTGTACAGAATTGCATCACGTAGTCTAAATGTCTTAACCTCCGAGGGGTATCGTTGTTGCCAAAAGAATTTTTCTTAAATGCCTGCACCAAAGGTTTATGGTCGGTGTAAACAGTTACAGGTCGCCCTTCGATTAAGTAACGGAAATACTTTATTGCCATATATACTATATAGCTAATAATTCCCGGTCAAATGTACTGTAGCGCTGTTGAGCCTCACTTAGCTTATTAGAAAAAAAACCTAGAGGTTTCCATGAGGTTCCTTCCTTTTGTTGCAGTACTGCTCCAGCACAGGTGTTAGAACAGTCTGTCATTATAGAAATAGGAGCATCAGCGATAGGAAATGATAGTGTAACTGCATTTTTTAGACTTTGCTTACACTGTTCGAAGGCTTCTCTCGTCTCTTCAGTCCAAGATATCAGGCTTTTGTCTTTCTTTTTACTATTTTTCAAATAAATGTTTAACTTAGCTTGATCACTTGCAGCACCTGGGAGAAGGCGTCTATAAAAATTTATCATCCTCAAAAAACGTCTCAACTCATCAATTGTTTGTGGTCTTGGAAACTCATTTAATGCCTTAACGCGATCATCTAAGGGGCTTAGTCCTTTTTCAGAAATGTGAAAACCTAAGAAGTCCAATTCAGTTTTTCCAAACTCGCATTTCGCTAAATTGATAGTTAGGCCGAATTTATTTAACCTCTCAAATACAATTTTTAAATGTTCTTGATGTTCGGCTACTGAAGATGACGCTATGATGACGTCATCAATGTATGAAAATAAAAAATTGAGATCTTGAAAAACTTCATTGTTTAAAAATCTTTGAAAAGTTTGAGCTGCGTTTCTAAGCCCAAACGTCATTCTCGGAAACTCATATAAGCCAAATGGTGTCGTTATCGCGGTTTTTTCTATATCCTGCTCTGCTATACCGTTAATGTGATAAGCTCTTTGCAAGTCTAATCTAGTATATATTTTCTTATTAGCTAATACATATGCACAATGTTGTATATGAGGTATCGGATATCTATCTGGCTTAGTAATATAGTTTAAACGCCGATAGTCTCCGCACGGTCTTAATTCTCCATTTTTCTTGACTACTACATGAAGTGGAGAAGACCAGCTGCTCTTGCTTGGTCTACATATTCCCATATCCTGCATCCTTTGGAATTCAGCCTTTACTTTTTCATATTTATTCGGTGGTAAAGGACGCGGGTGCGCGAAAACAGGCGGCCCGTTAGTTTCTATATAGTGGACTACGGAGTGGCGTGAAGTATCCTTAAAACACATTGGCCTAGTGATATCGGGATATAATGCTAATAGGTCACTATATGGATTTGGTTTGAGTCTATTGTTATTACTGAGCCTTGACAATCTAATTTCACTGATGTTATAACAGATAAATTCGTTACTTCGTCTATTAGTTTCTTACGATACACGTCTACTACTAATTTATGGTGGCTTAAAAAGTCTGCACCCAAAATTGGTTGGTTCACGTCTGCTATAACGAAAGACCAATGGTAAGGTCGCCGTAAATTAAAATCTAAAACAAGAGTTTTTACACCATAGGTTTTTATTTCGGTTCCGTTAGCCGCATAAAGTCTGTACTCACTACACTTATTACTACAATAAGGTCTCTTAGTCGCTGGGATAACTGAAATATTTGCACCAGTGTCCACAAAAAAATTAAAACCACTGTTTTTGTCCATAACACATAGGCGTTTAGAAGTCGTAATGGTGCCAATCTCCGCCTCCGACTGCACCATATTTAGTTTCCCTGATTATTCTTGTTCCATGTACACGGCTCCATACATTTCTTTGCTCTATTACGGTAGCGATAATGATACGTACAAAGCCAATCCGCACTATCGGGCGTGCGCTGGCTCATATTACGCCGTTGAGATGTGGACCGGGAGCGTGCGCGACGAAAGCTGTGTCTGCGATTTCTAAATATAGATTTTATTGATTCCAAATCATTTATTCGCAGATTTAATTTGGCAATTTCCGCCAAGATTAAATCTGTATCACTAGAACTCGAAGTACCGGCCCTTATTTCCGAAACCTGTTGTGGCCTTGCCGTTTCCATTATCTTGTCAGCGATAGCGGCCAAATTTTCTATATTCTTTACATCCGTAACCACTAGAACAGCTCGTACTGAAGCAGGGAGGTGCCCTTGCCATATAATAGACAGGGTTTCATCTGGAATTTTATCTCTCGCTAAATCCTTCATTTTACGAAGTAATTGAGATGGTTTTTGGTCCCCGAATTCCATTTCACTTAGTAATTTTTGGAATTGGCGAATTTCAGATTCTTCGTATACTTGCAATAATCGCGATTTTAAAGCTTCAAATTTCTTCGTCTCGGGCGGCTTTAATAAGATATCGCTAACTTGTTGAATCACCTCCTTGCCTAATTTGGCGACAACCAGGTTGTATTTGGATTCGTCACTTAGCTTCTGTGGTCCAAGGATTGCAGCAGTTTGTACAAACCACAGTCTTGGTTTGTCGCACCAGAGCTCCGGAATCCTCGAGGAAACTGTTATTGATGCTAAACTGGAGGAGTCATTCTGCGTTGCTGCTCCTGATCCTGAAGTATTGGAGCTCGTCATGATTGTAGGTTCTTGTGTCGGGGTCACCAAATATACCTTTGCTGTAGGTATTTGAATTTAATATATAATATATTATATATAAGGTGCAAGAACAAACTACGAATCCAAATTCACGTGTCTTTATTATGCGTGCTACAGTGTGACTAAGGTACTTTTATAATATTGAACACATAGATCTATCTGTTACCAAATATGGATACACATTATAATAGGTATTGTGCACACGGCACAATATATAATAAGTATATTATACGAGTATAACGTAATTCGGACTAATGTTTTCTTGGTCGCAAATCAATTAACTATGATCGTAATATATTAAACTAGTATATATATTAAACTAGTTTTTGCTTTCCTGCATGGAAGGTAAGTATATGAATAATAACGTGGGGTTAGCTCACTTTTGCACTGACGGCGTCAATTATGTCAATAAATTCATTTAATATACGAAAAGCATCTCCAACTTACTTTTCATGTTCAGGCGAAAGGTAGGAGTCGATGGAGTCATATCTGGACTTGGGAATGTGAAATTTGTTGTTCTTGAGCGGGACGAGGCCGCGCTCCTCGCGCGTGCGACAGTCCACCGACGCGGAGATCACGTTCCAGCGGCAGTCCACGTCAGTCAGGAAGCCGCGGAAGATCGGCGCCGCGGCCGAGAGTGCCAGCTGCGGGACACGCAACAGTCAGTCACGGTCTTCGGTACATGTCGGTAACTTGCATCTTTACACTGAATAAACTCACCATGATGGGGCACAATGGTGCTAGTTGATCGTAAAGTGTGCGAGCTTCAGATATGCAGCAAGCTTGGAAAGTCAACTGCAGACAGCAGCAACCCATACCTAGACCCATAGCGTCCATATACACGCAGTCAGGCTGAGCTGCCCCTGGCTCCAATTCATGTGAATCATCCACGGGAATTTTTGTATTCACGTCGCGATAAACTGGAAAGTCGAATATTAAATATAAGTGAACTAAAGTTATCTTTTCATATATTTCTATTAAAACATACATACTTGGAACATTAATTGCCATTTTCTCTCCCCTTCTTTGTCGTAGATTAGACGTTAAAGTCTTAAAACGAGGGTGACCTGGAAAAATCCCTTCATCGGGAAAAAAATGCGATCTTGTCACACCCCTGTCTAGAGTTGGAGAATACGAAGGAGTAGTGAAGGCTGGGCAACCTAGTCTTAAACAAAACATTAAATAATTAGTGTTAATAATAAAATAAATAATAAACATGTAATATTAACTTAGCAAAAAAATCTATATAATAAATTCATACCGAGGAAAATTTGTAATACTCATTATGACTTCACCATCTTTTAAAAGAGCGCTAGCTTCTGCTCTTCGATATTTCATGTTAGCCTCTACTATGTTAAAATGTGCTAGTAAACCACCATATGGTTTTCCTGGTGTCCCTTCAAGCATGTAAGCGCCATATTCAGGACGCCACAATGATTTCACGTCTATAAAACAATAGGTCAAAAAGTATTTATACAAATTTGCTGCTCATTGTATTTTTATTACTCACAATGGTAATGTACTTGTTATTGCTATCGCTCATTTTAAAAATGAAAAATTCCTCATTTTCTAATTTACATAACTAGCGTTGCACATTTGAAAGTTTCAATTTTGTATGTAAATTACTTACATAATGCAAGCAAAGTTGATTTTAACATCTAGTAAGTATTGTATCGATTACCAGCTGATTTGCTTGAGTCCGGAGATGGTTGAAATTATTCAACGGCTACTAATAAAACTTACTGCTCCACTTGCGGGCTTATTTTATTAAACTTACAAGTATAGTATATATTTTTTTAGTTTTATAATAGTGTAATCATTATAAATTAATTTAACACATACTTTGTGGATCAGCATGTTCTTTCTCTTGTAATATAGGTAGAAGTTCTGCTGCTCTTAAGCTAACAGTGGCACGTTGATTTTCATCATCAAATTTAACTATTATATACTCTACCTGAAATTAATAACAAAAAATCAAGGAACTTTTTGTGCCATTGTGGATTGATGAGATCGTGAAGATTGTTTTTAAAATAGATATATTTATCTACCGAAAGTCTTCATGACCAAAAGTCTAAATCTTTCAATCAGGAGAGATAATGGAGACTGAAAACTTTGTCCTTAATTTTATTCTTACCTAAATATTTAGATTCATTATTTTGTTTGATTGTTCATTATTTTATATTGTTTCAATAAAGCACCAGAATTTACACACTTGAGTTTCCAATTACATATAATTGTATTTTTAGAATCAAAAAGGATTAGAAACCATAAAGTTTTACAATCTGCCCAGTTTTGATTAATTATAATATTGGATTTTCTTATCAATTAATGCAGGAAGTTATTATAAAAGCAAAATGTGCACGTCAGCACTGCCACTACAAGCTTATTGATTTTTATATTATGCATGTAAAAGTTTGGTTGTATACTTACTAAATATTAATATTGGTTAGAGTCGGGTACAAATACTACTAAAGTAATAATGGCTAAAGTGAGTAATAAATACTTATCTTTCTCACAAATATAGGCAAAGTAAAAGTTGCCCGTGTTAAGTAATTAGTATAAAAATATGAAGAAGTGATAAATGTTTTTTTTTTAAATATATTTGGCATTTTTATTTTATCAAGTATCCACAAAATAAATTAATTTCTTTTGAACTTTAAGGGTGGCCATGTTGCGCTTACCCCCATGGCCGCTTTGGGCGGCCACTTAGGCAAAGCGGTTTTTGACAATGTTTTTGTAATTTACATATAATATAGGTATTTATTTTTAAATTTGCAGAATTTGAAGTACACATACTAAAAATTGAAAGACCATGTCATCAGCTAAAGGTTACTAGTTCTACCAAAACTAAATGATTAACACTCAAGAGGGAAAAGCCATATACTTGTATTCAGCCCTTTTTAACGTCCCACTGCTGGGCACGGGCCTCCCTTCAATACGAGGGGGATCAGGCCATAGTCCACCACGCTGGCCAAGTGCGGGTTGGCGGACTTCACATGTCTTTTGAAAACTTGCTAGGTTCTCTCAGACATGCAGGTTTCCTCACGATGTTTTTCCTTCACCGTTAAGACAAGTGGTAATCATGCTGGGAATGATTCGCACATGAACATATCAGAGGTGCGAGACCCGGGATTTGAACTCGGTTCACTCGGTTTCCCAACCGAGCGTGTTACCACTGGGCTACCACTGCCTTTTTAGCCATATACTTAATTAGTATATATATGAGATATTTAATAATTTGTTCAAATAATCACTAAGTATTTATTTACAAGAATGTCTATTTATGAGTATTTACTAACAAGTAAGTTTAAATAAAGCTAATGGACATAAGTGTTTCCTTCTTAGTAAAAATAGTTATTCAATTGACTATCAGTACTTACATGCTTTATGAAGTATTTACATTATTGAATCAGTTTTAAGTTTGAGTAGTATAAGTAATTATTATTCACTTTACCACCACTATTTTGATGCCATAATATTTTTAAAATTGCTATAATATATATTTTACAATAAGAGTAAACAAAAAACAATCATATCCACTAAGTTTACTATTAGATTTGCTTTACCTCATCGCCCCATTTCAACACATCTCCAGTGCGGTCTCGTAGTTTTCTATAAAGATTAATAAATTGCTCGATGCCGTGTTGCCGCACGTGTTCTGCTAATGCTTTTGTTTCATCCCATGAAAGTGGGCTTCCTTCTGTGAGTAATCCCATTTGTGCTACTTGGATATACCGGTACGCAAAACGTGCCTTAATTAATGTATCTTCTGGAAATCCAATCGTATAACAAAACCTTCTCAAAAAACAACTTAAGTTCATTTAATGCTTAGCTTGTGGTAAATCAATAATTTAGATATTCAAGTGAATTTGAATATGCATATAGATTATGTCAATTTGAATATTGAATTAAATGATTTCAAGTAATTATAAAGTAGTAATACATAAATACTTCTCAGTTAGAAATTTTAATGTCACTGAGTCCATTATAATATAACCGTAAACACAGAAACACCGCAAAAAAACAACATTACGCTGTCAACCGCTGTTTTTATATGTATCACAGCAGCAGTATAATGCTATATATAATGCTATATATGCCGTCATTGTCAAGTGTCAACTCACAGCAAAAAGTGTAAGATTTTGACTTTTATTTGTCATCCATGATTTTGACTCACAGTGACTTAACCACAGATTAAAGAACTAATAACTACTAACTAGTTCTTGTTTTCCAATTAGAGCACTAAAGCGCATTATGCGGCATAATACTAACTTTGGATGTTCCAACTGCAGCAACGCGTGTGCAATCGAGCATTTTGAAAAGTACTACTTTGACGTGATCGCGCAAGGATACCATCTCCTTAACAGAAAATATGACAACTGTTTTTCTTTAAGGTGGCATTGATCATAATTTCATTTACATTATCCTTAGTAATATTTGTTTATATTTTATTTATATAATTATATATTAATTAGTTTTATACTATTATATATCTATACTAATAAAATTATAAAGAGGTAAAGTTTTTGGGTTTGTGACGTTGTAAGGGGTAATCTCTGGATCTACTAAGCAACGATATGTATTATTATATATACATACATATTACATATTAGTTAGTTATATATTTTTCTTTCAACACTGAACCTAGTGCCCTCTGCTGGTGCTGTTGGAACTAATTCACGTTCCAACTAAGCATTAGCGCGCACTTCGTAATTGTGCGCCAAATTACGGCATTATGCTCTGTAACTTGAAAACAGAGAGTAACTAGACCCTGTTTTCCAATTACAGAGCTTAATGGCGTACAAACAAGAACAAGACGAAAAAACACTTCTTATATTTTCTGCTACTGAGTTGATATCCGTTGCGCGCATCACGCCAAAGCCGATTTTTTCAAAGTGCTTGATTGTGCAGAGCCTTTGCTGTAGTTGAAAAATTCAAAGTTGAGCATTATGCCACATAATGCGCTTTAGTGCTGTAATTGGAAAACGCCTAGACTTTACAAGTAGATATAATCAAAGCACATACTATATACTACCATAGAAAAATACAGAATGTCATTAGTAACCATGAATACAGCCAATACAGAACGTCACGTCATCGTCGTGTGTTCATTTTAAACTTTCATTAATTCTTATGATAGAGTCATAGACTAGCATTAGCCACGGATCCACCCGCGCTTAAACTCTTCTTCTTCTTCTTAGTCGTTACAATCTTGACAGACTGGTCGTGATCATCATATAGGCCCGTTCGACTATTCGCCTCCACTCCTCTCTATTATTTGCGTGTCTCGCGCATTCATGCAGTGGTACGTCTACTGCCGCTCTGACTTGGTCTGTCTATCTCGTTGCCGATCTACCACGTGCTCTAGTGCCCTCTACCCTTCCTTGCACCACTAATCGTTCGATGGCTACATTATTGCGTCTAGACACGTGACCAAAGTAGCTCAAGATTCGAGCCTGAACTATAGAGGAGAGACGCTGCTTGATGCCGAGTTCTTTGAGGATAGAGATATTAGTCCTGAATGCGGTCCAGGGTATTCTCAGCATTCGTTTCCAGCACCACATCTCGAGTGCGTCAATTCTCTTTTTTTCAGTCTCTCGTAGGGTCCACGTCTCCGATGCGTAAAGGAATATGGAGAATATAAGTGTGTTAACTAGCCGGGTCTTTGTGGCTTTGGTTATTTTGCGGTTCCGCCATATTTTTTGCAGTTTGTCCATCGTCGATCTGGTCATCGCCATGCGTCGTTTGATCTCATCTATGCAGCCTCCACTGTTAGAGATCAACGCTCCCAAGTAAATATATGATTGGATCACCGAGCAGTTCACGATCTGAGTAGTTTCTGGAAAGTTGTTGTTTATGCGGTTGACAATCATAACTTTGGTCTTATTGCGGTTGATCTTAAGGCCATACTCGAGACTAATATTTTCCATTTTGTGGAGAAGCTCCTCTAAATGGCGAGCATTATATGTGAAAAGAGTGGTATCACCCACGTAGCGCAAGTTTGAGATCTTCAGGCCTCCAATTGTGACTCCTTCGGTCCAGTTTTCGAGACTGCGTCTCATTCGTGCGCTCAAACTACTATAAACCAAACTCTTTGACTTATTAGTATACTTAGATACCAATTTCATTTATGCACAAAAAAAAATGAAAAAAAAAGATGATATGGAGGCACAAAGGTTTCTCTTTAAATCTCTTATTTAATTAAGAAATATTGTATTTTTCGTTTTAACAACAACATTTATTGTAAATCTATAGTTCTATACTAATATTATAAAGAGGAAAGACTTGTTTATTTATTGGTATAATATAGCGATAACCTGTTTTATTTTTACTAATAGATATTTAATGATTAATTAAAGTAATATTTAGCTGATTATTTAAACTATAATAATTATTTTTTCTTAATACATATTACTTCTCGTGAAGCGAGAGCGGACGTAGTTGGTTAATGATTATATTTTGCTAACCGAAAGGATTTTCAAAGGAAACGTGGCCACCGGAGAAATTAAGATTTTAAATATCTAAAAAGATATTATATAGTTGTTAGTTGTAGTCGCTTTTTTATTTATTTTTACGGGTTTTTAATTTTTGTAAATATTTTTTTCATTCACAGATTTTTAGTTTCGGTTAGTTATACATTTTTAGTTTTATATAACCATTTCTTACCGTAAATTACTTTTCAACATATAAGTTGTTTATATTTTTATAATCGCTTTTCAAAAACCTACATCCCCCCCCCCTCCCCCAACTCGATTGATCCCGATGAAAAAAAATTTCAAGACAAATTGGCGGCTACGATATCCGCCATTTTGTTTTTTTTTAACCTCTCTAAGGACACTTGGGTTTTTGAGTCGAATCTGACAATATTTAACTGTCTCAAGCCATCCCAGCCGTTTGAAAGATATGAAGTAATAAAGAAATTTACTAACTTACATACATAGAAACATACAAGACACACTGGCAGTCGGGTAAAAAATATCCAACTCCAAAAAACTAAAATTTAGTATAATAAAATAATTTAAAAATATCATACAAATACATTAAAAACATTGCAAACAACGAATGATCTTAGAACCTAGATTGTTTTTACCAATAGCAAACACCAAACAACAGCGCTCTATTACAACAGACTTTGACGTCACATTCGGTCTGACCTGCAATGGTTTGCGTTTCAACTACCTATCTACTTTGAATTTCCCACCTATTTTTGCACTTTTCAATAATTATTTTCTTTATCAAAAAGACATTACCTTAAAAAATATTGATATAGACTTAATTCAGTAGCACTAAAGATAAAAATATCACCTTTATTTAAATCGCACGCATATTCACTATTCCGAGGGAACATACAATTACAATCGGACATACATACATATATACATACACAGGTCAAACACATCACCCTTCTTTGTACTTCGCAATCCAGTAAAAATTTACAAGAGGTAATAGTATGTAATGTATTATAATTTACTCTTCATTTTTTACCTGATCTAGTGTAGAAAAACGTACTTAAAATAATTTTGAAATAAAAATCTCCCTTTACTTCGAAGTCGATACGCATATTTTGCTATTACTTGAAAATTGTTATTTATTTGTCGATGGTGTCTTTTAAGTGGTATTAAAGTGAATCATAGTGTTATTTATACATGTATTTTTCATTAACTTCCTTATCTTATACTTTATCATCGTTGACAGTAGAGAATCTATTCAATAACGAAGTGATACTGAATTCAAACAGTCGTCTATTAAATACATGGTACGTTACGTACTTATTGTGAATAATTCGATATAATAGTGCTAAACAATATCGTCCAAAATAAAATTTTGTGAAAATTTTATACCTATTAGCTGATTTATATTTTTGATGAATATATTTCATAGTAACGGAAATTTTGATAATTTTTTTTTTTGGATAAAAATTTGATTTCACAATATTATTTTTATTTAGATTTAATAAAAGTGTGTTCAAAGTGATATAATTATCACTGGAAATATTTAAGAATGGGATTACTGTCAGAAGGAAATCCACTTTCATGGAAAGAGACAAGAACGTTAGCAGAACACGTTCGTCAACATGGGATAGAACAATTTATAAATTTATACAACAAGCTACGTGACCGTACTGGAGATGTTCTGAAATGGGGAGATGAGGTTAGATATATAGGTCATATAATTTTGGTATACGCTAAATTAATAATGAAATATATGTTGTTTTGTATCACCATTATATAGCTTCTAATTTTAATAACACATTGCTTCTATATCGATATCTAGCTTCCATAATTCATTATAATGTAATTGTGTAACAAAGTTTTTGTAGGCAAGCGCGCTTCAACCTAGACCTCATCAGTGCTTCCCAGCGATGATGTAGTAAGCGCAAGCCTATCGTTCAATAAAAAAAAGTAAAATCTAGTATACTACTAATATTATAAATGCGAAAGTTTGTGAGTATATATGGATGCCTGAATGTAAGTATAGATGTATGGATCTTTGTTAATTTTTCACGCTATATTAAGATAACACATAGGCTACTTTTTACCTCGGAAAAATGTACTGTTCCCATGGGATAGATTTGTTTTTGTTTTTCTAGAGTAATCTATACTATTATTATAAATGTGAAAGTTTAGTTAGATGTTTGGATGTTTGTTACTCCATCACGCCAGAATGGCTGAACTGATCTGGATGAGGCACAGAAGTAGATATAGTCTGGAAAAACACATAATCATATAGTACCCTACTTTTTATCCTGGAAAACTGTGCGGTTCCCGTGGGACATAACTTGCAAATTTTCTGTAAAAATCCCTATAACACTTATCCTGCCGATCATTTTAAAAATATCTACGTATCGTTAGCTACCCATCGGTACATGAAAGTTACAGAAAGAAAACCATAAAGTCAAGAGAAAATGACACAACAAAGAGACCAGGTGGAAAATTCTAACTAATTCTATTGTTAAGGAATTAAATCAGGATCAAGGTAAAAAAGACTTTTATGCAAAATAGTTAAAGATTATAATTTTTCAATAGGGTCAACAGGTAAAAAAGGAGAGTTAAACTAGAGCTGTACTATAACCCTATAACGGGATCGTTACGTATTACTAATAACCCTGTATATTTAATACGAATACACGTAACGTAGAATGTATTACGAGTATAGGATCTTAAAAATTTCATTAATCGTAAAATTTTATGTCTGTTCGAGAGGATTTATCCTTACCAGTTTCGATCAGTTCGAAAAAATACTGGCGGTGTATTTTATACGTTTTTAGTTAGTTCCACTACTGACTTAGTTAAGCTTTATAAAAATAATATGATCCTTTGAATGAAACTTGATATCTTCAAAATTTACTTTTCTTCCATTTCCCATTTGCTTCTTCCATCCTGTATAAGTAGAAGCTTGAAGCACCAAACCTTATCCACTAACTTTGAACAAACTAACATCAAAACAATTAACTAACAATATGATTTTATTATAAGTACCTACAGATAGAAAAATGTCCATTGTTGTACATAAATTGAGCACCTACATACATATTTATTTTAGGTGGAGTATATAATAGTAAAATTCGATGATGAAAATCAAAGAGCCACAGTTAGTCTAAAGTCAGAAGAGCTTCTACCTATATTGCAAGAAAAAGAAAACACTGATCCGAAAAGTATGTGTAAAATTAATTTGTCATAATCATTACTTTTTTTATATATATTTTTAAATTGTGTGCTATACCTAGTACCTACTCATAGCACACCATTTAAAAAAAAAGTAAAAACATTATTTTAACATATATCGTGCATCTCGCACACGAAGGATTTGGAAGAATTCTAAAAAAAGTATATTAAAATTAAAAGTTAAATAATTTAATGTACATATTAGTATTTGTCGACTTAAAATATTTTTTATTCATTAACAAAAATAGGTAGTGTGGCATAATAAACGAGAAACCAAGAGGAATATTGGTTTTATTTAACTGAAAGAATTCCACTAGACAAATGTAATGACTAAATTAATATTAATAAATAACAAAGTATAACAGTTGACACGTTTGGTTTTAACAACACTACGGAGATCGTATACATGGCGCGGAGGTCGCATATCACCTCATTCTCCCCCGGTTCAGTTTTCACTCTCACTCAAATCAACCACAAAGTCCGCTAGGTAGGAGGGTAATTTTCGCGTCCTATTAGACTCCTGGGGAGTCCAGTCCGAAGAACTGGCGAAGTCGTCGACGGCTCTCCTACACGAGGCGGTGACGAAGAATCGATATTTTCAGGTGGAGGTGTGGAGTTATTTTCAGATGGAAACCTGAGATTATCATCTTCGGAGGCCATTTCATAGTTATCGTCGCTGCTATTATCAGTGATACTAGGGAAAGGAGCTAATTGACGGTTTGATACCGTTGAAGTTTCTCCATTATCCCGTCTTATGAGAGAGTAGTAGGGATTGGTCTCTAAGAGCTCGGCTTCCTCGACAAGAGGGTCCGTGTTTGAAGAACGGACGTTCTTCTTAACTAAGATCGGTCCCGGCGTGAGCCAAGATGGCAGTGAATCTCCGTTCGGGGATCTTCTCGGGTATGTGAAAAGTTTTTCGTGCGGAGTAGCGTTTGTTGCCGTACACAGGAGGGAGCGGACACAATGCAATGCGTCCTTCAGAACCACTTCCCAGTTTTCCACCGATAATCCCTTTGACCGAAGGCTGAGTTGAATAGTTCACCAGAGCGTTCCGTTTAGTCGCTCCACTTGGCCATTACCCTGGGGGTTATAGGGCGTCGTCCTGGACGAGGCTATATTTGACTGTCGTAGAAATGATTTGAACTCTTCGGACATGAATGACGACCCTCTATCACTATGAATGTAGAGAGGTTGGCCAAATGTTAGAAAAAGATCTTTCAGGCAAGTAATGACGGTGGCTGAGGTCATCTCCTTACATGGGTAAGCAAAAGGAAACCGACTGTACTCATCAATAATTGTAAGTATATACTTGTTGGCTGTTTTAGATGGTAGTGGTCCTTTAAAATCTATGTTGATCCGTTCAAACGGCGACGTAGCTTTTATCAATTGACCCTTGACCTTTAGAAACCTCGCTTTTATTTCGGCGCAGGTAGGGCACGAGGCGGTCATCTCCTTCATATCATTAGCCGAGTAAGGCAAGTTTTTAGATCTTACCCAGTAATACATTCTAGTTACTCCCGGGTGGCAGAGTGCGTTATGTAGTTCTTTCAACTTGTTTATATTCATGTAAGCGCATACGCGAGATAGAGCGTCCGCAGCAGCGTTTTCAGTGCCTGGTCTATAAACTATATCGTATTTGAAGCAAGTTAGTTCTAATCGCCAACGTTGGATCTTTTCATTTTTTATTTTACTGTTATGATTTTGATTGAACATGAAGGCCACCGATTGTTGGTCAGTTATAAGAAGAAAATGTCTGCCGATCAGGTAGTGTCTCCATTTCTTTAGGCTCTCTACTATCGCACAGGCCTCTTTTTCGATTGAGGATTGTTTGCATTCCGAGTTATTTAATGTCCGAGAGAAAAAGGCAACTGGTCTTTCATGTTGAGTCAGAGTAGCCCCTAACGCGAATTCCGAAGCGTCTGTTTCGACTGTAAACATTTCATTATCATTAATGGCTACTAGAGCGGCTGCCTTGATATCTTGCTTGAGTTCTTCAAAACACTGGAGCGCTTCAGGTGTCAACAGGAAAGTAGTCACGCATGTAAGTGGCTTTATTTTTTCTGAGAAACGCGCAATCCATTTAGCGTAATGAGCAAGCATCCCTAGGACTCGTTTTAGTTCACTAGTTTTAGTTGGAGCGGGAAGCTCTAGAAGAGGTTTTAGTCTTTCCGGGTCAGGACTGATTGTATTATTTTCAACAGTATATCCAAGCAAATTGATTTTAGTCTTATTGAAAACACTCTTCCGTTCGTTTATAGTTACATGATATTTATTAGCGGCGTCCATAAAGCGTTTTAAATTGTGGTCATGATCCCTTTGATCTTTGCCGCAGACGGTTACGTCGTCTAAGTAGGCGAACGTTCCTTCTAGTCTCTCTTCTGTTATGATGAAGTCCAGAGTACGTTGAAAAACCGCAACGCCAATAGTCACGCCAAATGGAATGCGTGTAAACTGGTACAATTTGCCGCATGCTTCGAAAGCAGTATATATCTTTTCATTTTCTAAGATGGGTATTTGATGGTATGCGCTCTTTAAGTCGATTTGACTGAACACTTTGAATTTTGATACTTTGTTCACGACTGATTCTATGTTTGGCAAGGGGAAGGCATCCAGATCGGTGAATTTGTTTATGGTCATGGAGTAATCAATGACAAGTCGTTTTCGATGAACCCCTCCTCCCGCTACGAGGACTTGGGATCTCCAGGGGGAAATACTTGTTTCAATGACCCCGTCTTCAAGTAATTTAGACACTTCTTCTTTTATGAAGTCCTCATCTTCCTTACTGTAGCGCCGGCTTCTCACGGCGATCGGTCGAATGTTCGGCGACAGATTTGTAAATACGGAGGCTGGCGGCACCGAAGCTCGTAACACGTTGCATATCTCTAAAGGTTCGCCAGGCCCACCAAGATTAAAATGAATGCTCGAGTGATGTTTGAGCAAGTCATGGCCGACGATGACGTCAGCACAGAGGTTGTCGACAACTAGAAGAAGCGTTTGTTTGTAAGTATGCTTATTCATCGTAATGGTAGCAAAGCAGACGCCTTCGGCAAAGGAAACTTGATTGAGAGAAGCGAGATTGACTGTCTGCTTGCAGGGTTTTTTGTGTAGTTTCATTATGCGAGCAACACTAGCGTTAATAAAGCTGACTGAACTTCCTGTATCGACGAGTGCATCAGCCTTGTATTCGTTGACCATGATTGGAATTGTCGCACTCCTAAGGCTCAAAGGAGAGGCAGCAGAAATAGCTCCACTGTAGAACTGGTTGTTGTTAGAGGTCGTAGGATCTTCAACTGTCGTGGAGTTCAAGTTAATATTGCCCGATCTACAGACGCTTGCAAAGTGTCCTTTCTTTGAGCACTTTTTGCAGGTGGCTTTGTTGGCTGGACATCTGAACCTTGGATGAAGACTCCCGCCGCAAAAGAAGCAGGGTTTAGCCGGAGGCGGCGTGGTCGGGGCGGCTTGAAAAGTTCGTGACGATGAAGCTGCCGCTAGATTCTCGGATTCCTTGTCCCGTGAAGTACCTTGCGATATGGCGGTAAGTTGAGTAGAACTGATACCAATAGCAACTGCATCCTTCTCTGCCGTTTCCAGAGCTACGGCTTGATTAAGTGCTTCTGCGAGAGTGAGTTTTGAGTTTTCTAGTAACCCTTCGCGAATCCTTCGTGATAGTAAGCCGGATATAAGAGCACTACGAATTGTTTGGTCTTCATGCTCTTGAGCTATGACGTCTTCGAATTTACAATCTTTCGCGGAAAGTCGGAGAGCTCTAATACAGTCAGAGATCGTTTCGTCGGCTCGTTGCTTGCGATTGAAGAGAATGTGTCGAGCTAGAATAGTATTTTTCGGTTTGACATAGATGTCTTCTCGAAGTTTCATCGAATCTTTATAAGTGGAGCATGTTTTGATATGCTTGTAAATCGATGCCGATAAGTGATTAACTAGCAGCTTACGCTTAAGGGAGTCTGGTACATCGTCGGTAATCTCTTCTGCTAAGAAGCTTTCAAATGTCGATTTCCAGTGTACCCATTTTTCATCGGCGTCCGCGACATCAGGCTCGATGTCAAACTTATCGGGTCGCAGATATCTCGACAGCGAAGGCATGCCTAGTTTTTCATCAGGCATTTTCAGTTAAATAAATTGTGGCATAATAAACGAGAAACCAAGAGGAATATTGGTTTTATTTGACTGAAAGAATTCCACTAGACAAATGTAATGACTAAATTAATATTAATAAATAACAAAGTATGACAGTTGACACGTTTGGTTTTAACAACACTACGGAGATCGTATACATGGCGCGGAGGTCGCATATCACCTCAGGTAGCTACTATGATTTGAATTTATAAGTATTATTTTTAATATCATTGGGTATGTATGAACTTTATAAAAATCCATACTTAATATAATAAATGTGAATTTTTTTTGGTTGTCCTTCTTTCACGTCAAAATAGAGTGACGGATTGGCGTAATTTTTTGTGTAAAGAGGGCTGGAGATCATATCATTTCCCACGGGAAAATACGTTATAATACAACCCAAAAAATTATTTATGATCAGAATTAGTTGCATCTTGGCATTAATGCTCTTCAATACCACTAAACAAGCGTGTTTTCGCATTGTTCGAAATTCTATAAGGAGGTAAAATAGGGGATCATTTTTATCGTGCGAATCCGCGGGTTCTGTTAGTATAAAATAAAACTATAATAGCAATAAGTATATAAACCAACGTCTAAAATAAATTGGAAATGCCTATTTGTAATGTCAAAATAACAGCTTTTTATCAAACGCATTAAGAAATACCTACCTTTAAGGTATTTCTTACATAAAAGAAAAACACAACTTTTAAAATTTTCGTCTGCCTGTTCCGACTAATCTCCGAGGCACAGACGGACGGACTGACGTTTTGACGGCAATTTCACTGGCAGATAGCTGATTTTATAAGGAATAAGTTAGGCTACTTTTATTTTAGAAAAAGAATTAAGGGTTCCGCTGAAAAAAATTAAAACGTACCCTAGGAACGCATCCGAGTGAAACGAGGGTAAGTCGCTAGCCCAGCATGTGTTTAAATAATGATGAAATATTCCATTATTAGATATATGTATACATAGTAGGTATGCAATTATAAACATGTAAATAAAACATGCAAGTCATTCTAATCTTATGTCAGTGAGTGTTATCGCCGAGTCATGCTAATGCAGAATTGGTTCTAAGTTCTAACATATTGTGGTAAGAATTCTAAATAGAACTTTATTATCATGTCCGTACGTATTAAAGCAGTAATAATTTTTTACATACTTTATTACATTCTACAAACAGTGAGCGCTTATTCGTTATGTGCAATTATAGAGCTCGAAAAAAGATGGTTACGATTGATAAGATTCATTATTAATTATTATATTGATGACTTAAGATATATATAAAATTATCAATAAAAATATAGCTTCTGTTAACTGTTAGACTTAAATTATATATATATATATATATATATATATATATATATATATATATATATATATAGTTAAGAATATATGACATTACAAAGTAAACATGAGATGGGGATTTTTTTATATTTAGGATATAATGAGAAAGAAAAAATTTAATTACTAAAATTCAAAAACCCAACAGCGTAAAAAAAGTTCTAAAAAGATTGGAGGAACATATAATTCATTATATAGTCGGAGGCATACATCATACGTCATGTTCTATCCTTGATGCGAGTCACATACCTATATGTTTCATATTAATGTACAGATTTGACTCAGTTAAAATTTTATTATATGTATAGATGACACTCACATTTTCAAGGCGTAATTAATGACGTATGAATCATTAAAATCGATTAAGCCTTTTAGTATTTACGAGGGAACGTAGGATCGGACATACATACACACATACATACAGGTCAAACACATAACCCTCCTTTGGGCTTCGCAGTTGCCGGGTAAAAATAGATCCAATCTTCATACATATTATGATCTATACTATTACCTAATTATAATAAAGCAGTTAGCGAAATCTGTACATGAAATGTTTTTTATAAACAATGACTCTGTAACGTATTATGTTCACAATATAGACCCCAAAACAATAGTTTTAAATTTTTTGTCTGTATGTTTGTTTGTGTGTGCGCGTTTCACGCAAAAAGTAATGAACCGATTCCAACGAAAAGTGAAGTGATAAATTATCACTCGGGTCTACATTTAGGATACCTTTTACTTCAAGAAAATCTTTCTTTCCCACGGGAAAACACAATAACTGGTTTTATCGAGTCCTTAGAAATCTTCCGCTGGCTAAACCTTAAGACTTAAATCAAAACAATATACTTAAAAATTTTAGGTATTGAAAAGGCCTACAGAAAAATCTGCAGCAGTATAGGTATGTCTATCTTCTAAAGTACATCGCAATACCTATTCTTATCTATACCTATAATAAAACTAATTTAGCCCAATCGATGTGCCCGTTTCACGCAAAAAGTTAAGTTATTTATAATACTTACCTACTTTTCTATATCTACGAGTATTTATGTACATTGTAAATACATATATGTATATATAGTCTATTCTATACTTACCGTTAAAACGTACCTGTTGACGAACCCGAGCGAAGCAAGGGTGAGTCGCAAGTATGTAAATAAAAATAAAATTCGATTAAACTTCATTATTCAATATTTACAAAATAAATAATAATTGATTTGGTAATCTTTAGTTTCCTTTATTCTTCGTTAATAATACTTTAAACATTTTTATATTGATAATTTGTAGATGCGAAGTCACTTTGGCGTCCAGAATTCGGTTCTTATATGATTGAAGGAACGCCAGGGAAACCATACGGAGGTCTACTCGTACATTTTAATATAGTAGAGGCAAACATGAAAAATCGCCGAGCTGAAGCTAGTGGTCTCTTAAAAGATGGTGAAGTTTTAATGAGTATTACAAACTTTCCTAGGTATGTATATTATAACATTTTTACTTTTGCCTTAAATATAATAAAATAAATATAAAAAGTTAAGATCCAAATATGTATAATTTTGTTCTTTTAGACTAGGCTGTCCAAAGTTCACCAGTCCACCATATACCCCGACGCCGGATAAAGGTGTAACGAGGTCATATTTCTTTCCTGATGAGGGAATATTTCATGGACATCCGCGTTTCAAGACACTAACTTCAAATATACGGAAAAGAAGAGGAGAAAGACTGGCGATAAATGTTCCAGGTACAAGCCACGAGGCACTCATAAATTCTTTAAACATTAAAATCTATACATATAAGAACAGATACAAGTTTCAGTTTACAAACGAATAGAAATCAATAATTTACATTGATTTTGTAGTTTTTCGGGATACAAACACTAAGATTCCAGTGGACGATTCACACAAACTCGCACCAGGGATAGCGCTGCCAGACTGCGTGTATATGGATACTATGGGTCTCGGCATGGGCTGCTGCTGTCTGCAAGTAACCTTCCAGGCTTGTGGCATATCCGAGGCTCGCACTCTTTACGACCAACTGGCACCATTGTACCCCATCATGGTGAGTTTATTCAGTGTAAAGATGCAAGTTACCGACATGTACCGAAGACGTGACTAACTGTTGCGTGTCCCGCAGCTTGCGCTCTCTGCCGCGGCGCCGATCTTCCGCGGCTTCCTCACCGACGTGGACTGCCGCTGGAACGTGATCTCCGCGTCGGTGGACTGTCGCACGCGCGAGGAGCGCGGCCTCCACCCGCTCAAGAATAATAAGTTTTGTATCTCTAAGTCCAGATACGACTCCATCGACTCCTACCTCTCGCCTGAACATGAAATGTAAGTTCGAGAAATAAATATCTGGTGGTGTACTGGCCTGGAAGTTGTTCTTTTGTGTTTTTTTATTCTTTACTTAAATACAAAGTGGCTTAACATTGGTGATCCCCGGAGCGGTCGATGACACTCGAAAATGTAACTCTTAAAAACATCCTTCCTTATCGAAACTCTAAAACGTCGAAACATTTGTATAGTTGACTGTCCCCTAAACAGGAAGTACCAACAAAAATATAAGTTTTTCTCAGGTATCACTTCCAAACAGGCAGGGTGCCATGCAAGGCAAGAAAACTCAGATTGTTTCCATTTCGCGAAAGGACCAGGGTGGACCGCCTCCACCCTTAGACACGCCCCTGTAAATACACACATTATAATATACTCATAATTTATTGGTTGTAGATGATATCCAGAATAATATACACTTCTCAAAATATACCATATGTATGTAGTTCACGCACTCCTATCGACATGGACTATCTTGAAATAGATTCTATTAACTCTTAGATTATTCGTTGCAACTTGTGCGTCCGTTTTCAGCAGGTACGTCTTCTTGTAATCATCATTTAATAGCAATTGGTATGGAAAGAATCGCTTAGGCACGCAAAGATAAGCGAGTCATTAATGTAATTTTTTAATATGAATCAATTTTAAATAAAACTATCTTTTCGGATTTTTTCGCGAATTTATTTTGATTTTTGGTTCCCGACGTTTCGAATGCTTTACAGCATCCATGGTCACGGGAGAGACTGAGGTGTTACATGTCTTGAAGTTGTTACAGACAGCCTACCCACAATTAACAAAATGAAAATTTCACCAATTACATTACAATATTTTTTAACTTTAAAACATTTTTATAATTTTAATTATAATTGAATATGGAATATTATTTATTTAATTTTGGTATTATTATTGTAATTATTACAATTTTAAAAATATTAATTAGTAATCTATATTTAGTGTTGCCATTATTATATTTATAACCATAAAGAAAAATATAAAATATAGTATTAATTATTTAAGCCATATAATTGTTCTGTGTAATTTAAAAAGTTAAAATTAATTAAGGATAATAATTTTAATTTAGTTTGCTATTATTTAAAAACAACTTACTAAGCAACACCATTACTATATACTTTTACAAATGAAAAAGGAAAAATATTAATCTATAAGCTGTCATTTTGATCTACACAGTAAGAACTTAGTTATATTTTAAATAAAACTATCTTTTCGGATTTTGTCGCGGATTTATTTGCATTTTTGTTTCCCGACGTTTCGAATGCTTTACAGCATCCATGGTCACGGGAGAGACTGAGGTGTTACATGTCTTGAATGTATAGTTGTTACAGACAGCCTACCCACAATTAACAAAATGAAAATTGCACCAATTACATTACAATATTTTTTAACTTTAAACATTTTTATAAATGAATATAATGAATATAATAAAATAAAATATATATATATTTCTTTTAGTATCATCAATACTAAAAGAAATTATAGATTTAATTCCTCTGTACAGTGGTGATAAAAGACAGCTAAATCTTTATTTAAGAGATGATGCAGCTGCGCTCTTGTCTGAACGAGAGGACATTGTTACATGGTCCACATTAAAAGCCTTGTTAATCCAACATTTTGGAGACCCTCGCAGTGAAGAGTGCATTAATATCGAGTTAGAATCTTTAAAAATTAATCCAGGTGAAACTTTTCTTAATTTTTGCTAATAGCATATAAGGTGTTCGGTCGCTATTAATTTCGAAGGTGATTTCCATTCATAATTCAGATTTAAAACTTGCGAATTCAATTATCTATAGACTATAGTAATACAGCTCTAAACGTGTTTTTATATAACCTCCTGGAAAATGTAGTGTAATAAAAATAATAACTGGTAATCTGGATCACGATGATGTGGTTAAGTACGACGGACTTATCCCTAATTTAAATCATAACCAAATTATTATTTCAAAGAAACTGACAATAGTCTCTAAAATGTTTGATAGTTTCATTAATGTAACTGAAACAATGAACCAGAACTCTGTTCACTTTCATAATCGTTTATATCATTTAAAGTTATTTTTTAATCTTAATCTGTAAGCTTGGTATACCAACAGAAACAAATTTAGTAAAAAAAAAAATAGAGGAAAGCATTTGAATAAAATCATATATTAAAGACAATCAGATAACATTTGTACTGGAAATACCAATTACAGATAACTCAACGTATAATTATTTTAAGATATATTCATTAGCAATTTGTCATGAACCTGAAAACAAAACTCTAGCCATATTCCTAAATATCCTTACCTTTTGGCGAAATGATTAAAGTACCTACCACTTGTTAAATCATGTCGTTCATTGTCAACCAGCGATCAATTCCTATGCACTGCAGACAATCGAGCTTTATATTATGAACATACCTGTATAGAACAGCTCATGACGACCTGACTCCCATAAGCAGCATCAGGTCCAGATCAATGAAGTTAAGATTCAGCAGGTCAATTCAGTTGGCTGGCTCCTCTACAGTACAAAACACTGACCAGGCAACGCGGCCATGAGATCAGTAAGCAATTTCTATTTGGCACTTACCTGATGACTATCGATGAACCCTGTGACCTGGAGATTCATGGAGTTCGCTTCCACCATAGAACTAATAGAATCTAATAGAATCAAATGTCATTAAGAAGATTCCAATTATAACACTACCTACTATTCAAAACGGATATGACTCTATCTTTTTTTTTTAACGTTGGGAAATGCATTTACGCACGAGGTGTGGGACTCACCGGCAAAGCCAGTACTACCCACTAAAACCCAACAAAGCCTTCCCCCGTCTTAATGGAGCGTCGCAGGATCGCTTACGCATTCAACCACGACGCCCCGACGGCAGGTCTGCCAAAGCAGACCACAACAACCACGGGGTTGCTCCAAGGTCCACTCTGCTATCAGAGAAGTACCAGGAGCAACCCGCATGGTACACCGCCCTCCGAAGAGGGCCACCTCCCACCGCCCACCGAAGTGGGCCACCTCCCTGTGCATTTCTTGGCTTCGCGCCCGGTTGGGTTGCCGGGCACTACTGAGCCCCCCCACCACGACAAGGTGAACGCACGTTGAGGGGGATATGACTCTATCTAGCTCAAGTGTACTCAACATGAAAGGAATTAATTTTGATAAAGTGAAATATATGGCCTTTTCGTTGAAACAGTGCGGTAATTAAAAGTGTTTTAAATAATTAGAAAGACAATAAAATCAGTGAAATTTTAGGTTACGTAACATTTGTTTTAATAGTTTTAAGTCTTTTTATCTTAATATTTTATATAATTTGGCTAAAATCTCCAATATGTTTATCATTTAAGCAAAATTATCGGAAAGAATCTCAAATCGATCCCTCCGATAATTTTCCTCTTAGGGATGGAGGAGTTATAGTTACACCTCGTCCATCCGCTTTAGATTAAGATTTACTTAGAATAAGAGAGACGCAAACTCAGCGTCTCGTCGGCCCACCCGGCTTCCGCCGGCCGAGTATGTATTCAGACAATAAAGGAGTCTCAAATCGGCTACATGTGTCTCATTTAGTTTTTTTTTTTTTTATTAATTTAAGTCAGTATAAATAGTTTTCGAAACGCTCCGAAACCAAAAGTACTTACTACATCTACCTGTCTGTTATGTTTATATTTATTATTTGATTTTATTATATTAATAACAGGATGGATCTCTTTGTTTGTCCGATGTAAGAGAGCCCACAAGATTGTGGGCTCTCTTACATCGGACAAACAAAGAGATCCATTAGAACCCGGGTCAAAGAACACATAGCTGATGTGAAGCACCGTCGCAATACAACATCTGCTGTCTGCAAACATAGTCAGGACCGCCCAAGCCATTATATTCGCTTCGATAGACCTCAAATCCTGGCGAAAGAAAACCGATATCGCCCTAGAATGATTCGAGAAGCCATAGAAATTAAAAAACATGCTAATTTCAATAGGGAAGATGGCTGGGTACTACCATCGTCATGGGATCCTGTTATTAATATAATAAAATCAAATAATAAATATAAACATAACAGACAGGTAGATGTAGTAAGTTCTTACTGTGTAGATCAAAATGACAGCAGATCAGATTAATATTTTTCCTTTTTCATTTGTAAAAGTATATAGTAATAGTGTTGCTTAGTAAGTTGTTTTTAAATAATAGCAAACTAATTTAAAATTATTATCCTTAATTAATTTTAACTTTTTTAATTACGCATAGAACAATTATATGGCTTAAATAATTAATAGTACCTACTATATTTTATATTTTTCTTTATGGTTATACATATAATAATGGCAACACTCAATATAGATTACTAATTAATATTTTTAAAATTGTAATAATTACAATAATAATAGCAAAATTAAATAAATAATATTCCATATTCAATTATAATTAAAATTATAAAAATGTTTTAAAGTTAAAAAAAATATTGTAATGTAATTGGTGCAATTTTCATTTTGTTAATTTGTGGATAGGCTGTCTGTAACAACTATACCTTCAAGACATGTAACACCTCAGTCTCTCCCGTGACCATGGATGCTGTAAAGCATTCGAAACGTCGGGAACCAAAAAAATCAAAATTTATTCGCGAAAAAAATCCGAAAAGATAGTTTTATTTTAAATGTCAAGTATTCGCGTAAATCTAAGAAAGTATTATGAATCAATTTTTAATTAATAATTGTATAATATATTGCAGATATAACGATATACCCATAATATACGACCCAGCAATCTACCGACGTCTGCGCGAGGGAGGCATCGACCATCATTTAGGTTGCATGTCGCGCATCTTTTTATACGAGATACCATTTCTTTATTCTCAGAGAAAGTCCACCAGGATGATTCTAACGATACAGATCACTTCGAGGTAATGTTCAAAACAAGTTCGTGAAATTACTATCTTTTACGGATTTTTGCTCCCAACATTTCGAGGGCTTTACAGCAATCATGGTCACGGGGGAGACTAAGGTTTAATGTACCACACGTTTAGACGTCTCAAAAGTAATTATACATATAGCTGATACTGACGGTATCTACCTACAAAATTTTGCAATATTTTTTAAGAAATAAAAAGTGAGTAGTAAAGTGCAATATTTGTTAATCTCAAATTTAAAAATCTTAATCACTTTAATAACTTATATAAGTACTTAGTAGATATTATTTAATTTTGGTCGCTACTATTATAATTCTTACAATTTTTGTAGGTGTACTAGGGGAGTAACTCGCGTGTATTGACATTAAGGGAATAAAGGATAAATGGTTCAAGGAGGTAGTTGTTACGTTCTCACGTTCTCAAAACATTTCTTTCGAAAACATGAATCGAATCTTTTGAGTTCACTGTTCATTGGCAGAACATCCAATCGACAAACTGGCAGACGATGCGCTTCAAGCCGCCGCCGCCCAACTCGAGCATCGGCTGGCGCGTGGAGTTCCGCCCGTGCGAGGCACAGCTCACGGACTTCGAGAACGCCGCCTACGTGTGCTTCGTGGTGCTGCTCACGCGCGTCATCCTCTCCTACAAGCTCAACTTCGTGATGCCCATCAGCAAGGTGAGTCCCGAGGAGGAGTAGCAAGGAGGAGCGTAGTGTGGCGCAGTCTGACGCGGTGTGGTGGTGCGCAGGTGGACGAGAACATGCTGCGCGCGCAGCGGCGCGGCGCGTGCACGCAGCAGCGCTTCTGGTGGCGGCGCGACGTGGGCGCGCCCGGCGACGTGGCGCCGCACGCGCCCGACGCGCGCGACCAGTACCTCGAGCTGACCGTGCACGAGATCGTCAGCGGCAAGGAGGGCGTGTTCCCGGGCCTCATCCCGCTCATCGAGTCCTACCTGTCCGGCATGGACGTGGACGCGGACACGCACTGCACCGTGCAGCAGTACCTCAAGCTCATCCAGCGCCGCGCCGCCGGCGAGATCGCCACCATGGCCACCTGGATGCGCGAGTTCGTCACCGCCCACCCGGACTACAGGTGCGTATACACACACACCCCTGCCCACTGTACGCTGTGCGCGCCATTCACTTCACTCGCACGTTGCTCGTGTCGCAGGAGAGACTCGGTGGTGACGGAGAGGATCAACTACGACCTGCTCAAGACCGCGCACGGCATCCAGACAGGCGCAGTCCCCGCGCCGCGGCTGCTGGGCGGCAGCAGCGTGTCCAAGACCAACGACGACATTCCCAACGCCTTCCGCAGGATGATCAGCAAAGAGTGTTAATTAAAAAAACAAGTTTAACCTATTTTAAATATTATATTCTTGTTTAACTACAAATCTCGCGACAAGCTTTTATATCATACTAGCATTGCCCGCGGCTCCGCCCGCGTTCAGATGACCAAAAACAAAATTCTTAGATTTTACATATTAGTATACTCTTATATTGGAGTTTTTGTATTTTTTCTCAGAAATGAGATATTTTTCGGCGGTAAAAAGTATCCTATATGTTGACCCGGATAACCAACTACCATCATACTAAATTTCATTAAAATCCCTCCAGTGGTGTTTCCATGATGCGGTAACAGAGATAGACAAGACATACAGACAGACAAAATTTCTAAAAACTATAGATTCGGCCTCTGTATTCTTCCTTCGGCCTTCCGGCTTTCGGGCTTTCGGCCTCTGTATCCTTCCTTCCTGTACATTTTCCAAAAAATATTAAATGTCTTTAATGTTTTTAATATTTAATGTTTTTAATTTTATTATATGTATAGATAAATTGTGTAATGTAATAAATTAATAGGTTTACAATGACGTCACGTTGCTTTGTATTTCGCTCATCAAGCCCTTTCATTTGATGCTATTATCATATGGGTCACTATGAAAATGATAAATTGTCATTTCGTAACGTCCGCCATGTTGGATAAAAAATGGCGGCATATAAATAATCGTGCATTGTACCGGGATTCGTGAACCAAACTAGTTTGTCAAATTTCAGCTTAATCGGACTCTGGGAAGTAGGTCAAAACTTACAAGATTCCATTACACAAACCGGGATGAAACTAAATAAAAGCTTATAAAATACAGCGAAGGTTAATTTGCACTTAATGAAACAAATTGAGTAATTTTAACCGTTTTGAACTGTGATACACTATTTATAAAATGTAAACAGTGTCATCTATGGTTATTGCAATATAATCTACTAGTCAGTGCAATTAGTCATTATAAATGAAAAATAGCGGAACACAGTTATAATGAATGAATTTTAATGATTTTTTTCTTTTCTTGGGTTTTTAATATCATGGACTAAAGAATTTGTATTCAGCTCTTTTTTAACGTCCCATTGCTGGGCACGGGCCTCTCTTCCATACGAGGGGGATCAGGCCATAGACCACCACGCTGGTCAAGTGCGGGTTGGCTAAAAAGTTTACCAAACACTTTACCTATAATTACAGTCAGGTATAACGTTGCCAATACCAATTTATCAAATTCCCCGAAAATCTAACTCAAATTCCTCAATTTGGGGACAAAAATATATTGATTCCCCTCAAAATAATTAAAAAAAAACAAGTTTCAAATGAATAAAAAAGATTAGACTATGATTGAGTTCCATTTTTTGTTTTATTAGCTTAAAATCATTTTTTTTTTCTGAAAAAAATAATAAATAAAACTCCAAAACTATTATATTGAGTTTAAAGTCAGAACTTATTACTAGGAGTGATTTAAGTTATTAATTATTACTAGTGAAGATATTTGGACATTTTTTTTGAATTTGGAAAATTTATATTATTATATAATTTTATTTTTAACACTGTTTTTTGTATAGTTTAAATTAAAAGCTTAATCGGCTAGGACGTGGAACCTATAGTAGGGGAGCCCAAGAGGGGATTTTCTGTAGTTACTCACGGCAGATTAACATAAAAGAGGTTACCTTGCACTCTATTGAGTACTTTCACCATAATATAAGTCTTCTATATAAAGGGGCGCGTCTAGGGAAGTCGATTAAAATATTTAAAAAATGTTTTGATAAGGTAGAAATACTTGAAACCGTCAGATTAAGGTGTGGTAGGCTAGTCACATCCTGAAAAGTGTCCAATTTAATAATCTGCCGATTTGTGTTAATCTGCCGCGCTCGAGTAACTACAGAAAATCCCCTCTTGGGCTCCCCTACTACTATTTCCGATTTTTGTTATTTATTTAAGGTTTAAGTGTTCGGACCCGGTAGGACTATCCATATTCACAATTGCCGCATTTTCCCCGCATAATGCCATTCCCGTACATAAATCCCCAATCGACTAAAGATTTCCCGCAGTTTGGGGAATTGGCAACACTGGTCAGGTACCCACTGTTATAGATATTGGGTCACAGCAGCGCTATGTCTGAAATTGATAATCGTTTAGAACCACGAACAAGCTATCAAAGAGATTATAATTTATAGGTAGTAATTTTAGTAGCTTTTAACTTTAGTACTGTTGAATGTTGATTGAGGAATCAGTTTAACTGGTAGCCTTGCACTAAGTCAAAAGTGAACTATATTTTAATCTAATGATAATTAAAACTACCAAAATACCAACACTAATGTACTGCTGGTAAGATAGGCTTTTATTTAACTTCACAAGAAGGGCGAGGCCTTTAACACGAGACAAATTACATATTTATAATTTACCAAATACTTTTAGAGAGCTATGGTTTGGTTCCATAGCGCGATTCAGAGTAACGTAAAATGAATAATTTAAATATTAACTTAATGGCTTTAAGTTTGGTGGTCTCTAGTTGGTATTTGGTTTGTATTGTTCACGAACCAGTACTAATCTAAAATATCATCATCAATGTCATACACTAATATACCTACTCGTTATACGTTTATGGCGTAATAATCATTAGCTGCACTTAACTGATTTCCATTACGTACGTAGGAATAGGAATTAGGAAATTTGGAATTTGAATTAAAAACAAACAGATAATAAATAAACACAAAATTTGGTTTATTTTAAGTAGTTCCCCGTAATGATTAACAAATACTAATAATAGTTAACGTATTATATAAAGCTACGATTGTGATACTATAAACTAATTTGATTCTTTACAATTTAAGCCTCTGTCTAATCTTAACAATACATTGTATATTTTTATATGGTTAGGCGTCAGCGCATAAATTAACTCCCATAAGTTTCCGTTACAGGAAAGAATAATAAAAATATATATACGAGGTATGATCCAAAAGTAAAGTGACATTTTGAATTTCGCGGGATATCTACGGACGATTTTCGTTTTAAATATGTTAAAACGTTCACAGTTTCAGCTATATAGCATTTTCTGTTTGTTTGTGAAAGGCATAAACGTAAGAAGTGTTTTGTGTGTTCGACGATTTTCTGCAGTCGGAAAAAAATTATCAAAGAAATTGCAACTAATTTTGTGCAAACAATTGAAGTGCTTTTAAACACTTGACATATTCATAGTGGCATATGGTGAGTACTCTGAGTAAAAAAATATATTTATAACTGGTACAAGCCAATAAGAAGACCGAGAAGATATTAACTACAAAAGTCGCCCTGGACGCCCTAGCACGTCAACAACTGATGAAAACGTTGAAGAAGTAAAGAAAATATCGTTGTGGAATTCTCGAATCACCATTACTGAAGTTGCTGATGATTTCAGCATCTCGTTTGGTTCGTGTTAAGCAATTATAACGAATGTTTTGGGAATGAGACGTGTTTGTTGCGAAACTGCTTATTTTTGACCAAAACAGACCACCGCACAAGCGCAGGACCGGCCTTAGCCATGTGGGCGCCCCGGGCGAGTCATGCCTTTGGCGCCCTTTAAGGTATATTTATTTTATTACAATTAAAAAAAAACGTGTATGTAGAATTATTTAGTTAGAGATACGATAAAACGCTGAGCCTACTTTTCCTTTAGATCTATAAAAATAAATATTCAAATTAAATGGTGAAGTTGAGCTGGCGCACGCGGCGCCCTGTATAACCTGGCGCCCGGGGCAGCCGCGCCAGTCGCCCCCCACGCCAAAGCCGGCACTGCACAAGCGTCGCGTCGCTCGGGAATTGTTGAATGACGTCAATGACAATTTTGATTTGCTCAAAAGGATCATAACTTTCCTATTCCCAAAACTGAATAGACCCATGAAAAGACGGAGATTTGCAACGATTAAGGAGAAAAAGGCTGCATCGCTGGAAGAGTTGGCACAAGTGTATTATGTCGGAGGAGGATTATTTTGTAGGTGACAATATAAATATTGAATGATTACATATTTAACAAAATTAACTCTAATACTTTCTTAGATTTACGCGAATGTTTGACATTTGGCATCCATGGTCACGGGAGAGACTGAAGAATTTTTAAACATTTTTAAAAATGTTTAAAGTTAAAAATATTGTAATGTAATTGGTGCAATTTTCATTTTGTTAATTGTGGGTAGGCTGTCTGTAACAACTATATCTTTAAGACATGTAACACCTCAGTCTCTCCCGTGACCATGGATGCTGTAAAGCATTCGAAACGTCGGGAACCAAAAATCAAAATAAATCCGCGAAATAATCCGAAAAGATAGTTTTATTTAAAAATTAACTCTAAATTGGATATTGAAACGACGCGGCAAATAAAATTAAGATAAAAATTGCAAGTGTCGTAGAAGACGATCTTGTGCTGGTTATCGCACCTCGGGTTATTTGCACGACGTCGGTAAACAACGGCGTTCCCAAAGAGGGTTGATGTCAGGCAGGCGGCCGGTCGTAAAACTTTTGCCAAAACCGATCAGCAGTATGGTAGACGTACTGCGCCGACCCCAAGTAATTTGGGAAATGGGCAGGAAGAAGAAGAAGAATATAAATATTGATGAAAAAAATTTGTTTTTTTGATAAAAATAAAAAGTGACATCACTTTTTGATCGCGCCTCGGGAAAAGAATGCCAGCGCCTGTAAGTCAAGTCTGGCGGTTGTTTGTGTGAGGCATAATTGAATTTTAGAACTGTAAGAGTATATTATATGGTGGAACAGAGTTTTTACCTATTAACCAGTAAGAATCTGGTTAATAGGGAGCTTATAGTATTTTCATAAAATTGTGGATTTTGAAAGAGTTTTAAATATGGATGACAGAAAGAACTTTTGGTAAATTGGAAACGTAACCAGATAAAATTTGAACAAACGTCGGAAAAACTGAGATTTCTTTTTCTCGGAAAAAAGGGTAGGTTAGGTTGGAACTGTAACAACGACGGACGAGCCGAACTAGCAAAGCGAGCGTGATGCTATAGCGGCCAGCGAGTGCCATAAGCAACTAAAACTGTTAGAAAAAAATATATAAAATAGATTATTAATGTAATTAATTCTGTGTCAGTTATCAATTTGTCTAAATTGAGTAGATATTATTATATATATATGTACATATAATGATTGGATTGCATGTATAATATCCGATTTATTACTTTTGCTGTAACGTCGTAGTGTTATAAATTTACAATGAGAAGATATGCAATCTAGTCATAATATCGTTATGGTAAAAATTCGAGTCATACATTTTTATTTCAAACGTTATCTATACTAAAATTGTTGGAATATTACCTGTAGAGTAAAATTTTATTATTTACGACTATTTATTGTCACACCCAATTATGGAATATTACATTTGTTATTATAAAAATATTTAATAAATTCAGTGTAGGAATTTTTTAATATAAATTTATAGTAGTCATTTTTATTCTCATTAGGTATGTACCAAGTCTTCGTGTCTTATCCTACCTTACATGTATTTTTCGTTATAAGGATTTGGTCCGTTAACATAATTACAATAATGTTAAAGCTAAATATTAAATAACCTCATCATGTCTATTATCTAAAAATATTATTATAATAAATCATTGGATTTAAAATGCAAATTGATGACCAATATAATCACTTTTAATTATAGCTTATGTTATGAAAATATATTATACAGTGAAATCATTTCATTGTAAACAAGCACGTGACAGGCGGCACGTCCGGTTCACGAAAAACAAATATTGCGGTACCTTTTAAATTATTTTAGTTGCTTGATTTTGTGATTATTTACATAAAAAACACACCTAATTTTAACGGAATGAAATATGTAAAATCTATATGAAAACCCTAAAATTAACCTATATGTGAACTTGTTTTCGAATATTTCTCAAATGTTGAGTATGTTCTTATGTATCAGTATAACGAGACTAAACTTTAACAATGTATGTATTAATAATTTTGTGATTATACATTTATTTTAAGAATAAACAATATTAAAAGTCAATTAGCAATCAAAAAAGTCAAAAAAACTTAAAAATAAACTCGCAAGATTTCTAGTCAACTACAACAAGGCACTACTCGCGAGGAGACGAGAGTGGAGAGAGGGCGCAATTAGGGGCAGTCCTTGCTGATCATCCTGCGGAAGGCGTTGGGAATGTCGTCGTTGGTCTTGGACACGCTGCTGCCGCCCAGCAACCGCGGCGCGGGGACGGCGCCCGTCTGGATGCCGTGCGCGATCTTGAGCAGATCGTAGTTGATCCTCTCCGTCACAACCGAGTCTCTCCTGCGACACGAGCAACGCACGAGTGAGGTGAGTGGCGCGTACAGCGTACAGTGGGCAGGGGTGTGTGTGTGTATACGCACCTGTAGTCCGGGTGGGCGGCGACGAACTCGCGCATCCAGGTGGCCATGGTGGCGATCTCGCCGGCGGCGCGGCGCTTGATGAGCTTGAGGTACTGCTGCACGGTGCAGTGCGTGTCCGCGTCCACGTCCATGCCGGACAGGTAGGACTCGATGAGCGGGATGAGGCCCGGGAACACGCCCTCCTTGCCGCTGACGATCTCGTGCACGGTCAGCTCGAGGTACTGGTCGTGCGCGTCGGGCTCGAGCGGCGCCACGTCGCCGGGCGCGCCCACGTCGCGCCGCCACCAGAAGCGCTGCTGCGTGCACGCGCCGCGCCGCTGCGCGCGCTGCATGTTCTCGTCCACCTGCGCACGCACCACGCCACGTCAGACTGCGCCACACTACGCTCCTCCTCACTACTCATCCTCAGGACTCACCTTGCTGATGGGTATCACAAAATTGAGCTTGTAGGAGAGGATGACGCGCGTCAGCAGCACCACAAAACACACGTAAGCGGCGTTCTCGAAGTCCGTGAGTTGTGCCTCGCACGAGCGGAACTCCACGCGCCAGCCGATGCTCGAGTTGGGCGGCGGCGGCTTGAAGCGCATCGTCTGCCAGTTTGTTGACTGGATGTTCTGCCAATGAATGGTCAACAAGCAAATTTCATTCAATATTTTCTACTGATTTCACTCTTTATATTACCCAAATATCATTGAATATTTAAAAATTATATAAATTATAAAGTTGGTACTCGAGATCTGTTTTTGGGCAGCTTTGCAGGTTCGGTTACATAAGTTGACTGACTCCGCCGGGGAACTAATATCCTCCAGTCACTACATAGAATATCGACGTAACAACGTAATAAATACTGCAAATCCTTATTCTCATTAGCTCTTTTCCCTACCATCTTTAAACTCAATATCATTGTAATGTCAAAGTTTGCCCTGAAATTGGAACGATTCATAAGGCTAGTTTCGCTTACTATCAAGCAGTAACGCTATGTGTATGTTTGCTTACTATCTTCGTGGTAAAAAAAATCATATGATCATGTACAGTATAAAAATAAATTAAACGAACTTATTTTGAACATTACCTCGAAGTGATCTGTATCGTTAGAGTCATCCTGGTGGACTTTCTCTGAGAATAGAGAAATGGTATCTCGTATGAAAAGATGCGCGACATGCAACGCTAAAGGATGGTCGATGCCTCCCTCGCGCAGACGTCGGTATATTGCTGGGTCGTGTATTATGGGTATATCGTTGTATCTGCAATATATTTTGCATCCATGTGATCCAGTGATGATTCAGCCAACTTAAAAAAGGTAATTAAAGATTCTACTACTCGACTTATCTACATACAATTTTATTCATTAACTAGCGACTCGCCCGATAAGTTTTAACGTTTAGTATTAAGTATAGATTTCTCAGAGATGAGATATTTTCCCGCAGTAAAAAGTATCATTTATGTTGACTTAGATAACCAGCTATCATCATACCAAATTTCTTTAAAATCTGTTAAGTGATTTTCTCGTGATGCGTTCCCAGACAGACAGACAAACAAAAATTTTAAAAACTACAGATTCGGCCTCTGTATCGATAATAAGACAATTTTAATAAGATTTTCTAAAAAAAAATTATTATTTAATGTCGTCTATCAAAAAAGTACTAGATACGCAGTCCAATATATTGCGAAACAAATGAAATTATTTTCAATAAACATATGTAGATATAGTCAAATGCAAGAATTATTCGAAAATAAATTACATACAGTGTTAATGAATGGAACCTTACGAGCTTTTATCGAAAATCGTTGATGATTTCGCTGAACATTAATGGTTTTTATAATAATAATAATAATAATCTTTTATTCAAGTGACCAGTGACTCATTATGGTTAGTAAACAATAATTCTTAGAGGCTAGGTTAGTAATATTAATACATATTTTTTTTAAATTAATGTTACAATACAGACGAATCACCGCTGCACCATTCCGTTTGCAACGGCACAGCAACGATTCATGTATATGCAATCCAGTCTATTTGCTATCATGCTCAGAATTCTGTTGGTACTACCCCGTACCCTACGCACCAGAGACCCACACCTTTTTCTCATGAGGGCGTAAAAACAATCAACACGCGCTTCAGCGAACATCCCTGAGGCGCTGCAGTATCGAGGTAGCCGCAACAGCACCCTGAACGCGTTATTGTATTGAACGCGGAGAGCACTATAAGATTTTTGAGTATATCCTGCCCATAGGTTGCACGTGTAAAAAGATGTACAATATGCTCTAAATAATGTTATTTTAACGTTGGGTGAACTACGTGCAAACCTACGAGCAAGCATATTCGCTCTCACCGACAATGCTCTCCGCTCCCATTCAATATCAGTATCGTCCTTTAAATCAGAAGTCAGATAGTGTCCGAGATATTTAAAACTATCCACCCTATCCAGAATACAATTATTTAGTAATACCGGTAGTAATTCTTTAGTACACTTGCCCCGGACATTAAACACCATTATTTGGCTCTTTTTTACATTATAAATTAAGCCGTGTGACTTAACATACGACTCACATACAGACAATAATTTTCTTACGCCACAGACGGACGCAGTCAGCAGCACCATATCGTCAGCGTAGCTAATGTTATTCACACATACACCATCTATGTAACAGCCAACTCTGGTACTGCTGAGCTCAGCTATCAACTCATTTATATAAATGTTAAAAAGGGTTGGCGAAATCAAACCCCCTTGTCTTACGCCACACTCTAGGCCATACGGCCGAGACAACGCTCCCTCCCATCGTACATTGTTGACCTGGTTCCCATACCAATATTTAAGAATGTTGATAAGCTCTATAGGTAAACCGCTTTTCTGAAGTTTTTTCCATAAAATATTGTATGAGACCAGGTCGAAAGCCTTAGAGAGAGCAAGGAAACAAGTAACGATTGGCGTTTCTCTCTTTACATAGTAGGTGACAGCACTCTTAAGACACAGCACTGCGGTTTCTGTTGATAGACCCGGTTTAAAACCAAACTGATTGTCGTGTTGTTGGATGTACACATTAAGCTGTGTATTAAGAATGCTGTCAAACACTTTCGAAATGACAGTTGCCAACGAAATGGGCCTATAGTTATTCTTATCAGCGTTGTCGCCTGTTTTATTTTTGACTATAGGAACCACTACCGTACGCATCATATCATCCGGCATATATAACTATGATTTATGCACATGTTAAATAACATACACAAAACACGGGGTAAGTGAGGACCAGCTGACTGTAAATGTTCAATCTAAGACCATCGTGACCAGGTGACTTACCTCTGATCATTGACATTATAGTTTCAGCAATACTTTTAGTTGTTATTTTTGTCAGCCTGTTCACTCCGGTCCCAACATTCTGCATATAATTCGACCGACCAAGTGGTGACTTTACAAAAAAGTGATCCATAAATAGATTAGCAATCTGCTCAGGATCAGTTAGACCGCTAATGCTCACAGGGATACCCGGCTTCGGTTGCAATCTGTTAGTTTGCTTCCAAAATGAACGAAAATCTTTTTTTGCATGATGTGATGCTAATATATCCACTTTAATTTGTTCCACGTGGTCTTGGCACCATTTTAAACGCGATTTAAATTTCCTTTTAGCCTCACACATATTTTGATAACAAGAACCGTTTGTCGGCCTTTCTTGCAACGACCATAGCTCAAACTTTAGCCTGGCATCCGTGTGAGCAGCAGCGACATGTTTATTCCAACCTGGTACTACCCGCCTGCCACCCCTCCTACGTGTAGTGTATCTTAAGTATTATAATCTGTGACACTTGCATAGTCTATGTCAATAGCGTCTCTAATTTTGCATCTGTATAATTCATGTATAGTCATGTCTCCGAGTCGCGTGGTACATTAATAAAACTATGTTAATTAGTCTATTGTATCTTATTAAAGTACACTGCACCAAAGCTAAATACATATTTGTGATGAATATATTTATGATTTCCCCGTGACTGGCGAGACGACGCATTCCAAGCCATTATATATTATATCACAACTAGTGCATGGTATGCAAACCTGTAGTAGTGTGTCCCTACATACTTAAGCGCGTCAGATTAAGATATATATGGTTCATCTTTATGTTCTAAACGTACTGTCTCATAATCTGACGATTATCTAGAGGGATTCGCCTGATCTGACAAAAAAAATTAGAAAAACGGTTCACCTTAAAGGTCATACCTGCAACTTCCCGCTAATTCCATTCCTGTGCGCTTAAAATTGTACTTATGGCATTTTTGAGGTCAAAATATAATTTATGTGATATTTTGAGCTCGCAGAGTTCAAAGAAATAATATTTCTATGCATTTGAGCTCTCCCAGCTCGAAAGTCTGTAGAAGTTTCATAGAACACTATTTTTGGAATTTTCAAACCGCAATAACTTTTGAATAGATCAAGCAATTTTCACGCGGTTGACGGCATTCGACGCAGTTTTATTATCCTCATAAGTGATTTTCAGGTTTTTAATTGATCGAACCAAAAATTTCGGAGTAATCCCGAAAAAACACTTTTTTTCGGTTTTCTTTCGTTCACGATATCTCTCGAATTGAAGATCCAGAGATATTTCATTAATTCGCGAATTATTCGAAAACTTTCGAATTATTCGAAGTTTTTACGAATTATTCGAAATTTTTCGAATATTCGATTCGATTCGAACGATGTTCGCACACCCCTATACTCTTTATGATCAGCTGTGATGGTGTCATGGCGGCAGAAACCAGAGTGGGGACGGAGTGAGAGAGTAATAGATAGAGAAAGAGTGAGAGAGGAACAGAAACGCGGAGAAGGAAATGTAGGCATCACGCAGCTGCACGCATTTAACTTTATCGACGAATTTTTGTTATTTCGGCTTGCGGAAATCGTCAGATTATATATTTTTCATTATTCTTGCATTATTTCCTTCAAAATAAAAAAAAATTTAGCGACGCTCGAGAATGTCGAGATGACGTTTTTTTTTTACAACTTTGTTGCCCTCCCCTTTTTTTACGTCACTCTCAAATTGTCAGATTAGTGGAATATACACTTTTTAGGATGTAATTAACTCACCCTACCTTAATCTGACGCGCTCGAGAATTTCTGGTGGTCAATTTTTTTTTACTAATCTGATCCTGTATCCTTCACGGGCGGCCTTATATATGGGCCTCATGTTTTGTGGAGGTACTGAACCGGGTACAAGGTATCCCCCTGTATATTAATCTGCCGCGCTCGAGTAACTACAGAAAATCCCCTCTTGGGCTCCCCTACTACTACGTGTGTAAAATACAATGTGAAAAGGTCAGTAAAACATTGTATAAGTCTATTTGTCTACAAGTCGAGTCGAAGTCTCTAGAAAAGTCTAAAAATGTCTTTGATTGGCAATATCGAGGCATTTAGTCCAAAAGAGTCGGATGCGGACGCGTATATCGAACGCCCAGAACAGTTGTTTAAAGTTAACAACATAACAACCGAAGAAAAGAAAGTTCCACTTTTTCTCACCTTAATTGGGGGTGAAACATACAACTGTCTGAAAGATTTGTTAGCACCGCAAAAACCCGACACAAAAAAGTACTCAGAATTAACAAGTTTGCTTAAAAGTCAGTATGAAACTAAACATTTGGTAATAGCAGAAAGATATAAGTTTTGGTCAGCTGTACAAGAAAGTGGAGAAGATTTAAAGACATTTTCCACTAGATTAAGAAACCTTGCTAAAAACTGCGATTTTAAAACGTTTTTACCAGACGCTTTGCGTGATAAATTCGTTTGTGGTGTTAAGTCAAATATAATAAAACGTAAACTCCTGACACTTGAACCATTACCCTCATTCGATGAAGCTTTGAGAGCAGCCATTGCTGTAGAACTAGCTGATGACCAATTACTACTATTCGAGTCAACGGGTTCAGTCAATAAGTTGAAATTTCATAAACAGAAGTTCAACAAGTCAAATGTACCTAAATAAGTCAAGGTTTAGCCAGCAAGGTAATAGTCGTCAAGATAATAATAGTACCAGGAAAGTCACACAAGATCATCACAAAAATAATGCTTCCTGCAAGCGCTGTCTACGAGTACATTTCAACAATAGAAAATGTCCAGCAATAGATTGGAAATGTTATGCATGTGGTCAGATGGGTCATACTGCAAAATCAGTGTTGTGTAAAAACAGAGTTCATAACTTGTCAGATGAAGAGATTCAGCAAGATGAAGATGAAGACATTGATGATTCATTAGAACTAAGTTGGTTATGTCTGAACACTATAGGTGGAGAAAATGACAGTCTTAAAGTGAAAGTGAATATTCAAGGTAAAGATATTATAATGGAAGTCGATTCAGGTGCTTGTAAGTCAGTTATGCATATTGATGATTATTATGAGTTATTTTAAAATATTGATATTTTACCTGTGAATTTTAAATTAAAAGTAGTCACTGGTCAAAATGTAACAATAGTAGGAAAAATTGAAGTAAAAGTTCAGTATAATAACCAGGTTTACAAATTACCTTTAGTTATTCTAGATAGTTTAAACCGATTTATACCATTATTGGGTCGTAATTGGTTAAGTATTGTAAATCCATCTTGGAAATTTCTCTTAGTAGAGTCAAAATCAGTAACAAATAGTCAAGTCTTGTCAAAGTCTGTCAAAAATAGTATGTCATGTCATAGTCATATTGAGTCTAATAAAAGTCAAGTTGAGTCTACTAAAAGTCAAGTCGAGTCTACTAAAAGTCAATTCGAGTCAAATCATAACCTAGTCAATTCAAAGCCAAACCAATTTAAGTCAAGTCAAGGTCAAGTTTTGTCAAAAAAATGTCAGAAAAAGTATATTGCTGCTATAGAAAGTAAAAGTCTTGACTTAATTTCTGATATCAAAAGGCAGTTTGCATGTAATTTTCAAAATGATCCTAATTCTTGCATAAAGTAATTTAAGGCTGAAATTAAACTTAAGGATGATGTCAAATCCATTTTTCATCGTGCTTATGAAATGCCATACTCTCTTAAGCCTAAGGTTGAAGAGGAGTTATCAAAAATGGTAGATTCAGGTATTATTACTAAAGTCAGTCACAGTCAATGGGCAAGTCCAATTGTCGTAGTTCCCAAAAAGAATTCAAGTGATATTAGAATCTGTGTGGATTTTAAAAAAACCTTGAATAAAGTAATAGATATTGATCACTGTGTCTTACCATTACCGGATGACATATTTTCAACTTTAAGTGGTAGCAAATGTTTTACAGTGTTAGATCTGAAAGGGGCTTTTCAACAACTAGAAATAAGTGATTCTTCTAAAGAGCTATTTACAATAAATACTCATTTGGGTCTTTTCCGTTATAACAGATTAACATTATGGTTAAGTTCAGCTCCAGGAATTTTCCAGTCAGTCATGGAAACAATTTTATCAGGATTGTCTAATGTCAAATGTTATTTAGATGATATATTAATTTCTGGTTCTTCTGTTAAAGATTGCCATGAAAAAGTAAAGGCTGTTATGCAAAGATTAAAAGTATATAATGTTAAAGTAAATGAGAAAAAGTGTGTTTTCTATCAAAATTGCATAGAATTTTTAGGTCATAAAATTGATGAACATGGCATCCATCCTACAAAAGCTAAAATAGATAGTATTGAAAAAGCACCTTCTCCAGAAAATTTAACTCAGCTAAAATCATATTTAGGACTTTTAAACTATTATGGAAAAATTATTCCCATGATTTCAAGTAAACTCAAACCACTTTATGATTTATGTAAGTTTGGTGTTGAATTCAATTGGTCAGAGAAATGCGAAAATGTATTTCAGTCAAGTAAAAAGTTACTTCCCGGGGGAGAAGCCAACTCCTACCGGGCGCGTCCCCAGGTGGCGGATAGGGGAATGCCACCCGCTTAGGGCGGCGGGTGGTACCGGAGAAATCCGGCGCGGACCAAATGGCTTGGATGGGGCCGCTCGTCTAGGCCTCGAGCCGAAGACGTTGCGGCCACCGGTGGTGGGACCGCTTGGTCCCACAACCGGATGATGGGTGCCGGTTGCGGGACTGTGGTCGCAGGCCCGCATTCGGCGGAGGGGTAGGCCGCGGCGGGAGAGGAGTGCCGGTATTTCGGTGCGCCGTTCTCCCTACCTTCCGCGGCCTAGACGGGGCCGCCACCGTTTGATGGCGGACGCGGTGGGGCTGCAGGGGAAGAGGAGTGTCGGTGTTTCGTTGCCGCTCTCCCTGTCCTCTGCAGCTGATTGGAGGTGGCCCAATTCGGTGGGCGGTGTTTTGGTTTTATGGGGCTGCTCCGGGTACCTCTCTGACGTAGCAGAGTTGGCTGTGGAGCCACCCCATTGGTTTGGTGGTCTGCCTAGTATTTAGGCAGACCTGCCGCCGGGGCGCCGTAGTAGTTATGCGCAAGCGATCCTGCGGCGTCCTATTAAGGCGGAGGGGAGGGGAATGTCGGGTTTTAGTGGGTAGTACCGGCTCTTCTAGTCGGTGAGCCCCACATCACCACCTGGGGGATCAGGTGGTATGCGTAAATGCATTTCCCGACATAAAAAAAAAAAAAAAAAAAAAAAAAAAAAGTAAAAAGTTACTAACTTCAGATAATGTCCTTATACACTTTAATCCGTCCTTACCTATTTATGTTACTTGTGACGCAAGTGGTTATGGAGTAGGAGCCGTTCTAAGTCACCGCATTAATGGTGAAGATAAACCTGTCATGTTTGCTTCAAGCACACTTTCTCCTGCAGAGAAACTATATTCTAACTTAGAAAGAGAGAGTTTAGCCATAATGTTCGGTTTAAAAAAGTATCATAAATATCTTTATGGTAGAAAATTTCATTTAGTAACAGATCACCAGCCGTTACAGTATATTTTTGGTAGAAATAAAAACATACTTATTTTGACTCTAAGTTAGAAAATATTAGAAGAACTTATAACTGTATTCTTTAAATCAACACGTATATGTTAAAAATATCCAACTTAAAGTGTGGCAAAAAGGTAAAATTGTAAAAATTGTAAGTCATTCTACATATTTGGTTCTGGTTGATCATAATATTAAGTTTGTTCATGCCAATGACATAAGAATGTGTCCTGAAAATATTTCTAATGAAAACTTTACACAAGTGTCGTTACAAAACTCACAGCAACAGAAAGAAATTGTAAATTGTGAATCATTAGATAAAAATGAGACATTAATTCCTGTAGATAACAATGATAAGAATAAAATATCAAGACATTTGGAAAGTTGTCCACCTGTTAAATTGAATACACCTAATGTTTCTAGAATGTCAAGAAAGAGTATGGAAGCACCAGTAATTGAATTGTGTAGTAAAGAATCATTAAAACAAGATAAGTCTCCAGTTAAAGTTCAAACTGGTACTCCCAAACTCACTCGGTCTGGTCGAATGGTCAAACCGCCACATAGATTGGATCTTTAAAAAATGTGAATTGTAATTTTTAATTAAAAAAAAAATTAAAGTAGGAGGAGAAATGTAGTGTATCTTAAGTATTATAATCTGTGACACTTGCATAGTCTATGTCAATAGCGTCTCTAATTTTGCATCTGTATAATTCATGTATAGTCATGTCTCCGAGTCGCGTGGTACATTAATAAAACTATGTTAATTAGTCTATTGTATTTTATTAAAGTACACTGCACCAAAGCTAAATACATAACACTACGTACACAACTTATAATGGCAGATTCACTTAAAACAGCTACAATATTTTCGTAAAAGTTATCTATGATACTTCTGTGTCTCGGATCATAGCAAATGACGTCACTGCACTTACGAAGTTCATGTGGGAAATCTATGAAACTCAACTTTTCATGACATTCCTTCAAGTAAGTTTCAATCTGTTGTGGGTCCCTGTCACCCCATACGACTTTGCTGCATTTTATATTAGATTGTGTTAGCTTAATTTTATATTTTAATGTTAGATTAAATTAAATTTCTATTTTAATAAGTATTTCAATTGGATTTTGTAAAAACTATGCTTGACACTTTAGTTGCTGTTTTGACATAAAACGAGTATTATAAAAACCCATGATGTCGCCAGTGGTGGGTCACTCTTCGTTCTGATTTTGTCAAGCATAGTTGGCTCCTGATCATTGTAAATTGGGTGACTGTGAATAAATCGATAATGAACAGTACCGGCAGTGTTTTATTATAACGGAGTTTATCAGTTCAGAAGTGGTCTGTTCTCTACGTTCAAAAAAATATATATATAACAGGTCAGTATAATTTTCATTTATTATGTTTAAAATATTACTATATATTTATTTAATTATTTTTGTGATTTGTTAGTTAAAACACATTTGTGTTTAAATGTTGACAGCATTATATGAAATATTTTTTTTAAATAATATTTTAATATTATTTTGCATAATTTAATTACCTAAGTATCGGCTTAAATAGGGTAATTGATTATTTAAAATAACATATGAACTAAGACAAATGGGTAAAAGTTCCAGATAATGAGTGACAGAAGCAGCAATTATCGTCGTCAATCGAGACGTAATCGAGAATCTACATCACGCCGCCGTGACTTGATTGAGCAAGATGTGGCTAGAAGAACACGTTCTCCTAGCAGACATCGTTCGAGATCACATCTGCGAACTTCGAGGACTCCTTTTGAAGCCAGCTCCACAAGTCGACGATCTTTGGGTGTTCTACATCACAGGAAACGAAGACGAGTCCTGGTAAGTGAGACTTCGGATACTAATAGTGAAGAGGAACTTGAGTTTAGACGCCCCAATTTTTCGAGAAATACTACACCACAACTTGACACTAGGACCGACAAAGTAGAACCGACATTTACTGCGCAAGAAATAATAAGTTTAATCATGGCATTACCTTCAACGTCGTCGCAAAATCATTTTTCGATGACGTCAAACGCAATTCCTGAATTTGATCCCGCGAACAAAGAACAAACAATAGACACATGGTTCATTAAAGTAGAAGAATGTTCTAAATTATATAATTGATAGTAACGACGATGGTAATGATAAATAAGATATGAATTAACAATGACATTGGAAATGGACTGGACTTGGGAACTGGATATGGATAATGATAGAGTTTGGTGCACATGAGACCGATAGGTCAACTATGAGTGTACCAAGCTCGCATGATATATAATCTGTTTGCACATGAGGCCGATAAACCAACTAAGGAGTGCAACAGATTTGATGTATTCTGTGAAATAAAAAGGAAATTGATATTAATTTTTATAGTTATTTTAAGGCATTTCATTTAATAAATTATTTATTTTATATATTATATATTTAAATTATTTTACTTATAATGTAATGTATTGGGATTATTAATTGCAAGATGGCCGAGATGATTCTATCTATAATAATTTATTATGCAAATTATTTTTGAATATACTTAATTATTATCGGTGTCCTCTTATGTTATTAATATATTATACTGTATAATTTTATTAACGAAGGGACTCGTTGATTATAGGATGGCCGAACTGTTAGCTTAATTTTATATTTTAATGTTAGATTAAATTAAATTTCTATTTTAATAAGTATTTCAATTGGATTTTGTAAAAACTATGCTTGACACTTTAGTTGCTGTTTTGACATAAAACAAGTATTATAAAAACCCATGATGTCGCCATTGGTGGGTCACTCTTCGTTCTGATTTTGTCAAGCATAGTTGGCTCCTGATCATTGTAAATTGGGTGACTGTGAATAAATCGATAATGAACAGTACCGGCAGTGTTTTATTATAACGGAGTTTATCAATTGCATTTTTATTATTGGAATCACATTCAAATTACATTCTACAATTAATGGAAATCATATCATAGTTTACATACACTTTTTTAACTGTTTGAGCGGCTGCTATGGTCACCACACAATAGTCGAGCCATCGCTTAGAACCATTAGCTTCACTAATAAACGTGTAGATATTAGAAACAGGATTTAACATTTCAAAGTCTATGCATACCCATTCTTGGTCATTACAAAAGGCTATAAGCTCATCATAGAATCGCTCGAAAGGGTGAGCGTTATAGTCACCAAGAATATAAGCACAGTCCACATTACAATTGTCTATGATTGCACTTACCGAACTCATAACGTCCGTAAAATCCGTTAAGTTAATCAGTGAATCCGTCGGCATATATAAACTCACTACTAAGATTGTCCTATGATTTAACACCATTTTCACTGCACATACGCGAGAACTATTACACTGTACGACTGTTACATTTTGAAAGATTTTACGCCTCCACAGCAGGGCTACCCCGCCATACGGTCTACCACGCAGGATTCCCACCGAGGTATCAACGGCTGACACGCCTGTACAGCTGAACTCGTCGCTGATGGTGTTTATAAAAGGTATTTCATCAGGCAACAGCCATGTCTCCTGGAGCGCCACGACATCAGCTGTTTTACATAAATCACGGATACTATCTACAGATCTTTTTACGTTCTTACAGTTAAATGTAGCAAACTTATAAATATTTTTATTTTTATCCATTTTGTGTTTTTATAACTGAGCCGATATTTCTATTTCGTGACACTTTAAAATTAATAAAGCGGCGAAAAATAATCCCTTTTGGCCATAGACTCTTGTCCAAGAACAGAGGGACTTTACTTTGTAATACAAAAAATTTATATGCATTATATTCACATTCACGTTGTATAGATATTTTCTCAAGTCTAACTGTTTCTTGAGTTTTCTTATGTATATACGTAGTGATATCCGATTCAGAGGTTTTTTTATGAACATTTGTAATAAATAGGGGTGTGTGTCGCTCTGCAGCTCTGAATTTTTCCTCCGCATCCACTACCACACTCCCTGTTTCCCTTCAATTAATTCCTTCTCTTTCGTCCTTTTTTTTGGACTAGTTTCCACCCCTCATTTGGGTTAGGTTTCGCTTTCGACTTTGTGGCTATCGCATAAGATTTATTTTGCGTTGTCTTATCGCCATCACTCAGCTGACATTCTTTGCTGTCGGGTGACTCTTCGCTTACCGGCCGCACCGAGGGACTTTTGCTCACAGTAATTTGATTACTACCGTCCGCGCTTATTTTGTTTAAACTTTTAAAAAGGGGACTATCAATATTTTGGAAGATTTATTTCATTTTCGTAATGACTTATAGCTGATTCATCCATATTTGTTAAGCCTGTAGGACCGCTATCTTGGTACGCGCCCTTGTAATGTTTATATTAGCAGCAGAAAAGGGGGATAACGCATATTGAAACTTTAAAAGATCCCTTTTTACGGCTTCCAACTGGTCGATGGATACTTAAGAGGACTTAATAATATCAATTTCGCTACGAACCAACGCCAAATCCTTCAGGAGCTTAGATGTATCCAAATGGTCGAAAAAAATTGGGGGCAGTTTTTCTGGATCCCGCGCTACGTACACAGGGAGTAGGTCAGGATCAGTTACTTTGAAGAAACTGATTATATCAAATAAAACACGATTCTCTTTTCCCTTCCCTTTTCTAATCGTTTTACGTTGATCTGACGGAACAGATTCAAAAAGTAACTCCTTGGACTTATTTCTTTGTTCAATGGAGAACGTCGAAGCACATATCTTAACTAAACTCTCTTCGTCAGCTATCGATATTTTATTTTGTATATACGATAGTAGTTCGTCTATCACAGTTACACTTAATCGTACACGACATTGTTACACATAACGTACACGCCCGGCGATAACGGACGCGCAAGCGCGACTGATGGATTAGATTATGGATAGAAATCTTAAATTACCCTTTAAAATTAATATAAAAGTTACAGACTTAATTCAAGCAATAAAAACTTAAAAAAAACCGACTTCCAGACACTAAAATGTAAAAAATAACTAAACGGGGGTTTTCATTTAGAATAGATACCTAATCAGATATTTTCGAAGTCGAAAAATTTTCCAAATCGGTTTAGGCGTCTTCGAGTAATCGGTGAACATACATAAAAAAAAAAGATTCCGACGAATTGAGAACCTCCTCGTTTTTGGAAGCCGGTTAAAAATAATCTATGATAAAGTTACTTTTCAATTATGTAAAGGAATATACATCATTTTAATAGATAGGTAGTTATCAATAAATATTTTTCTCTCAACTATTCTAAAACATATAGATATGTAGTTATGTACATATGTAGTATGTCTCCGACTGCATGATACTACGTTCCTTCGTCAACTTGTTCACTTCTTTTTAGTTCGCTTTTTATGCCGTTGGTTTTTTTTTATTTTTGTAAATATTTCTGTATTCGCCTCTTAATAACCTGTATTTTGATAACCCAATTGATTGATTTGGATAAAAAAAAATTTCAAGATACACAAATTGGCACCTAGGATCCGCCACTTTGACTTTTCTATATAGAATTTTGTGATTACGAAGGAACATAGAATCAGACATACATACGTGTTAAACACATAAGCCTATTTCGCCACAGTCGGCGAAAAAAGCATACATCTATATTATCAGCAACAGCATATAATCCAAACTTATTCACTTGTTTTAACATGATATACTTTATGGATTTTTTTAAATTTAAATACGGTGGACTGTATTTAAGGGTTTCAAAATGAAACTCCAACCAACGGGAGTTTTTCCTTTCTTAGCTTTTCTTGCTAGTTTCCTCTTCTATGGCTATTCGACGAATGAAAATAATTTTTTTTTTTGCAAAAATAAAAAAAAACAGATATGATTTACTTATAATTTTACAATTGATCCACAAAACTGTTTGCACAGTTTGTCTGTGGGAACAGAGTCTCACGGTAATCTTACATTATGATATTTAAAGCTTCTAATTAAAGTACTAATTATGTTAAGCTGTCCATATAAGGTTTTTTTAATAAATTGGCGAATTTACTTTTACTTGGTTCAAGTCTAATATCAGCGGGCAAACTGTTCATAAGGTACGGTAGACGTTTATCCAGCGTTCGATCGCCATAATAAGTGGCTAATTCGTTCATGATTCTATTGTATATAAATTCGTATAACTCTACATCAATTTTATTGTGTGTGATGTTTTGATTGTGAGTGAATGCAATAAATTTAATTTGATTTTTTTTATGGGGGATATTTCTTTTGGATTTTTCTTTTATATGGATATTTCTTTTGTGGGGGCCCCTCTCTTGTGGAGGCCCCGGGGCTCTAGCCCTGGTTGCCCTCCCCTAAATCCGGCCCTGTCCAAGCCACTCGATAGATTTCTTTAATTAAGGTATAGTTAGATTCGTCTCATTACTCGCAAGTGTTCTTAGATAGGTTACATAAAAAATTGGGACTGCTAGATTCCTTAATGTGAAAAAGAAAAAAGTGAAAATCGACGAACTATGTCAAGTAGGGTATCGTTGAATAGGTATTTAAAAATCATTTTTAAGTTTCTTTTATCATTTTTCATTTTAAATAACAGTTTAGGATATATAATGATTTAAAGTTGGTTAACAACCATTCTCGCTAATTTTCCTACTTTAAATACTTAAAAAGCTGTAAATAAATAAATATGGTATAAAAATAAAAAAAAACGACTGCATAAAAGCTAACTAAAAAGATAAAAACAAGTTCACGATGGAAAATAGTATTATGCAGTCGGAGACATACATACGAGTATGTAAATCTTGCGGCAAGGATGAAACGTGTATATTCCATCGTGAGCTTGTTTTTATATTATTAGTTAGCTCATATGCAGTCGGGCTTTTTATTTTTATAATATATTTATTTATTCAATATTGGGCACGAAAGGCTTAAAAAGAAATAGAATAGATATATTCTCAATAGAAATTGAACCGATATTCATAAAAAATACTTTTATTAGTCATCATCACTATCTTCATTAATTACAACGTGCTTCATATTAATAGAAAAAACACTGGATAATATTTCTGCTGGACGAACTACATATATAAATTTTATATATATATATATATATATATATATATAAGACGGAGGAGGATTTAGTTACCTTTTTCTGTTATGAAACCTTATTATTGTTTAAAGTCACTATGTTCTTTAATTTACTTTTTATTGCTTTTAAATTGATTTTGAATTTAGAGCAGAGATTTAGTCTCGAGCGGGGTCGAGACGCCATCACGACATTCTTTGGAGATACGTGGTTTAGTAAAGTTGGTTGATCATGGTGGATCATAGAGAGTTATGTTTGATATTGTAGTTGGAAATCGATGATCGGTGACTGTGAACCCGCTAGCACTAAATCATTATAATTACCGTTTCAAGTTTATAACATTGTGATTTCCCTGATTAAATTGTGTATTGAGCATTGAACACTTTATTATTTGAGCCCTGATAACGCCCACAAGATGAGTAACCACCAAAGATGATCTTCGTAGTATATGGATAATGATAATGATAATCATGAATGAATTTTATTATATGTATAGATGTTCGATTTTTAGGTATAGTAGTGTACAGGATTACGAATATGAAATCTTTTTTTATAATTAAAAACAATGCACTTTATAATATGCTTGCACGTTCATATCATTTATTTCTTTATATATCTTCATACTAAGTACAAGCTAGATTAAATAATTATATTACGTATAACAAGTATACATTATAACACTTTTGTAACGTTATATTGGTGGGAGGATCAAGAAAATTAAGACATCATGATTAAGGGCAAGGAAAATGAGGTGAAGTCTCACATGTCGTGCCTATTATATCAATAGCATGTACGTACAGTAATTAATAAATATTGTTTGATTTTTTCTAACCCTTGCATAAAAACGACTGACTGCACATTATCGGTATTTCTTTAAAAATTTGGGTGTTCACCTTCTACATCGTTTTAACCTTCAACGGAATTATAAGATTAACGTGTGAACCTGTGTGTTATCTTGTATCTTTATATCTGTGCATCTGTCTATATATGTATATGGTAACCAAGGCCTGATGCTACAGCGTCATCTGGAATCTGCAAGATACTCACTTTTCATGTTCAGGCGAGAGGTAGGAGTCGATGGAGTCATATCTGGACTTAGGGATACAAAACTTGTCGTTCTTTAGCGGGTCGAGGCCGCGCTCCTCGCGCGTGCGACAGTCCACCGACGCGGAGATCACGTTCCAGCGGCAGTCCACGTCGGTGAGGAAGCCGCGGAAGATCGGCGCCGCGGCCGAGAGCGCAAGCTGCGGGACACGCAACAGTTAGTCACGTCTTCGGTACATGTCGGTAACTTGCATCTACACACTGAATAAACTCACCATGATGGGGCACAATGGTGCCAGTTGGTCGTAAAGAGTGCGAGCCTCAGATATGCCACAAGCCTGGAAGGTTACTTGCAGACAGCAGCAGCCCATGCCGAGGCCCATAGTATCCATATACACGCAGTCTGGCAGCGCTATCCCCGGTGCGAGTTTGTGTGAATCGTCCACTGGAATCTTAGTGTTTGTATCCCGAAAAACTAAAAAATCAATGTAAATTATTGATTTCTATTCGTTTGTAAACTGAAACTTGTATCTGTTCTTATATGTATAGCTCTTAATGTTTAAAGAATTTATGAGTGCCTCGTGGCTTGTACCTGGAACATTTATCGCCAGTCTATCTCCTCTTCTTTTCCGTATATTTGAAGTTAGTGTCTTGAAACGCGGATGTCCATGAAATATTCCCTCATCAGGAAAGAAATATGACCTCGTCACACCTTTATCCGGCGTCGGGGTATATGATGGACTGGTGAAATTTGGACAGCCTAGTCTAAAAAAAAAATCCTTATTTGGTTCTGAACCTTTTATATTTATTTTATACTAGCGACTCACTCTCGCTTCGCTCGGGTTCGTCCCTAGGTTGATTTCCCATACAAACTTTCATCCCCATTTTCACCCCCTTAAGGAATGCTTTCTGGGATAAAAAGTATCCTAAGTCCTTCCCAGGGTCTCAAACTATCTTCTTACCAAATTTCATCTAAATCGGTTAAGCAGATTCAGAGATTACCCCCTACAACGTCACAAACTCAAAAACTTTACCTCTTTATGATCTTAATATCTTCTAATATATAAAATTTCCATGTCACAATGTTAGTTACCGTAATCCTCCGAAACGGCTTTACCGATTTGTACCAAATTTTATATGCGTATTCAGTAGGTCTGAGAATCGGCTACTATCTATTTTCCATACCCCTAAGTGATAAGGGTGGACCACCCTAGTGACGAACCCGCGCGGAGCGAGGGTGAGTCGCTAGTAATATATAATTCATCTGTACGTGTGTTTGTTAACCTTATACTCCTAAAGGGCTAGACCGAATTGGATGGAATTTTGTATGTATATTTCAATGGACTTCTGCATGGTTTTTAAAAATACAAATGGACCCTGTAGGTGGTGCTGTAGTGTGTGTGCCACTGATCATCTCCTAAACGGCAGGGAGGATTTTAATAATATTTTTTGTGTATGTTCGAGTGGGCCCCTGCAAGGCTTGAAAATATAAATGAACCCAGTAGGTGGCGCTGCAGTCGGTGTGCCACAGATCATCTCCTAAATGGTAGGGACGATTTTAATGATATTTTTTGTGCATGTTCGAGTTCACGAGTTCCCTGCAAGGTTTGAATTCACAAATGGATCCTCATAAAAAACTCCATTTTTTGGATGGATGGAATGGATTTTCATAAAAAACTCCATTTTCCGAGCAATAATTAATTTTAAATTGTTGATAAAATAAAATGAAAATTGACGTATGTATGTATATTTCCTATGGACTTCAAAACAGCTCGAGAGATTTTGATGAAATTTTCAGGTAATCTTCAGATCAGCCCAGCGGGTGATTCTGTGTATTTTGTTAGAGATCGAAAGTTTGGACGCGGGCGATGCCGCGGGTACTGCTTGTTTTAGTATAGATTCAAGGCAAATAAAAAATAGTATAATAAACATACCTAGGAAAGTTTGTAATACTCATTAAAACTTCACCATCTTTTAAGAGACCACTAGCTTCAGCTCGGCGATTTTTCATGTTTGCCTCTACTATATTAAAATGTACGAGTAGACCTCCGTATGGTTTCCCTGGCGTTCCTTCAATCATATAAGAACCGAATTCTGGACGCCAAAGTGACTTCGCATCTACAATATACTAAATTATCGATAAAAAACGCATTTTAGGTCAATAAACGATTCATACAGCTTTATAGTTAAAGAAAGTATTTGGGGTGCAGAATATTTCTTATAAAACATGCCATACATGCCAAGTCCTTCATGCTATATTCTCTTGTCGATGCAATATGCATTAGTGTGATTGGGACAAAGAGAAATACACTGTGGATTTTATTTGAGACGACAGAACTTCGATTAGTCGATGCTATTGGTTCTTGTCTACTCTTGATCCTACATGCAGAGCCATTGCATGATAAAGTAACTACTTCATTTCAGTAGATGTTATTCCGCAAAAGGAAAGCCCCCAACCATCAAAGGATTTAACCATATTGGATTATAAATGAATTTAGAGAGTGAGATGTTGATAAACATAGAGTTGCTTGACATTGACACATGTATAATGAAACATTTATAATGACTAATAAGTTCTGTACTATCAGATAATGTTTGATTCAACAATGACTTATCTATAGAAACAAAAAAGAATGATTTTTAGTGTCTATGTGTTCCTAAGCTATTCATCCTATTGTGATGACTCTATAGTGAGGTGTTCTATGTATGACTGTGAATGTTCTTGTCCAAAAAAAATTCTTTTATGTTTATCCTCTATACATTTATATGCCATTCACCTTAAGCAAGGTAAGCCACTAAGTCTAAAACAACCAAAGTTATATAACTAATATAAAGAATCACATGGTAAAATAACCCATTAAGATAATTTAAACAATACTATATTATTAATATAATAAGTTTTAATTATTTAAAGGTTACTTAAACTTATATATACTTTGAGGATCAGCATGTTCTTTTTCTTGAAGTATAGGTAGTAGCTCTTCAGCTCTTAAACTAACAGTGGCTCGTTGATTTTCATCATCAAATCTTACTATTATGTACTCCACCTAAAATTATCAACTTAACTTTTAATATTTAACTATTACATTATACTGTGCATATATTAGCAAATTACATTACTGACTACTTGCAGATAATGTTTCTTCATTCATTAGCAACAAAATATTTTTTATTACTATTTACTACACTAGAATTTTATAATCTTTAATAATAAAATTTGACTAACTTCATCTCCCCACTTAAGAACATCTCCAGTGCGGTCTATTAGCTTACTATAGAGATTAATGAATTGCTCTATGCCATGATGTCGAACATGTTCTGCCAATGCTTTCGTCTCTTCCCACGAAAGTGGAATTCCTTCTGTTAATAATCCCATATTTGTTCCTTAAAAATCAGGGCTAAGATTAGCATATCAAAATAAAAATTGCTATTTCTATTTGCCGCTGTTGTTTGGAATATGTTCATATTTTTACACGCACGTTATAACTTATAAATAAAAGTTCTAGGACCTTCTAGGCATTAATGAAAGGGAGGGAATACTTTCATAATAAAGCTAATAACGAGGTTACTTATAAATTGCCTCCTTGTTAATTAAGGTTGCATTATGCAAGTATATTATATTTAAATAAGTGTTTTATTTTTTGCTAAAAATGTGTTTTAATATTTAGAGATTTTAAAATGACAAGTTACCTATATAGTTTTTAATGGTTTTAAAAATAAAAAAATATTAAACACATACCCAAAACATACAAAATATAAATAACATTTAATAGTTACAAGGAATATAGATAAAGAAAAATAAGGTTTTAAAATGTATGTTTTTGCCTTGTCAGTTGTCTTAGAAATGTCAATTGTCAAATGGCATAGATCAGCTGATAAAATTGTTGCACACAATATTACACAGATAACACTAAAAAAAGCATTATTTTTAAGGTAATAACAATCGTTCGCTAATCGGATGAATAAAAATAATTATTCGTTGAACTTACGGAAGAGTAAATTTTTATTCTTCCATTGTTCGACTGTTTTCGGTTTGTACGAATATCCTCCACATTTTTCTGATGTTAAATAAGTGATGCTTACCTGTGCAGTCCAGCTTCTTAATGCAAAAAGAAATATAACTTTAACCTACCGAGCTGAAAAATTATTCTTTTAGATTCCAACGATTATGTAACTTCAAGAGTTTTTATGTGTAAAAAGAAAAAAAAAACGACTTAATGCACCCATTAAGGGTGCCGAAAAATTTTAACCTTTCGGGTTATGAAGATTTTTAATTTAAGTCCATTCGATCTTATTCGAGATCTAAAATTTTCACTATCGATATTCTTTAAATCTATATAAGTTTCATGAGTTAGAATTGTTTTAAAAGATACAAAAAAGAATTATAAAAATAGAAAAACCCTATTGCAGAAAAGCTAAAAAGATGAATACAAATTAACAAATGATTTAGTTAGACGTTTACGTTTTATATAAATCTACATTATCTACACTTCTACACTATAAATTAATATAAAGAGTTAAGATTTTATTTTTGTTTGTAACGAATAAACTCAAAAACTACTGGACCGATTTAGATTAAATTTGGTAAGAAGTTAGTTTGAGACTGGGGGAAGGACATAGGATTTTTATTCTGGAAATCATCCCTTAAGGGGGTGAAAATAGGGATGAAACTTTGTATGGGGATCAACCTTAGTATGAACCCGAGCGAAGCGAGGGTGAGTTGCTAGTTGTATATAAAATGAATTAATGTTTTTTAAGTTTAAGCTAATTTGTCTTTGAAAAATCAGATCCTGTGTCGAACTAAATCTGATGGTCTGCTTACACTTTTAGTTGAGCTTTTGCTTGAGAATTGAGTCTATAGTCTATGGTTTTGACTTTTGACGTTTGAGGTTTTTATTTCTATTTTATTTGTCATCCATGATTTAGACTCTATGGAACAAAGAGTATAGTTATATACTGGGAACTATGGAATAAAGTTAAATGGTCAATGGCTATTAAAATTGTTTGTTGGAAATAATATTATAAATGACACACTATTACTGTAACTGTTATTAGTAATGTAACAATTTTTTTGGAATATAAAAATATCTAGTCAGTCTCAAAATTGGTGATTTTATATTTTATACCCTATTTAGTAATGAACGTCTTTTGAGAGGCAGTTTGATTTTATAATCATCACGATGGTGCCAGTGGCTATCGAAGGGTGTACCCAAGGGGCTGAAGGTGGCGGGGCCCGAGGCGGTTCTATTTCACTCGGATTGTTAATAGATTTTATAGTGCAACGAACATATGATGAGCTTACAGTTTTGGCAGAATTGTAAGTATTCCTTTGTATATAATTTTTAGCGTCAAATACACTAACCTTTATAGCTTAATTTGTTTCTATATTAAGGATCATTAGATAAAATACAACCTTTAAATATAAAATCACAATTTTAAACTTCCACTGCCTTACCTTAAAATCTTATATCTATTTCTTAATAGTTATTTTCTATCTTTTTTTTTTGTAATAACCTACTCAAAAAAGTAAAACGAGAATATGAAAAGAACGAGTTCAATAAAGTCAAAAACAGTCCAGGTAAAACTTGGAGTCTAATTAAAAAAATTGTTAATATGGGCCAAAAAGAAAGAAGCTGTTTGGAACTGTTGGATATATGTAATCATCCATTGGAATCAGTAAATTCTGTTAATCAGTATTTTGCAAACGTAGGTAAAAACTTAGCAGACAATATAACACGTAAACAAGAGACCTCGTATGATATTGACTTTCCTAGACTTAACTATCTAGATACAATGAGCCTATATACAGTGACAGAAAAAGAAGTAAAAACAGCTATCATCAGTCTTAAAGACAAAACTGCCTCTGGTTGGGATGGTATACCCACATCTATTGTTAAGGCCACTGCGCATATTCTTATTCCGATCCTTACCAGATTATTCAATCTTTGCATCTCAAAAGGAATCTTTCCACGTTCTTTTAAAAAAGCAGTTGTATGACCTATTTACAAGAATGGTGACAGGAGCAGTATCTTTAATTATAGGCCAATATCTTTACTTACCACTTTTTCTAAAATTTTTGAAAAAATTCTCAACAAAAGGCTACTTTTTTTTTTTTTTTTTTTTATACTATTCAGAATTAGTGCTTGACTACGTTCCACCTGATGGTAAGTGGTAACGCAGTCGTAGATGGTGAGTCGCACTAATTCAGTAGCCACCTATTCACTCTTGCCTTGAAGACACCCATATTATAATCGGACGGAAACACCGACGCAGGCAGGTTGTTCCAATCCTTAGCCGTACGTATAATAAATGACGTAGCGAAACGCTTCGTGCGGACGGGTGGAATGTCCACGACATAAGGATGGAGACCAGCCGTTCGTCGGGTTGTCCGATGATGGAAAGGGGATGGGGGAATTAATTCATGTAGTTCCTGCGCACACTCTCCGAAATGTAACCTATAGAATACACAAAGGCTGGCAACCCTACGTCGGTGATCGAGGCTTTGTAGGTTAGCTTTTACCAGCGTAGGGTCACCTATAAGCCTTTGAGCACGCCTCTCAATCGAGTCCAAGGCTGACAGATGGCATTTCGCAGCACCAGCCCATATGTGGCTACAGTATTCCACACACGACCGGACTTGCGCTTTATATAAAACAAGAAGCTGTCCCGGCGTGAAATACTGTCGGACCTTTGCAAGGATGCCAACTTTCCTCGCAGCTACATTAGCCTTAGACTCGATGAACCGCCCGTAGTTCATGTTGGGGCTGATGTCCATCCCTAACAACTGCAGACGTTCTGTGTATTCCAAAGGCACATTCCGGAAAGTAGGAGTCAAGGTGAAAGGACTCCTTTTAGTGGTGAACAGGCACGCCTGTGTTTTGGTGGCATTGAAACTCACAAGATTGGCATCGCCCCAAGTGGAGACTGTCCTGAGTGTGAGATTCAACCGCTCTACCATGGCCTCTCTTTCGGACTGAATTTGATCTCTACTGGCCCGAGGATTCGGCAGGTATCTCTCTACAATAGTGCTGTCGTCTGCGTACCCATAGATACCGGGTATAAGCAGATCGTTGATATGCAGCAGAAACAAGGTTGCAGAGAGAACAGACCCCTGAGGAACTCCTGAGTTGGTCTTTAAGGGTTGTGATGAACAACCATCAACCACAACTCTGAGTGATCGGTCGCTCAGGAAGTCTTTAATCCAGCCGATCAGGCCAGGAGATATGCCATAGGCTGAAAGCTTATTTATAAGGCTAGCGTGCCAGACCCTGTCAAAAGCCTTTGAGACATCGAGGGAGACGGCAATCGCCTCCCCGCTTCGGTCAATAGTTTCGCCAAAGGTGTGGTTGGCATACACTAGAAGGTCCCCAGTCGACCGATTCCGGCGAAACCCATATTGTCGATCACTGAGGAGATCGTTCTGTTCTAGGTATGCCATAAGACGAGTGTTCAATACACGCTCCATAATCTTGCAGAGTATGGAGGTGATTGAGATCGGACGATAATTGGCAGGGTCAGCACGGCTTCCTTTCTTGGGCACTGGTTGCACATTGGCAAGCTTCCAGGATTTAGGCACTATTCCAGTCTTAAGAGAAAGGCGGTACAGACGTGTCAGTATCGGAGACAACTCGGGAGTACATGTTTTAAGGACTATCGCTGGTATACCATCAGGACCACTGGCTTTATTCACATCTAGACGGCACAATACTCTCTTAACCTCCTTATTAGTAATCGCGATTTCAGGCATTGAGATCCCGCAGTGAGGTAGATGTGGTGGAGTAGCATTGCCAGAATCTAGACACGAATTTTGGGCAAAAAGAGAGGCAAGCAAAGTCGCCTTTTCCTTTGCCGTATGAGCCAGGGATCCGTCAGATTTTACCAGCGGTGGCAGTGAGGGCCGAGAGAAGTTCGTCTCGACAGCTTTGGTAAGGGACCAAAAAGCTCTGCTGCCAGATGGTTGGGCAGAGAGCTTTGCGCCAAAATGTGTAATTCGGTCAAGACGAGCCTTCTTTAATGTCTTTTTGTGGGACTTGGCGGCTAAGTTAAAGGCTCTCTTCTTGGATCTTACATCCGGAGCTTTGCGGTCTCGAGCATCAACCCAGGCAAGGTAAGCCGATTGCTTACGCTTTTCAGCAAAGGTGCATTCGGCATTAAACCATGGGCGAGCTTTGCCACCAACGGGCACATCAGAGAACGGGATAAAATATTCCATCGCTTGATGCACCACATCAGTTATAGCATCCGCACAGCTCGACGGATTGGAAGAAGAGAAGCAGACCTGCCGCCAAGGAAAGGATGCAAAAAAATGTCGCATCTCATCCCAATCTGCTGACTTGTATTGCCATACTCGTCTAACGCCAGTAGAATCGTTATCTGGTGGAGAGTAAGACGATACAGTTTTTACCAGACAGTGGTCAGAGCTACCCAATGGGGATGAAACCTGGATGTTATATCTGTCTGGATCAGTTGTCAGCAGAAGGTCCAGACAATTAGCTGAGTGGCCATCTACATCGGGTACCCTCGTCGCTTGTTCAACCAACTGGGAGAGTCCAAGTGATACCGCAAACTTCCACGCTTCTCTCCCAGCATGGTCCGTCTTCTGGTATGGGAACAGCCAATCTTCATGATGGGCGTTAAAGTCCCCCAGAAAGACAAGCTGCGCGGTGGGGTACCGTTGCATAGCCACATCAGCGGCCTCACTGAGATATTCAAACAATCGAGTTGTCTCCTGGTCACCTGTGTGCGATCGGTAGACACAGGAATACAGGATCTTTTCGATTCCTGTATCTACGATAACCCAGATCGTAGAAAATGTGTGGTCTTCAAGGTGGCGGAGGCGCTGGAAACAGAGGTCATTTCGCACGTACAAACAGACCCCGGCCCGTGAGCTGAAATTATGCTCCAACGTGTAGCCGGGATAGTCCAGGTACTCAGCACTCAATGGACATTGAATCTGCGTCTCCGTCAGAAAGAGCATGTGCGGCTGCGCAGTCTCGAGGTGGAAGTGGACTGATGAGAGATTTGTGTGCAATCCTCGGATATTTGTGAGGTGCACTTTTAATGAGGGGGAGTGCAACCGCTTAAAAACATTACTCTTTTTTCGACTTTTCATGTAAGTAATTTTTTTTTAATGGAAGAGTGAATAGGATGGAGAATGGCAGTTGAACGAGGCGCTGCACGAGCCTGGCGGTGATATTGATGATGTCATGTCACAGAGGGCTTAGTCTGGAGACTGCGGGGACGCCCGAACCCCCCCAAGGATCGCCATCGGGCCCCCTCCCCTGGTCGCCAACCAGCACGATGGAGCCACCCTGGGATTTTTCACAGATGGCGGGGCAGCCTTTCATGGGTGGCTAGCCCACTAGTTGGGCCCCCAACTGTCTGCGGTCGGCCAGCGGCAAGCCGTGCTTCGGATCCCGCTACCCTCCGCGACTAAGCTCTCGACACAACAAACAACAATTCACCACCAACACGGCTTGTGTACAACACAACTATTCAGACCCATTCTCCATACGGCTTCATCAGCCTCGACATGCCGGAACGCGCTGTTGGGCGCTTGGCGGCACGACTTCTGCTGACGGGTGGTAACCGTGCCGTCGGCCGATGTTGAGGCCTACCACCGCGACTACCATGGTGTTCGGTAGTTTGTCCCTTAGTCGCCTTTTACGACACCCACGGGAAGATATGGGGTGGCCATATTCTAATTGCCGTAGCCACACAGCAATAATGTATTTTATATGTATGTACTTGAATAAAAAAAACATCTTAGCAGAAAATCAGTTCGGTTTCCGTAGTGGTAAATCAACAGAAGATGCAGTTCTTAATCTTTCAGCTCAAATAACTAAAAATTTTGATAATAAAGTTAAATCGATTGCTGTTTTTCTGGATCTTGCTAAGGCTTTTGATACTGTCTCCATACCTCTTTTGTTGAATAAGCTGGAAGGTGTTGGAGTTAGAGGCCTTGCATTTAAAATTTTCAAAAACTATCTTGAGGAACGTCAGCAGTGTGTATGCATTGATAACTTTAGAAGTGGGGAAGAATCTGTTAGTTTCGGTGTCCCTCAGGGAAGTGTTCTTGGTCCTACTCTCTTTCTTATTTACATAAATGAGCTCTGCATGCTGCGCCTACCTAATAGTAAACTTTTAGTCTACGCAGATGACACTGTACTTCTTACTAGCGGTAAAACATGGGCAGAAGCTCAGGCTTCCACAGAATTATCGCTAAGAGCTATTATAAGTTGGCTTGGTTGCAATCTGCTCACTCTTAATGTGGATAAGACAAAATACCTTACCTTAGCTCCCTCTACTCTAGTACAGGCTCGGCCTTGTTTGACAATTCGTGCACACGTCTGTTCACTGACTATTAAAGAGTGTAACTGTCCCGTGTTAGAAAAAAGTTCCAGTGTTAAATATCTTGGCGTCATAATTGATAGCAATATGACATGGAGACAGCAAATCCATTCAGTAGCGTTGCGACTAAGAAAGCTCATATTTATTTTCAGGAAATTAAGGAATGTGGTAGATTTTCAGTGTCAAAAAACAGTATATTATGCTCTGTGTCAATCCGTTATTTCATACTGCATTACGTGTTGGGGTGGATCTGCTAAAACGTTAATGTTGAGACTGGAAAGGGCCCAGAGAGCAGTTTTAAAAGTTATGTTCAATAAGCCAATCTATTTCCCCACGGCGGATTTATACGCTCTTAGTAATGTATTATCCGTAAGGAAAATTTTTGTTTTACAAACTGTTCTTCGAAAACACTCTGAGCTTCCTTATAACCCTAGTATATTATGTACTAAACGCAGATCTCACGCTATATGTCAAATTAATTCTGCAAGAACCGCGGTTGCAAAACGTCATTACCCATATCTAAGCTGTTTACTCTACAATAAGATCAATAAATTATTGAATATATATCCACTCACATCTTATCGTTGCAAATCTGTATGTTTAGCATGGCTTAAATCCATTACGTATGACGAGACTGAAGAACTTTTGACCATTGTTTATTAAAGAATTTGCATTCACACACACATATACACACACATACACATACACACACATTCACACACACACACACTCACACATACATCATCATCATCTATTGTTTTTTAGTTTTTATAAAATACTTAGTTTAAATATTGTACGGAGGCGGGCGTTGATATCTGCAACGCAGTTTATACTTTTGCAGTATCATCGTAGCCATTGTTGTTTACTGTATACTTATAGGAATTTGATACTAAATAAATAAATTTCATTTCAAATTTCATTTCATCTTTCCTTGTCACATATGAAATGTGTAAATCCCTAGTCATATCTCACATCCATACTAATAATATAGAGGTAAAGTTTGTGAGGTTGTGGAGGGTAATCTTTGGATCTACTGAACCGATTTAGAACAATTTTGGTAAGATGATAGTTTGAGCCCCTGGGAAGGACATAGGATACTTTTTATCCCAGAAATCATTCCTTAACGGGGGTGAAAATGGGGATGAAAGTTTGTATGGGGAATCTACAAGGGTGAGTCGCTAGTTGTCAAAACAAGAAGTCAAACTTTTGTTAGTCAAAAAATTTTGTTTAATAATATTTATATCAAGTTTTTAAAACACAGGTAAGATAGGTCTGTCTGTGTTGCTAGACTTATCTTAAAATTAGGATACAAAAAGTATATTTTTAAATTATTTTATTAACACTTTTAATGCCCCTAAAGTATATAAACTATACATACTAAAATATATATATGTACTCAATAACATAAGTAAATGAGAAGAGTTTTATTCAGGTGAATATTTTTTTATAGGTTACCACGGAAAACTGACATGGAGCGCAAAATTGAAATTTATAAATTCAGTGCAAGGACAAGACAACTCTTTGTTCGCTTACTTGCTCTGGTAAAGTGGGCCAGCAGTGCCACAAAAGTTGATAGATCTGCACATATCATGGCATTCTTAGATAAACAAGCTCTTTTATTTGTTGAGACAGCTGATGTCCTGGCTCGTGTAGCACGGGAGACATTGGTCCATGCCAGGTTTGTGAAAGGTTTTAGTATAGTGTGTGTATGTACTACTAATATTAAATGTATCTTTTATAGACATAAAATTTGGTTAAGCAAGGAGAACATTACTTTACTCTATATTTATGTTCACTCTGTATTAATATTTTGAATAAATATAAAATTTCAATTAATAAGTTTTGAACATAAATTTCTGCAAGTTTACAATTTTAGCGATATTTGAGATAATCCTTTAGTCAAACATTTTGTCCTATATATTCATTAAAGTGAAAGGTGCTGTTTGTATTTCTTAATTAGTTCATCCTGGTTCCAAAAAGTCTTTGATAGCTACCCCATACCACTAGTCCTATCTAGTCAATATTTTGTCAAAGACTTAATTGTGATTTCTTTGATAATTGTTAAGCCAATTGTTTTGTTCCTATTGTGATGAAGTCAAATCCAAATATAAAAAAAAAACAAAGCCATCAATCACGGGACAACTGGAAGATGTGAAACATCGAAACTATTTTGTATAGAAAATATATAATAAAATATATAATATGCATAACAGGCGAGTTTTTAAAGGCAGTAATATATATGATGTAATTTAAAACAAAATATTCATATTTTTTAAAAGAATAAAATCTTTATTTTAAAATTACAAAGTGGGTATTCAAGCAGTAAATGTTTCAAGTATACTATAATAGTCAGATAGAAACATTACACAGCTCACACAGAGAATCATCAAAGTGTATAATATACGCGCGCGCACACACATGGGAGTCGAGAGCAGTGGTGTAGATGTATTTGTTTTACAGTTAAAGCGCGCCAGTAGATGTTTCACATCAAAAATCACTTGTTGACACAATTCCTCGATATTCTTTGATTTATAGTCTATATAATTATTTACTTAGTAAAAATATCTTTTAATGGAAATGTTTATTTGGTTTAGGTTGCCTACTTTCCACATGGCAGCTGCTGTAGAAGTTTTAACTTTAGGCACCTACAGTCGCCTTCCAGCAGTAATACGTGAACGGCTTGTGCCCCCACCATCGTTAACACCCGCTGAACGACGATCTACATTACGTGCTCTTGCTCATGTTGTCCGACAGCGTTTAACAACAGCGTCGTTACCTAGCGATGTTAGAAATTTAAAGGTAATAATTAGGTATATTGTGATATGCACATTAATAGTACTAAGTCGAGTCAGAATTGCGCCCCGGTAGCCCACGCCACTAAAAATATTTATACGAGTATATTTGCGAATAACATAAATAATCTTATATTAAATATAGATATATATAAATAATCTTATATTAAATATAGATAGTCAGCAAATCTTAGCGCATGTTTAAAGAATACTTGTGGGGCGCTCATTAGCGTCCGGCAGTTCAGCCGGGCGCGAATCCTCCTCTATTTTAGCTCTTGTTACTTCTCTGATAGCCGAGTGGACTATAGAGCAATCCCATGGGTTATGTGGTCTGCTTCGACAGACCTGCCGTCGGGGCATCGTAGTTGATTGCGTAAGCGATCCTGCGACGCCCCATTAAGACGGGGGAGGTTTTATTGGGTAGTACTGGTTTTTCTAGCTGGTGAATCCCACATAACCACCTGTATGTCTACATGTGGTATGTGTAAATGCATTTCCCAACATTAAAAAAGTGTTTAAATCATACTTGGCAGTTTTTGTTATTCAATGTCTATTAGTTTACTTTTTCTATAGGTACTAAGTTTGATTCTTGTGTCTATTGCCGTTCTCCAAATAAAACAATAAAATTTTAAAAACTCAATTCATGTTCTCTTTGCGATTCAATAGAAACAACATTTGTTGTTTGTTTTACGAAATGTTCATCTACAGCTACCACCTTTTATAGTTCCAAAAAAAAATCCTGCCTTTAAACATAAGATAGGCTTTCAATTAATTTAATGCAAAGAAGTATATTTTGGTGTAATATTTTAGGTAGAAAATGGGAGAGCCACATTTTCCATTGGTCAAGAGTTTAGTGTTTCATTAACAGTCATGGGGGATGCGCCTAATTTGCCATGGCGTCTGCTGGACATTGCTATACTTATACAGGATAATGAGACTGGAGGTAACTTCTCGTTTAATACAATCGTATTATATTTAATTTTTTTAAATATTTAAAAAGGTAATATGTTCGATTTTTTAAAATTTTACAGAGGGAAAACCTTTAGTGCACACGTCACAGTTAAACTGGCTCCGTGGGGTGGCACAGGCTCGTCTAGCCGCTGCTGGCTTAGGTGGCGCGCTAACAGCCCTCCGATACTTTTGTCGTGCCCTTTCCTTAGAGCTACTGTATACACAGACTTTAAGATTATGTCGTGATCGTTTAGCACGTCATCTCCAAGTCGACAGATACATACCTGGACAAAAGTTGCAAGTTTCTTATTGGAGGTAATTCCGAAATATTATTAAGCATTTAAAACTAAATACCTTAATGATTATTATGTCACACTTAACTTTTTGTCTTTTATATATGTACATATCTATATATTAGGAATTTCTACTGTATGAAAGATCCTCTTAAGAGGCCTATTACATTACGACCGAGATTATTCAATTAAATGCCCATCTTTAACGTTCTTATTCAGAGAAGCTGAATGTCTTTGACAATTTTGACTTATTGATTGGTGGAGATTGGAAAATAGTTATTTATATAGTTCATAGCGGCCTCGCTTTTTGTAAATTTTCATTATTAATTGAAATAAAGCCAAAATTTCGAAGAAAGTTTTTAATAAAATGCGCGACGACACTTTTTCAAACTCATGTATTGAAATACTAGACTAAAAAAGCGAAATGAAAAATATATAATAATATCTTGTATATAGTGATTGAGATTATAGATGCCTCGGAGTTTGAAAATATGTATTGGATTTCCACATAAGAAATCCTTTTCAAAATCTTAAAAACTACTATAAACGTTCAGAATTAACTGTAAATTTATCTTTACGGCATAAATATACAGTTCAAAAGAAACGTAATTACATACTTTTATTAAATAATTTATTATAAAATTTTAATAAAATAAATTTATCATTCAATTTATAATAAAAGTAATTACAACTACACAAAATGCGATGCGTCGGCCGCTCGAACTCTGTACCGTAGAACTGTACATTTTGTGATGGGCCTCTTAAACATACAAAATGAAGTCAAATGAGTTGGTTCATGGTGTCATACAGTTCCTAATTATGTTTGTAATTTTTGATGTCATAAATAGGATACTACTTTAACTGTTGTATGTAGTACTACTACTTTTATCTATACTAATATTATAAAGAGGTAAAGTTTGTGACTTTGTGACGTTGTAGGGAGTAACCTCTGGATCTACTGAACCGATATAGATAAAATTTGGTAAGAAGAGATTTTGAGACCCTGGAAAGGACATAGGATACTTGTTATCCCGAAAATCATCCCTTAAGGGGTTGAAAATGGGGATGAACGTTTGTATGGGGAATCAAGCTGGCTAGTATGTAATAATTTTAATATGTATTTAATTAGGGAGCTGGGATGCGAGCTCGGCTACAGACTGATAATAGGCGCGGAAGGCGAGACTCTGTGCGTGTGGCACGTGCCGGCGCTGGCGGGCGGCGAGCGCGTGGCCGCCGCGCTCACGCCGCACGCGCCGTCCATGGAGCGGCTGCTGGCGCACACCGTGCACGTGCGCTCCCGGCAAAGACTTAACGATTTGAAAGTACTCCTCAATGATTTAGGGGTGGGTTGAAAATCGACTTTTAATTTCTTGTTAATTATTTCTGTTTGTTAATTGCGTATTATGATCATTAATTTGTATATATTGTTGTATTATAATTTATTTTCTCTAAAATTTATTTAGTGTGCAATAATTAAAGTTTAACATCGTTTTCTTTAGTACAATTTAAAGTGTTTATCATTTACTTTACAAATAACATAATTTATTACCAAAATATTGGTATTTGTAAGTAAATGGCTGACAGTAGGTATCTATATTGGGGTAATGGCAGTGGTGAAATGCAAAAAAAACTTGCAAAGGTATGTAACCAAATGTCGATTTTCTATAATAAAACATTTTTATATTTCTACTACGCGTAAATCATGTCTAGAATTCGAATTCGACTTATTAATATTTTATTAACTTTATACAGAGGAGACAAGTAAACCTTGAGTTTTAATTTTTAAGTTTACAACGGTATCGTTATAAAGCGTGTATGATTATTCATTATAGCCAGATCAGTTCACCCATTGCCTAAAAAAACGATTTAATTAAAGTATCCTTAGGATTAGGAGAGCAAGTGACCAGTACGAGAACGTATACCGCAGGTGGAGTGCAGCGTGGGCGGGTGGCCGTGCGTGCTGGCGTGCTCGGTGGTGTGGCCGTGCCTGCGCGCGGAGCAGCTGCTGGTGTCGGTGGGCGCGCACGGCGGGCGCCTGCGCGCGCGCGTGCCCGCCTACCCCGCCACGCCGCGCATGCCCGCGCTGGCGCGCGCGCTCGCCGCCGCCGACCGTCGCGCCGTACGCGACTTGCTCACGCATCTCAGGTACTGCCTACTGCTCTACATAGCACATACATACATGTGTAATATACTAACTATAAATAGCTGGAATAGAACTTTAACAAACTCTGCGTCTCAATGTTTCTAAATTATTAACATTATACTATTTAGCTGTTTTGCACGTACTGACCAAGATCTGATTTTGTGTGGAATTAGAATTAGGTAATATGGAGATTGAAATTTTTCATTTATTTAAATGAGATTAATATTTAATTAGATAAGTAAATCGGAATTGTTAAGTATATTGTATATATGAACAAATATATATATATCCGTTTCTTCAATATTTTTCAGATTCTGGCTGGTCGCACGTAGATGCGAAAAAACGTTGCAACATTTGCCGGCAAGTGTTTGCGAACACTTGCCTTTCCTTCACGGACCTGACCATCCACTCAATAAGCTTTCCCCCGATCGTCTATACGTCACTTTACACAGACATACAGATCATATATTAGTGAGTATAAACGTTGAATAATGTTATAACTTATAAATCTTGCAACTAGCTAACTCAACTTGATGGCCTAGTGTGTAATATGTATCTGACTTTTTATTAGATATTGTTTCTTTAAGGAATTCTTAGTATTATTGTGGAGTTGAAAATTTGACAGTGTTACACTCCAAGCATCAGAGAGCATATAAACAATCGGTCCTGTGCTTAATCTCTTATCCGTGAATATCGAATTTTCCGTTTCATCGAACTACGAGTATAAGAATGAAAGGGATACAGAATATATTAGCGTACGCACACTCTTATGCGCACCAATGTGTGAGACCCACTTTCCCAAATCAACGCTGCTATTATAATTTTATTAACTTACTTGAATCTACACGGGACTCGAACCCTAGAATCTGCAGCTTTACAAACAAATGAGACAGGTGCTTTTTAAATATACGCATGTCACATATAGTAACAAGAATGTGTAACAGGTGGTAGAAATGAAAGAGGTGGCGGCGGGCGGCACGGCCACCACCAGCTCGAGCAGCAACAGCGGCAGCGCGTGCAGCGTGGCGCTCGCCTTCCACCTGGCCGGCGCGCGCCGCTGCACGCCCGATGAGTGCGAGGATGAGGTTTGCTATACACGTCATATCTATACAACTATTAAAATAAAGAAAAAAGATTTGTATTTTTGGAGGTTTGTAACGAATAAACTCAAAAACTACTAGAACGATTTAGATGACATTTGATAAAAAGATAGTTTGAGACGCTGGGAAGGATATAGGATATTTTTTATTCCGGAAATTATACCTAAGGGGTTGAAAGTGGGGATGAAAGTTTGTATGGGGAATTAACCTAGGGACGAACCCGTGAGAAGCAAGGGTGAGTCGCTGGTTACTAATAACAATACAGAAATCAATTGATTTATGATTGTTATAAGAGAATTTACAAATATAAAAAATACGACAATTTGAGTGAGTGTGATTTTAATTAATGGTGATTAAATGTCACGTGTGACAATTTCAGATCTCTGTTTAAGCGATAAGGCCGCCTCTTATCCGAAAAATAGAAATAGGACTATGTAGATCTATTTCTATTTTTCTTGTACTTTTATTTTTTATCTTTCTTATTTTTTTTTGTAGGTATACAATAAAGAGTATATAAGATTATTACTATTAATATTTAGGTCTATATATACTCATATAAAAATTAACCAGGCAATGAGGTTTTCTTGTTATGAAATAAAACTCATTTCTGAATGATCCCATTAGCTTTATATACGCAAGTCTTTTCCCCTTTTAGAATAACACAGCATCCTCTACTGCAGCATCGCCCGCTACGGCTCGCGCCTTCTTGAAATTGCATTCACTTGTTGAATTGGACACATTCACACTGACACATGGTCCCTTCACGCCGCTAGACACTCCGGGTAAGTTTTAAAATTTTGTACATAAAAGACTTAAAAAAACCGACTTCAAAAAAAACACTAAAAAGTAAAAAATGACTGATTGGTAGTTTTGATTTACTATAGATAGCTAATCAAATATTTTCGAAGTTGGTGTGATTTGTATCGATTAGTAAAAATGGCAAAATAAGAAGAAAATATTTTTAAAATTCAGTAAGTGAAAAAACAATCATCCCCTTTTTTCTCCACTTAGCTCTATCTATCCACTTAAGGGTGGATTTTTTTTAATTTAAATAGGACCATTTCGGAATAAATCTCTTTCGAACAAAAAAAGCATTTTGCAAATCCGTTTATATGTAACCAAGTTATGGCATTCCTCCATCCCCTTTTCATCTTTGGACAACCCGACGAATGGCTGGTCTCCATCCTTATGTCGTGGACATTCCACCCGTCCGCACGTAGCGTTTCGCTACGTCATTTATTATAGGTACGGCTAAGGATTGGAACAACCTGCCTGCGTCGGTGTTTACGTCCGATTATAATATGGGTGTCTTCAAGGCAAGAGTGAATAGGTGGCTACTGAATTAGTGCGACTTACCATCTACGACTGCGTTACCACTTACCATCAGGTGGAACGTAGTCAAGCACTAACTCAGAATAGTATAAAAAAAATTATAAACATCCGAAATGAGAAACTCCTCTTTTTCTGAAGTCGGTTAAAAATTTCATTTTAAAATGTTTATATAGTGGTAAATTTATATGAAATTCAAAATGATATATTAATTAGTAATTTTTACAGAGCTTGTGATATTATTGTAATAGAATTTTGTGTAGATAAAAAATATATAAAATATGTTTTGTCCCCAGGCATGCAGCCAGGCAAGCGCAAGTTGTCCGCTGCTAACAGTCGCTCAGTGCGCGTGCGCCAGCCCGCCTACTTCCTGCCCGAGCTGGCGCACGTGGTCGCCGCCGCGGACGAGCGCGTACCTTTCGTCAACCTCGCTCAGGAGGTACGTTAAAATAATTAATTTAACACTACAAATACTATTGATATGTATGTTGTATTCATTAATTTTTCGTTAGACTTGCTTAAGAAACATTATGTGTTAAGTATATTGTCAGGTTACTTTCTTAATGTTATGTTAAAAGTTAAAATTTTAAATATAACTATTTTTACAGTCTGTCCTATTTGTTTGCTATCAAAGAACATTCGTGATTCGATACCTCGGAAACCAAAAATCAATTTAACAAAAAACTGTTATAAAACATAATATCATACAATTATTTCATAGATAAAATACTCATTATGTGTCGGTGTGTGTAGCTGGCGGCGCGCGGCGTGACGCACGGTGGCGTGCAGGTGGAGTGGTCGGGCTCGGCGCTGGGCATGCGCGTGGTGGCGCTGCCGCGGCCCGAGGGTGCGGGCGAGGGCGCGGCGGCGGCGCTGCGCGCGCGCCTACTCGCCGCCACCATACGCCTCACCACCAAGAACCAGGCGCGCGTGTGGACCGCCGAGATCGTGTTCCACGGCTCGCCTGTGCCCACGCCCAATCCGAAAGAGCAAGGTATTTATTATTTATTTGCTTGTATTATTGTTTTTTATATTGTATTTGTGTTTAGCGTTAAAATGAAAGGATAGGGTCGATTGGGGAAAGAAAGTATAATTTCGTTTTATTCCTCGTGCCTCTGCTTTCTGTCAAGCGTCAAAGGATAATATTCCAAATCTTATAATGTACAATCAGGCTTCATCAGGCAGTTTGCTATATTTAAATTAATAAAAAACTAAAAAATCAGTAAAATCAGAACTTTAGCTGGAAAAAATATTTTTATTATTATTAATAATTATAATTACAGGCGAAAGACGATGTGTGTACCTCCAATATGAACTCGGCACGGATGCAGGACGTACAGCGGATGCATTTTTAGCCGATTGGGCTGCTATCGTCCATCTACACACTCTTTTGTATGACTTTATGCTCCGGCCTAGTCAAGGTTAGTGGTTGTATAAGTTACCTAAATAATCTTTTTTTTGTGTTTCATCGGAATGTTAAAATTACAATGAATACATTTATTCAATTAATAGTCAATTATATTCTATTATCAGCCATTACCGCGATATTAAATTAAAAATGTCTAAGCATCTTCATAACGTTTCAGAAACTACTGTACAAATCTCTACATTTCAACAGTAAGAAGAGGTATTATCTAAGAAGACTATAGGCTATAATTATAAACAGATTGCAAAATTAAGCTACCAGTATGATAATTATATTTTTAAATTAAGCAGGAGAAAATTTTCTCTTCTAGCGGAAAATAAGCTACCATTATAATTATATTTGTGAGTTAAACCGTTCTTCTAGAGGCGTACCAGAGGGAAACGAGAATGAGCTAATAGTAAACAATTAAATAGGATGTCATCAAATTTAAATAAATAAATAGGTTGAGACATTACCACACAGCACTATCTAGTTGTACGGGAGCTGCGAGGCTTGTGTTATGGATACCAGGTAGTTGATACACTTCGAATATATAACTTTAAATACATTCTTATATGAATATAAACACCCATGACTTCGTGCTCATCACACAAATGAAAGCCCCGAGCGAGACTCGAAACCTCGACCGCTGGCACAGCAAGTAGGCTCACTACAAACTGTGCCAAACGTGTCGTCAAACAAAGGTGTTTGTGTGTAGAACGCGAGTCGCTGTGGCAAGGCGTGTGCATCCGCTCGTACACGTACCGGTCGCTGGTGCTGGGGTTCGGCGCGGCGCAGCGCGCCACCGCCGTGCTGCAGTGGTCGGCCGCGGCGCAGCGCTACACCGTGGCCACGCCCGCGCACCAGCCCGCCGCCAACGCGCACCATCTGCTGCATCATCACCTCGATCATTATATCAACTGGTTAGTTTTATTACATCGTATACTTGTTATATTGTTTTAGTAACATAGTTATTACCACAGTATAAAAAATCATACAGTAGGCGATTGCTTTTTGATTTTAATGGACACACTGTCAAATGCAACGTTTATCAAAAATATCAATCTAAATGGTGAAAAGCTGTTTTGAAGTTAAATTACTATAGTGCCATCTAGTGACAGCTTACAGTCGTACGCTGACGGATATGAGGGTTGATGCTATAAATCCGTTTTCCAATTGTCATATAAAAGTAAATAAGTCTGTTGTGCCTCACCTCGCACATCTAGATCAGATTAGTCAACTGTGATATTAGTATGAAACAAAACTCTTTTGTTTAAAACTTAACCGTAGAATACAAGATTACAATAAACTCACTCTTAAATATTATATTAAGCAAACCCCTTTGCAATTTTTAAAGAGGTAATAAAATGTAAACACAATACAGGCACAAAGACCTAATATCGCTGGGTGTGGTGCTGCGCGAGACGTACGCGCCGCTGCTGGCGCTGAGCCGGCTGCCCGCGCTGCCGCAGCTGGGCCTGCACCACGTGCGCACGCTCATGCCCACGCCCACCTTCACGCTGCTCGCGCACTCCTGGCGGAAGGTTGGTTACTACATATCAAACAATCGGCCTATCACTGTCCACATCTGAACGCATCCATCTAGTGTCCGCTACCTTTCTTATGTCATTTGTCCGTCGTCTAAACGCGATCTCCACTCTTAACCCATACATATTCAAAACATGGCAATACATATTATTCAAAAATAACATAACGTCAATAAAATAAATATTCCATCTATAGGCCAGGAGGCGAAGTTTAGATTAGAGACTGTGATAGCCTAGTGGTAACGCGTTTACTGTGAGCACTAAATCTATTCAGCCTTTTTTTACGTCCTATCGCTGGAAACACTTCCGTCAATACGAGGCTAATCAAGCCATAGTCCACCACGCTGACCGAGTGCGGGTTGGCGGACTTCACATATGTTTCAAAAGTTTGCTAGGTTCTCTCAGAGATGCAGGTTTCCTTACGATGTTTTTCTTCACCGTGAGATACATAAGTCGTAATTATGTTGGAAATGACTCGCATATGAAAATATCAGAGGTGCGAGACACGGGATATGTACCCACTTGGCTACTAGTGTGTTATGAAAAAATGATTATTATTATATTTCATATGAAATGATAAAACTTATTTATTACAGATAAGAATTATATACGCCGGTGCATATTCAATTGAAGTGGGCATTAGAGGTGGCAACATGGTTACAATACGCGACGGCGCGTACTCTAAATTTGACAGAAGCACAGTTGTCGATGAATTCGCGCCTGCACTTGGTTTAAAGGTATGAAAATGTAATATATTGTTTTTGTCTGTAGTATTTTGAAAGTTGTTTTGTTAATAACATGTATTCTTTCTTTAAGACATTCCTCTCAAGATACGTTGACGATAGCATCAGCGCCAGGCTGTTAGCGGAAGATGACAATCCGCCATCACCGATGTCTCCTATGCCACCAGGTAAGTTCAATTTGTGGATGTAAAAAGTCGATGACATATTATAACTGTATTTTTGAAGTTATACTTTTTTTGGCACGTTTGGAAAAAAATATGAGAGTAAAATTTTACTGATGCGCGCGTACACCGACAGCCAAAAAGGGACATGATGAAGTTAGCTGATAACTGTCTCTCCAGTTCCCGGATGAAAATTCATAACTATATTCAAAGTAGTTTCTCAAATAATCATAAATCTATTTAAATTGTTATGTCAGTGTAGATAAAATAAATATTTATTTTTATTAACACGTGTTATATCAGTGGAGATAAAAAAATATATTTATTTTTATTAATTTATCATTCCTTTTACAAACAGAGAGAAGACATACAGGATGAAATATTTAGCTACTTTTAATCTGTTACGCCAAAGAAGTATAACTTCTTACGTGCGTACATAAGAACACACACGTTTTTTTACGTATGTATTATTATAAATAACGTTCAATATTATCAACAACAGGTGGACTACGTTTCCCCGCGCCTCTAACTCCTCCACAGCCGCACACGCCGCACTCAGCGCCCGTCACTCCACACCCGGCGTCGCCGGCACAGCATCAGGTAATTGTTACATGGACACAAGAATATTTATTATAAGAATATTTAATTCCATATAATTAATCATTTCAATGAACAATTGAATTTGTTACAAGACTAGCATTGCCGGCTGCTCCGTCTGCGTTCAGATGACCAAAAACCAAATTCTTAGGTTACAAAAATTACATAATAATATACTCTTACTTTGCAGTTTTTGTATTTTTTTTCTCAGAAATGAGATATTTTCCCGCGGTAAAAAGTGTCCTATATGTTGACTCGGATAACTAGCTTATCACCATACCAAATTCCATCAAAATACCTCCAGTGGTTTTTCTGTGATGCGGTAACAGACAGACAAAAATTCTAAAAACCATAGATTCGGCCTCTGTATCGATAATAATGTTTATATCGATAAGATTTTCCAAAAAATATCGAATGTACAGATTTGGCTTAGTTACAATTTTATTATATGTATAACCAACAAAAATATGTTTCATCACGAATAAAGAAAAATTAGTTCAAATAAATGTCAATAGATGACGTTACATGTATCGATTTGTTGTTAACGTTCCGTTAAATTACAAAAAAATAAAATATAAAATAGATCCAAAAAAGGTATATTATTTAATACTTTCTTAGATTTACGCGAATATTTGACATTTTAAATATAACTATCTTTTCGGATTTTGTCGCGGATTTATTTGTATTTTTGTTTCCCGACATTTCGAATGCTTTACAGCATCCATGGTCACGGGAGAGACTGAGGTGTTACATGTCTTAAAGATATAGTTGTTACAGACAGCCTACCCACAATTAACAAAATGAAAATTGCACCAATTACATTACAATATTTTAACTTTAAACATTTTTATAATTTTAATTATAATTGAATATGGAAAATTATTTATTTAATTTTTTGCTATTATTTTTATAATTATTACAATTTTAAAAATATTAATTAGTAATCTATATTTAGTGTTGCCATTATTATATTTATAACCATAAGAAAAATATAAAATATAGTATTAATTATTTAAGCCACAATTGATCTATGTGTAATTTGAAAAAGTTAAGATTAATTAAAAATAATAATTTTAATTTAAATTTGCTATTATTTAAAAAACAAATTATTAAGCAACACATTACTACATACATTTACAATGAAAAAGTGAAAAAAGTATAATTTTTTTTTTCAGAAATGCTATCATTTTGATCTACACAGTAAGAACTTACCACATCTACCTGTCTGTTATGTTTAGATCTATTATTAGATTTTATTATATTAATAACAGGATCCCATGACGATGGTAGTACCCAGCCATCTTCCCTATTGAAATTAGGATGCAGCTTGCAAGCTGCAAGTGCCGCGCCTACGTCACAGGGACCGAGTGAAACCAGCCACAGTCGAGCGCGTCCCTGCAGTCCTACCTTACATGAGAGGCGTCACTGACAAGATTGGCTACATTCTAAAGCGAGCTTCAATTAAAACTTACTTCAAGCCGCCAAAGAAAATTAGTCAGTTTCTACCACCTGTCAAGTGCCACATCCCTCTACAAGATGCAGGAGTTTACAAGCTTGATTGTGATTGTGGGCTCTCTTACATTGGACAAACAAAGAGATCCATTAGAACCCGGGTCAAAGAACACATAGCTGATGTGAAGCACCGTCGCAATACAACATCTGCTGTCTGCAAACATAGTCAGGACCGCCCAAGCCATTATATTCGCTTCGATAGACCTCAAATCCTGGCGAAAGAAAACCGATATCGCCCTAGAATGATTCGAGAAGCCATAGAAATTAAAAAACATCCTAATTTCAATAGGGAAGATGGCTGGGTACTACCATCGTCATGGGATCCTGTTATTAATATAATAAAATCTAATAATAAATCTAAACATAACAGACAGGTAGATGTAGTAAGTTCTTACTGTGTAGATCAAAATGATAGCATTTCTGATTAATAATATTTTTTTCACTTTTTCATTGTAAATGTATGTAGTAATGTGTTGCTTAATAATTTGTTTTTTAAATAATAGCAAATTTAAATTAAAATTATTATTTTTAATTAATCTTAACTTTTTCAAATTACACATAGATCAATTGTGGCTTAAATAATTAATACTATATTTTATATTTTTCTTATGGTTATAAATATAATAATGGCAACACTAAATATAGATTACTAATTAATATTTTTAAAATTGTAATAATTATAAAAATAATAGCAAAAAATTAAATAAATAATTTTCCATATTCAATTATAATTAAAATTATAAAAATGTTTAAAGTTAAAATATTGTAATGTAATTGGTGCAATTTTCATTTTGTTAATTGTGGGTAGGCTGTCTGTAACAACTATATCTTTAAGACATGTAACACCTCAGTCTCTCCCGTGACCGTGGATGCTGTAAAGCATTCGAAACGTCGGGAAATAAAAATACAAATAAATCCGCGACAAAATCCGAAAAGATAGTTTTATTTAAAAGGTATATTATTGTTTTAAAAAAATATTCTTAAGTGAAGGGAAACGAAATAATTCTGCCGTAAACAAATTTGCGTAATTTTACTGATTATTGAACTATCAGCAATCAGATGATAGTTTTGTAGTGTATACTCATTGATTGTGCTTTTACATTTTATGAATTGTTTATCATTTAAAAATTGTTAACATCACTGATTTTTTTTCGAATGCAAGATGAATTTTACAATATTTGCTATTCGTTAGTTTGCACATGTTTATAAAAAAAAACCAAACTAGCGCTTCCAATTTCTTTGTATGGGATGATACATCTTTACTAGTATAATATGATGTAATCTGTGGTGTGTAGATGGGCGGTGGATCGTTCAACCTGACGTCCCCGCCGGGCGCGCCGGGCACGGCGGGCGGCGCGGGCGGCGCGGGGCTGTCGGCGTCGCCCGCGTCGCCGCTGGCGCCGTCCCCGCTGGCGCCGGCCGCGTCCCCGCACCCGCCGCCCACCTCACCCTTCACCGCGTGGCCCGCCTCGCCCTCGCTGCCGCGCCCGTCGCCCGGGCACCACCCCTCGCCGCGGCACCATCTTGATCATAAAGGTGAGAGGCACATTTTTTTATTGTTTTATTGTGTGTCTGTTAGTGATTATGTAACTTCAAGTGACAGTACATTTTTTTGCCAAGATAACTTCACATTACATGTGGATCTTCTTTATAAAATGTCAATTGTTAGCACGGTCGTTCAATAACTTATTCTAGATGTACTAATCTATATAGTAAAAAATTATCATACATGGTTTTTGTTGCGCTGTTTGTGTTTAGATTATTGTTTTAAAAAATGTCATGAAAATTTAATAAAATAAAATGAATAAATGAAATGATGGCATATCATTTTAGAATAGATGAAGCGGGTTGACTATTTTTTAAACATTTTTTAAGTCTAAATCTTGAATTACAGAAAAATAAATGAGCATTTTTTATAATACTTTCTTAGATTTACGCGAATGTTTGACATTATTAAATAAAACTATCTTTTCGGATTATTTCGCGGATTTATTTTGATTTTTGGTTCCCGACGTTTCGAATGCTTTACAGCATCCATGGTCACGGGAGAGACTGAGGTGTTACATGTCTTAAAGATATAGTTGTTACAGACAGCCTACCCACAATTAACAAAATGAAAATTGCACCAATTACATTACAATATTTTTAACTTTAAACATTTTTATAATTTTAATTATAATTGAATATGGAAAATTATTTATTTAATTTTTGCTATTATTTTTATAATTATTACAATTTTAAAAATATTAATTAGTAATCTATATTTAGTGTTGCCATTATTATATTTATAACCGTAAATAAAAATATAAAAATATAGTATTAATTATTAAAGCCATATAATTGTTCTATGTGTAATTTAAAAAAGTTAAAATTAATTACGGATAATCATTTTAATTTAGTTTGCTATTATTTAAAAACAACTTACTAAGCAACACTATTAATATATACTTTTACAAATGAAAAATATTAATCTGATAAGCTGTCATTTTGATCTACACAGTATGAACTTACTACATCTGCCTGTCTGTTATGTTTATATTTATTATTTGATTTTATTATATTAATAACAGGATCCCATGACGATGGTAGTACCCAGCCATCTTCCCTATTGAAATTTGGATGTTTTTTAATGTCTATGGCTTCTCGAATCATTCTAGGGCGATATCGGTTTTCTTTCGCCAGGATTTGAGGTCTATCGAAACGAATATAATGGCTTGGGCGGTCCTGGCTATGTTTGCAGACTGCAGATGTTGTATTGCGACGGTGCTTCACATCAGCTATGTGTTCTTTGACCCGGGTTCTAATGGATCGCTTTGTTTGTCCAATGTAAGAGAGCCCACAATCACAATCAAGCTTGTAGACTCCTGCATCTTGTAGAGGGATGTGGCACTTGACAGGTGGTAAGAACTGACTAATTTTCTTTGACGGCTTGAAGTAAGTTTTAATTGAAGCTCGCTTTAGAATGTAGCCAATCTTGTCAGTGACTCCTTTCATGTATGGCAAGACTGCAGGGACGCGCTCGACTGTGGCTGGTTTCACTCGGTCACTGTGACGCAGGCGGCACTTGCAGCTTGTTGTCACGCAGAACTTGCTTGACATGTTGCAGTTCTCCGGCCAGGTGTTGCTCGTCACAGATCTTGATTTGAAAATTGTAATAATTATAAAAATAATAGCAAAAATTAAATAAATAATTTTCCATATTCAATTATAATTAAAATTATAAAAATGTTTAAAGTTAAAAATATTGTAAGGTAATTGGTGCAATTTTCATTTTGTTAATTGTGGGTAGGCTGTCTGTAACACCTATATCTTTAAGACATGTAACACCTCAGTCTCTCCCGTGACCATGGATGCTGTAAAGCATTCGAAACGTCGGGAACCAAAAATCAAAATAAATCCGCGAAATAATCCGAAAAGATAGTTTTATTTAATAATGAGCATTTTTTTTTAAATACATTTTTTTCGGAAATGCTGAAAGTGATTTTTCTATCGGATTATTGAATGAACTCAAGATTATATCATCATCAACTGAAGGACAGCACAACGTTTTTCGTCAGTTGGTGTAATATAAAAACTATGATAATTTACCCATAACCAGGTCCACAAGCCAGTTCAAGCACAGCGAGCGGGCGTGGCGCGGGCGCGGGCGGCGCGGGGCGCGCGTGGGGCGCGCTGCCCGGCACGCCGCTCGCCGTCAGCAAGCTGGAGGCGCTGTGCTCGCCGTGCGAGCCGCCGCCCGGCGCGCCGCCCGGCCCGCCGCTCGCGCCGCTGCAGCGCTTCCTGGCCTGCGTCTATATGAAGCGAGCGCTGCTGCGATTTGTGCACCAGGAGGATTATGTAAGTGTCAAATATTTTTATACGAAAGCGATAACGCAATATCCGTGACGTCGTTGTAGTATTATGACAATCGATGTTGTACATCCAGCATTATGTTAATTAACATATCATGCTCACACGAAAGTGTTTGTATGGTACTATGGACATATAGTTTGTCAAAGTAGCGTAAACGATGAATGACTTGTTTGTATATTTCTTCAAATATTGTTAAATAGTTTTTAATTTAGATGGTGGTGTACTCTATCGTAATTTTTCTACCTATCTATCTTAATTGGATTAATTTATTGTCCTAGCTAACAATGGTGTCTACGGACGCGACGTCGCTGACGTTCCGCTGCGACACGGCAGGGCTGGCGGCGCGCGTCACGCTGCACCCACAGCACATGCAGTCGCTGCACCTGCAACTCACGCCGCTCGCTGACGTCAAGGACAACTGGTCCGCTGACGACTTACAGGTTATATGATATGTCTTTTAAATCTTTTTTTAAGGGAATATAATGTTATCTATTGTGATATCTATTTGTGGGTGAACTAATTGAAGTGGGTTCTAATCCCGAATTTGAAATTGAATCGGTTTACTTTAGATTTTCTAACAATAGAAAAAAACATCCTGATAAAGTATTGAAACCCAACCCAAAACCCAGGTGATGGAGAAGTTTTTCGAGCAGCGCGTGGCGATAGCGCCGTACCGCGCGACGGCGCTGCAGGGCTGGGCGCGCGCGTGGGGCGCGCCGGCCGCCGCGCTGCCGTCGCTGGTGGCGCTGATGCGCGCCGAGCTCGTGCCCATCGCGCCCGCGCTGTGGACGCTGCACTGGGTGCTGCGCATCCCGCCCGCCGGCCCGCAGATCGTGCCCGCCGGCCAGCCCGCCGTGCTGCTCGCCAAGCACAAGATACTCTTCTTTGTTAGTGATACCCACCTTTTTTTGTGCTAAAATGTTAATAGTATATAAGTCCAAACTTTTTTTATACATTAGTATTGCCTATTTAATCTTCATCGTAATTATACAAATAAATATCTATTTTAATGAAATTAATTTATAACTAACAGATTTGCCTAACACGTGGCGAGACGCAGCTGGTTCTGCCGCTGGTGTACGACGTGCAGTCCAATGCGATGCAGATAGCTGAGCGACGAGACGCACAACAACCTCATCTCATCGCCGTCAACTTACATTTAAAACGGTAATAATTGTAAAATACTTCCTTGATACAATAGTATGTAAGTAAAAGTAAAAAATATAAAAATATAAATTTTCTCTGACTATATATGCAATTAGAAAAGTAACGTCCTCCTGATCGATTTTCAATTACGGTGTCAGGCTAATTTTGTATTCACCGAGAAGAAGGTTCAATACCTTCTTCCCAGTGAATACAAAATTATGTCCAAATACAAATGCTCTTTTTATCCCTAGTACATGGGAGTTCTTTTTTGTTATATCGTATTTTTAGATACAAAAACAAAAACCTTGAATAAATACGAAAAAAAACAAAAGTAAAAACTTTGTATCCGACGGGATTCGAACCCGGACACCTGTGATTGTCAATCTTGCGCCATGGCGGATTGACCACAATGCTTATGCCCCAGCGTGCGAAATTAGCGACCATATTTTGCGTGAAATAACGCTAAAGAAAACCGCATGAAAACTCGAAAACACGCCTTTTCTTAGACATAAGACGGATCTAGATAGATTTTTCGCCCCCGAAAATCCCGACATACCAAATTTCAGCGAAATCGTTAGAGCCGTTCCGAGATCGCCGGTATAAATAAATAAATATACAAGAATTGCTCGTTTAGATATATGTAAGATAAAATAGAAACAGAACGTATTTATTAAGTTCATAACATGTCAGGTTTGCGGAGTTCAGCCAGTCGCACGGCGAGTGCATCCTGTGGCCGGCGGTGCGCGACTTGCTCATCAACTTCACGCTGCCGCAGGACGCGCCGCAAGCGCCCGCGCCGCCGCCGCCATAGCGCTCGCGCACCACGCTCCTCTAAGCGACGCCGCCGGTCTCGCTTCGATGTGCGCTCCTGTACTGCATATATGTACATTGTATATATTACCACAGTCTACTCATTCATACAGTCTTCTACGAAGGCATTTAGACAGAGCAATCGTTCGAGGTGTGCGATGTACGAATAACACGATACCGACTATCATACTTATATATGAAAGTCGGGGAAACTAAAATGGTAATTTTCACGAGATGACTCTACAGCGCCTTTACCTTCGAAACCGTTTGCTATGAAAATTGTTAACCCTTGCATTTTTCAGCAATTCCGTTTGGGTGATCGCCTACTGTATGGATTTTTATACTGTGGTATTGTATTTCACCGTGAAGTGTGATCTCGGTTTGAACTTGGTTGAAATACACGGCTCTATTTTCCTATAAATAGTGTTTGCATTTTATCTTAAGATCTAAAATCTAAATATTTAAGTTATATAATGTAAATTTGTATACAATAAAATACTTTGTCATTCTATGTATTGTTTTTCATTTAATATTTTATATATGTATATTAGTTAACAATATTTTTATTTGATCATTTATAAAAAAATACCTTATGGAAACTACTAATAAAATATATGCGAGTACGCGTGTGCGTGTGTGTGTAGGATTTTTGTTTTAACTCAAAGAGAAGATAACTAACTTAAATAATGTCTAAAAACTTACTGATTTATTGTAAAACACTAAACATCGTTTTGGAATCTGTAATTGTTAATAACTTTTTTTCTAGATATGATTAGGGATCCTAAGGGCCCTCGCACGCATGCTTTTCAGTAACAAGAATGATACGTTTTTTAACTTGAGGACAAGATGAATAAATTAATACTTTCTTAGATTTACGCGAATATTTGATATTTTAAATAAGGCTATCTTTTCGGATTTTTGCGCTTATTTATTTTAATTTTTGGTTCCCAATGTTTCGAATGCTTTACAGCAATCATGGTCACGGAAGAGACTGTCCTGTGTCCATGATTGCTTATTGAACCAAAAAGATCTATCCGGATATACCTATTATATTTAATTCATGACAAATGACAATTCAATCTTTGATTTGTCAAAGTATAGATGAACCGTAAACTTTTCGGCAATGTCTTAGTTATCAAATTTTCATCAAAGTTAATTTCATACTAAATTGCGGAATGGCTTCAAATCGGAACCCAAATTCATTAGAAACTATTCTCACTTTTGATAATAGAGATGCGGTGAGTAAAAAAGCAATGTCTTTTTTAAATAAAAACATCCAAATCAATAAATTTTGTTTCGTTTGCAAATAATACAATTTAGTTTTTATCAAAGGATTCAAATCTCATTTTTTTATGATAAGCTATCCTTTCAGTCTTTTCTTAGAAAATTGTATTATGACGGGTTCAAAAACTAAAGTAAATCATAGTTGTAAATAATGCTGTGATGAGGCATAATGCAAAAGCCCCGAAATAGTGTCTAGAATTTGTAAATAGTCGCACTAATTAGTATTTATTGTATAATTAATATATATTATTAGCAGAGTCAGTGGTCGGAAGTGTGGTCGACCGCACATATCCCGGGTATGGATAATGCTTCCGGCGGCAGCACTCATACGGGACAGAAAGGACGTCGCAGATTGAGTTTGGGCTCTCTCGCTCTTGGTGGTTTTCTTACAATGCATTGTCGAGTTGCAGCTTCAGCGCTTACTGGTGGATTCTGTTTGTATTACACTATAAGTACTTAGATAGGTACTCTATGTCTCTCTTACTATCTGTATCGAAATTTCAACTATGTTAACTATTTCAGTTGTTTTTATGATGTTTTTAATCATGGCGACAGCGGCCCTAGCTAATCCTTTACGACATTTTGAAGTATATGTAGGTCAATGGAGCATCAGTGGGCCCGGTCGAGCATTTCGTATTTTACCTATATTTGAAGGTTTGTTACGTGCAATTGTGCTAACACATCTTTCTCATTATATCGTATTTTTTGTTAACTTATGTTTACAGGTATTGGCATAGCGATCTGTATAAATGCGTTATTACGGGCTATGATTTGTTGCACTGTAGCTTCTATAGCCGCAATATATTTTATGCACGCCATTAGCGATTCAAAGCTGCCCTATTCTTATTGCAGGTAAAGTGAATAATAAATTCACGTAAACAAATTATAAATTGTAATAATATTTATTTGAACTAGCTTCATTACTGGCTACTACTTATTGAACTTTAAATGCTGCCTAGATTTTTTTTATTTTTATTTATTATTCAAATTAAAAAGATTCTCTAACAATTTCTAAATTGTTCAAAGGTAATTTCGGATAAAAAAATCTACAAAATTATTTTTTGCTTAGATATCTAATATTGCTTAGAATTTCACCATCTAAAATTGGAAAAAATTATCTGAATAAGTCGTAAAAAAATGTAATTCTGTGATTATTTATTTCAGAGATTTTGATCTAAAGCTATACGATCCTATTGTAAAAGATATTAACCTAATTATGTTAAGAGAGGTAAGCTAATACCTACCGCTAGAAAAAGCTAAGTAATGTAATTTTATTGTAATTTTAATAAATTATAGTTAGTGGGCTTGTTTTTAGTCCAGGTTCTCTTTAGTGACTGGAGAACTAGACGATGGCATTGAAATAATGGAACATACGACGGTTGGAACACAAGATCTTGCCTGGAGAAATGCAAGTTATCAAAACTTGATAAATAAAAGGTAGCGTACTGAACGCAGTACTAATAAAGTAATAACAAGCGATTAAGCAGAGCTATATTGTTTTATCTTAGTCAGCATATTTTAAAACCTTAAGTTCTCAGTTGGGATGAATTTTCAATTTTTCACATTTAATCATTTTCCCAAAAAAAAATCTCTTAGTTTTATGCTATACGTACATCGATCACTAAGAATTATTTGTGATCGCTGTATACATATATTTAATTTATATTCTAACCGTATACTCAATATAAACATACCTAACTAGTTATAGGGGTTTTTCGCGAATTTATTTTTATTTTTGGTTCCCGACGTTTCGAATGCTTTACAGCAATAATATAGTCACGGGAGAGACTGAGGTGTTAGATGTCTCAAAGGTATTATATAGTTTTTGCAGACAGCCTACCCATAAATAACAAAATGAATTCAAAAAATAGAAAAATGGCACCAAAGTACCTTACAGTATTTTTTAACTTTAAACATTTTTATATAATTTTAATTAGTTGTATTTAAAATGTCAAATATTCGCGTAAATCTAAGAAACTATTATAACTAACTAGTTATGGTTTACACACAAAGTAGGAATATTTGCACACTGGAACAGCTTGAACTCTGTTTAAAATGTAGGTACATATTTCTAATTATCAAATACCGAAAAGTACCTTAAATGTGTATTGTAAATCAGGAGCAAATTAAAATTATATAAAATATTTTTAATGTATTTCAGACCAAAGGAAAATATTACAGGAAAGATACGAAATAAAATAAAAGTTTGTAACGAAAGCTATTCCACGGGATATCCAAGCCTTTATAGCACTCCGCAATATAACTTTTTTTAGTAAGAAGTATAGTATATATTTTTTAGTTATTTTATATTTCTAATTTATGGTATCACGGAGTACCTAGTTGTCTGGCAGCTGTACTCTTCTGTCTGCTACATCAAAGGTTGTGGAGTCAATTTCATCATAGGCAGTGCCAGATTTAACCTTAGCGCCGCCCCTGTACACTAAAAATGCCGCACCATTATCGAAATTTTGCATAAATAGACCAATCGGAATCAGTTTATTTTTAAGAGAAAAAATATATTGAAAACCTGAAGTTTTATGATTTTAAAATGTTAGCACGTACATAAGGAATAGAAATTCGTAAAATGCCCCACATGCCCAGCTACCCCCGAGAAATGCGGGGACCCAGGGACTCAAAGCGTTAAAAATTTTTTGTCAATTTCGGGCTTACTGTGATGTTCTATCGAAAAATGTTTTCTACAAAAGTTGTTGGTCTAGTAAAATCTACAACTTTTATAAATAACACTTTTTACTATAACCTCAAAGTTACTATTTTTAATTTCTAGAATAATCTTTTGATTTTCATGAAACTAAGGGAATGTAATCTTGGAAATACATATAATAAATTAAAAAAAAATGAAATTGAAATGTTTAGCCATTTCCGAGAAAAGTAGGTATGTTTTCTCGAGAGGCTGAAAATCACCCTCAACCAAGTGGGCGTCTACATTTAAAAAAAAATCGTTAATTTTCAGATAGGGCTTATACTTTTCGTCTTGAACTCTACTTTTTGAAAATATAAAAACATTGTATGGTCGTCTAGGCCACTACCACTACGGTGAAGGAAAACATTGTGAGGAAACCTGCATGTCTGAGAGAACGTAGCAAGTTTTCAAAAGACATGTGAAGTCCGCCAACCCGCACTTGGCCAGCGTGGTGGACTTTGGCCTGATCCCCCTCATACTAAAGGGAGGCCCGTGCCCAGCAGTAGGACGTTAAAAAGGGCTCAATACATGTACATACATTCATCTTCTTTTATTGTTGTATTTAAATTATATTTGAATTAACTTTTCAGTGTGGAAGTAGTTTTATTTCGTGAAGATTATAGTTTTGGTCACTTCAACATGTCATTAATGCTATGTATAGTTTTTGCATGGTGTGTGTTATGGATACTTTTGATAACAGAACGTTTAACTCATGGCCGGGTAAGATTTTTGTATTTACTTTGTAAATTACCTAAAGTAAGATTCTTACCATTTTTTTCTTTGTAGTTAATTTGGAATAATATGTATTCTTGGCTGGTCGCTGTGCCGTGGATTTGGACCGGAATACTAATAATTACTGCCATTACGAATCTTGTGTCGATGCCTAAAATGTTGCGTAATGTTTATCGGATTGGTGCTAAAGAAGTTCTTACAGTAGGTGCATATATTCTATTTGTATATTTTAAGCTCAAATCGCTCATTCTACGAAAAAAAGCGTCCACAACATGATCTGG